ATTAACTCCTCGGTGGAGTAACGAGGTCTTCGAACGTTGATTAGTATGCAAAAATAATCCCATCTAGAGGAGTTAGAGGAATTAACTCCATTTTAGGAGTTAAATTCCTCTCATTATATATTCGTAATGGAGATTTGAAAACAAGGAGTGAAGATTGGTGATGCACATCGCGTTAATGATGTTAATGATTTGACGTTATTATTATTTTATATTATTATTTATACTCTATAGTTTAACAGGTTGACTTGTTCAGCTGCTGTAAAAGTCAGTGGCTGGTATCCTACAAGGACCTGTGTTTACAGATAATATGCTACTATAAAACTCTATTAAGAAAGTGTTTATAAAAAGTCAAATTAAGTCGATTAATATAGTTCCAAACTACTAAGAATGTGCTTCATATATATAAAAATAAAATTATATGTACAAGTGCTTCAAGTTCTGTTTAAAAACAGCAACTGATTTTTCGGTCTTTAGTTCTTTCGGAAGTTTGTTAAACAACAAACTCCCTTGAAATTTAAAGGTCTTCCTTCCTACTTCAGTTTTTACTCTCGGAATAACCAGAGAGCACCCATCTCCTCTTGTATTCTTTCCATGTTCGAGAACTTTAAAATAGGTGTGGAATTGTGACGGAGATACACATTGTATAGATTTATGCACATCTATATGAGGATCTGCTCATCAATGAAGGCACCAACTGGTTTCCATTCTGTTGTCACTCGGTTGGGGCATACGATACGCTTTCCTCGGTCCTGGATTGCCTGAAATTTCTTTATCTGATAGTTTGGAAGCCCCAGGTATACAGTTGGACAATATGTTATTATTGGCTGAATCATGCTGTGGTACACTTTTCCAGCTGTAGCAGATGTTAGATTAGGTCTAATACGTTTCAGTAACTTTAGCCTCGATGATGCCTTTTTGTAGGTTGTATCCAAATGTTCATGTAGGTTTAGATGTTGATCTAATAATACTCCCAAATACATGTATTTTGTTGCTTCATTCACCTTCTCTCCGTTTATACTTACATTGTTTTTTTGCGGTTCCTTACTCAGCTTCTTCGCCGTTCCAAATAAGACAAAATCTGTTTTTCCATTCTTTAGATTGAGCGTCAGGTGTTTTTTTCATCCATATCGCAATTCGATTTACTTCCTCATTTAATTAAGGTACTTTCATATATCGAAGCATTCTTGTCACTGAAATAAATAAAGTGTCATCTGCTAAGAATGATTTTACATTGTGATAAATCGGTGCCTACATCATTAATTAGTAGCGCAAACATGAGAGGGCCAAGGATGGAGCCTTGGGGTACTCCGTGGGTAATATGGTTTTCTTCTGATAACGTCCCTTCGAAGTTTACAACCTGAGTTCGAGCAAACAGATAACTTGATACCCACAGTAGCTCAACATCATTAATGCCATAAGAGGGTAGTTTATTAAGGAGACGTGCGTGATTCACTGTATTAGACGCCTTTCGTAAGTCGAGAAGCACAGCTCCTGTCAACTGTTGATTGTCCATGTTTGTTCTAATGTCGTCCATGAGGATTGCCACGGCGTGCTTGGTTGATCGTTTTCGACGAAATCCAAACTGCGATTTATTAAGAAGTTTGTGTTCCTCGAGGTAGTATGAGTGACAGGCGATTATAGACGATTCTTTCCAGTACTTTTGAGAACACTGGTAGCACTGAAATGGGTCGATAGTTGTCAAGAGCGGTTTTATCTTCTGACTTATAAATTGGTGATATCTTGGCGATTTTTTCAGTGGTTGGAAAAAGTCCGCACGTCAGGCTACGGTTTATAAGAGTGGTTAATGGCATGGCAAGTTCCTCTGCAGCGTCTTTGACTAGCTTGGGAGGAATATTATCCAAACCAGCGGCTTTCGAGGCGCTGATTGACTTTAAGACTCCCAATACTTCTTGGTAATACGTGCCACTAAAGTGAAATCGATGGCTGTCCGGGTTCACTTTAGCTGGAAGATCATTCATAAAATTAGGTTGCGACCAGGCAGGGTCTACGAAATTCAGTAGCGATGGCTTGACTATCGAGGTTACGTGCGTGAAGTATCTGCAGAATGCCTTTAAGATAATTTGTTTATCGGAGACAGGTTTATTTGCTATCATAAATGTTTTGCTTATACAGACTTTTTATCTTTAACTGGGTAACATTTTTTAACCTGGCGCCAGAAATCCTTCGGATTTAGATCATTCTCCATAAAGATTGATCGTTCGTAGTTGGCCTTTGCTTTTCGTATGGCGTATGTTGTTTGATTTCTCAGCCTCCGATAGTTGCTCCAATGTTCTGGTTTGTTCGTGCGCTTGGCACTACGCAGCTGATAATCACGCTTGTGTATCATCTGTTTAAGATCCCTCGTTAGCCAGGGACAGTCCTTACCACGAACGATTCTTTCTGTGAGAGGAGCATGTTGGTCGATAATGTTTTTGATGATAGTTTTGAACTAGTCCCATGCAGTATTAAAGTCTGTGTGAAATATCACGTCAAACCATCGTTGATTTCTAAGGTTGTCTTTAAACGCTGTGGCGGAATCATTTTTGTAGTTTCGGACAAAAATTTTTCTCGGAAGATATTTTATACAATTTGTTTTCCTGATCACACCGGTAAGATAGTGGTCGCTAATTCCAACTTTATTTACAAAAGCTTTCATAAAGTTCTCTTTATGTGTTGTTAACACAATGTCTATGAGCGAACTTGTATTTTCTGTGACTCTTGTGGGTTGGATCATTTGTTTCAGGCCATTGATTTTTATTATATCTTTCAGGTTTCTATTGTCGGTACGTTTAGAATAATCACAGTTCATGTCACCCAGGAGAATAATTTCTTTATTGTCCATTGTTGCAGTTGTTAGCATATTATTGAATTCATTGTCAAAATTCTTATTCAAATAGTTCGATGAATTCGGAGGGCGATATGCAATGCAAATGAGTATTGACTGAGAGTTTTTAATAAAAATCTCAATCCATATTGCCTCGATAAGTTGGCTTTCGAGATCTGTTCTTCGTTGAAAGTTTAAATCATCGCGGATATATACATATACTCCTCCTCCCGTGCCATTTTTTCTGTCATACCTCACGCCGGTGTAGCCATCAATTCGAATTTCAGTGATGCTTTCAGTGATGCCAAAAATATGAATATTTTTGTTTTGGCTGTCCAGCAACAACTGGATCGCATTTATTTTTGAAAGCATGCCATTCCCGTTTTTATGTAATATCTTCATCCCCCTATTTGCCGTTAACGATCGAAGTTCTTTATAGCAATCGTTGTTGGTTTGATTAGTTTCCTCAGGTTGTATATGACACACACGGCAGTATAACTCTTCGTCGAAGTTTTCTATCATACACTTTGCATGGAAGTATTCACAACAGGTTTTGCATTTTGCTTTAAGTTGATTTCTTCGGATGTCTTTTACACAGGTAATACAAGTAAAGCGAGGACCTGGGTTTAGTTCAATGTCGCCAGCAAGTAAGACTAGAAGTTTCACTAGTCCTTTCGACTTAATATGTAAACCAGAGCTGTACTTATATGCCCATATTGATCCGTACACATGCAAATTATTCCTTTTCAAGGATGATTTTATCCTCTGGAAGTGCTGAGTAGCATACCGATTCATTTGTGTATGATTTCTTTTTAATAGCAAGAATACAATACAGGAATATCGATAGTTTCAAGAGCAACAGCATCCCAACAGCAGGATGGGAAAGCCTAAAGCGTCTATGATTTGACGTTAATCATTATTGAACTTGAACAAAAATCTTGTATTGAAATAATTTACTAAATGAGAATGCGTGATGAAAAGAATGCATCAAATAGTTTTGGAAAGTTTAATATAAACTATAAATGTCATAGAATCAACCGAAAAATTTAAATGTTACTCACTAATGCGATTTATTCAACACCTGATGCTATTTAACTGGGCCGTGCACATGCACTAAACACATGAGGGAATTTTATTGTAAGTAAACGACATGCAACTTTCCCAAGGTGAGAAACATGTAAATACTGAAAATTGATACGAGCGAACAAACCAACTTCTTTTATCTTGTCCGTAGTTGTTGGTTACTAAAGGATTACAAAGTGGGTTTCCGTGCAGGATTTCGTGATCCATGCATGCACGAGGGATGTTGCGAGAATTTCGGAAAGCATAACATCCACAGAGCATGGATCACGCTATTCTGCACGAAAAAAACTTTTGGTATTTGTTTTATAAAATAACGTACTATGGTGATATTTTGAAAATCCCGCGAGGCTTTTAAATTCCTCGTGCAAGATTGCCTGATCCTGCACGGCTATTGACCAATGAAATTGCATGTTCCACTGTACTTATTATATAATACCAGGACCCAGGTAACACATAGTTACCTCCTACAGCTATGGCATGTGGGACATCTCATCGACGGCGCGGAGACTGTGGCGAAGGATATACCATGCACCACTTCCTAGACGATGATATTTCACCTCAACCGGAGTCCTAGAAATTTACGCCTTAATCGAGCGATTATTCCAGTTTTTTAGCTAGTTAACAGCATAAAAGTTGGTATAAATAATGCACCGTTAAAAACAATACTTGCTGAACGAACATTCCAACAGTTTCGCCTAGCATCATGCACTCGATGCCAAATGTTTAGTTCAAATGACAGTTAAAATTGCTTCAAAAATATCTTCAACTCGAATCATACCTACGAGAATTTGTTTAAAATATGACCCCACATTATTTTAAACCGAATCAAAGTCATGTGGTGGGATAATTAAACTTGTTCTATAGCCAATAGAAATCGCCTATATGAACAATTGTGAACCGTACTCTCCTTCAGTTAATGAGGCTACTCGTTCGTCCTCGTTCTACGGTTCAGGTTAACTAATCCAACATGTCTAAACTAGCGATTAAAACACTTGAGGGAAAGGGAAATTTTAAATGAAATTAAATTGAAATGAAAATTAAATTAAAGCAAATTACTTTCAAACAAGACATAACAAATGCAAAATTTATTGGTTAATGTTTCGTTGTATTGTTCCCAACATCTTCACTTCAGAGCAATTAAACTTATTTGCAAGGATGGGTTCTATATTAGTGCACAAATATTTTAAAACGAGGTTACAATATATATTCAAATAGATGAATAAGAGAAAAGAATGAAGACAACTTGTCAGTAGTGCATTAGTCTGATATATAGAACAGAACAGGTCAAGTGGAGTTGACCTGGTTGAACAAAAGTATAAAAATGTTGCCTATTGCATGCTCTACGATAAAAGTTTAAAAATTGTCGACATATAGGAATATACTTTCCGATACGAACAATCAATAGTGTTGTAATATCATTCCTAATATTATCACCACAAGTAGGCCTTTTCCCGAATCATGTTGGAAAGCAACATTGTTATCAGGTGAATGGCATTCGCATGTGCTTATGAATTTGGATCGCTTTATCCTTCTTGTCGAAGAACCACGAAGTACGACGAACTCTTTGACACCGTCCGGGGGGTTCTTGTTTGGCACAAGTTTCTTAATCTCTTCCCGAATTCGTGTACTGTTAGTTTCAACTTTCTCTACGTAAAGGTATATCTCAGGGCGTAGCAGAACCTCCTTTTCATTTGGATAAGATGAATATGCTTCTATATTAGTCCCTGTGGCGTTAAATATATGAATAAATGATTTACCCTTTTTAAGAAATTCAAATGCGGCTTCTGCATCAGTAGAAGTACTGCCAAATTGGTGGAAAGAGAACTCTGTGCCTTCCATGATTGAACACCAACAGGCACGATAGAGATTTGAGAACTTTCCAGGACCCAGGAGTATCAAGCCTTCACTTAGTAAATCAGCCGTTGTTTTCCAGATTGGTTGAGGATTCCCACTTCTGAGGTTGGCGTTTAATTTAGCATAAAATGCCTTTCCACCACTATTTGCATAATTATGCTTTACATTCTTGTGTGTATATATTAACCAATTCAACTGCCTTCTTTTTATCTTCAGAAAAGGAGGCAAACGTCGCGCTTTTTTTCTCTGCTTTATTCAAACATGTATCAGAGATGGACAAGTTCTGAAATAAATTTGAGATCCGGCTGCTGTACGACTGGGCATAAGCTAAAACATAAAGAAACCGATCACAAAAATATTCAACAGACTTCAATTACTTTTTCGCGTGCATTAAACAAGTTAACTGTTTACCATCGTTTATCGATAGTACAAATAGGCTAAGATATGGGTAATGATTTTTAAGTGAAAAAATATCATGCAACAGTAAATATTGTTAGGAATATCATAGGGCGACACGGATGAATAAAGAATCTCTCGGGGCTTTCTTGAAATTTAACCGCTTTCTTGTAGATTTCTTGTGTTTTTGTTCATGGATGGTAAATACCATGCACATTTACTTACAGGAATCTATTGTTAACAGTGAAAGTATAATGAGTAATCCAGCATGTGCAAGATTCGCCATGTGTTCTAGCCGCCTTTTCTATTGCCTCAACGATTTTTATGTTCTCTGCAAAGAAACAAAGGTTTGTATTATAAACTAAAAACATTCGCTATATTATTGGAAAATAATATTCGAAAAACTTATGTATATATAGCAGATATATTCTACTGATTGAATTATCTTTTGTAGTTTTGAGTGATCGTTACACTTGACAAATACAATATAAATATCACGTGATATATTCCATGTAAAATTATCATATTTTTGAAAACGAGCTTTTTTTTTATTTATTAGGGGTCTGATCTTGGTAACTATGGTGATTGAAGGTTTCCAGAAGTCTCTTTTCACTCAGACCAACTTGGCTTGCAATGTGGCATGAGGAGATTTTTACTGATTTTCATATTTCAGAGACCGCGGAAGATCCTGATTAACCTATAAACCGGGACATTTAATCACTAATATTCCTCAAAGCATGCATTTACTTATAATAAAAATACGAAATTTTGTGAAAATGTTATTTTTAAAAGTCAGTCAAAAAACGCCTGGGAAATACGTGTTTTCCCAATGGACCTTTCCCATTTGGCCTTTCAAGCCCGCAGAGCCTGACGTTAGTTGATTATCAAGGTCAATTTGAGTTTTGATTTCGCAATGTTCCGGAGCGATTTAGTTTAGCAAAGAGAATCGGCAAGATTTTCTTACAAACATGCAAAATTGATAGTCTAAGCAGAGTGATGTCGCAATTCAAAGTAGCTTGATAGTCAACTACCGTCACGCATTGCGCGCTTAAAAGCTAAAAGAGGAAAGGCCTATTTATCAGAAAACGAGACTAACGAGTTGCAGCTAAGATTTGAAATAAAGAGGAATTATTGGCATACCAATAGAGAAATTATTGCTTCCTGCACTTTAGACTCAATTTAGATTAAATACTTTAGTTTGACGCATGAGTAATTCCCTTCGTTCTTCGCTTCGACAAGGTCATTACAGATCGAAATCGACCCGCCCTCCTCCCCGTTTTCTCACGCGAGCTTGATGTAATTATATATTAGTATAATATTATTCGGAAGGGCGTTTAAATTAGCCCCACCTTTTCTATGCGAACTGCATAGTAATTGAATTTATTGTTTGTTGATTAATACAAATTTCTTGTTAATTAAAAATTAATAAATCGGTATGTGCGTTATACAATTACGCACATTGCCAAAATTATTCCAACTCTGTGTCTCAGTTGTTTTTTGTACGAGATTTACACCATTTTCAGTTCAAATTTGTTAGTGGTGAAATGAAATTTGTATTATGTTAAATCGAATGCGCAATACGAGAAATAAAATTCCCAAAATGTCAAATCAAATATGCAGATGAAAATTAGCTGCGTGAAAGGTCATTTCAAATTCAAATAAGATCAAACCTTTTGTGCAAAGAATTAAGTCTAATTTGCATGAATAAAATCAAATTAGTTGTTTATCAAATCAAATAGCCATTTGCTCAACGAAGTGAGTTAATTAACTCCTTGTTGGCTATATAAACGATGTTTGGTGGCAAATAGTACCAGAACCGAAGCGAAGCATGGCGAAGTACCAAAAATATGACGATGCGACAAAACGACCGGTGGTACAGTGCTTTTTAGAAGGAGAAGATTGACAAGTAACCAAGTAACCACAAGAGAGAATAGTATTCCATGCTCAACCGCTCATGGGTCAGGAAGAAACAGAGAGACAGAGAGAGGATGAAAATTACTAAAGAACATAAGCAATTATTAGAGGAACAAATAAACGAGAACCCCTGCCTGACTTTAAAAGAGTTACAGGCGAAACTTGCTAGAGAGATTGGTTTAACAGTTTGCCTCACAACTGGTAATGCTGTCAACGGAATGATCATGTAGTACTCATATAAAAAACACCGTTATGAGCGAGCAACCATGAATTCGGGCAAGATGAAACAAACCTCAACGTTTGGTGCACTCGTTCAAATGGACGGAGCCGAGTTGAGCTGTTGCACATCCAAGGGACAAAACATTCATGTTATAATATTGGTGCAAGTGAGCAATCTGTATAGGGGTAGTCCATTATACCATCGGAAAAGGAAGCTTTAAGAAAGAGGATTTCGTTGCGTGGTTGCAGGAGCTTATTAATACATACGCTGCCAAAGGCATTGCCAATGAAGAACTTGCCATTGTCATTGTCATTGACAACGCCACTGCGCATATAGCAGAGCGGAGACCATAATCGACACAAATCCTGCATGGGTACAAGTGATACATTTGGGCCCGTATCGAAGCGTGTTGGCCGATAAAAGTACGATAACTGAGTTATCTGCAAGTGAGCCTGCGGTTGCTAACAAACGGTATTCATTTGAATGTCAGTTATGTATTAATAAATGATGTATTTTTGGATGTTGCTATTAAATAAGGTTTTTCATTCGTTAATACTATGTTTACTATTCCTCAAATGTATAATAAAACAATTATTGAATTCGGTTTTTGTGATATGCAGAGTTATCAAGGCTATAATTGTTTATAAGTTTCAGATTACAAATCCACAAATACAAAAGATAAAATGCTAACCTTCGCGATCAGCATATATTTACTTACATGCAGCCTCTTTCTATATACGAGTTTGTGAACTAAAACTATGTATTTTCGTTGTGAACTGGTTCTGAGACGCGGCCCCCGCGTACGTCTTCTATCAGGAAAAATGTTTTTGTTTAAGTAATTCCTTTAAATATAGAATGCTCATAAAATTCCATAAGCAAAACAAGACAGGAGATATAGCTAAAATATATGAGAAAAATAAGATATTTGCTTACCCTGTGATATGTATCGATTTCACCAGCGCTTCTGTTTTACACTCTTCTAGTCGCGGAGTATTTACGTAAACCTATATATGGATATAAGAGTAATCATGATTCATGGCATCTTCATGTCATGGAATACTCTATAAATGAAATATTGCACCATTCCAGGGTAATAATTTTACCTGTTTATCGTTGCTTAGCTGTTGTGCGAACCACGGATTGAATGTCTTATGGTGTTTTTGCAAGCTATAGCGAAATGATCCAATCTTCTCAATCAAGTGAAATTTATACGTACAGGTATCATACTCCTTAACAATAAATTTAGCATAAATCATACAGATAAGACATTCCTTCGCAGCGGTAGCTAATACGCCCCCAATTGGCACTAAACTTCCTCTCAATATTGCTTTTAAAAAGTCGGTATTTCTGGAACATATTTTGGAGTGATGAACCTCCTCAGAGCAAATTGCAGCTGGTATTTAATATGTTCCCCATTGCGCGCTAAACTTCGTTTCTGAAAGTTGCGATCTTAGGAATTTGATTTATTTCCTGAAAATAGAGGATATTTTCTTTATTATAGGTTGTTACCTCAAAGAAAATTACTCCTGGTACTTAATATGGTCCGGAATGCGCCAAAACCTTTAATACCTATAATACCGTACGGCATTTGGGCATAATAGCATTTTGTATACTTCGTGTTTCCTCTTAATTAATATGCTGTATATCTTTAAGGATACCATGCTTCAAGTCTAGTATAAATTGTAGCATTTGAATAGGGCTGTCATAAATCAGAAATTTTCCCAACCGTCCCAACCATTTTCCACGGCTATCAGATTTATTTGGCATATTAAATGTCCTTTGGAATTCTGCTCGTTTGCCGCCAAACAAAAAACCTTTTCGGCAAACCTAGGATATATATGCAGTATTTCCGCAATGAGACTCACTCCTAAATGTTTATTTTACATCCGTTCCAGTCGTTTGGATTGACCAAATAGTCGGTCGTCCATACAGAAATCTTTAAAAGAAACCTCACTTGTCAGATAAATCTCTACGAAAATTAATTGGAAGAAATAATTTATCTTGCTCCACTTTGTGGCTTCATAACTTTCAGTATAACTGAGTGGGAGATTATACTGGAATGCAGTGAAACAAAGGCGTTCGATAGCAGAACTGCATTTAGCTACAGACATCCGTTATGTCCTTCCAAACATGCCATAATAATTATATGTTCATTGTTTTGTATGATTTACACAAGAAAGAAGGTAATACATGATCGCAGTTTATTAAACTATTTAATAAAACCGCGCTGTTTAAAGCTTCGGATCAATTACACTCCACGAAATAGCATGCTGTTTTCATTTTTCAACGCTGATAGAGCTGTCCTTGGTTATATTGATCACGATTTAATGAAATAAATAAAAGTCGATATAATATGCATGATATAGCTTCTTATCAATTCAATTAATGGGTGTAAGGCGTATTTCTCGCGATATTTCTAATGTCTATGCGTTTTTGAATTTAATTTTTTGAATGAAATTAAGACAAAAGTCAACATGACAAAAATTTCCATTTAATACAGTCGATCTATTTCTGGAACATTTATTCTGAAAGCAAATTGCAGCTGGTATTTAATATGTTCCCCACTGCGCGCTAAACTTCCTTTCAAAATTCCGATCTTGGGAGGGTTTTTATGGCCGCTTCCTATGGAAGCCGCCATGATGTTGTCACCTCTTGGCTGGCAATATATATATATATCTATCGAGGAAGTTTGTTACACCACGCATGTCATGAGGTACCACGCGTCGCGCGCGCTTATCTCGTGTGATTTCGCGAAATAAACAAAGACCAAATGAGGAAAACAAATAGTCTTAAAGAACTATCATAAATTGTTGATTAGGTAAGTTTTGTAAACTTTCCTACCATTTATATACTACACATATTAAAAAGTATAAATACACACAAATAATTATTAGGCTATTCAATTTATTTCAATCATAGCATGGGTTTACTGTCATTTATTGTCCTTTCATCCATTGGGGTTCCACATGCATGCGTGGAAACGTTGCATGAATATTATTTGATCATGTCCTTTGGCCAGGACACTTGCCAGGCATGTGCAGTTGATCATTTTTTTGCTTAGGGCATGACAAAAGAGGGTACACAAAAATGCTATATTTAATATCAAAATGCAATCTAGGTCCTACTGCTCTGTATCTATCATCTACCCTATCTCATAGGCATAATGTACCTCACTGATACAATGACCTAACCTTGCTCAGCATGTTGAAGTTCAACAAGTATAAAGTATAGTGTATGCATTATTAAACCATGCATGCCTAGAAAGATTTAAAATAAGTATGTCAGTGGCATTGCCAGCTTGATAATTAGGAGGTGGGGAAATATTCATATATTTATGTTCGCAGACTGTAAAAACAATTAATTTTAAAAAATTAATAATGCAGACCAAAATATACCAACCTATAGGTCATAGGTAGCTGAGCAAGGTTAGGTCATTGTATCAGTGAGCTACACTATGCTATGTTACAGAGTAGATGATAGATACAGAGCTGGACCTAGATTGCATTTTGATATTAAATATAGCATTTTTGTGTACCCTTTTTTGTCATGCCCTAGGCAAAAATGATCAACTGCACATGCCTGGCAAGTGTCCTGGCCAAAGGGCATGATCAAATAATATTCATGCAATGTTTCCATGCATGCATGTGGAATCCGCAATTGATGAAAGGACAGTAAATGACAGTAAAACCATGCTATGTCTTTGTAAATTTATTGCTATGGAGAGAATTGGGCACTTTCACTTTTAATATTGAAATAAATTGAATAGCCTGATAATTATTTGTGTGTATTTATACTTTTTAATATGTGTATTTATTTAAAAGGTAGAGAAGTTTACAAAACTTACCACATTAATAATTTATGATAATTCTTTAAGACTATTTGTTTTCCTCATTTGGTCTTTGTTGCCTTGTTTGGCATTTAATTAATTAATTTTTAATTAATTTGGCAACACCATAGGCAGGCCAATGGCGAATGGTTTTATTTTTTATCTGAAAAAAATGCACACTTCAATGAAATAGACACATTATGTCATTTATTTACATGCTTATGTACTTGTCTATAATTTACATGCTGTGTCTGACAATGTTCAGGCAATGTAGGTATTATATAGTATATTCTAGAGGTTTAAAGGGTCTTAATGTCGAGTGGAATTATACACAATTTACCTACATCGAGTGAAGTGCCAAAAATCATAATCATTATATAGTATAATAATATATCCTATATAATAGGATATAGGATATATCTTTTAGGTATTATATAGGATACATTATACTATATAATACCTACATTGCCTGAACATTGCCAGACACGCATATTAACATGTAAATTATAGACAAGTGCATAAGCATGTTAATAAATGACATAATGTGTCTATTTCATTAAAGTGTGCATTTTTATTTTAAATAAAAAATAAAACCATTCGCCATTGGGCGGCTATGGCGACACGAGCAAAATGCCAAAACGCAATCAGATTACGGAAATGAAATTCGGAAATGAGATTGTGTGAAAATTACCGCTGAATGAATATATTTCACTTATTGCGGGCTCTTCGTGGTTTCAGTCGATCCTATCTAGTGTATGGTGGCCGATCGCTATCATTCATATTTTTGTTAATAATAGAAACAAAATAATATCTATACGTATTTTAAATGTAAACAGATTACAAATTGCATTTCAATTGATAAACGATTTGAAAATAATAATCAAAATCAAATCAAAATGAGAATCAAAATCAAAACAAGAATCAAAATTAAATCAAAATCAAAACGAAAATCAAAATGATTTTACAATTGCAAATAGAAGTGAATATGAAGTGAAATTTTATCGGCCTAGCGCTATCAAAATTCATTTGAAATTTCATATGACTTTAAAAGATAAATCACAATAAAATGCAAAAAAAATGAAATTGAAATTTTATCGGCCTAGCGCTATCACAGTATACCATAAAGCATTGCGCGCTATTCAAATCAAATTATGTGGTCGCGCATGTGTTTAAAATTTGCATGTGCTCCGTCCTGCTGTCGAACATGGCGGATCGAGCGGCTTGGAAGAATTTTAAAAAGCAAATGACAGCGAAACGAGGAAATAAAAAGAATACATCTGGTGTTAAAATACTAGAGGAAGAGTCAATGACGGTCCAACGTTTGAGTGCGGATGTGTCGGGTAAGGCACAGAAGTACACGAGAGTTGGCGCAAGGGAATTCGTTCCTTTCGAATACGAGGAAGTGACGGTAGAAAATATCAAACTGGCATGCTTAAACCATTTCGACATCAGTGAAACTGCCGTTTGTGATGTTTTAGCAGGTGAGCAGGGCCCGTCCTGTTCTTCTGTTAAACAAATACCAAACTTGAGCGTCATCCATGTGCGCTTTATTGATGGCGAAGACGTAGCGAATAAGCCAGCTATTAAAGAAAACCCCGTTCCAATAAAGAAACGAAAGACTGCAGTCGAATCAGTCCAGTTGTTTCCTGCCGGCGCTACAGCAACAACCTCAGTATCGTCAACGGCCGTTAAAACAAAGTTTATACCCCGAAGTATGTCCGCAGTCGAAATGTTGAGGCTCGGTAAAGAAATAAAATCAACGCATGACATAACGGAGATTCGCATTTACGGGTTCGACCTTGGCAATATGTCTTGGGCACCAACACCTAACAAGGTGGACTTTGTCATTGCCAAAGACCCAATTGGCACCGGAGGATTTCGGCAAGCCTTTAAAGCCACAAGTCAAACGAAAGGCTTCGACAAAGCGCCATGGGTCGTAAAAAAGAACCTAAAGCAAACGGTAGATGATATCGAGTATTTGGGACAAACTGTTGAGCAACACACAAAAAAGACAGTTCAGATGCACAACCTCGCCAGGGATTTTACGGTCAGATTACAGCAGGAAGTCGTTAAAAAAGGGAAAGCTGGCGAGTTTGGTGAAGTGTTGCAATACAACAAAGTTTTCTTTGGAAAATGTGGGGATGAATGCGTAACAGTTGAAGATTTCATTCCCGGTACTTTCGATAAACATGTAAACAACACTGGACATGTTTGCGGTAATACCGAAACTGATCTCTGCCAGAAAGCGGAATGCTTTGCGCATTACTCTTTTGAAAGATCCGACAAGCAATTGATAGTGTTGGACATTCAAGGGTGTGATTACATGCTGTGTGATCCTGAAGTGGCTACCAAAGAAACAAGTTCAGATGGGGAATTCTTGTTTTGCACCGGAAATTTATCCAGCACGGCAATTGAGCAGTTTACCAGTTCACATGTGTGCAACAAATTTTGCAAAATACTGGACCTGCCAATGCTAAAAGAGTAACTTCAACGATTTGACTAAGTTTATGAAGATTTTTGAAAATCATAAAGTTCTGTTGGGTATAATTACTTGCAATTTGACTACATTTGTGGAAACTTTTACACATAATTGAAAATCTATTAATAGTTTTGTTGTTGTTGTTTATGCATAATGATCTTTTCTTATACAGTGCATGACCTCCACTACCATAAAGCTTTGCAAATATTTGCCGACTTTTTCAAATTGATAAACCTCAAAAAGTATTCTGGCAGACTCGGCAGTAGGGGTCACAAACTGTAAGAAAACGTCATTATGCATATCAGTAGGTCTAATATTTGTATTAACTATTGCACCATGCACTAAATCATGCACTGTGTATTGTATATTCGGATAAACATATTATATAAACAGTAAATATTTTTCTGCCTTGCTGTGTGGTCATTACCATCTAAAAATTACTGTCACAGACAATTCCCTATTTGATATAACTATATAATATATCTGTAAGCCATGAATTGGGCTATGATCCCAAACCAAAAAAATATCTGATGACCGCAAATTACAAGACAAAAAGGCAAAGCACATATTGATAGTTATAACTTTCTGGGGGTTGCCCGATTTCAGAACAACCCATGATCAAAGGGAATAATGTTCTCGGACATATAAATAAGCATCTGTCCAATCATCTGAATGAATATCGTCAATATTAGGGACTAAACGTTCACACTCTTCTCTGATTGGTGCCTCTAAAAAGTCTGCACCATATGCCAAGACACCGGAATAGCTAGCTGCCTTCTCCAACTCATCTTCAGAAACAGCCCAACCTAGGTATTTGTTTATACAAAACTGGTGTTAGTAACAGCAAACTGACAAAATTAATTAATTATGATTTAAGTAAAACATGTTTCAGGTGATTTATGGATGATTTACTTGATGCCCTTATGCTACCAAGCCTGTAAAATGCAAGATGCAAAATAATTTGAGATGCAAAATGCACAGGTTTGGCACCCAGTCATAGCCAGGTTCAACTTGTTTCAAAGTAAATGTGACATTTGTGAAATTTTACATACCACACTCCTCTAAACTATATTCCTCTGGAAATGAATATATATGATTAGGGACACCACTTGGTAGCTCAGTATCTTTCTGTTGGCGGATTCTGTGTGTGTTCCAGATACTATCTTTAAAAGTATTTAGCTCTTTTTGTAGCAATGGAATGAGTATAAATGCCAGTATCATTCTTAAAATATGAAAATATCATTAAATATGATATATTCCGAGGGATATTCCTATTTACAAAGCACACAATTATTAAAGGCAATTATATAATTATGTCAATTGACAAATTGACAGGATACGGAAATATTGAGTTTGAGTTTTGGTCGTGTGTCGTGCGTAAAAAACTAGACCAATTTTTCGACCCACAATTAAATCACTTACATCATGAGAGGTATTAACATGATGCGGTATATTCGGTATAAAAAACTCACCTGTCCTTTTCACTGTGTGGATCGTAAAGATTTTCACCCTTCAGTTGAGAGAGTTGTGCTTTGAAGTATTTCTCAAGTCTCTCATGTACTTCCTTCCACCACCTTTCAATCTGGACATAAGTAACAATAACAACAGTTAATATTATTTATAATAATAATTATATTAAAGCAGCATATAAATATTTATGCACCCTGACCTGATTGGACGTAGATGGTCCATAAAGAACAGTGTCGCAAGCATTTGTAGTGTCGTCGTGGTTGCGCCTCAGAAAAGCATGCATCGTGGCCATGTCGCCAGTCTCTGTGCCTTTGTCCACTCTTAAGTAGGAAGCTATCACTCTGGTTTCGTAAAGGTACTCAAGATACCAGCGTCCAATCAGCTTAGGGTCGGAGTTGCTCGTCCAAACACGAAGCCAAAGCAATTTCCTGCTACAAGTGTCCATGCACCCATAAACAGCCAAAGGAAAAGTACTGTTCTGGTACCCCATTAGTTTATCATGTCCGTCTAATGAATGAACCCAGTTTGGTCCTTTGCTCGAGAAACATCCTTTGGGTTTTCTCCGCTTTGCTCCAACAGCACGCGCTTCGAGACCTTCAGGGTCGAGGTCATACATCACGGCATGGACGAGATCTCTTGGCACATTCAGTCCATGCTCCTGTCTAATCTTCTTGTGCATCGCACGATAGCCAAGGAGTTTACCGGGGCCACGGAGTTCGCTCGATACAGCATCATGCACATTTTCAATAGATATATTTGTGTCTATGTATCTGATATTAAAATGTCGAAGGCGTCTATCAAGGGTTGCTATACTCCAGGCATATTGCGGGAAATCACGTTTCAAAAAGTCTAACATCTCCTTGCGTTGAATACCTTGACGTACGAAGTCTTTCATACCTTCTTCTAATTTCGTATCGTTTCGCCAAGAATCATTTCTAAAATATGAACCAGTTGCCATATTGTATACCTAATGTATAAAATGCAAAAAATGCTAATATGCCGGTCTTTCCGCACAGGAAATAGCGCGCAATGCTTTATGGTATACTGTGATAGCGCTAGGCCGATAAAATTTCACTTCATATTCACTTCTATTTGCAATTGTAAAATCATTTTGATTTTCGTTTTGATTTTGATTTAATTTTGATTCTTGTTTTGATTTTGATTCTCATTTTGATTTGATTTTGATTATTATTTTCAAATCGTTTATCATTTGAAATGCAATTTGTAATCTGTTTACATTTAAAATACGTATAGATATTATTTTGTTTCTATTATTAACAAAAATATGAATGATAGCGATCGGCCACCATACTAGTGCCTTCCGTTGCGGGCTGCCATTAGCGAAGAACTGCGAAGAGAAAAGTGCATAGACTTCGCTATTTGTGTTCTTCTACAGACTACCATTATACTCACAGAAAGCTTTCAATTGCTTTCTCGAGCATTTCATTGTGCCTGGGCTGACTCGTTTGTGGTCGGACACAAATACGTGTAGGAACACGTACTGCTTAACTAGACTCAAGCACTGCGTGCTTGTTTATTAATCAGACTCAAGCACTGCGTGCTTGTTTATCAATCAGACTCAAGCTTTTGCTTGTTTATCAATCAGACTCAAGCACTGCGTGCTTGTTTTATCAATCAGACTCAAGCTTTGCTTGTTTAATAAAGAACCCAAGCCATTGTGCTGGTTAAAAGAGACTCAAGCGTTTGCTTGTTTATTATACTGAAACTCACCAACGGTGAAATACTATTCAACAACTAACTGCTAAGCTAGCCACTCCGATCCACTCTTCCCCTCAGTTAGCGGCCATATGCACACTATGTGTGCCTATTTTTCAAGTATGTGGGTAGTCATGCACACCAGTGTAATAAATAAATCACATAGTCATATAGAAGAAAATTGCAGCTGCTATTTAATACGCCAATTAATACGCAAATATACGCAAAATTCCAATGTTACTGGGTATATTGTTGCCATATGACAAATTCCAAACGAAGACGGAACCTACTACAAAATTACTTTATCAGCAATAAATATCATTTACAATTCATGGCGTACGGAGCTCTACAGCAAAGCCTTATGTCTATAAGTTATAAACTCCTTGTTGTGTTTTTACGTTATTGGTCATCATCGGTGAAGGTTTCTTTACTTTAACTGGTGTACCCCCAGTTGGCGCACCAGCTTTGGTTTTCTTCAAGTTAACCATTTTTGCCGGGTTGGAGCAATCCTTGTGTCCTGGAAACAAATTAACAGCACCTGCGGTTACTCCTGGGTCCGTTGTTAGGAATGTCTGGAGGGCGCCGACGCTTAGTTCAGCCATTTTCAATGAACCAAGGTTACCACCAATGACTGCGAAGTTACTTGTGACAGAGGCTTTGCCTGTTGACGCGCCTGCTAAGCAACATCCTGCCGTCCACATCGATCCGGGAACTTTAATACCTACGGGGCTCTGTCCTTTCAAAATTTTGTCCCCCGTAAGGGCGTTATCTCCGTAACGAATGTTGACTGTTGTGCCTGTGATTAGATACAGGACGGCATCAGAACGTTGCGTGCAAATATCTATAGCAAAATCCAAAATTTTGCCCTCATATTGCTTCCATTCGCCTTTATTAAACTTTCCAACTTGTGGAACTGCGTTTGTGTAGGAAAACGTTGACGTGACATGTTCAGCGCTGAATGAATAAATGTTTGCTGGTAGAAGGTGACCTTTGTCATAGGTTGACTTGCCCGCGGTTTGGTACACGGCGTCGGTCCCTTGCTTTGTTATGCCTATACGTTAACAAATTTATAGAAAAAATTAATAACACTGAGCTGTGCATAAAGTAATCTTACATGCATGTATCCATTTTAGTTCAGGTATAGACATTATACACGTAATGTATGCTACCGAGGGAAATAGTGAGTTTTGTTTTTCCAAGAGTCTGAATGTTTCCCGAGACGAAGTCGAGGGAAACATTGAGAATCGAGGGAAAACATAACTCACTATTTCCCGAGGTAGTGTACACTAAGTGTTTTGTTATATAGGAACAGTGTTTTGTTATATAGGAACAAAAACATTTAAAAAAACCCACTTTACTTTGTTATGACAAGAAGAGGGCAACAATTTTTCACTTGTTTCACTGGCGGAAAACATTGAATTTATTTAAAGTCATGTGACTACGAATTAACCAATCACATTTAGAATACACAGAACCTATATAACAATGTATATTATTACAGAACGTGAACAATGTCAACGGACCACTTGGTATTAGACCAACTTATATGATATAAAAGTATACAAAATTTGCCAACTTCGCTTGGCTCTATAATTATGTCCAAACTTGGCGATTTTACAAAATTTCACTAAATGGAGAACAAAACAGGGTAAAAACTGGTCGATATATCATTATTTTATATAGATAAATTAATAAATAATCAAGAATTAACAATAATTTTTCGTTTTTTAAGTCTACGGAAACAAAGAATATTGTGTTTCTTTATAAAAGTGATTCATATAGCAATGTTGTTGTTTTGAAATCTGATGGAGGTTTTTTATAAATGAGTCATTACCTGGTTGGGTGCGCCATGCCTCATCTTTTCTACCGAATTTGTTGGCGAGTAAATCGTCCATATTGCGTTTATTAACGTAGTAAGCTGAGTAGACGGCGATTCCATGGTTTTCATCAAACATGGTTGCATAGTACGTGACTGGCGTCGGAGATGCGGTCGCCGTTGGAATTTGCTGACAAATATACTTAATCTGGGAAGTGGCCGGTAAAGGTGTCGGTCGCAGACCAATTGGTGGTTGGTTATCGACAAAGAACCGTTTGTAGCAAGGTTGATTTGGATCGTTAAAAACATTAGTAACAGCACTGCGCGCGGAGGCATGGATGTCTAAAAATCATTCAACAAAGATATGATTGTAGCATATGCAAGACCTTATTACGACCTCGAAATGTGTGGTATAGGCATCTACATCCCCATCAGCGAGGCCCGACATTTTGTAACTAAACAACTGGAAAACTACACTGGATCTATACAACCTGGTCGTGATCTGAGAAAATACGGTAGATCGCAAAATTACTAAGTTTTATGAAGTGAGATAGCAAACATACTTCTACGACCTGCACGTAGTACGTCATACTTGTCGTAATCCGGTGATGTGATTGGTTTGCGAAAGAATTCGCCGCAAAAAAGTCCTGTTTTTTCGCGGGACTTCTTCCTGCTTTTTGTCAGTTTGCGCGAATAAATTCGCCTTGTGGAAAACGGGCTTAAATGTATCGTTACTGTCGTGAAGAAAGAATGCAAATCTTTTCGGGTACTTGTCAACTTTGGAGAATGCATTTAATGTATTTGCACAGCTGTATTGCATGGGAGTAGACGATTGCAATAAGAGAAATTTCTTTCCTGACCGTATAATATACATATAAGAATCTTTTTGCTATCAAAACAAAGGTATTTTATGAGTTCATTCCCTTGCGATACCTTGGTGATTTAATGGAGAACGTTTAACGATTCTGTTTGTTTCACCGCGTACTGTTTGCTGATGGTTGTCAAAATGGGCCAGAGAAATCCATGAAAAACTTATCGCCAAAACGATTGCTAACTTTTGACAGCCCATTTCACTACAAAAATAACATATAACATATACTATAGTTAAAGTGTTGAAATAAGAAAGGTCATTTGTAAAATTCCTGCAGATAAAACTCGTTTGTAAATTCATGGTATAATATTCCAGATAATCGTAAAGCCATGCAGGCAAATGACGACGAAACTTCGCAGAAATACGACGTTAATGACAAACGTAAATGACATAGTCATAAACTGAATTCAAAATTATAATTTTCTTCTATTTTATATACAACGAGGTCCCGTTTGCATGATACCGGATTGCCGACAGAACCAGGGCCGTAGCTAGAAGCTTAATTGGAGGGGTGTATATTCATATATTCGTCTTATGCCCCACTGATTTCTTTTGTACGCTATTGTTTCTACGGTATATAAACATGAATATATGAATATACATCCCCCCAATCAAGCGGTCTAGCTACGGCCCTGGACAGAACAGGTCAAATTCTGCAGACACCTGAATTGTTATTAAGACGCCTGTTCTGGCGTTAACTCCGGCGTGCCGCTCACGTCTCAGTCTTCAATATAAAGGCTGAACATAAACAATACAGTTCATACTCATTTTGATGCCTTGCAAACCTAAATGTTGTTCGATCGCGACATTCAGAAGCACATCGTACTTTAAAAAGTATAGAACTGAGTTCAAAAACGTAAATCAACCGCATGATATACGTTCACTTTGTCTTACACTAATTTGGAATTCGCGCTTACAGTAGCGTAGCCAGCCTGTCGATTTGTCCCGCTATGCTAATATTTTAGTGTTCAATGACTGTGAACACAATAGATTTCTAAAGACATGAATAGTTATAGTAACTCGAAATTTACATAGCGGGACAAAATCGTCAGGCTGGCTACGCCTTCGCCTTCTATTTTTCGCGCGAAGCGACTTTATTCCTTTGTATTTTGAGTAATTTTTTCCAGATGGTTGCAGTTGAGAGCTCTGAAACAAAAGTAAAATGTCGCTTCGCGCGAAAAATATTGCTAGTGGAAAACCGGCTTAAGGCGCCCATACACGACCACATTTTGTTAAACGGCGAAATAGCAGCGATATTATTAAAATAGGACCAGAATCTATATGTATTAAATATATTCTTACCCCAATTAATCGAACAGCATCAAAAGAACGGTTTATTTGTTCCTCTTGGAGGAATTTCCGTTTCATGCGAGCGAAATCAAATCGCGCATCGAAAAATTAGATTTCGAGACAAATACGATCACATACATCATACCACTAGTATATTTCGCGCCAAAACACCGCTTGCCACGACGAAAAAAAATAATAAAATAATAATAATGATTAAAAAAATGATAAAAAATAATAATAAAAAAAATAATAACAATAAACTGAAAAATAATAAAAAAAACTTTTAAGTATTAAAAAACCAAACAAAACCTAGGCGAATTTTCTGAACTGATTAAGCCTATATTTTGGAACTTTAAGAATATTATTCATATTCTAATTGTTAATAAGACCCCCGCTCAATTTTGGAGATTATACGCCATTAAATCTCTCCATCGCTTGAGCCACAAATTCCATGCTAGAGCTTTGTACAGAAGACAAACGAAAAAGAAACAAATTGAGCTACTAAAAGACAAGAACGATATACGCATTACCTGTGTAATGTTTAAAATCTCCAGTTGATCGATATTTAGAAACGGTTGCAAAGCAATATCTAACCGTCGTAACGAGATATTTTAACTGGTTGTTAACAAACAGTTTTATTGTTCACAGATTATGATGACGCGACCGATTAAAAAACTGCCTCTTAATAATGTTAATCACTGATGCGATTTATTCAACACCTGCATGATGCTCTTTGACTGGGCTGTGCACATGCACTAAACCGTGACATGAAAGAATTTAATTGTAAGTATATGACATGCAACTTTCCTGGGGTGAGAAATATTAGTACTGTAAATCGACATTACTGTAAACCTACTACGTTTATCTTGTCGTAATTGTTGGTTATTATACCACGTACGTAATACATCGTTATTTTTCACAGCTCTGGCATGAAGGACATCTCATCGACGGCGCGGATACTGCGGCGAAGGATATATCACCGCTTCCTGGACGATGATATTTTACCACAACCGAGGTCTTAGATCCATTATTAGTGAGCTTAAGCAAGTGACGTTTTTGACAACACGTACGTTTACCGGAAGTAAAGTTTCTGTTTTTCACCAATCACAATCCTTGACCCAGTCTTTTCACGTTACTCATGCCGTTTGTGTTGTCAAAAACGTCGCTTGCTTAAGCTCACTATTGACGCTTCAATCTAGCGATTATTTCAGTTCTGTAGCTATTAACCGTTTCATCATATATATATATATATATATATATATATATATATATATATATATATATATATATATATATACGAAAAATGTCATGAGATCGAATATAGAGTATAAATGACCTCGGGTTAGATCGCCTTTGTGTAGCGGTGTCGGTAAAACCACAATTTCCAAATTTGGCGTGTGATTTAGACAACATGATAAACGTTTGTATAATCAGGACAGATGATGAAATCTTGGATCGTTCAGCAACGTGGCAAGGTATACGCTATAGCGAGATATTTGAACTGGGACACTTGTAGCACGATGTGTAACTTGTATAAGTTAGGCGTAGATGGTATACAATAGCAAATGGATAAGTAGGATTTGAAATTGAATTGTCCTATCTGTCATTAACTGCAGTTGGCCCCATTGGTATAATGAAAAATACCTCTGGGCAGCCTATAGTTAATTTTAAAATCACCCTTTTAATAATACAACAGGTCTCAGCGTGCCTGCTTTTGCAAACTAATCCGGGAAAGTTTGGTGCATCAGGGGCCAGTTGCATGAAAGCCGGATAGCGCTATCCACCGGACAGTGTTAAGACAAAATCCCCCGTTGTTTGGTATAACTTCGATTAAATCTTAGTATTCCTAAATTAAGGGTCCTCGTTAACGATTGTTGGTTCCAAAGCGGAAATTTTATTGCTCTTCAAGCATCTTTAGAACGACTGAGAAAGTCACTATCCGGTGGATAGCGCTATCCAGCTTTCATACAACCGACCCCCAGATGTAGCCAATGCGTTCAACTTTTCACATCCGGGACTTCAAGTCAACTAGTCAAGTGGAAACACAGTTAACTGGAGGAACCGTGAAAGTTATAAGAAGTTCGCTGTCGAAGCACCAATATTTACCCATATAAAGCGTTAAGCGTTTAATACCGGATTAATATAAATGGTTCAAATCATGCTGTTCTTTCCAACAAGAATGATTTCTTAATATTGTTTATTGTAAAACGTTTGAAAGGTAAGCTTCTAGACCTAGTTCACTGTTCACGGCATGACAATGATGTCATTCAATGGTCGCGGCTGTTAGCCTGTTACGCATTGCATTGTCTAATCCGCACAATTTCGAAGTAACGTATAAAGAGTTGCGGTATATATGATGCTAGAGTTATGTTGCAGAGTAGTTAAATGATCGTTGCTACTTCTTTGGATATATTTATCGCAATAAAATCACAAAAAGAAAATAATGACGTATCAGAGTTGTACAAGGTGTTTCCCCTTTTCATACGTCCACCAGCCAGTGCGGTGCCACCAGCTGGCAGCTGCTACTGTCTGCTGTTTACAAACGCCGGGCCGCCGAACAATATGCAAATTTAGAAATATGTGATATATATTGTAAGGAAAGGCAAACACAACAGGGTAATAAAAATTAAACCTTTCCACTATGTTGTATTGTATTTCTAAGATTCAATGTAATTCGTCATTAGCCATTTTCGTCATCGAAGCTTAGTGATATTAAATTACGCAAGTTAGCTAGCTTTTCTGGATTTTGATCGCCGAGGGCCAAAGCTCCTAGAGAGGGGGCTAAAAGCCTTTGAAAGGCAATTAGATTCAACATTTGCAGTTTTTTAAAAAATCTCACTGACATTAAGAAATCCATTGGGCAGAAAAAATATATGAATATGCACCCCTCAAATTATTGCATCTAGTTGCCTTAGTTCATTTGTGCACCATCTGGCCGTAAAAATGCCACATTACCCACATATGAGGATATGTTTAAAAGACAGAGGTTCAATGAATTGTTGTTTAACTGACACTAAGTCACTAACCCCCAAAACTATCTGAACTGAGGGAATTATATTTTGAACATTGATGTATTGATTAGAGAGCTTGTTGTGTCTAGCTGTCTACCTTTAATTAATTAATTAAAAATTAATTTGCCTATCACCATTAGCAGTTTACCAACAATCTCACAGCTTTGAGCAACAGTCTCCAGCAATAGTCATTTTTGAGGGGTCTCGTCCTTTGCCACTTCCTTTCTTGCAAGCATATGTTTTGATTTTAAAACATTATGGCAATATTACTGAATATAATTGTTCATATATCAACATTACTATTTCTTTAACTAGTGTAAAACAAAGAAAAATATTCTTATAGGAGCTGTATCTAAATTGTATCCATTTAATACATATATATGCAGGCGACGCAATATAATGTATAGCTGGTTATGTCATATAGTCGTATGTTTAAGAATAAATTGCATGCTATGATGCGAATATGGTGAATTTCAATACAAAAAGCCTCTGTGAAAAAAGTCTTGTGACTTCAAAGTTGTCCTCTTTGTTGCATGCTTGGTTATTCTGCTACTGCAGCTCTTTTAATTTAGGTTTTCAATACTAAAATGCTAAGAAAACGTTAGCAGATAATAAAAACGTTCGAATTTCCCAACTTTAGATGAATCAGGAGTAGAAGGGCATTACAAATGGCTTTGCATCGCCTTAAATGCCCTGTTACACGGTGCAATTTTTCTTGCAACTTGCAATGCAAATTATGCAATACTACTTTTGAGAGATGTATATTTGGCAACAACGAAACTTTTGTGTTTACTACACTTCATGCACTTTTCTTCTGCAAGGCTCTTCACTAATTTACATCTCTTAGAGAATTAGATGTAAAATTGCATTGCAAGTTCCAGGAAAAATTCCAATTCCAAGAGATTTATGCACAGCAGAATGATGAAATAAAAATCGTATTTCACTGGATAAATTAATTTAATGCAATTTGATTGCACGAATGGACGTGCGATGTTTTTCACGTGTGAAAAATGCCATTCACGGCTTTTGATTGGACGTACGATATACTTCACACGTGAAAAATTGTCGTATGTCATTTTGGCGCCAATTTGTTTACGTTTCGACGACAAGATGGTGAGATTGAAAACATAATTCCCATATGCAGTACAATTTATAAAATTTTTCGGAAAGATCGAATATCTAACTTCTCTCTTCAACAAAATTACAAAAAAACCAAACGGTAATAAATATCTTTTGATGCAAAAATTTTCGATTTTTGTTACTTGCTGTGTTTTTGTATATTAAAAGCGTGTCGTTGTCAAATTGATCTCTTTACACAATTTAACAAACAAATTACTTCATGGTTCGCTCGTTTGTACGATTTTTATTATGCACTCGTTGTGAAGGATCGCAAACTCACTCCGTTCACATCCTTCACAACTCACAAGAATCGTACGCACTCGCCAACCATGAGGTAATCTATATTTAAAACACGAACGGGGAACACGTAGTCATACCGCTAAATAAAACAGCAATGGCCTATTGCTTTTTTACATTACTGCTGAACATCACGAGTTTTATCTAGAGCATTGGTATTTGAGTGAAATTGTTGCACACTTGGTTAGCGGTTTGGCGTTTGCCGTCATCTAAAGGTCTCTAAGGTTGATAACGACAAACTTAGGTTTGATAATTTTTCATATTATGTAAAAATCCAATTCAATAATTTTTTTACTGTTTATTTAAAAGAAAGAAAGATTATCACACATTTGTTCGCTCGCATTTATAACATACCGCTTTTTGGAACATTGACGTCATTGACGTGACGTCAAGCGCGGGAGATGACTTTTTATCACACGTCATGATCTAAGAGCGTGCATGAAAAAAAATCGCACACGTTATTATGACGTCACTTCTTGGACATTAAGATTTCAAACATAGCTATTAACGAATCAGAGGTTGTGAATTCTTTAAAATGAATAACGATAACAAATGCTCTTTACTGCTTCCTTTCAAAGAGGAAACAGTCCATCTATACGCTCACAGATGCATACCAATAGTAAATGGGAAATTACCATTAGCAATGGAGCTTTCGGTTCGTAATTCGCGCGGGCTGTGATTTACAGTGCATACACTTTGCTAACGACCTTGCTATGGTGCGATTCGAACGAGTAGAATATGCCTTTATCATTGTTAAACTCTCCAACATATGACACAGTACACTTCGCAATACTGAACTTACAACCCCAGGAATGCAAGACTTTAACACATACTACATGCTATCTGGGGCTGCTGGTTATATAAAACCTTTAAATGATATTTAACTCAGAAATACACGACCCTGATTGGCCAACCCTGTCTTTAACTGCAGTTAAAAGTTAACTAGCCTTTTATACAACTGGCCCCTAGATTTTCCAATGTAAATACATGAACCATTCGTATGAATAGGCTTTTCCGTTAACATTGAAGAATTACTTTACTAATAAAAACCATTGGTAGCTACAAATGGATAACATTTTTAGGGCTACCTTCGCCGCTCATATAACTGTTCTTGCTATATCGGCGAACACAACGAATGCACAACCCTATCAGTTTACCAATCGTAAATTCGCATACCATCGGTAGGAATGGACAATGTTGATTTACCAACGGTAAACTATTACATCATAGTGCGAACGGACAATCAGGACTTCCCAATCGGGTAAATACATTAACCATTCGCACTAATGGACTTTTCTGAAGTTTGCTAATGAAGAATTGCTTTACAAAGGAGAATCATTGCCACCAGTGGACAACTTTTAGCGCTACCTTAAAACCCTACTTGTTATATTCACGAACAGAACGAATGACCAATCTCCATCTGCCAGTAGTAATTTACCATACCATTGGCACGATCGAACAATCTCTATGTTATTATGCACAAATGAATATACAAAATAACCATTCGTATAAAATAATCCCAAAACCAACGGTAGTATGCTCGCTACCGTTTTGGACAACCGCCTCAATTTAAATTGTTAGCAAGTTGAGATGTTTAGGGCTTTTTTATAGTATCAAGTTTATTCCATTACATATGATTTGAAAATAAGACTGAAGATTGAATATTATGCTTAGTGGTTGTTTTAAAAACAAGCCTCTTTCTCTAATCTATATAGAATTTTATTAATAACATTATCACACAATGCAGCCCGTAATATAAACGAACGATTTTGAATCACATTGTTTTTTGAAATATCAAGAACTGTCAGAATATTAACATTGTATTTGGTGCGCAATAGGAAAAACGAAATTTGAACAATTTTATTTCAAGTAGCTTAAAAGTTTTTTGAGCTGAAATGATGCACAGAAGCGCTCTTTGAATTTTGAATTACATAACTTTTTGTGAAACCCTCGTAAATTACATGATTTCTGTGAAACCACACACCTATTATTAATGAGTTTTTCTTTTCAGACATAAATCGGTTATTTGATTGATATGGATACTACTTCGCAGTCAACATCAATTGTGAATACTAATTGCCAAAATGTTGTCAATATCATTGGCGATAACAACGTTATTAACTTGCAAGGTTCTGAGGTACAAGGTAGGTTTACCAGGAGGGTGGTGGCGTAAAAAAGGCTGGAATTAACATGAAAATAACATTTCGTTCTTTGAGAGCCAATTACGAACTAAATTACGCTGATTTAAAGTTAATTAAAGTATAAAACTTTATTTAATTCCGTTTCTTTCTTTAAGACAATCACATTAACAAGGTTTATCACCCTGGAAATGTTGGCCAGAAACATCAAAAGGTACATAATATGTACACATTTACTTTTCAACAATACACATTTATTTTATTGATGAATTTTTTACACTTCGAACTTTCATGTACTAAACTTTATGTTGAGTCCATTTAAAATCGAGTCGGCACATAAAAGGTTCGACGTTTTGGGCCCTGGCTCCCGGTAAAGCCTGGTTTCCATAAGATTTTGAAATCGTATTTCGTTACTTTCGTAATTAATTTTTGAGGTCGCTAAACGTAAGATATATAGGGTCTTAGGAACATGTTATATGCACTGATTAAGATTTTTATGTCAAAATACAGTAACTTGAATTGTTACAAGAGGGCTCTTTTTACATATAAGCTGGGGGCATTTGCTCCTCCCCAGTCTCTCTTCATGCCCCCCCCCCCCACCAATAATATAGTGAAATATTTTTCTTCACTATACAAACAAATCTGTCAAGTGAACAAAGATTCAAACAAATTCAGATTTATTCCAGTAATTAAGATCCTGCAAATATATCTTGCAGGAATCATAGTGTTTCTTTCAGTGCATGATATTGTTTACATCGTTACCATGGGCACCTAGAAGGGGGAGGCAAGCCCGGGCCTCAGGATTGCGCGCAGGGGTACCACAAATGTTGCAGGAGTAAAATTAAACCATTTTTAGAAACTAATTTTAGGTTAATGGATCAAGATAGTGTGAAAATATAGGTCAAGATAGTGTGAGGATTATATAATAGTGTTAGGCAGGTGTAAAGATGGCGAGAAATGGCGTTAAGGAGGAGCCTAGGCATCACCAGAACGGTGATGCAAGGTGACTCATAAGCTAGAAGAATCAGTCGCCGATGTCAACTGACAAGAATCGACTGTCAAACAAAAAAGTTTTTTATCTACGCCCATCTCCTTCCCATCTCTGCATCCTATAGTTATCATAGCTGGCGCAATTTGTGCCCTCACCTTACTGGGCAAAACAATTTTGACGCATATAACAATTAATATATATAAAGAATTTTTGTTGAAGTTAATATTTTGAATAATAAACTAATTAGAGGAAATTTTACCCCTAGCCCAAAATATCCCATACTCGTGTAGGGAGTCTATTCGTAATTACCAATTTCATGCCCAGTAACAAGCTGCGGAAATGCAACATCATGGTATGAAAATAGAGCATTATTGCGACGCTGTGTTGATTGCCAAGCTCATCAGGGCGGAATGCATAATAATACTTTAACATTAAAATTAGTTTTATTGAAGAATTAGTTTTATTGAATAGTTTTATTAATGATAATGTCTAATCTGAACATCCTTCAAATTACCCTTATTTACCAATACGATCTCCATCATCACCAAAATCTTGTAATTATGTAATGTTCCTGTTCCTGATGTCATTACAATGCTTCCAAGGCTACGCGTGCTTATATATATATAGTATAATCTTTGCTGTTTTATTATATGTTTCTGCTGAATACTTTGACTATAGAAATCTTTTCTTGACTGGCTCTAGGTAGCATGCATTTATCCTGACAAGCCATTTCACATTTCACGCGAAAGAACAACCGAATTGAACCAAATTGAGTCATTGTTCTTGGGAATGACTGATGTCGATGATGTTGTAAGAACGGTCTATCTGACCGGTCTACCAGGGGCCGGTAAAACAGAGCTAGCTCGGCAATACGGTAAACATGTTGGGATGTCTACTGACCCATCCAAACATACACTTGTGATTACATTGAATGCCAAATCGAAAGAATCCCTTTTGAAATCTGTAGAAGAAGCCACGCAGTCATTTAGTGTGCAACGGACAAACCACAATCTCGACGTTCTGATGAAAAAACTTGGGGATCACTTCCGTGCCTTCAGTGGTACTTGGCTTTTGATCATTGATGATATGTTTGGAAAGAATGATTTCAACGATTTATTTCCACGACCTGGTAGCAACGATTGGGGTGGTGGGCGGATCCTGGTTACGACGCAGGATAATAATCTCCCACAAGCTTGTAGTCAGTTTGAAAAAAATATGTCATTAAATGGAGGAATGAGCAAAGAAGATGCTGTTTCATTGCTTAAAGATATCAGTCGTGTTGAGTTTGATGGTTTTGCCGAAGAGATTATCAATGAGTTAAAATATCTTCCTCTTCCTTTGGCTTGCTGTGCAACATATGTTGGGGAAATAAGGCAAGATCGTGCATCAACACAGTTTGGATGGGAAGAATATTTAAACCGGTATCGTGACACTGACAACTCTGACGAACTACAATCCCGAACGTTTCGTAGCAACAACAGTGCTTATCCCTCCTCAATGATGACTGCTACAAGAATGGCTGTGAATCGAATAGCGAAGGCGAGCGATGTTCTCAAACTGGCATTTTCGTTTCTTTCATACTGTTCTTCGTCTCCAGTTCCTTTGAAGGTACTTGCATTATATGTCCAAGAAAATCTCCCAGATCGGAATAATCAACAGACCTCAAAGGGAAACGAGATTTTGGAAATTGAAAACGAGATTTCGAGGTGCTCATTGCTCATCCACGAGCGGTCGCGGAACGTGGAAGCAATAAAATGTCATCAGGTTATTCACCATGCTCTTAAATGGTTTGAAAACTCGAAGCCTGACGAACAACAGGAAAACGAATTTGGTCAAATGATGAAATGTCTAAATGAGACACTGGACAATAGAAATAAAGAAAATACAGATAAAGAAGGCGTTCTTCTTCGACTCCTTCTGGGACCTCTCCTAAAACTGTTTGTTGATCATGCCATTCTTAGATCCTGGAATACAACACCTGAATTTGTTTTTATTTCTGTGAAGAATGACCAGTTCCTTTTTTCAACATCGGGCATGCCTGTCGAAGATGCTGAGAAGAGACTGGAACTTTTGGAAAGCGTTCATGTTAAACTTGACATAGCTGACAAGATTCGCTGTGAGATATTATCAAATCTTTGGTTCTATTACATAGAGCTCGACCTTAAGAAGCTTGCTTTAAAGAATTTGCGCGAAGCTTATGAAATGACTGATGATGAAAGTGATAAAGAATGGTTGTATTTAAGATGCTGCATCTCTTTCCACTTGGCCCAGACGTATTTTGGCGAGGACAATTTTGGTCTTGCAGAAAAATTTATAAAGACGTCAATAAGTATGGCCAAGAAAATCTATGCGGAAGAAGAAGACCAAGTTATGGAAAGATATTTTTGGCTGGCTAAGATTTGCTATTCCTTGAAGAAATTCTGGAAACTTGGATGGGTTGTCGAAGAAGCAAAATGTTTTTACTCAAAGTTTGCGCCGGATATTAAGAGTCTAAAAAGGGCACGATGTTTAGACTTTCTTTCACGTATATACAACTACAAAGACGGTGTGGAATTCTTTTATATTCCCATTAGATACAGGAACTACATAAAATTGAGAAGGGAATCAATCATCGAAGCTCTCGACATTTATGAACAGATATTAGGAACCGACGTGGCCTCGTGCTCAGATTACTGTGTATTACTTGCCGAGTGTGCAAAAGTTCAATTGGAAACAAACCCAACCGAAGCAAAAGAAAAAATTGAAAAGGCTCTCGAATACTGCAACCAAAATGGTGACAAGTTTAACATGAGAGTGATGGCTGCCAATAAGAAGCATTTGTTTGATAATTCAAGCTGGTGGCGGAGACCATTTTATGATCTTAAGAACTTTGTATCCCGAGGATATATTGCTTTTGCTGCAGATATTAACGTATGTGACGAAGTCTTGGAAGGATTTGAAAATGGAGCAATATCGCCATCTCCCCGAGCGATAATCCCGATCAGAAGAAAAAGGAAGTATTTGGATTGGGCAGACTGGAGTTTAGGTTGTTTGCTTATTATTTATTGTTTTATCTGTATGTTAACGTCGCATTTAACAAAAAACTAATAGCAGTATTATCCCATTTATGGGGTACGATTGAAATGTATAGGCTTAATGCTAATGGAACTATAAACTGCAATGTGTAAACTGTTTCGTTCACTTCGTGCTAATTCATTACCGCATAAGAAATGCAAATATTTTGCTCCAGTCCTATTTTAAAATGTACTATGTTGATCTTAGTCGCCGTCAAATCTTAGTTATATATAGTATATATAGAGATCGTAGACGTAGGACACAAGACTATGAAAGTCATGCAATTCAGGGATAAAATACAAGGCGGTGCCTATCGATCAAAGCGACTATATGCTTCTGTGTATGCTTCTGTGTCGCTCATGTGTTTATATGTTATATCACTGATATGAAGATAGAACTTGTATGTGAGACAAACTGCATGGCTAGCGTACCAGATCCATGATCCTAATCTTTATCCTGCAAACGTTTAGCGCTAGTATTTGTGTACTCCTGCATGTATAACTACATATTATGATGTACGAGTTTTCCATATTATATAATATGGCATATGTCTTAGTTGTTATAGATTGTATAGAGGTATATACTTGCATGGACTGACGTAATTTGTGTTTATTCAATTGTTAGTTACCTGCATTATATGAAATAGACTTTTATAAATCTAGGAGTCTATTTACGACTTCATGCAGGCGCATATCAGACGCAAAATTTGTAATTAAATAAACGATATCCCGAGTAACCTCTCCCCCCCCCCCCCTTAATTATTATATTTATTGCACAAACTAACATGGATATCATTCAATTACATAAAACGCATGTGTATATATCCTTAACAAATATACGATGAACGGTCTCATCGACCTTTTAGAGTCCTGTATAATTCTAGAAATTCTCTTGTACGGCGTCAAATATATGCGCGTGGAGAGCGTTGACTCTTCTCAATTCAACCCCGTTGTGACAATGAGGAAGCCGAACCATCCCATCCGCCATCCTTAATTCTAATAAAAATTGCATTTGTACTCCTGAAACTTCGTTTAAAATTTAACGATCGTTTTCTGTTGTAAAAAGCCAAACATTAAATTATGGAAAAGAAACTACCGAAAACCTACACCAAAACCAATAGAAAGGTGATTGATGCATTTATTTCGGTGATGAGGTGGCCAAGTTACGCTCGACACTAAAATGTTCTCCTATTACAAGTTAAATGCTGAGATGTGTGCGCATTGGATGAATTAGACATTACTTGTCAAAAGCATTTTAATAAAACCAAATTTGTATAATCAGTTAAGTCAGAATGTATATATATATGTTAAATAAACCTGGAATCCCACAAGGAGTCGAGATCGATTTTTGACGTGGGGCTTTTTCACTGACGCAAAACTACATGGTTCCATTAGGTTGCATTTATATTTGTAGTTTTTGGAACGGATTTTCCGCACCTTTTTTGAAAGGACATGTTCCTTTTGTTTTTCCAATTAAATTTTCATAGCTGGACGAAATCGAGACCATTTATTGGCTAAACAGCAACGTAAACAACCATGCACGTCATGCATGAAAAATAAACTCGGCAAGAAAAATACAGGTGTGTTTGCAATAGGAAAACGACAGGTATGACAAGTAAAAATATGTATTGGTAATTTGATGCAGAGCGGCTAGTCGGTGGAAAGGAACATTCAAATGTTGGGATTGTTCAGCTTCAAATTTGTACACATCTTCGTAAGCTGTACACATCTTCGTAAGATTACCATAAATGGATAAACAACAATGTTGAACAGCAATACTAGATCAAACAATATATTCTATACTTTCAGTTCTACACCATTCCTTATCTTAAGCGGCAGTGCGTACCGCGATTTGTTGATCTCTCGTTCCAGAACAACAATCACCGGAGTGTTGCTTTCTTTGCCATCTCCGATTTTCTCGTCAATAATGAAAGAACAGCTTGAATCTCATTAGTTGATCGATCGGACGTGAGTTATATATGTACACTTTATCAGGCGGGCTAGCAGACGGATGCATCGTCATGAGAAAGGATGAAAGTGCCAAGGTAATGACGTTTGCAAGTAGCGTAAATGCAGCGAATCCCATGACACATGTCTCTCCACCCCTGACTCCATACGGCAAGTTCCCATGTAACACCCGCTGGCATTTCCATGGGTGTTTACTTAACAACTCGTCAAGGACGCGCGCTATGTTAATTTGCTCATCAAGCATAGACATAAGACAGATAAGAGTGCGCAACAGCGCTGATAAAATCTGTGCTTTTCGAGAACAGATTATCATCAAAAACACACTCGCGTGCGTTGAAAATTTCTAAAGTGTGGCAACCCAAAGCGAGATGTCTAATTCGACCGGCTCAAACGTCACGGCAGGGATGCCCATAAACGATTCCGACGGGCAGATATCCGAACCGTCAGCAATGAGAGTGATCAGAATTCTTCTGTATGTTGCTATATTTTTCATCGGAACAGTTGGAAATGTTTTGGTGCTTCTTGTGATTTATAAAACACCATCACTACGTTCAGGTAAGTGGAGTTTTGCTATGAGTGAAAACAATAATTACACTGATGTCTGGAATACAAATTATGTACTACATTTGTGGGAAAACAAGCTTGGCTTCTAAGTTCTAACATTCTAAATACTTCTTCAGAGATTCTCTGAGAGACATTCCTGTTTACTGGCCATTAATATCTCGGCTTGGATAAATGTGGTGTACCTAGCACATACTTTTAGAGTTACAATTTTAATTCTCGTACTGTGTCGAGGCGTCTCGTGGTCTCGTGGGACCCGTGAAGCATGTTTGAAAGTGGGGGCGGCGATAAATCGAAGATTCATAACCTACTTCTGAAAATTTCAATCAAACTAAAAAAAGATCTTCAAATATTAGTCTCTGAAAGTACAATTAATTTGACTGTTATTTTGTGCAGGATTTTTTGTTGAAGCTACGGCGCACATTCCAAATTATTTTTGTCATGGTGTCAAACATGTCAAGTTTTTGTTTCCATGCATCTCGATGTAAAACTGTCGTTTCTGCGTATACCTTTGTTTTTTAAGCTTTCCTTCGTAACTGAAAATTTCCCCAAGTGACTATATGCCACTTTTATTATTGATAAAGCCCAAGACCCAGTCGTTGCGATGTTTTGATGACGTAGTTTTGATGGGATGGAAGAAGGGGCAAAAAGAATTACCCAACCTAAGGAGGGCATGCGAACGAAATATACTAATGACTAATCCCATTCGTAAGCGCAGATGGCAAGAATCAAGTTTTCCCTGACGTTTATTGGAGTTTCATCGTTGCGGTTGATGCCATATAGATCACGAAACTTGCATGGTAGACCGTAGATATTGACCGTTTCATCAGATACGGAAAATGACATCAAAATATAATGATCTCGGGCCAGATCGCCTTTGTGTGGCGGTATCGGTAAAACCATAAAATCCAAATTAGGCTGGTGATTTAGACAACACGAGAAACGTTTATAATCGAGACAGTTGATGAAATCTTGAAGCAATCAGATTGGAGACCGCATCGGTCGATATGAGGTTCTTGAAAGAATTTAATACGGCCGGAATGTCCAGGATTTTTGCCATTCATTACACATTACACATTACACTAGTTCAACGTCAAAACCTGGCCAATTTTTTGTAAGGCAAGCTTTCATGACATGTGGACTGAAATTCTCTTAATTAGACAATTATGACAAATACATGATAAAAAAGATCGAGTTTATTTGTCGTCACCTCGTAAAATGCAAACGAGAAAAAGACGAGTTCGAGTTTTGGAATCGTCGGTAATCAATCAATGGCTTGCCGACGTGCTTAAAGACAAAAAGATGTTAAACGCAACCACACATGCATGCCCTAAAATTACATCTGTTCGTATAGCGGGTTTATTCAGTCCGAGAGTTTAGATTTGTGCATAGGAAAATGATATTCATCGCCAGCCTATATTTAATATTCGGATCATGGGCATGCGCGGTCATACAAACAGAGGTACAAGGCTTTTTTCCCAGTTCTAGCTATACTTGTATGTTGCGGCTATACTATTCATTCACAAATTAGCAATACATGTAAATGTATTTACAATGGCTAAAACCGCGCCAAAACAAACCATGCCTGACAATAGATTTCGCAGATGTTTAATTAATTAAACTTCACATCGGGCAGTTATTTGGAAGACAACTTCCATTTGTAAAAACGTGGAATATACTAACAAGTCATCTTAGGGAAATATAAATTTAGTAATAATTTTAATGTGTTCAACGTGTGTCAAAAGTAGCCCATGCATGCGGTTAAAAAAACCTCAGTACCTAACCACACTCGCAGCATGATTTTTTCTCAGATTGCGCCCTAACCGTGATTCTCAAAAAATTCGATCTTCACTGACTTCGAAAATAAAATATTCGGCCTTAGATTCGTTGTATCATATAGCTAAGTGTTTTAATGCAGACATATAATTGATATAAAACTATGCACTGTAAACAGGAAAAAAGGCCACAAATCGCTTCCAAATCAGCAGCCGTAACTTCCTAGTATAGCTTATTTTAAGATAGGGACAAATGCCTGTTAAATTGATGAATTGAATTTGAAAAGTTATTTGGGCCACAAAAAACTTCATATATATGCATGTAATATTCACAGAGTTATCAGTTTTAATGACTGTCTCAAAGCTAAGGTGCACCAACTGGTATTTAAAAGCGTTCCTTAGCAGTTGGAAGAATATCTCGTAGAATATCAATAGTTATCAATATAATAGCGCAATTAAAACTCAAAAAAGCGCATAAACGCACAACTGTTTTTATTGTTTAGTTACTGGATATATGATAGCAAACCTTGCGATCGCTGATCTCATGGTAGCGTTGTTCTGTATGCCAGCAACACTGGTCTACATGGAGCTAAAAACGTGGCCATTCGGTTACGCCATGTGCAAAATGATCACGTTTGTGCAGTCCATATCTGTCATGGGATCCGTGGGGACATTGACCGTCATCAGTATCGGTAAGGGATAGAAATGGGTGAAAACGAATACAAAATTAGAAATGATATATGGCTACAATTGATATTGCAACACCATTACCTAAGCCTAGTTATCTAGGTGTTGAAATACCTCTCTGTGAAACCAACCGCTAGGATCATGTTATAAATCTCAGCTAAGCGAGATCTGATCTAAACAGACTTTATAACAGACCCTTACCGACTTATAACATGTATAATCAGACTGTAAATGCATGTACAGGGGGCCCAATAGCCTATGTTAATGAAATTACTGATATAGGAAATTCCTATTATTTTAGATATCTTTTTCAGCAAAGGGACAGTACATATATGCATTTTCCATTCGATATTGTAGCGTGTCCATTCATTATACTCCGAGGTGCATGGTTCGTTCAGTATACTGAAATTCTTTTTGTATGTATGATGTATCTCTATAGCTTCACTTCATTTCAACCTACAGATCGCTACCGGTGTATCGTCCATACATTTGCATCCCGGTTATCAATGAGTGTCCTGAGATACATCGTATGTCTAATCTGGTCAGTGGCGTTGGTGCCAGCGTTGCCGTTACTTGGTGCAAACACCATCGTAGAGTTCTCGCCGACATTAATCTACTGCGTTGAAAAATGGCCCGACGTTAAGTATCGTACAATCTACAACACCGTGTCCTTTGCTCTAACCTACGCCATCCCCCTGGCAATAATGTGCCTGCTATACATAAAGATAGCAATCGCGCTGAATAAAGTTGTCCGAGAAGGGGGGAACAGGGAAGGTTTCACAAATCAGAAGAAGAAAGATAAAGTCTTGCGAATGCTATTAGCTCTGGTGATCGCGTATGCTGTCTGTTTTCTTCCTGTCAATATCATGATATTGTGGTCTGAATACGGGGACAGCAACAGGTAATGTGCGGCAAACGTTGGCTTAAAGTGATCAGTGTTTGTCATTCTTTTTCATATAGCGCTCGGTTACCACGCATTTCGATTCTCGGGATTACGTTAGGGTAATGATTAGCTACAGTAGATTAGGTCTTAGATTAGGTTCATAGTTGATTAGGGTCAAACCTAGCTCAATCCTAAATCCAACCGTAAACCTTACCCAAACTTTAGGATTAAAATCGTGTATTTAGGATTTACGTACTGAACATAAAAATATTGCGAATTTCAGATACTGGCTGCTCCTCCAGGCATACGCCGTCCTTTTGGTTTACGTCAACAGCGCCTCAAATCCAGTCCTCTACGCGTTCATGGGAAAACGTTTCAAGGATGGCTTCAAGAGGTTGCTATGCTGTCGAAAGTTTCCAAAATTTAATCGCAGATTATCGAGAATAAACCAGCAATCGGCTGTGACGAGAGAGTTTGCTTTAAGTGAGCGAAGTTCGTAGCAATTATGCCACAGCACATTTTAAAAGTTAGTCAACTGATCTCAACATAAAACTGGATCGTATGCGTGTCCAATATCGGATTATAGCACCGCCCAGTGCCCACTGATAACCTGTCATAAAATTGGATATGATTGTGCGAAGGCGACTTCACGTTATGCTTTGTATGGTAGTGGGGCAGCTAAATTGTTTTTATTATGGACACGTTAGATAATGTTCTAGCTAACTAACCGATTGCCTATAAATCGTTATGCGAAGTATCAAGTAGTCAATACTATAGCAATATTCAGAAAAATATATAAATGAATCATGTAACACTATATATAAAAGTATATCTTTATCTATATTATATATGTTTATCTATATCATATTAACTTTGGCGGGCTTGGCGGTGTATTTTGTGGGCTAAAATGATAAATTTGCCGGGCTGAAATATATTCGATATTTTTTTGTGTATAAGGGATAAGGCTCAATTTAATGTTGAGGAGGACAAACCTTTTATCATTTATTTAATGGTCGGCTTCGTATAGTTCAAAACAGATCGATATGGAAGTTGTCAGTTAATATAGTTTACTAGAAATTATATTTTAATTAACTTTTCCGTTTGCGCGAGCCGGAAAGCAGTCTTAAATCAAAATAACTTTTAGATCCTTTTTTTTGCGAAAATATATTCATCCTCTAGTTGAAACAGAGTAGTTTGTTTATTGCGCACATAAGCACCAAAACAATATATGGTCATTGTTCATTTTACATATAAACATAGTTATATTAGTTATATATATATAATATATAGTATATCGTATTGATATTGTAATAAAAACTATTATAATAACATATAGCATCTATATTGTAATAATATTTATAATATAACATCTATACGCGCGGGCTGATTGGTCGAGAAACGTGTTTCTATAAGGCCTATTTAACAATTAGTCGCCGAAGGCGAGGTGATTACAAGCCTATATTCACTGAGCCGAAGGCGAAGTGAATATAGACTTGTAATCACCGACCGAGGCGACTGAATAATGTTTTAGTATAATTTCAGTATTGAAAAAGTTTTATTTATAAATACAACTGATACACGTGTTTATTTTATGAATATAATTTTGATTTTGAGTATTTTCAGCCATGTTTTTTTGGGGAAAAGCAATAGTTACTGCTCAAACTGCTCTGAGCAGTAACTATTGCCTCAGAGTTACTGCTGAGGGAGCCAATCAGAATGCTCAAAGGCCATTTTTCAATACTGAAAATATACTAAAACTGTATAGAAACACGGGAATTAGTTTCCCGCGCAAACTTGACAAGCGAAGTAATGTAATGAGAATTTGTAATTCAATCGAATTATAATATTTGTACAAAATCTTTTTATCGAGTTATATTTAAAAGAAATAAAAAACATTAGAACTTGAAAAAATTTGGAAAAACTCACCCCACGCGCTCGTTTCCCCACTGATTATTTCTCGTTCTCCCAAACTCCCACGCGTGTTTCTATAACTGCATAATAATAATAATAATAAATATAATATATGTTGGATTGATATAGTAATAATATATAGTTTCGTTGATTAATCATAATCACATATGTAAACAGTATTGTAGTATACATAATATATGTATATAGTGTATACTGGTACAGATAAAGTAAAATATAATCGATGTCGATGCCGATCATATGATCAAGCATGCATTCCATGTCGGAGCTTTGTCGTATTCTCCAACCACAGTTTTAAAAGAAGCTTCTAATTTGTAGTTCTTAATGTGTCGCCGCGTCAATTTACTACCAGGCCATCGGGTCAAATATTTCTACCTTGTATCAGCGCTACCAAATACCAATCAATCATTTCACGCAGAGATCAGAGCATGAGATCAGAGTCCAAGAACCGCTGGGCGTTTCTCGCTCGGCCTAGTCTTATTATACTTCGCGCGGTCATTCTTTCCAACCTTGACTTTCGAGATATCGTGACTGAAGTTTTTGATAAAGACAAAATTATATCAACTAAACAACGCAGGATAAATTGACAAAATGTTCCACCACAGGCAATCAGATGTACCAGAATTACACCAAGAGATCGCACAACTTCAGCGAGAAGTAAGAATTCGCCGTATGAAAGTCTCTCAAGTCTCAAACGAGTGAGTATATATTTTGATTTGAATACGATATTCGGACACTCATTCATTGATTAAAACTTGCTTATTTGCAACTTAAAAGGGCAGTTAATTTTGCTACGTTTATAAACTGCAAAATGCAAAGGCGGGTTAAATTACTCTTTAAGTATTCCTAATTCATGTTTAGTTTATACCAGGTTAGTTACTAAGTCAACTACATTCTTTATAAATGCAGTTTGAAACATGCAGTGGCCAGTGGGTATATGTTAACAGAAATTTAAAATGAAAATCATATTTTGTCACATGTTTACCGAAGTTACCTCCGTTTTATTAACCTTCTAATTGAAACACTTTTAAGATTTGGAATTTTCGATTCCTCTGAAAAGTATTTCGCTTTGAAATACGAGTAGTTTGTATTTGATTTTGCGATGTAAAATGCAATTTGCAAATATGGTTGGCTCACCAACTTGAATCTTGACTTTCAAACGTAATCGATTTATCGATATTTATATTCTTCTTGAATATGGCTATTTAAAAGCGAGAATATGGATTATTAGTTTGTTTGCATGGTAATTTGGGGTACTTTTGAAATGAAATAAAATGGTTTATTTGTAAAAAAATCGTGTTTACCGTGGAGTTAACTAAACTAAACAGACTTTTGACATGTAAAAGTTTGCTTCTTTGGACATCTCGTTTTAGAAGACGTGTTATGTTTAAGAATTTAATCATAATTTTTAGTTGCCAAGAATGAAACAGGGTAGTTCATTGTAATGTTTTTCCTTCAAACAGGGAAATGGTGCTTCATAGCTTCAGCAGCTTATGTTACTTTCCTGTTCACAGGAGTTGAAGTCTCAAGTGATATTAGTAAATAATGTGAATGTTTACATATTAGACCTACAAACACAACCTAAACATCATATTTAAACAACCTGTATATTACGTTGGATATGTTTTTTCAAAGGAGCAATAGGCTACAAATTTTTCCATATCTGCATAATAAGAAAATAGCATTGAATTTCCTGATTTTAAAAATGTCTTCAGGAGACATTACCAGTTAAAACATGATGACTGCAATTTAACAGTGTAGTAATGTATTAGCTATGTACAGGACAGAAGTTATCCAGAGTTAGGGTTGATGTAATCATCTTAACATTTTTCAATCAGCTTTGAAAGTTGCCCTTGCGTAAGTCCTGGCGATTCACTACTTAATCCCTCATGAGTTGTTCATCATTTTAGTAATAAATTTGAAAAACTGTGATAGGCACTTAGCCTAAACATGGCTTTTTCAGGTAATGTATGTAAGTGGTAGGGTGATATAAAGTTTCACTGAATTTTGTCTTTGCTATTATATCTTAAACTGACATGGATAATATCACAGCAATATATTGTAAATATTTCTAATCCTTATCATTGTCCTAACAATCCTATTTTTACCTATGAAATGTAGGAACCCAAAGAAGGGCAAATATTGCCATAATATATTTGGCATGACAGTATTTTGTGTAGAGAAAAGTTAGTTCTAATTTTCTTTTGCTTTTGCAGCATAATCCAATATTGTGACTCGCACATCCATGCAGACCCTCTACTGATGAAAATACCGATGAATGAAAATCCCTTCAGAGACCGCAGCCGACCCTGTGTCTTGTTATAAGCATTACATTTACTCACGAGTCACGACACTGCAAATCTTTGGAAGGCAACAAACTATACGCTTCATTGAAAATTACTAAATAAACAAGAATTTACTACCACAAAGTATACAGTCGATATTTGTGGATTCACATCATTGTAGATTTATTGTTATATCTATAAGACTATATTATATGAATTAGGCATTATTTTTAATTATATTGGAGAGACCATGGGCTTTTGTTAAGAATGGTGTAGGTTTTTCTAGAAATAATATCAAGGTTTAAAGTAATGGTTTCAGTCAGGTAGTATAGTTGTTCTACTACTTTGCCAAGCTTTTAGATTCAGTCAAAATCAATTCAGAATTTCAGATTCTTCCATTCCAATATATTTGTTGCTTTATCACATGAATGCTATCCATACTTTTAAGGTAGTTTTTAGTCTTACTATATATTGTTGGAAAATCTAAAGTTGAAAGTTAGACCCTCTAAAACATTTAATACTATATGAAGTACAAATTTTACTTTAAGCCTTGCATATTTTTTCAGAAGTAGGTATTTTTGCACATAGTGTGACTTATTACTAATATAAATTAATGTATGTAGTAAAGAAAGATTATGGTGCACTAATATAACAATTATGGTGGTAAATGTAAATTATTATTCTTCTATCTATCCATCTTTAGTACTTTAGGTCTTAATAATCTTATAACTAATTAGTAATTTGTAGGCATATTAAAAACAGTGGTGGATAATTTAACCAAAGTATTGTTTCTGTGGCAAATCTATGCAAGTTCCGTTAACAGATTATCTATAATTATGGCCAACCCAGTGATCAGTAATAAACTGACAGTCTGACAGGCTCACACACATAAACCAATTATGGCCCATTCAATGCCCTAGCCTGGCTCAGACCGAATAAATGATACAATCAAATCAGTTAACCAACTTATCTATGATTGCAACTTGACGACACTCAGGTCAGCATACAGGACTAACAACTGAGCAACTTACAGTGTTACAGTGATATTGTTATCACAAACTTGCACAACTTCAAGGTTTGGTTGGTAAGTTGATTATTGATTAGAAAGGCATACTTTGGGCTTTCAAAACTGGGGATGTGTTTTGCAAATGTTACCAACAAGGCCTGCTTGCAAATTTTAATTTTTAAAAATGAGTAAATGACACTGCAATTTATTTATGACAAATGCTTTACTTGGAAATGAGTATATAAATCTGGAGGACGTAATTGATATTTCAGGATATTGAGTGCACTTTGATAATTTGATTACTTTTAAAATTCAGCTATGCAAAGTTTTTTTCATACTTATGCAAATACAATAAGAATAATAGCATGGGAGCTTTTTCATTTCAACATTACAAATTACAATATTTATGCTAAAATCACTAATAAAATTACTAAAATAAAAATTGTTTATATATATAAAATATCTCCCATTGGTATCAGCCCAAAGAACATAATACTCGTTAATCTTTATTGTTCTCTCAGTGAGGATATTTTATATTGATTTAATGATTTAAACGCAAAACGCTGTACAGGGTGTATAAAAACACCAACTCATATTGTTATTGAGCACAATCGCGTTGTTTTTTTCATACCCCCTTTATATATATATATTTCAACTGTGAAAATCAAAAAGTAATCTTTGGGAATTGGGCAATCGATACTTCGATATTTTCTTCGGAAAATAATCAGACAGTCTATTATTGCGCGACCTCATTAGGTTCAATAGGTTGCAATTTGTGAGCGCGCGGCCTCATTAAGTTGCAATTTGTGAGCGCGCAATGACACCTGGGTGAGAATGCTGTATTTTGTTTGTATTAACCGCAGGAAATATCTTTTGGCTTCCTCTTCGACAGTTTTGAGTGCCCAGCCTGTTCTCAAGATCGCATTGTTGTCTATCATCCCAGGTCGAGCAAGTCTAAGGGCCGAGAGAAAGAATGTTTCAATCCAAGCAACACGATTATGAATCGCTGAGAAAGGATCTAGAACAGCTCAAGAGAGAAGTTCGCTTGGAACGAATGAAGGTCTCGAAAAGCGTTGAAGAGTGAGTATAGTCAAATTTGACAACAGATATTTCGGCATTTGGCAACATATTACGTTCGTGCCGCCACTTATTTTATTAGGTAGTGTTTTGCGTTCCAAACAGCCATAATTTGCACCCCGAAACTTCCTGTTTCGGACTTAAACCCAGGCAAAACAAATGATTTTGTTCATGTTATTTAATCGATCAACGTGTAGGTCGCATACTTTTATACGATGACAAATTTTAAAACGGTATTTTGTAAATGACCGTAAATTTCGACGCTAGTGAGCTCGTATTCTATAACTATAACAATACCTATCCACGGAATGTGTCTGGTCTGACACAATGTAGATGCTGTCCAGCTTAACTCTGACTTGATGAACGTGAAAACTCAAATCCGCTAGTGGATACGGTTCCAAATTACAACTTTAATAGTATGTCACTAACAGTTCGATCTTTCCACCTGTAAGATTCGTATATAAAAGCCTGCTGAAGGATTTGGTGGTATTTGTGCTCATACTAAACGCCAAGTTGGCGGGGGGTGAAGAATAGAAATGTAGAATTGATTAAAAAACATAAAAAAGTACAAGTGAGATGTGTGTGTCTTATCGTATATTTCTACCATTGTGTATCGGCATATTGTCAATAATTTATATTTCTACTGCACACTGAAAACAATCTATGTGTCAAAACTTGATAAAATGTGTGCTGGAAATATGTTTTGAGTCTTTTTTTCTTTCCGTATGGTTTTACCGGTTTAGTTGGGTAAAATTATTTTAGCAGTGTCAATATTAGTAATGCCCTTCATTTGGCATGTATATCCCATATTTGAAATGACCAAGCAGATGAAAACGTGCCTGTCACAATTCAAAGGTCAAGGTTGGGTTTTTTTTCATGCTTTTTTTTTTACTTTTGCAGCATTGTTCGATTTTGTCAGCAGGCGCAGGGAAATGATCCATTACTGAACAAAATACCATCAGGTGATAACCCATTTACTCATCAAGATCGACCATGTATTGTTTTGTGAGGGGTGTCTCAAGAGGTACATATTAATGTTCCTTGGTTGGAATGAATGAAAACTCAATGTTTATAACATTTTAAGAAAATGATGTCAAAGAAACTAATATAACTACATAATGATAATTATCAACTTGATGAAGTGTATAGATTTTTGAACCAAACTGTTTATAACTGCATGCATAATCATAATTATATTGAACATAAAACCAGTTTTAAGCATGCAATGCCATGCTCTTTGTTAAGTGTATGTAATTCTGTGAAATTCTGTCCTAGAACAGGCAATAAAGCATGTACATTTTCAGTCATAATATTTGAAGCTTTTAGTAGCAATAACAGTTGTTTGATCTTCGATGGTTCAATCTGCATTTAATAAAGGATGTAAACACATTCAAAAAGCAATGTATTGTAATTATATCTGATTAATCTAAAAGATTTCACACTGTTACAAAAAAAAGAACTTTAACAAAATGGATAATGATCACTTGCACTGTGATTACTTTGTAATACATTTTATTATACAATTACAGCTATATAACAACAATTGTCCTTGACCTTACATTATTTAATTAAATTATTACTTTTAGAACCACTGACAATTGTACAATTAATGTTCATGATAGCTTGGTTATTTCCTGCACAGTGCTAAATGAACATCAGACAGTGTGACTGTGTACAATTACAGTCTAGGTGTTGTATTGCCTACTTGTATTTTGCCTTTAAACAATAATTTGGTACAGTATGTCCAAATGTTTACCCAACAGTCCACTAAAACAAGAGGAAAAGGATTCTGTATTGAAGACTGTGACATCCCAAATCTCAATGGCCTATTTAACAGGAATTGGGTGTCTTTCCTCTTTGACCAGTAAATGCAGTGTTTTGTGGGTGGGTACTTTAGTCCTCTTTCATCAAGGCATAATATTTAACAGAATTTTATTTCATTTTTACCTTGAGTCCACCACCACCACTGGCACCTTGTCTGTCATTTATTGCTGTCCTCTCTGCTTCTTGCCTTTTCCTTTTAACACCTTCAGGGTCCTTTAGGCCTCTGCCTTCACTCTGGGAGTACAAAATTTACTGTAAACATTTTCCAGCAGAGTTCCAGAACAATGCATAAAAAGACTGGAGAAACCTCATTTTATCAACCCACTCTGTTTAAAAAGTAGATATTGTTACCTACAGTTACTATAAAAGTTAACCAGTCAAAATTACAAGTTCCCTATTTGACCATAAAATGGATAGTAAAAAGTAGTTGGGTCCTTTATACAACAGGTGACTTTTCTTTTAGTCAGAGTACAACTTATAAATCTCAACCTAGATGTAACAGTTAGAGAGTTACAATGGTTAATGCAATATTGGAATTTAATTTAGATCAATTTTAATGCAGATTTACACTCATTAAGAAATTACCTCTCTTTGCCGTTTAAGGGCAGCTGCCTCTTGTCTCCTCCTCCTCTCTTCCTGGTGATAAATGAAAAGTCCACAAAATATGCACTGTAAATTGTCTGTTGCACTGAGGCTATGTGTAAGCCTCGTCAGCAGCCAATTCAAGAATTTAATCATTACATGCTTTTAGTATTACATTGGTTTAACTAAAGTAACAGTAACATACACTTTGATCTGGATTAGATAATTTTTTTGGGAAGTTTCACATAGTTCGAAAAATGTTCCTGCAGGCATGGCTTAGGGATTCAGAGCTTCAGACAAAAGGCCATTATGGATTATCCAAATTGATGTTTTGACACATTGTTTATATTTCCTTAAAAAAATTGAGACTGATGACAAATTTCCTGCCCTTGCTATGTATACACTTGCCAAGTTTTCCTAAAATGATTTAATTAATCGCTCAGTTCATGGTTAGAGGTTAAGCTCTGGCAAAAGAAGATGCCACCACAACATAGTAAAATGAATTATCAATTAGCTTCCGCAGAATAGGACATCTGCCTGGTTTTGCTGACTAATGACTAATGTTTTTATCCGACTTATGCTTTAATATGGATAATAAAAAAGACACTGTGTTTTTATTAGCTAAAGCCCAACCAATCAGTTTTGATAATTTGTTCTAATTACCTATCATTAATTACATGGAAACTAATATTTACTTAAGACCTAATGTGTTTCATGCATAAAAAGTAGCTACAGCATTAAGAATAATAACATTCTGGGCGGTAGTTGACCGCTTAATTTGGGGGGGGGGTGATTATCCATATACATGATATAGTTTACATATTTAATATAGGAACAATAGCGTGCAAAAGAAATTAGTTGAACATCAGGCGAATACGCATCTCCCAACCTACGGCCCTGATAATATTAAGAATAATACTTTACGATCGAGGTAGTTTGATAATCAGACAAGTTTATATATATCTGCTACATACAATACTTTATACTGTATTAATAGGGTATATATAAATTATGAAAATTTACGATGTTAAATTTATAATGTTAAATCTTACAGGATCTGGCGTTTCAGGGCTTGAACCAGAACCAAAGCAGTCAAAACAGTTTCCCATTACACCATAAAATGGAGAACATCTACTTTGCTTTCAAAACTACATTACTGTACAATTAGCACAATACTAGCGAAATATGTTTTTCCTTTTTGTTTTCATGTTTGAAAAAGATCTGTCTGAAGTCGGCAATCGGATATCCGTCGGCGGTCGTCGGAAATTGTCGCTACCGCGTGTATTTAAATGCCAATCGCAAATTTTAAACTTTTCGAAAGCCAATAATTCTGGAAAGGACTGAAGGTGTGTGTGTGATGTTTATGTTTAAAATTCGGTAATATTTGGCAATGATTTACCTGAAATGAACTTCATTCTTTTTGTAAAAGGTAAACAGGTTTCTGTTTGTACATTATATATATAAAAAATAAAAAAAACTGTTGTTTAAAAAGTTAATTACTGTGGTTGAATTTGATATTTTTAATACCTTACACAATGTACTGCACTTTGGGGCAATGTGTGCGAAAAACCAGTCCCCAATTATAAGTATTACTTTTTGGCGTACTATTTGGAAGTTTAGAGGGCCTTTAGAGACTTTTTAAAGCTCTGGCAATATAGGTGGCACCTTATGGCCTCATGCACTTATAAACAAGTGTTGAGACCCTTTGAACCTTTTTCAAACAAATATACATTCAAATATCTCTGACAGTTGGTGCGCATGCCCAACCTATGCCTGGCAAGTGGCAACTGGTCTGCACACTCCCAGCCTCCTACGAAACTACCTTACATCTGTCCTAGTATGATACCCTCCACAGAACAATTTAACTGCTTTAGATATATTTGTCAAAAAATTGAAGCCCTTGCCCTACGACCTTCTCCCATCTTTAATTGCTTTGCAATCTGCTAATTAACTCTACCTAATTACTAATTTGCCAAATTTTCATTGTTGTGTTGCTGAAACAGCTCTAAATGTGCCTGCTAGACAGGTTGTAGTGTATGATTCTGCTCTTTCTTTCTCCTGATACTTTTAAAGAACTTTCGGACCCTGTCATATTTCGATGAACTGGTATCAACATTTAGCTTGTCCTCCAGCTCGCTATTTGCATTGTTGTAATGATGTTCGAAGTTGGCTACAATTACAGGAACTGGTAGAGCTATTGACAAGATGCCAGTGAATGCACAAATGCTTCCAATTATTTTCCCAGCTATAGAAATATATAATAGGATAGTTGTTCAGTCTGCGATCATGCATGATTACCATAATAAGTCCTAGACCTAATTGATAAAACTGTTCACTCTCAATCACCTTGCACCGACATGCATCAGGTCATCAATAAACATCATGCATTAATTGCCTCCATCAGAAAGATCAACTTTGCAGGCAGGCACATAGTGCATGTGGCCAAGGGTTGGGGGGAGGATGTGTTGGCCTTTGGGGGTTATATATGAACCCCAATAATTTTCTGAATGTTGAGAATTGGTCAGTGGTTTTTTATTGCATTTAAAAAAATACAGCATCAAATTTCGGGGACTTTGTCCAGTAATACTGGACCTGTATGCAATTAGCATGTGCTGGATTTTGTCTAAATATATGAGAGTTATTAATCATGAATATAAAATAGGCCATTTTCAAAGGTCTAGAGGCTTCAGATTAAAAACTTTCTTGCTTGCACCACCAAACCCCAAGAACTATAACATATAATATATTAACTATGGAGATTGATCAAGCTACATCCAAGTAAATAGAAATCCAAGTAAAGTTACATTAAACCTGGCATTTTTTGGTAGTCAGTTAGGGCAAATAAACATGCGCTAAAACGTTAATCCCGACCTGCAGGAAAAAGTTGCCACCCCTCCAGTTCAGGGGTACTTATAAAGCCCGTTTTCCATTAGGCGAATTTATGCGCGCGACGCGAAGCGATATCTGAAATCCGGTGATGTGATTCCTTTGCGAAAAAATTGGCTACGAAAAAGTAGATACGCTTCCTACTTTTTATCTGTTCGCGCGAATAAATTCGCCTAGCGGAAAACGGGCTTAACGTATTGCACTACTCCTCTCTCCTCCGCAGAGGCACCTCGCCCGCGTTTCTAATATCAGCAACAGCGGTCATCTTTAAAAATCTAGTGCATTTGTATTCGAAGCCTCTGCGGAGGAGAGAGGCACTACTCTACACTACAGCAGATTAGCTTACCAAACGTGACAGGATACATGTCACCATAACCCACGGTTGTCATAGTAACGATAGCCCACCAGAATGCGTGAGGAATGCTTCTGAACACTTCGCCGTTTTCGTCCATTTCAGCGTAATATATCGCGCTCGAGAATAATACGATACCTACAAGACAATTTTCTCGAAATAAAGTGTCTGACATTGACAAATAATTAAAGGATGTGAGCGCACGCACGCATGTGTGCAGTATTCGTCATGTTTAATTTAACATCATTCTAAAGACAAAGAAAACTAAAGAAAAGCTGGTTCATCAAAGCCATCAAAGGGACCTTTTAATTACCTAGGCCTAAGTTTGCCGAGAAAGAAAAGTTTTTCTAAGACAAAATTTTCTAGTGTGCGATTTCAAACTGAGTACCATTGACATTGGTATTGGCTTTTACACTAGCTTGAAAGTATGTGAAAAGCTTTTCGGTCTATAAAAAATTTGAAGAAAAGTCGCTTAACTCATTTGCAATTTAAATACAACTGAATTGCCATCTCAGATTAAACTGCATTTTGGCAGCAATTTCCAAAGGTCAAAACATTTATTATAACAGAGAACTTTTGTAGCTCTTGGCACGTTTCCTAAAAAATATATACATACTCTACAAGACAGTGATATCTTCGTTGTTTATATGTTGTTAGAATATATACTCAGTGCTTCTAAGAATACACATTATACGAATTCAAACTTGAGAACCGGCTTGAATTTTGGGCCGGAGATGCAAAAATTTTTACTTGAGATGTGCGTTTTCAAAACGGTAGAATTGTTCCAACCTCTTCTTTATTAAAAATTCTTATAAAAAAATTCGGCGTTAGTTGTAGTGCAGTGCTTATACATACACATGCGCATTTGGTGTAACTTACAACTTACAATTGATTTAAAAACAAAACTCGATAATGCAGTGAGAGACCAGATATATATCTATCGATATAGAGCTCGATCTCCGGTCCTATTCAAGGCCCATTGTTAGTGTATATAATAAAGGTTTTAAGGGGTCAACCAACCAACCAACTAGAGAAAGACGTGCGGAGTTGCATGGTTATATAACTGACCCACTAAAATTTTTTATACGGATATTATACGGTTGCGAGAAGATATGGATTTTATCAGCCGCTTCGAGTTGCAAAAACAATAACTCATGAAATATTATTTTTGACACGAGAACATAAATCTGACTTTCTCACAATTGTTTGATGTTCTGTTCATTATTTGTACTAAATTCAGAGTGACAAAAATTATAAGTATTTGATAACAATGAGCTAGCCGCTACCTGAGATATACTTTGTTATAAAAGCGAATATTTTTTAAATTATAAAATTATAAATTATATTGTAAATTGTAAATTATAGCGTAGACATAAAAGTATAGAGTGCATGTCTATGTTCCAACATTAATTTCCTTCTATATAATATTATACAAACCAAAGACATTTGTATTTTCACAACAACAATGAAAATGGCGGGAAATTTTTGAAGCTCGTTATGTCACTCCTAAACGACATACGCGCGCACCTGATCCCAAATATAGTGGTGTAATAGTTGCGTACGTATGATTTCTACGAGTGTTTTAGTTCCCAGCGAAATACCCGTGTCTACATAATAAAGCTAAATTTTGGCAGTTGACCATGCATGCTGACTTCCGACTTCTAATAATGCTAGGCGTGGCAACGATATAAATACAACTAACATTACACATATATCGGTTTTCTAATTTTTCCTGCGAAGACAAAAACTCTTAGAGAAAGCGTACATTCTAGAACATATATTAGTTATTTCATATACACAAGAATTAAAAAAAAACAGGCGTATATAATCTTTATTCAACTGCTCAAACTAAAAGGCCGAACAATTAAGGGCGGCCTTTCTTTTTTACTTATAGGGAAACATAACTCTGTTGGTTCAGTATTGCCAATTGAAAAAGCCGGAAGTTACGACAATTACTTTGACAGTCATAAAAAACCGCTTACTCCATATATTTCGACTCAAAAGTGCATGCAATTTCTAAAAGCAACCCATATTTGAACGCTGTAGCTAAACTTGCTCGACTTACAATGAATGCATTGATTTGTTGATTAATTGGCTATGATTTGTGAGCCACGGATCCCTTCTATAAAGCTCATGGCTAGTACGAATTTGATTTTAAGTTGAACTCGATCATCAAATGTGTCACTATAATGTACTCTCATAAAAAAAACCTTAATTGACAAAAGCAATATTAATACATTACCTACTGTGAGGAAGAATGCCAACAGACCAAGTTCGGCCATACTTGCTTTCATAGTCAGGCCCAAAATTCTCAATCCTTTGGAATAGCGCGACAGTTTGAAGATCCTGAAGACGCGAACGAGTCGCAGAGCACGCAATAGCGCCAACGAGGACACGTTCGAGCTTGATTGCAGCGCGAAGCTTATGAAGAACGGAAGAATCGCGATTAGGTCGATTAAATTTAGCGCGCCGACGACGAACTTTGTTTTGATCGGGGACGAGATAAATCGGACGATGTATTCGAAGGTAAACCATGATATACAAACTGCTTCTATTATGTAAAAGGGGTCGTCGACATCGGTTTTGCTATCTTCAGATTCTTTGGTAAATTTAGGAAGTGTTTCCACACAGAACATAACTATAGAGAGAAGGACAACAGTGCAACTCAACCAAGCAATCGCCTTCGCGTATTTTGAAGTGTCGGGGTACTCGAACAGCTCCCAAATTTCCTTTTGGATGCTGTTTTTTGGCAGGATTCTTCCAGGTTTCGTCCTGGGTTCTCGCAAACCGTAGAACTCGAGCTCTTGAAAGAATAACTTCTCCGGTACATTTTCCGGTGAGCACAGTATCCCTTCGCTTTGGTAGTAGGTTAGAATGGCCCTGAAACATTCCCGATTGCGATCAAGGTAATATTCGCCGCGTGTGTCGTCCCAGAACTTTGCCCGCCACTCGTCTTTCGCTAACGGGGTTTCTGGGAAATTCTGCAAAGTGGATTCCAGGATTTCGTATCCCTCGCCGCATATGTTGAAGCGAAGTCGCGCGGATGATGGTCTAACAACAGGTCGATTGTTCAATTTGTATTCGTCAATGTGATTTTTTTGAGACGACATTGAGTGGCTTTCGTCGGCTTCAACTCTCTGGAAATTAAGTTTTGCTGTTTTTAATTCTGTGTCGTCTTCTTTCTTACAACCCCTAGGTAAAGTTTGAAGTGTCAATCACAATTCTTTGATCTCAGAGTTAATGCTCTATTTGGTACCAAAATTATAGCATGCTTGCGATGTTTTGTCTGCATTCATTCCCCCGTAACAAACCTGCATGGAATGTCTAGCAAATTTCCTCATTCACAAGGACTTCTCACATGAAGTTTGTCAAAGCAAATAAAACATAATATTGTAAATCGCGGTCGGAATAATTTATTGTCTCTCGTGGAGTGATTTTTCTATTTTGCTCCAACCGCTTTGAAGTTTGAACAATTCAAATATTTATTTGAATCACTGACGTTGTTTATAGTATAATTATAATCCGTACCTCTATTATAGATCGCTTTTTATTTTTCTTATTTTTATTCGCGATATAGCGCTACAACACTGGTGCACGTTACTAATTACTTAGCAATTCAATGCAACAGACTGGGATGTAAACTGAAGTAGGCGTGTATTCTAGCTGTGATTTCAGCAAGTGAAATTATTATCGATGCACTCCTATAGTTTGTGTACAACTATATATATTGGTTGGCCCCTTAACTTCACAGCAGTATAGATCAGAATTATAGATATGGACATGTTAAAATTATTTTGTTTTTGATAGTTTTTCGAAAGCATTGTATATACTTTTTAAAAATATTGCTTCAGTGTGGAAGGGTAGGAAAAAATTTATGGACACTGGCAAAATAAGCCTAGTCGATATACAATGCGTTTGTTTTCATAACAATAAGTGACCCGTGAATTGAGTGCCGATTTCGTTGTTACCAACTTTATCTATACCTTACTTAAACCTACCTTAGTATATATGTTGTTTTACCGAGGTTCTATAGCTGTTGTATATTTCGACGTGGTTGCGATCTCTAATATGCAAAAGCCAATGCCAATACTCTTGAAAATCTGATACTCCAAGACCCTTCGATCCTCTTAATGCTTGGTATTTGAACCCAGTTGATATTATCGTCGCTGCAAATCGACTGACGGCATCTATAATCTGTCTTTTGTGTATTGGCCGTCCAGATTATATATATTCCCTTAAAAGTTAGTTCAATTACCCACCTGTTTGGATACCATCTCTACACGATTTCTGTTTCATGTACCTCCATATATAAACACACGGCGGGGGCAATATTCACATCCGCTTATTATTGTCTTAAAAAGGCCTTAATTTTAGAAAACACGCCAGCGTCATGCGCCACTTATGCTAGATCAGGAAGCGCTAAATTGCATATTTTGCTATATAGATACGGAGAACCAATATATATATTGTGTAACCACGAGAAGGTTCTAGGTATTATTTCGTAAAGACAATTCGGCAAGCTGCCGAACGGAAAGGTTTTTCAGTTCTCAAAGTTTGAGAGCTTGCGACCTTTTTGCTCCGATTTTAGCCTACTATAAGGTGGATTAAGATATAGGCATTTTAGTAATTGGAAATATTCACAATTGACTCACAGAAATCCGCGCGGAAGAAAAAGGCGAGAAACTTGGGTAGGGATTGATGGATCAAAGCCCTTTCATCAGAGTTTATATGATGACATTCCATTGCCTTAGTGAACCTCAAACATTCATTGTTATTTATTAGTTACTCGAGTTAATAGTTTCTATTTATATTATATTTTGCTTATTTGTATACGCATGATAATAATAACAACTCTTATTTTATTTTAATGTAACTATATTCCTGAAATTGAGTTCATTTTACATATTTTAACAATTGGAAAACTAACGGTAAAATCACTCGTTACTAATTTTTTTTTCGACCATGGAGAGTAGGCCGGAAAATCTCTGGGTATACCATTCAAACTTTTGTTTTGAATATAAATAACCTCTCACACTCAGAGAACAGTTTGTTTTGAAATTTAGCTGCAGATTTCAAGGTGATCTAAAATGGCGGGAAAGGACTGGGACTAGTTGTGAAACCAAAATCCATGTCTCTGGATTGGAACAACTTAATATCTTTTGAGATATATTTTTAGTTCTTATAACCAACATATATATATATATATATATATATATATATATATATATATATATATATATATATATATATATATAATGACAAAATTTGGACTAATTTCGTACAGAAAAACTAAAGTTACAAATTGATAATTACTTAATTCACAAAGTTGAATTTTTAAACGACAAAAGCAGCTAGATTAATTTTGTGTATTAAGTTTATTTAATTTGGTACCATCTTTATATATTCTTGTTTACTTTGATAAGTTAACATATACGTACCGGCAATTTTATGCTAATCAAGGTTGTTTTGTGTTATCAACTGCGATTCATGTTGAAATGGTAAACAATTTTGTTGTGAAAGTTTCTACTTACAGCCGTATATATTGCCACGTTTCACTTTTGTTTGCCCTATACATGTGTTGCACGTGCGTCTTTAAGCAAAAACACATATTTTGAAATAGAATAATAAAGAGGAATAAAAAAGACACGTATGGCAAACGGCATAATAACTCGTAATGTAGGAACCTAAAGCATGTGGATGACATGATGATGACACGGCTGAAATCCTTCTTCATATCGATCACATGATCCGAATGTTAAAGTTCTACTTATAGTGGCTTAAGTAAAGCCATCAAAGACAATTTCAACAATTTAAAAGTATACAAAATATATTTGATAGTGACGTTTCATCTTACATAAGCTACATATTCAACATGTAATGTATCACTTAGTCTGAAGATTTCTTAAGATCAGACGAAACGTCATGTCAAATATATTTTTGCATTGTTTATATTGTCTTTTATGACTTTACTAAAAGCACTATTTGTGCTTTGGGCTGAGTCCAATTTTTGAAGTAGCGGCCTCTGCGTCTTGAAGTGCAGACGTACACAGGACGTTAAAACCGGCTGAGATTTAATGGCTGTTTTTCACTTGCGCGTTTTCGCACGCACAAACATACACGCGCACGTAGAAGCCTCATGTTATCTTTGAAAAAACTAAGTAAATAAATCGAAAGAATTAATTTTAGTTTTCCGCCGTTTTTAGTATGCTTTTGTTAAATAGTACCAATTTAGAATTTAAAATTTTTCGTGCGTGTACGTGCAAAGAAACACGTATAAAGGCTGCTTTCCAGTTACGCGTTTTTCATACGCACGTACACGCACGCAAAAGTCTAAATCCTTATAAATGTTATCGAAGGTTTTAAGCTTTTACGTGCGTGTACGTACGTGCAAAAAACGCAACAGTGGAAAGCAGCCCTAAGTGGAAGGCAGCTCTTTACATGCATGCCCCTGTAAACATGCACCGACGTATCTAAACTAAATATTAGGAAAAATAATGAGGAGGCCTTAATTTAGGGACCGGCCCACCTGCAAGGAAGTTATTTTACCAAACATGCATAATGAATTAGTATTTGCATGCACACAGTTTGTACTTTAGTTTGAAGTATCGTTCAATTAGGCATCAGCGAGGAAAAGTTCCTATGTTCAACTAAATATAGCCATACACTTGTCTATTGTGTTCCTGCATATATAATATATCACGCCTTCGTGCTTTCAAGAGAAACACAATTCATTTTAAAATATACGAAAAGCGGCTCATTTTACAGTGCCGCAGACGTGATACGTAAAAAACCCACTAAAATCTGCCTCCGAAAGTGGTTTGGAGAAGGAACTGATATTTGGTTTCATTACTAGCATACATTTAAATATAGCTGCAAATAATCATTAATTAACACACTTCTTTTATATATATTTACACACTCACAGTTTTTACCAGGATTCAGAGTATGAACAACCTTTTCGAGGGATATAATTTTATGAGTATATATACCCCTATTGAGATAAGTAAATAACGTGATTCTGGTAGTTATTATTACAATGTATCATGTATGCTTGTGATGCATGTTTGTTTCATGAAGAATTACTTAATACTTCAAATGAAGTCATTTAACGCTTTTTTACTTTTGGGTGACCAGAATCATGTAAACAGCCACTATATATTAGAAGTTCCCAGATAAAGTCGTTTATATACTAGCTGTCGATAAAGCTAGCTCCTCTGGGGTGGCCAATAACATTGAGTTCTTTTTATCAATGAGGTCCGTTTCAGACGCAGAATTTTCCTTGTGTCGAAAGCAAATTAACGAGCTCGAACAAAGCCTTTAGCTCATAGCCTTTAGTCTGATCTAATAGGCTGTTTACATAGAATGGCTTCTGTATGTAAACGTTGCACTTCTCATCCATGACGTGTTTCATTCTGTTAAGTAATGAGGTATTTCCTGGGTAGCACTCCAGGTCTGTAGGTTTTAAACCTGAAGTCCGTCTTCTTCAGTTTAATGATTTGACTAAACGTAGTACTACCTGCTTTTACAATTTTTATGAGAATCAGTTCAACTAACGCAAGCTAATGCCTGAGAATGACGATTTTATCTGATCGATATTAAAATTTCAAAAAATTAGTATAGTACTCCTTGCATTTTGCTTCCCAAAGTGGCCTCACCAAAATGACTTCATTAAACATTTGTTATACTATTGGCATCGTTTCTCTCATAGTCGTAGGTTTTATCGAGCAACGAATGCTCCTGCTCACTTCCCTCAGAGCTCTGGTTAACCTCCTCGGCAACCTCGCCTCCCATGTCATAATATTCCTCCTTCGTGTGTTCGTCGATTTGCGAGTTGGACCGATGACGTAGTCGGTCGAAAAACTTTTTCAAAGCTTTGTATTTTGCCGCCTTTTTGTTGCTCTCTTTCGGATTGGTCTTCGCCGCTTCTTGCTGTGATTGGCTGTAGAAGCGTTCGAAATTAGCGACTATTACTGGGACCGGCAAGGCGATGGCTAGAATTCCCGAACATGCGCAAACGGTGCCAATACATTTGCCAACTGTAAGGAAAAAATGAACTGATTGTTTGTTTTGTTTATGGACGATGTATATGCATGGATGGCATGCGATATTAGTTAGCTATAATGTTTCCCGTTGGCTATGAGTATGTCCGGTCAATAGACTGGTGCCTGCATGATAGAACTTTAAATAGGTATGGACGATATTAAGGTGCCCAGCAGGTTTCATGAATTTATGATGTCCCAGCCAATTAATTAAAATTCAGATGACTGTTTTAGGTGATGTCATGCAGGCATTTTACAAAGCGCGCTTTCAGAACTATAAAGCTGAAATATCAGGCGTTTAACTTTGTGTGCTGTTAAATAAAGATAGGCTACGACAGCCATAATAATTATGCAGTAATCGCCATTCTGATCTATGAATCGAGTGCAGTTTATGCATGACATTTTCGTTATAGCGAATAGTTTCTGCAATAAACGCACGCATGTTTTCTCCCATCATATGCACTAACAACTGGGGCCGGGTGTTCTAAAGACCGTTAGATTGAGAAATCTTTCCTTGGTCAATATATAGATATTTTACTTCCCCGAGTCTAGAACATGCAGAACAGCCATCCATGAATACATAATTATTATGGCCAAAGGCAGTGTATTTAAAATTTAACAGGTCAAGGGCAAGGTGACGCTAATCGCGCTTTAAAAAGTGATCACTGCAGGATAGGAAATCGATAACGATATATAAAGACGTCATCCGAAAACCACCGCATTTAAATAATGCTTTTCGAAATGTGAATTTATCATTGTAAGAAGGAAATTAGAGACAGGAAGCGAACAGAGCAATTAAGCAATAAAATTAACATTATATAGCTAGACAAGACCTCATGTATGCACTAACTGCGGTCTTATTTATTCTGGTATACTATAGAGAACTTCGTATGGTATACTTACCCAGTGTGGTTGGATACATGTCGCCGTAACCAACAGTTGTCATGGTAACGATGGCCCACCAGAACGCATGAGGTATGCTATGAAATGTACTATTATCGCTGCTCATCTCGGCGTAGTAGATAGCACTCGCGAACAGCACCACACCTATAGCCGGGCAAGTAATGAACATTTATATCGTCGCGGAAAGGTATATTGTGATGTAGAAAATTAATTTTATGCCGGGAAAATAACCAAATCTTCAACAGAATCCAACCCTATGCATCTATTCAATGGTTGATTTCACAAGTATCATTTAAAGGTTTGTAACTCTCGTGTACACAGTAAGAAACGACTGGGTAAATCAAGCAATAGCTCAAATGTTTCAAGTAAGGGATAACCAATTTCATAATTTGAGAAGTAACAGCATAAACTTTCAAATTCCGAAGCCTAAAACTAATTTCATGAAAAAGAACATAAGTCAGTATTTTGGAGCGATGGTCTAGCCTCCTCCGCAGGCATCTCTTATGTATTAAATTATGTTAGGTTATTAGGCATGGGTTAGCTGTGTCATGGAAGGCGAGGAAATATATTTTTTTCTCACTCCCCCGACACAGCCAGCCCAAGGCAAATATGCATATTTTTAATACATAAGAGATGCCTGGGGAGGAGGCTACTATTGCTCAGTTTTAAAATGTTCTCAATTTTTTCTGCATTGAAATTTAGGTAAATAGGATGTATATAGTTATATAGTTAGGTAAATTTCATGTAACATTAATTCTTTTGATATTTTGCATGCAAACGGCCCCTTGAAAATCATTTTTAATGATGGGCTACCGTAGTTTAAATAATAAGTAGTTAAATGATAATGAATAGTAATAATAAATTTTATACGTGCGCATGTGCACGCGTATACAGAAAACGCGACAGCGAAAAGCAACCCTTAACTGCTGGGCCCTCAGGCGCGAGCGTGATTATGATCATCATAGCTTTTCTTGCGAAATAGCTTTTAAGACTGGGGTAACAAATTGGAAAACAGCCGGCACGCTGTTCCAGTCAATCCAAGCGCTGTGAACATTTTTGGCAGTCAAAGTTCAATCTAAACTTAATTTAGCTATATTTGTATTTCTATTGTCACTTATCATACCGAGAAGGTATTCAAAATGAATTTTGCCCCTCTTTACACTTAATTTTATCCCACTGGGTTTGTATGACATTCCTTGTTAAAGTGCTCCGGTTCAACAAATGGCCCACAGAGCTTTTGTGCAAAATCAAAATCCTAACGCGCGGAGGCGTATATATATATATATTTTTTGATCACAAAAATATTGTTTATTCCATTCGGATATCCGTGTGGACACCGCCGAAGGAGTAGGGAAATTGCACTCTTAAATATATACCCATGCATCTATATTAAATTCGTTGGCATCAACAAATATGCATTATTCGTCAGCGCGATGAGAGACATCATTGATATTACGATCTAATTCTTATATACATCAATAACATCAACACCGTTTTCATTGATTCTTATACCATCTTACCAACTTGATACCATAGAAATTAACAGTGAAGTTTCTATGAAGATGCTATTATATATAGCTACTGCATGTTCTTAATGTTTGTTTGTTGTAAATATTGTAACGGTATTTTTTTGTACGCACGGTTCTTTTAAATATGTTTTTATGGTAATAATAATGATAGTAATAATATTTTTTACCATCGCCCAGCCTCGTCACCAGTAACTAATGAAACATACAGCACGACAAAAAACACGGTATTGACAATAGGAACTATATAGCCATCACTTACCAACACTTAAGAAGAAAACCAACAAACCCAACTCGCCAATACTCGCGCTCAGGGTCATACCTAATATCCTCAAGCCAGACGAATATCGTGACAGTTTAAACACCCTAAAAACTCGCACCAAACGGACCGCTCTCAAAATGGCCACTGAGGAAACATTCGAATCTTTTCCACTCAAAGCAAAGTTAAGAAAATATGGCAGAATTGCAATCAGATCGATCAAATTCAATGCCTCCTTCACAAATTTCCATTTGTTTGGAGAAGTTATCAATCGTGTCAAATACTCGAACGTAAACCACGCGATGCACAGACTCTCGATTATAAAGAAGGTGTGGTAATTCTTGGTTTTTCCAGATTCATCTTTCTTCGAAAATTCTGGCAAGGTTTCTACGCAGAAAAGTATTATGGACAACAATACCGTCGTACAACTGAACCACGCTATTAACCGGGCTGCATTGGAAGTTTCAGGGTGCTCGAAAAGGTCCCAAACTTTGCTCTGCAATGTAGCCGAGCTCAATTGCTCCTCTTCGGGGCATTCGGGCTTGCTTTTAGGCTGCTCTCCTGCGTCACCTGTAAGAATTAAGATTGGGAATGAAATTGGGAATGAATCATTTCGCCATCTTTCCAACTGAAAAAGCGCGTTTCAAGAGTGAATTCGTTATTCTGAGTTTTTTGGACAGTCGGGATAAACATAATGTCCTATATGCCTACGGTCCATGGTGGCATGCTGGAAAAACAGGAAAACAGCGTGTTTAGGAGAGTAAACGTTGTAACTTTAGTTGTGCAAGGTAGTATAATAATATAGGTAGTATAATAAGCCCTCTTGAAAGCCGAAGAACAGCGCAGCTGTGAACAAAACCAAACTGATGGAAAACAAAAAAGTCGGAAAAGCGATTTTAGATGAAACGTCATGCGTGTTAAAACAAGAAAATTAGTGTTGCTGCTGCACAATTTTGGCGTGAGTGTATGTCATTATACGCGAATGTTATATAATTATATGCATGGACTGGCAAGTTTGTAGCATTAAACAGACCAATTATCACTGCGGAATATATATCTTTGTCGGGCAAATGGAATATTTGAATTAACTCAAATTTACAATACACCACAGTTTATGAGACTTGATCGACCTGCTCACTTTTTTGTACTAACTATAGGACTCTTTTTTGTCAGGGGCGTAACAAATGCATGTATTGTCGAGTAGCGTGTGTGCGATATTGTTAACGAGCAAGTTTAAAATTAGTCGACATTCAAATTTCGTTACAGCCTTTGATAACACTCGTGTCTCTTGCAAAGGCCTGTCCCAACTTGTTGGAGCGCAATAGGTTGTCGGTCTGTGGGATGTCGTGCCCTGTCCAAACAAGCAATTACATAACTGTTATCCATAAAACACATTGATGCACACTCTACAAATAAGGTTTTATTACCACCTCTCCCCCTTGGCTGCAACAAGAAATGTCAGTTCGAAATTAATGAAAATTGACAGGTCAAATTTTATTAACTGCGCTCTCCTACTGTTAACTCAATGTAACATTTAACAAGTCGGGCAAACTTATTTTTAATAACATATGGATAAACAGTAGCCGCGATTGCTTGATTGCTGCATGCATGCATGTTGTTGGGTCAGCCGATAGGTACTGCTAAACACATCCAAGGATCAGCACACGTTGAAAGAGTTCAAGGAAACAAGTTTCAAGTGATGAACATGATTAGTTTTCCTAATGGGAATAAGCGAGTTGTGTGTAGAGAGATTACGTGAGGTTTATTCCTATATAGACAAATTCAAACGAATTGTTCAAATTTTTTTACAATGACTTCCACTTCTCGAATACGTGCTTGAACCTATTTTTAAAAACTGTGGTCTAGCCGCAACCGTCGACTCTGAAGCACTTTCAGGCACATTGTAACATTTCTGCGGTATCTTATTGAAACAATGGTCGATATGTATGCATAATAGTAGCTAATAGCAATAATAGGTTATAACATCCAGTAATATTTCATGCAAAACGGGTTCGTTTGGTTTTGATTTTGAGCGTTAATGGACACAATTGAAAACTCTCCTGTAAAACGTTACAAGAGTTTTGTACACCTAACCATGCATGCAGATGGGAGGAATTCCTATTCCAGAAAACCCATGCATGCACAAAACCCATTGCTGTGGTGATATCAATATATGAAACAACGAAATTTGAAATTCATTAGGACACTGTCTCGTGTAATCGTATATGAATATATAGCCCGTTTAGTTGTTTGAAATTTTTCGAGATAATTACTACGCACCGGCACAGTTTCAGAGAACCGCATCGGACCCAAACCGAAGGCAATGTCAATCATGTAGTATAGCGCCGTGAGCATAGTATGGCCAGATGATTTCTATTTGTACGTGATGAATTGACGTGCGACGATGTTGTTGAACACTTGACATACCTCGAACTTTCTGCAACACCTCGTCGCCCAAGTCGTAGAACTGTAGCTCGCGTAAGAACAAGACATCGGGGATGTTTTGCGGCCGGATGAGGATGCCGTAGCTCTGGTAATAGGTCAGAACCGATTCGAAACAGGCTCTGTTCCGGTCCAAATAGAATTCCTGATGATCTTCATCCCAATACCTATCGCGTTTTGCCGAGTCTGCGAGGAGCGTGTTGGGATAACGCTGTACCGTGCTCTCCAAAATCTCAAACGTTTCCCCGCAGACGTTGAAGCGTAATCGGTTATTGTCCTTGTGTCTCTTTGTGGATGTTGGTCTAATGTTTATAGCCGATTGGGATCTTTCTGGAATTCGTAAATGCTTCGTGGCTGAACTCTGGATTAAGATGTTAGTCAACGACATTAGTGATGGCCGGTCGTTGCTACCAGGTGAAGAAACTGCTGTAGTCGTCGCCGTTTTCGAGCATTCACGCAATTTCCCATCGTCTATCGATAGATCTATGTGTTTGTCGTTCGCAAGTGTTGTCTTGTTTTTAATGCTGCCTAATTGCATTGTGTTTGAATAGCCTTTTGAAAAACTTCTTTCAAATGTCGTCTTGAAGACGCGTCAATTACAGCATTAATAGACAAATAGTTTCCAAATGTATTCATGCAGATTCGGTGGCATGCTGAGACAATATAATAAATAACTTAGTCCACTTTCCAAATTCTGTGCGAGCTTCTATTCCCGACCACAAACCGACCTTTCACACAAGGGTAAAGGATTTCAGCACTTACGGCATTTTAACGTCGGATGATTTTGAAGACCTCGATGTCCACAAGTAAATTAGCGCGCCTGTTAACACGGCAGGGAGTAATTGCAATCATTAATATATTGAGGGCAGCCAGTTTGACAATATAGTTATTCGTTACAATTTTGCACACTCTCACGTATCGACGGTGATATTCTACAGCTTAGCAACTACAACCTAAGCTTAGCAACTACAACCACTGGTATAAGCGCTGCACACAGGTGCCGTTTTATATCGAGGTGCTTGTATACCTACAAATTATTCAGAGGACAAAGTTTACACTCTTACGAAGCTAAATAATGCATTTTTCAAATTCCTTTAAATGTTCCTTTGGGTTTGTCATTCATCGTGTATAATGTAACCTAAATTACCTCTCAATAGCTTAATACAAGCCCTTGGCTGTGAACTAGCTACTTTAATTGCCCATTCGTAATGACCTTGAAGTAAATTAGTGCCCTCGTTAACCTGGTGGGAAACTAATTGCATTCATTAATATGTTAAAACAACGGATAGCAAACATTGATGCACCCAGCTTGGTCTACAATGAGTGAAGGCAAACATGACATCGCAACTAAAAACATCACTTCCCCCGGTTTAATGCATGGCACTCGAGGGCCGGTTGTTTAAAGCGGGTCGTTCTTCAGTTCTCTCGATTCTTGAATTCGTCGTCCTTGCTGTACTTTTCACATCCTTGTCAGATAGACTTTTTCTACTGTTGAAATCAAATATATACAGTTGAAATATATGTATATATACTGTTGGAAAAAGTGATGCCTTAAATTTTGTTTAATTAATCTTATCTTGTTCATAGGATCATCTTTTTCTCGTACGACTTAATGCAATTGTCCAAATTTCACCGATTCGCTCACTTAAAATTTTAATAAGATATTGCTATGCGTAACCATGGATAGTTAAAAGATTTTATCATCTATGGCGTAAATAAACATATTAGCCACCCGAATCAGCCTCTTTCCCGGCGCGTGTTTTTGTTTTATTATTTACGTAATTTTTGTCTCGCGGGAAGACGCGCGTGAAGTGACTGCGAGGCGGGGAACGCGCCTGGCAGAAAATGTGTCGAAAAGTGAGATTTGCGGACCTTTGGCAACCTTTTACAAACTTGAAGAAGAACAATTGTCGAATTGCAGGTCAAATTACAGTGCGTGGCTTGTGGATTTAGACAGTATTCCGACGTATCACTTCTCGGCAGCAGCTAGGGATGCCTAGCAACCTCGCATGGGCACCTGGGTCAGGTTGTTTAGTTTAAACGGTGGTTAAGTTCAAAGTAGAAAGCAAGTCTATCGTATTATTCAACAAGCAAAATATATGATTTTTACCTTAAACATGCAGTGATACCGTTTGCAACTACATATATATTCAGTTTATCCAGTGCAAAAAGTTGACTCAATATTCGGGAGAGATGTGAGAGTGTTATTTAATTTTGACGTATCCGCCGTTTAAGCTTAAAGGGGCTTGATACAACCGGCCTCTAGAATATAAATAAATGAGGCCCCACAATATAGGTTACCATCAAATATGGTATATAACAAGTGTCTAAAATAGACAAAAACACTTCTCGACGTTTCGACCTGAGGGCCTTCGTCTGGAGAGTTGATATACTCCGATCCATTACTTGATATGGCATTACATAAGCATATTATGCAATGTACAAAAAGTTCTAAACTTAAATGCAGATTATTGGAAACCGGATTTTCTTTACGTCCACCCTCGGCTGCATGAGCATGCATCTACAAAGTTTTTGCGCACGGATACTTAATCAAAATGCTCGGCCGAGAAATGCCTAACCACAGCGGGGAAATTGCAATCTAACATAGGGGCAAAGTTCCCAGTTTTACGCCTGTTAATTAACACTTTGTGCACTTTTAATACAACGTTTCGCTCATAAGATAAAATAAGAAATAAGTAAAATATTGCGGTTAATTTTCTTCAAAAATTGCACATTACTATTTACTTTCTTATAAACTTATTAATTAAAAATTATGAATCACTCGTTAAAAAGTAATTACTTGCCAATTACTTTTACATTACTTTTTTCTAATTTCAGACCCAACAGTGTCATGTCTGGAATTAGGTGTAACTCGTTTTATGGTAATAAAACGAGTTACACCAAATAAGTAAAAAAATATATCCCACTGATCTGTTCAGAGTGTTAAAAAAACTGGATAGGCGAGATTTAAAGTTGTTTTAAATTTTAAAAAAGCTCCAGGAGTATATTTTTTTATATTTGGATTTCTTGATATACTCTGTTTATAAAAGTGGCAACTGACGTGCTTTTAGTTTTAAACTTTTTTGCCTTAAAACTGTGTCTAGTTCAAATTCATATTAAAGGTGATGTTCAGTCGGCAATATAAAAACGCACCGTTCACCTTTTGCTTTGCAGCATTTCTTAAAATGTAACGGTTAAAAAGGACCAAAAGAGCAATCAGTAATTAGTAATGTGTTACTTAAGTAACGAGTATTTACAGCATTATACTTGTTGTCAGTCACACTTGTGCTATGTTCACCAAACCGGGGTATTTTGTTGCCACGGGCAATTCAGAAAACGTTTTGTGAAAACGAAGGTTGAGGTTCTCTTGCGTGCTTTACCTCATCGACCATGTTCACACGATACTGCATGATATACGAAAGAAGAAGAGTTTTACATTGCTTCATGGCAGCAACACAATCCATTGTTTTGTTCGACGTACGAACTTTGTTCCGTTTTCTAACTCTATACCAACACCGTGGGAACAGGTGTCCTAGACCCCGAACCTTTCTGCGTTCCGTGTCGTGTTTACCAAGGCTTTGAATCATCGGAATTAAGACGTACCGAAATTTTGCTTTTTCCCAAGTTTTATTATTGCCCTTCAAACTCTGTTTTCTAAGCGGTATATGTTCAGACATAGTCGCCCACCCTCGCCGATATTTCTCGGTCGGCACATTTTTAGGAAACTGGGCACGAGAAGCAACGAATTAATCATTATCTTAAATGTGCAAGTAGTTGCTGCAAGTTGATCATGACCCCGTAGTTTGTCAGTGCTAAAAATTACCCACTTCTAGGCTTTAAACGTTTGAAATACGCAGCGTTTCCATTTCCACGTCACTGCCCTCAGTCCCGTTCACCGGATCGTTGCAATTGGTCACTTGCGTGCCCTGATCTTTGTACTCTGTGCGAGATTCATTCCCGGACTGTGGATCGGCAGTCGAGTCTTTGTTAAGAATAAAAAAGGTCCCATATCAAAGTACATTTCCTCGCTGGACTTGTTGTTCGACCGTCGGCGTCGGAGACTGGCTAAAAATTTTTTCAACCGATTTTGCTTCTCGATCTTGTCCTTGCTCTCGGGCGTGTCTCCCGACTCTCTTCGCTGAGTTTTGCTGTAGAAGTGTTCGAAATTCGAGACTATCACGGGAACTGGAAGAGCAATGGCCAGAATTCCGGTACATGCGCAGAGACACCCGACTAGTTTACCAACTGTAAATACAAGAAATTTTATGAGAATGTTTTTTAGGGAGATACTTATTGATCAATTCATCAAAATCATGTGCTTGGGGATGATTACTTTTATGAATTTGTCCCAACAATCTTAGTCGCTGAACGATTTTCAAAAGTGGGCCCAGTTTTATGACCAGTTTTATGACCAGTGGTCCCAGTTTCAAAAGTGGGCGAAGTTTTAATCACCTCAGGCTCGGTGATTATAAGCCTATATTCATAAATAGACTAAAGCCGATTTTAAGGGGGTATTGTTCCGTTACAGAACTTACCAAATGTCTTTGGATACATGTCGCCATAGCCGACCGTTGTCATGGTAACGATGGCCCACCAGAACGAGTGCGGTATACTTTGGAATAGTCCACCTTCGTCGTCTATCTCGGCATAGTACACAGCACTTGAGAATAATACCACACCTGGATCGAGGAACAAGTATGTACATGTTATGGCGCGTTTACACTATGCAATTTGTCGTATACGATTCTTACCCTGGCGTATGTGAATATGTAAAAAACACATACAAACATGACAATTCAAATTCCGCCCCGAACAAAATGAGAAAAATTGCGACACGGGCCCTCTTTTGCATTCGTCAGAATGATAATTGCGTGTACAATTAATCGTATAGTCCAAATTGGGCTTTAGTGATTCTGCCGGTACATTTTTTGGATATTCCGCACAAACAAAAAAGCAGGTTGTATTTTGTTGTTACGAGGCTGTTCAGAATGTTTCACTCCACGATTACTGAAATCGCATATTCGCTGTTTTTGGACCAGGAACTGGTCCCTAACTGCTGCTAATCTTGTTGTTGTTGCTGTTGTTGTTAGGGGGCGACGCTCTTTAAAAAAACCCTAAGGCTCTAGCATTACTTGTTTGATCGGAATGAAACTTGGCACAATTATTCTAAACAATATTCCGCATCGATTGACGGAGTTCGAATTTTTACTTTTGACCTTTGAAGCAAGTTACAAGCAATTCTTGAGTATATTTGCAGCAAATAATATATACATATAATTAATATTCAGCCTATATATAAGTAATCGCAAACGATTAGAAATACATTGTCCTCTCCATTGTTGTAAATACAATCACAGTTAATGCCGGTAAAGCTGCTCACGAATGTGGACGACTAATTATGATTAATTATAAGCTTTATCTGTTTATCAAGTCATAATCTTGGAGCTCTTGGGCGTTTAAAGATTTTCACAAGATCGAAACTCGGTCACGCAGTTCCTGGTCCGGCCACTATAGTACGATCGTACTTGTTGTGTAAAGTGTTTGTTATACCGGCTTTCGGAAGCGGAAACTCGAAAAGTGCCGACATTATGGCCTCATAATGCATGCACGCGCATTACAGCATTAGTGCATTACTAACAAACCACACTGCCGGTTATATCAAACTTACATTATAAATATAATGGTGATTAAATCTCATAAATAATTAATTTGTTTGCCAGTGGCCACAACGCCGACTCAAATTTTCTTTTGACCGCATGCAACGCTGACCGGCATATCTGACAATTCCGAGAAAGTGCGGTTTCAAGTCTAAGAATATTCAATTAGGGTTGTACCTTAACGGTCAAAACAAAATATCCAAAACCTCGACCGAAAGGCGGGTCTGATCTGTCGGTCCTAAGGTTTGCAAGTAGTAAATGATTATAACCGGAAAACTGATCTTTCTTCGCGATCTTCTTTAGAGTAGATTACGCTTCTAGGATTGTCGGTGAATGTTAAATCATATGAAGTTTTTGTCTTGGTTTATATCTTGGCCACAGCATAGGCAGCCCTGAAATGTTTTCGTTCTCTCGTGGCGCTCGCGCGTGTACGCGAGTCTACTCGGTCACAGTTCGGTCATTTCTGGGCTGCCTATGGCCACATTAAACTAAAATACCAGGCTAGGTGGGGTTATTAATTTAATGTTTGATCAAATGATTTTTTCTTGGTGCATCGTTGAATTTTTTTTCAAACGATAGGGGAAGCTCCATGGCCTTCATTTGATAAACGTATACTTCATTTTGCAATTTTAGATTCTGTTTCGAAAAATTCCTATTTTCTTTTCGTTGACCAAATGGTCAGCTATTTTCCTTGCTTTGAATTCTTTCCCTGTGTTTATTGGGCTGATTCGTGTACGATTTCACACTGTCAGCATAATTTTACGATAAACATTTCAATACAACTATATTAATAGTAACAAGTTCAATAAATAGAACTAAAATTAAAGAAATTAAAAGAAAAAATTAACGGACAGAAAACGTCTCGTAAAACTCACCAACGCTAAGGAAGAACACGAGCAGACCCAACTCTCCCATGCTTGCTCTCAAAGTCATCCCCAGTATTTGCAGTCCAGTGGAGTACCGTGACAATTTGAATATACGAAACACCCTCACAAGCCTGACCGCCCGCAACACTGCCATTGAAGAGACGTTGGAATTCTGCCCACTGAGCCCGAATGAAATGAAGAAGGGAAGAATAGCGACCAGATCAATAATGTTTAGTACCTAAAACGGGAAATAGTCAGACAGAAGCTTAAGAGGTAGACTAAATTAATGGTTTTAGGCCATTGGCCAATAGTTATAATACATGCACTAGGAATAAATTATATATAGCACTAGAAAAAATATCTGGAATAAGTTTGGAAATTGTGTAGTTGTCCATGATAATAGCATATTTACACACTGCAATTAGCAATACAAATATATTATGTTTCTGTATATTCAAATTGGGAACCATAACTATTACTGCAACTATAAATAATTGGGATTTGCTGTTAATCATAAATGCCGCAGCAGTAAAGAATAAAAGCCGCAGTAGTAAAGATTAAAAGCTAGCCTGTTTCAGATTTCCCAATAGCTAGCCCCCTATAGCTAGCCTCCTATAGCTAGCCTCCTATAGCTCCCCCCCTATAGCTAGCCTCCTATAGCTACCCCCCTATAGCTAGCCCCCTCCATAGCTAGCCCCCTATAGCTACCCGCCATAGCTAACCCCCTATAGCTATAGCTACCCCCTATAGTTTCCCCCCTATAGTTAGCCCCCTATATAGCCACAGCGAAATTACCCTTGGTACGAGGTTGCCCTATAGCTAGCCCCTTTAATTAAATTTTATGCTAATGTTTATTAATGGTCATCATCGGTGGTGATAATGATGTTGACGATGTTTATGTATGATTGTTCATGATAGTGACAAGAATTCAAATCCGGAGATCAAAGCTGCGCATGGCAGCTTTAAATCCTATGGGGACATTTAATATTTCCTTTGCTGCATGTCTGTAGCGTTAGATTGCAAATTCGAGGCATAGTATCGTGGTATTTGTCATGTGCCCAATGCATCAACTGACAATGGTCTGCATGGTCATGGATAATCAGATGAAATGCCTCATTATCTGATGTTTTTAATGCATTCTGCACATGATTCGCCCTTTGCATTCACCTCGCAAGGAATTTAACACAAACAGAACTGATAAAAATAGGTTGAGATATCAATTCACATGAAATATGTACTAAATGACTATTGATATGTCATTCATAATTATGTTATTGAAAGCAGTGGATTTGCAGCTTTAGCTTTCTATTGGTAATCGATAGCGTTCAGTGGGTTTGGATGGAATACGTCAATACGACGGCATCACTGTGCCAGGGATAGCGCTACTGAACAGATGTTTCCAAGTTATGGTGGTGATGATCAACGTGATCGTTAATTCTATGATAGTGATAAAATTGATAAGATATACGAATTTAAGATGCATACCTCTATTAGGAATCTGCACTTGTTTGGCGCGGATAGAAACCGTATCACGTACTCTATAGTGAACCAAGCGATGCACACAGCTTCGATATTGAAGAACACCATGTGATCCCTCGTCTTTCCGTCCTCGCCTTTCTCTTGGAATACTGGCAAAGTCTCGATACAGAACAGCACTATGGACAGCAACACTATGGCGCAACTGAACAATGCAATGCCGCGAGCGCTGTTTGACGTATCCGGATACTCGAAAAGGCTCCAAATCTGAGCTTGCAGTTTGTTCTTGGGCAGAGACCTTGGCGGCTCAGGGATGACGTTCTCCCCTTTCACCGTTTTTATGACGTCTTCGCCCAATTGGTAGAATTCAAGTTCCCTTATAAATAATATATCCGGTACGTTGGGAGGCCGCAATAGAAAGCCTCCGCTCTGGTAGTAAGTCAGCACCGATTCGAAGCATAATCGGTTGCGGTCGAAAAAATACTCGTTTCTTTCATCATCCCAAAACTCGGCGCGTTTCTCGTGGTCGGCCAGAAGCGTGTTGGGATAGCGTTGTATCGTGCTTTCGAGGACCTCGTAACGCGCTCCGCAAATGTTCACGACAAGTCGCTCCTTGCGGTCGTATTTTGGCAACCGTGGCGGGCCGTTCCGTACAGGTTGTGACCCCATTTGATTGCCGTTCGGCTCGTTGAAGACGTCGTTTTCTGGTAGGGTTTGTGGACTAGGCCCCGCACTAATGCTCGCTCGTTGCACAGCTCGACATTTGCTATCGCTCCAATATTGCATTGCAATATCTTCAATAATCTCTTCAACCTCGCTCTCGAGTTTCAAAATAGATCGGACATTTGTGATCTATCAAGGTGCTAAATCGATGAACAAGCAGTCGATAAGGTACTGATGACAATGTATCGGGCCGAAACTGATTCCAATGGACTTCGAATGAAAAACTGTTAAAAGTACAGTTTTAGTAGGTAGTTTCCTAAATTTTGAAGGGGGAACGGATGGAATCAGATGTGGTGATTGAATGATTTATGCGTGCACCAAAGCTAAACTCGATATCTATGCAGTCTAACGAGAGAGATTAGCAGGTACTGATTAGCGATTTCTTAATTTGCAACAGTTTATTAGACTAGAAAATAGCCCCTCGAAGTATCAATGGCAAGTGGTCTGGAATAGCAGTTTGCTTCCTGACTCGATGAACACGTTTAGGCAATAACGGGAAAAATCCGAATGGTATATCTGACAAATTAGCGATAGTGAAACCTATTCTCGAAAGCTAAACTCGGTCAGTATGTTCGGTTGATGAATTTTTTTCTCAAACGGAGGCCAAACCTCAATACTCAAGCGATTAATAAGATTTGGTAATTGACAATTAGTCACAGATTAGTACGAACAGCAATCACCGCAATGGAATGTTCACTGGATGTCTAAAATAGTTCTTCTGTGATTCGTTGTATTTGTGAATCTCTGAAAGTATTTATTTGACAAAATGTGATCCTAATGAAATGGTAGGAATGCTGTTAGCTTCCCGACAGGTTTTTTTATCACGGTATATAATTTTTCAAGGTAGGTGTAGTTTACCAGAATGATTTATATGGTGTTTTCCAATGCCGATCCGCGCTGTTAGTTGACAGCCGGGGAATTCTTCGATTCGACGATTCTGTGTTTTGAAGTATAGACAGACACGTATCAAGTATACCGATTGTGTTACAATATCAGATCCAGCTGGATGTTGTTTAAACTTGGTTATCTGTTCTGTCGAGAGGTACTTGAAAGCCTTTCAGGAAATCTGGTGCGCAGATGATCCTGTAGTTGATCACAGATTATATTCAAAGGCCCGAGCGAATGCTGATAGCTCCAAGCGGTCGCATAGAAATTTCTTGTAGTTTTTACCCTTGCAGTTACGCTGTAATGAATATGTTCTCAACGCACACTCGAGATATAAACAGAATTCAGCCTTTGCCTTTAGACCAATCGATTTCGGAGATCGCGCTGGAAACTCCAGAACAAACGTCCTCTTTCGACAATTATTTAGGGTTTATCACTAATATCTTACTTTAGATCTTGGCAGCTCGAGTCCGACCAAGTGCATGTAGTATCCGAATGTCTGTGTTTTTATGCTCGTTTTCTTTTCACCACAGACTCAATTTAAATTGATCCGACGATCTTTTCTCTATTAAAGCGCCCCTTGTAACAACAACTATACAATCGAGGTTAACAAATTACAACTGTTACAACAGAACTTGCCCGAGCAGAGGACTGAATACAACGCAGTAAATTAGAAGTTCAGAGAACTTCACCGGCCAGATAATAGCATAGAATTCGTTTTAATCACCAAATAAACCCACTTTACGAGCACTTTTCCAGTGAAATCCCCATCTCAGCCATTACAGACAGGCCACATATTTTACAAAACCGAAATTGATTCGAGTAAAGCTTTAAGCTGTCGTCACCAATCGGCGAAATATCTGTCCCTCAATTCACTTGGATTACAAGGAATTTATCCCAATTCAAACAAGTAGATTAGCTCTGTGGATCCTTGCCGAAAATTTTCCGTAATTGCTTTAAGTATAACCGGCTTCTTTCGTTCCAATTATACAGCACAGATTTGCGAGTGTTTCTTTTACACGACCCAACAAGTTGCATATAAATGGCCTCGTTTTATTGTTCAACCCATTGTAATGTGTATAGGCATTTGTCTTTAGACGGGGCATTAAATAGCACTTTACAAATACGATTGAATAGATACGCCGTTGTTTGGCGCACAAAAACACACAGCCTTTGTAATGCTAATATCCTAACTATATGCAGTAACCTCGAAAGCTACCAGTCGACCAATATCGTTTTGCTTCGTAAATTAAATTCCTGCTGTGCGCAACAAGTCTACACAAGTACGGCCTAAGCGCATTATATAACCCTGCCGAGATTCGTCCGGTAAACACAGCAGAACTACGACGAAAATATGCCCTAGCTTTTTCTAATCCTCGCTGCGACTCACAGCATTTTAAGCCCGATACGTACACCTGAAATATGGCGGTGAAATTGCATTTTTTCGTCATCTCGTTTGTTTTTTTACGCCCGTTTATCCGTTCATAGGACCCAACAGATATGGAAAGTTGTGTGTTTTGTTTTATAGTTGGTAATTAATTTCCAGCCTTGGACACATGTGTAGTGTATTTGACAGCTCTCCATATGTTCCATCCTTCTCATTGCAGTTTCTTACCGGCTGGTCATTAAGTCTGTTTAAAGTTTAAAGACGCACGATATATACTGCTGCTTGAATGGCAGTGACCTCAGCTGCGTAGGTTGAAATGTTTACACAATGACGCATTACAAGCAGGATTCCATCCCATTCCTTGACGTTGTACAGTATTCTATATTTTATGCAATTTGCACGTTGAATTTGCACGGTTACTATGATAAAACACTGCATGATCTAAAACACTGGAGTGAGTTAAATAAAATGAGCCAATTTCTAGTGATGAACACCAAAATCAGCCCTCCTGAGTTATTGTTTCAGGTCACCGCTCCTGACATCACAAAAAATATGTAAACAGTAATTGGTTTGACATTTACATTCCCGGCCTGGCAAATCTATATCCATTCACTTATATAATGTCGCAGGAACTTTAAAATAATATAGTTTCAGCAAAAAACATTGCCTAAAGAGGACCTCCCTGTCATGTTTCATAACAAAGGCCAGTTCACACCGTGCGATATTTCGTCTTCTGATAGATGTAAAGACTAAGGAAATGGTACGTTACGTTTGATGTTAATGCGGAATGCTAATGCATGGGAAGACACATAAATTTCTGTGCATTTGCGGCGTCATTGCCAAACGAATATTGGTGAACTAAACCTCGCAATCATGTCATAAAGTCTCGCGACAATTTGGCTTGCATTCGACTACAGACATGGATTAAAATTCAGGCTGGCTCTAAGAAACGAAGTACGCGGTACATTTTAGAATAGAGCCTTAGAGGGCTCATACTGTGCCATTGTCTTGCAATGTTTATTGACGTAGGCTTTCTTTTGGTCATTCGGCCCGAGCTCTCGACTGAGATTTGGGCGCTAAATTACCAGTAGCATCGTGGATTTCATTGTAAAGTACTCTTTGGTATATACTTCAGCTTGCAATAAATGCTGAGTTCTGGCATTGCCACAAATCGCATGGTGATAGCCACGCCGTTTAAACTCCCAGGACCCGGCTTAAGAAAGGCGTGGGGATCGTAGAATATCCCGGATTATAACCACAATATAATGGATGGGACAGCAGCGAAGTTTGGTGGCGGGCTAAATATTGTTTCAAGGAAACCGTGATCATCTGACAAGCTATGAATTTTGGTTGGCTTTCTATGCCATCGAGAAACTTTAACTTTCACCATTCCACCAATTTGGTCCTGATCCTAAACGTGGAATATTCTAAAATACAACTGTTTTTCAGGCATTCGTGAGTTTTCAGGCAATTCAGGCATACATTCAAAGGTAAATTTCGTTCCATGAACACATAGGATCCTGGGAACGAGACTGTTTTCATTCAAGTGTTTGCTCAGCAAAACACGTAAGAAGGGCTCTGGGTACGAGAATGACGTTGTCATGTTCTACCGTTGATTCTAACGAATTTACACTGTCAATGGACACCGAAAGCGGTCAAAATAAGACAATCGCGGAATACATAACACTTCATAACACTATATCGTGGAATTGACACGGATGTTAAAAGGCTTCAGCAATTGGTGATTGATGACGACACTCAGGAGTGTAAGGAAGTAAAAAAAACATTGCTGAGGTGACAATTAGGAAATGTTGATTTTATAAAGGCAAACTATGTTATCTAAGCCGTTTATATAGGAAAACGTAGAAACGAAAAGAAACAGCGGACAATTCTAAGACAACCAAGAGAAAGGAAACACAAAACTAGCGATATCAGTTAAGACAGGCCCAGGGAAAATCCGGCCTTATAAAATTGAACGACTGAGCAGCTAGCGTGCAGAAGTCTTTCTGTATGAAATGGTACTGAGCAGTGTGAAAATTGATATCAGCAAGCGAGGCTGTAGACCTATCCCACAAATGTTAAAAAGGTTATTAATAATAGTACTTTTCTTGCAAAGGTTTTCCCACTAACAGCATTTTGACCGTATTTCTCACTCCTGGATGCTCACTCCAGTTTTTTTTTTAATGCGTATTTTGCCGCAGACTAGTCCCTAGTCCTCTTTAGCGCGCCTTGCATTCATGGCCTTGCATTTTGGTTTTGCCGGCGCGGCTCTAGGCTAGCGCGGCTCCCGCACTGATCTGGGCTCCCGCCAATATCAGCAATTAATATTGAAATCCAATGATTGTAGAGCCCATCGTTTCAGTTGAATTGTACGAGATTTCACTGCGACAGCGCTACTGATTTAATCAGAGACGTGCCCCATGATGGCTTTTGGTCTCTGGGACCGGGCTATTGTTGTCATAGTTGTAACTGAGCGAGGGGCGTACCGTTGTAAAATTAAAGTTGCAAAAGTTTACTCTCGTGAGACGTGTGACGCCCGTTTAATGCATTACTTAATCACGCAACGTTCTTATATAACCGGGCTGGCAGTGAGGCAGATATGTTAACTGTTGCATAGAAATTTGTTTCATTTGTGCTGATCCGAACAGACAAAATGCCAATGGAAGTAGTCTGATAAGTAAGATGCAGTGAGATTAATACAAATCAAATGAGAAAACCATACACAAACATGTCATTTCAATATCGAAATAAAAGTTTTCCTTTTATTTTGTCAAAGATATTGCACGTGTTGTTGCAGTGTTTTGCCTTTTGGCAACGTTTCATAGCCGCAGCGTCAAATTGTCACACTCACTCAAAAAGACAATCTGAAATTCCAAATTCGAAAACGGGAAATGATATTTGACCAAGAATTATGAAACAGAAAATATTTTGAAAATATTCAAATTGAATTCAAATCTAATTTACAATAAACCTATTAATATTAACATATAAGTACACAATAAGTTAATATAATATGCTAAAACAATTCTTTAACTGTAAAAAATTAATACTATATTAAACAAGAAACATTTTTATAATGCATAGGCTTTCCTTGACTTGGTGGAAATTGGATCTTAGTTTTTACAGAACAGGAAAAGCCACAACATATTAAATTTAATAGTGCTGCAATTTGTTGTGTCTTTGGACTCTGGGTTATATCAAATTGCACCAGAAAGGCATCTGTTGGGTGGTGTGTGGGGATATTAGCTTGGACAGCTAGGAAATATCTTGTCTTCAAGTATTTACTTGTAAAACAAGTACATTTTGCAGAACAATTGGCTAATAAAAACATTTAACTAAGCATTTTCAAAGGCAGCCTTAAAAATTTTTTTGTTGAAATTTTAGGGTAATAAAGAGTTTCCTATAAGAATTTTGTATCTGAATTATTTGAAAATTTTGCTTTCTTTGCCCCTTTAAGAACTCACTCCAGTTTAGTCCCTTCTCCATCAATGTATTTATTGGGAAATTGGGATATGGGAAGAGCTAGCTAGTTTGTGGGTAGGAGAAACTAGTTGTATCCTTTGTCACGAAGATCTGTGATATATGAAATATCAGAACAGTATGCCGGAAGAATCATAGAAAAGCAGACATTCCGAATAAAAAAATTCCGATAACTTTGAGTTTTGTAGTTGTTTTGCAAATGCATGATTCCAGCAGATTGTCAGCAGCTAAGACTGTGAATCTGGCTTATTCAAGGTTATGCTAAAATAATCCCCTCCCCCAACAGGGTGGTACCACTATCATATAAAAATGTGTTAAAAATTGTCTATATCTCTGTTTCTTTGGGTTCATTTTGTGCTGGATTATGTTCAGATTGTTCCATTAAGGGCTTGGATACAGCCTGCTCTTTCTTACTGACACGTTTACTCGCATTTCTTACGAACAGCGATTTCCCTCTGTGTTCAATAACAAGCCTAGCTTGATCCTCTGGACTCTTCTTTTCAAAACAAAAGTTCACAGTAGAGTTATTTAATTTTGAAATGTCTTTGGCCAACACTGACTCCCAGTATTTAACACATTTTAAACGGTTAATTCCAACGTCGCTTTCAGGCAACTCTAAACTTGGCGTGTTTGCTTCAATCCATGTGTTAATTTTCTCTTCCCCCGTATCACGGTCTAATACAGGGTCGAGCTCCAAAGCTTCGCCAACAACATTTATAAGATCCAATTCGTCTTCGCTGCTTCCCAAATACCGAGCATATTTTGGTTCTGTTGCTTCTTGCGTAAGACAACATAATCCCGTAGTCGTACAAACAGGCGGTCTACAACAATTCTGTCCCATGGCCACTGTATCAATTCATACTCGTATATATCACGAACACTTTGTTTAAATACCAAGATGACTGAAATTAAATCTTGGAAACATGAAATATATTCTCGATGTTTCAAACGCTCTTCAAGCACGGCGTGTCCGCTCTTATTGATGCCTCGAGGTTCTTGAATGAAGATCAAGTTACATGCTTAAAAACGTTTACAAATCAATATTTGTTGTCAAATTTGAGTCCATTGCAAACATGTGACAGTGGGCACTGGTGTGACTAAAACAATATGGCCGCCCGCAAAGTAGGTGACAAAGGACTGAATCTGAATCCCAGTCAAGTCACGATTCGAATAGTTATTATTGTTATATTGGCCCATGCGGTTTTCAGTTTACAATATATTCTTTTAAAAGCATATGTAACTTTTCCAATATTCGTAATTGTAAACTGAACTAGGCTTGCTATTTTGTTATGATTCTTTTACAACACAACTAAGTTGAATTAACTAATGGCGTTGTAAATTATGTATTACAACTACTCTTGTATGTAACTAATTCGTGCACAATTAACAAGTCAAAATTATCAATTGTAACTATGAAATATTTAGAAAGAGTTTTGATTGGCCAATGTCCGTGCAGCTGCGCCGGCAATCAACACACTTTAATTATACATGGCTCAATATGGCTCACTTTAGGCTATAATCAATACAACTAGCGCTCGCCCACGACTCGCGCTTCCCTGCTATTTCACGAAAACATTTAGGCTAAACTAAAGCCCTGTTTGCACTACATTCGATTTATCGGCACGGCATCGCTAAATGGGTATCCGTGTAAAAAGTACAGTCTAGGTAAAAAGAATACAAAATAGAGCATTCTAATTGGTCGCTGAGAAAGTCGGTAACTGAACTCCTAATATTTGGCGGGAAGAATTGAATTGTACTTGTCACTTATTTCTGTCAAAAGTTTCTGTTTTTCAAACATTAATATTTCCAAAATAATGCCGTGAATTATTATATCGATATTTTACATAACAGTGAGTGACATAACAAGTTTCATTGTTTTTTGATTTTTTTAATTTACTGATTCATAATGAATTGTTACAATTACAATAATGATAAAGACAATTACATATTTACAAAAACAGTGACAGGAGAGGGCAACAGGAAAGAAATCCCAATAGACAGCGAAAATTTAGCGGCAAGAGACCAAGAGTTCTTAGTCTTTCTGAGTACGAAACTTCTCGTGGAGGATAGTTTAAATGAATTTCGTCGCTCGCCTCAAGACGTTCTAAACCAGCTGAGCTCGATATTTAACTGTCGATGGTAACCATAAACTAGAACAGTACTCCAGATGTGGGAGAACCAATGAACAAAAGAGAACGTTTCGAGTATTTACATATGCCTGCAAACTTGTTTTATCAATCCAAGTTTCCGATAACCTTTGAAAACATTTCCTCAATATGTCTTCTCCATTGCAAGTCGCAGGATATATAGTGATACCCAAATCTTTAATGAAAGGAACATATTCCAAGCATTCAGAACCCAATCGATATGGCCAACAATCCCTGGGGATTCGTTTTCTTTAAATACGAAGAGCCTTGCATTTTAGGACATTAAAGAACATACTTGAGTCCAGACTATATGTATGCCATCAAGATCTTGTTGGGGGACATATTGCGATGATGGAGAATCCAATATTCTATACAATTTCGAATCGTCCGCAAACAAAGCCAAGTTAAGAATCCGAATGGATATAGTTGGGTATATCATTGATGAAAACAAGGAATAGGAGCGGCCCAAGAACTGATCCCTGGGGCACTCCGGAATTTACTGGCAGCCAAACTGCATAAATGCCTTCAAGAACAACACGATGGTATCTGCCAGTTATAGATAACTTTTTAACCACTGAAGCAAGGTTCCAGAAAACCCGTTGTTGTCAGAAAATACAAATGGTCTATGGTTCGTATTTAAAACGAAATTAACGTTGGATATACAAACGAAAACATTTAAAAGACATCTTTAGATAAGTAAAATGTATTCTACTTTAATGCATGTTTAGGCTATAATTGAAAAAAAATATTCGGCTTTATAATGGTCTTTCGCGGCTTATTTACGTGTCGTCTTTGTGTGTATTTTTGTCACTACTCATATAGTTTAGTCCATATTATAAACAGAACATTACACCCAGTAGACTTGTTTAGTATGATCCCGTTTTTCAATATATTTTCTTTATTTCATGCATTTGTTGGTTTCGCTTATATTTCCACAGCTAGTTTATTTTTGACATGCACCCTGTAGACAGTTACAAACGCCTCTTGAAACGACATTCAGGCTGGCTAAATTTAAACTCTTGGCCAAAAGTTTAATGGACACATAAGAACATTTTTACACAAAACAAAGTATAAGAAAAATTACTGTATTTCATGTATATTAACTTCAGGAGGCAGTTGTATAAAACGCCTTGCATGCATGACAACATATTAAGTAGTTACAACGTAGTCAACCACCGTTTATACAACCGGCGCCTAGGTTTTAGAGTTTTCTTGTACAAAAATTATGTTAATATAACTATATGGTACAAGGTGTGGCCAAAAGGCATATACCCTTAAAAATTCGAATTTGCAGTATTTCATAATAAAAATTTGACGTCTATTCTTCAAGGCTCGTTTGTGTCGTGGCGAGTCGGCGAAATACTATATATACATTAATATTTTAATAACAGTTATTTCAGATCGCCCAACAGTTTCTCATTATCATTATGAATTCATCATCGTCTTCGATAGTGAGACTAAGGCCTTCAAAATAATCTTCAAAATCCTAGAAAAGACAGACGCAATAATTTTAGGCGATTCTTTGTTTGGACGTCATCATTAGACGCCATCTTTGTTGATTTCACACATATATTCACTCCTGTTTTTAAAGAGAGCATAAGCATCATGACCATATTTCGAAAATCAACGAAGATGGTGGATTATCAGTTTTCTAGAAAAGTTAAAATGGTGCAAATTTGTGTGTGCAATATCAACGCTCACCCCATATGTAACTTCTCCTTTTTTCTTACAATGGTCGAAAGTGTTTAACAACTGCTTGCGAACTTCATCCTCAGTTACCTTGCCTTCAAGAAAACTTGCATGTGAGAAATATATTTCCAATTTAGATTTCTAGTGAGAACATTTAAAAAATAGAAAACATTTTCGGGAGTTTGGGAGAACGAAAAAAAAAGTTATTTCGAAGTGTTTCTGTAACTATATTGAAACACAGGAAAAAATTTATTTTATTTCTTTTATAATATAACTCAATAAAAAGATTTTGTAAAAATATTATAATTCGATTTAATTACAAATTCTCATTACATCGCTTCGCTTGTCAAGTTCGGCGGGAAAAGTCCCGTGTTTCTGTATACAGTTATAAAAACACGCTTTTTGACCAATCAGCACGCGCGTACGATGTTATATTATAATTAAAAATGATAAAGCTATCTTATATAATAATACCTGATATAACATGCGGATGTTGTCTGGCAGTGTAAAATTTTGCAAGATTCACTAACGGTACCACACCACGTTTGTTTGGGTCCATTTTCCTAAACACCTGTGTAAATGACATAATGATGAATTCGAAGTAATGTTGGAACATATTTATGAAAGGCATGAGCTGTATACCTTTAAAACAAGTGATTTTCTTCCCTCGTTCATTTCACCAATAAAATTCCTGGTGAACTCTCCATAGTCCAAGGCCCCGTCATGATTCGCATCCACGATATCCCAGATCTCATCGAATCGCTGAAACGAAAACCGCACAATGTTTTTGTCTGCTAGTTTGTGGTGTAAATATGAGTATTGGTGATACCGGTATTTGTCTTCTACTGAATAACTATTTTAGCAATATTTAGGATGCAGGTGTTAAGTTCACGAACCTCGGGAGGTATTTGGATATTAAATTGTTTCAGTGCCTCCTTAAGCTCGTCTTTGTCCAATGCACCATCTCCTGACGTATCTAAAGTTTGGAAATGTCTACCAAGACCTGTCATTGTTTTTACGCCTCTTTTCTTGAGCTGACTACGAACTAAAGCTAATAAAGATAAAAAAGAAGATTTGATAAAGATAAAACATGCAGAAACAATTGGACTGATATCCTCTATTTAACATCCGGTACTGCTCTATCTTGAAATTAGATAATTTCAAAAAGTAATACTCGGAGGTTGGTCGGGCTGTCCGGAGTAAATAGTTAAATCATAAAAGCTCTCACATGAATAAAGCTCTACAAACGGTTTAAACAAGGCCCTATCCTTTGTAGTAAAACTGACGGAAGAAAATGAATTTTTCTTCTGGGTTTTGAAGGTGACCAATTATGACACGTTACCTTTGACTTCGGCGATAAGTTCTTTATCCTTAGCATCTTCTTTCGTCGTCGTTCTTTGTAGTAATTCATGTGATGGCGAGACAGCCCCTATTGGTGTATGTGTGTCTTTGAACCTGCGCATCAAAGAAAAATTTCTTCTTAGATCGCAACCGTCGTTCCTTTATACCCGGATTCATCTCACTGCAAACATTTAAGGATAATTACTTACGCTATTTTTTGTTTCGAATCGATATCCACATCGGTAATACGAAGGGTAACGTATGTTTTGCGCTTCAAATTGTTTGGTAAAGACAACTGCTCTGATGTCTCAAATACCAAATCCTTGCCCTAAAATAACAATGAAATGTGGATTTATTCCGACACCTTTAAGAAGTTACATTAGTTTGCGAACGAAACTCTATACATACAGCAGAGAACGAAATGTCTCCTTTTATATAGGCACGTTTATAAAAAAAATTTAAAGAATTGATATGAGTCTTTTGAGGTGCTAAACAAAGGTGGGGAGGGAAAAATTACGAAGAGTGGAGACGCGAAGAGTGGCAAACTTGGTTATGGTGCTGCCTCTTGTATCTCTGAGTTGGGCCTGCTTATAGGTTAAGGACGCAGTTATATCTAAATGCGACCCAGTGTATTGGACCAACTCATTAAAAGTCGAGATTATATAGTTGTTCCTCTCCTGTACTTTGAGGGCTTTCTCAAGGTATTCCCGTTTTTCTCCTCGACCGAAACCGCCTCCGGGTACTAATTATATCCCTATAATATATAACACCTAGTATATATAACCATGCAGTCAGTCTGAGAAATTCGTATTTCATACGGAAATTAGCGCATCTTTCATGGTACTTAGAGTGCACACTCTATATACTGCATTAATGAAATAGACTCCTATAATAAAGTCTGTGTTTTTACGTAGTTTGTGGGCGAAGCATGTTTCGGATGTGGCCAGTTGACTGGTAGTTGTTGAATCTGTGGACTAATTAACATTTTCACTTACAACTGAGATATCTTGGTATGAGTACGGTTCATCTTTTGTTCTACCTTTTGCGTGGTAATACTTCCCTCGTTGAATAAAGGGCAAAGCAGACGATCTGTTATTAAAAAGAGTAATTTTAAATGTTTATCTCAAAGATTCTGTCTAAAATGCTGTTGTCTTACATGTAATTTTTATTCTCACCTGCTTCCAAACTGCCTGAACTCGTACACAGTCAGGGAATTATCAGCGGGAAAGTAAAAACCATTCAACTCTCGATGAGCGTCATGACCATCCTTGCTTAGAATACGAGCTGAAAACCTCAATCGTTGACTAAGCAAGTTCTCTGAGACTGTAGTCGTTGCCGTAGGATTCCTACAATATAGAGAGATTTTTTAAATGCAAGCGGACCTTTGAAGTTTTTTGTCTTATTTTTTGGAGTTTTTTCTGACTCAGAATTTTTTCTTCATTTACGGCCAAAATACTTTTAGTATAAAAGATTCCAAAATCCAAACACGCGCCTTATGACTAGACAAGCTGGCGCCAAGTCGGGTAATGGCTTCCAAAAAATGTATCAAAAGTAACAGATGTGTCACAGCTTGAGTTTTTGGAACCGGTATGCGCTTGGTTCAATAAAAGCACGGCATTTATTATCGATGTGATATTAACAAAGAAATAATTTATTTTTGGAATTTACTTTACGAAATTTTTTAGCCGCTTATTTAATCAGGACTAGATATACGGAAAAAAATCGCAGTGTATTTCACAGCATAACCCAACAGGCAATAATGTCGATTCCCGACCTGCAAATTGTAAATACACCTATATAACAGCCATTTTATTTTACGTTTTCAATGATGTAATGATTAAGCCATGCTGACATTGGCAGGCCTGTTAGATTCAGATTTTGAAAATTTACCTATTAAACAGCGCTTGATGTCGTTTTTCTCTTGGTCCAACTGTAGGGCTATTGAATGCTTGAGATCTCGCCTGAGGATTAGTGACAGTTTCCCTAAGAGGTATATACACGAAGGTAGGCAACGTTATTTACGTGTCACCTTTTATATATAGTAGGATTGAACGAAATGGGTTATATAAATATTTCTACGGAAAAATCCTTTAGCCAGTAATGCCTAATGGAATATGATTGCTACGTACAGTACGTCAGTCTTACCTCATAAGTTCGTCACCAACAAGCGCCTCATCAATAATTTCATTTTTTCGGGGTTTACTCGAAGTTTTGCCGAAAAGAAACAATTGAGTCTTAGTCCTAACGTACAGATACTGGTGATGTGGTGTAACGCAGTAATGTACTATAAACTTGCCCTTGTGCGCAGTTTCCATCGCTATGAACGTGTAAGCAAAGTGAACTAATTCATATAGCTAGGTAATACATGTATATTTAAAGAAAATATACTACAGGAGTAATTGTAGCTATATAGAAAAAGTGCTATCATTAAATCGCTCGGTCAACTTTAGAGCGAGAAAGACCTGTAGGATGAGTCGCACACAATTATATCCAGCTAAATCTTTATAGTTATTAGACTACTTGCTTTTTCATCAGCAACTCTCATCAACATCTCTGCGTCTCTCTGTGGTTGAACGGCCCATGGTTCCGTCGTGTCCAATTTTACCTGCAACAATTCATTCACCAAAAATCAGTAAACTGCTTCCATTAATTTTACTATACATTACTGCGTTTTTGGGTAGTTGACGGTTCCTGTTTTAATAGCACTGGAAACTCTGAGTACAGCTGAACTTACAATTAATTTTATTTCAAAATCTGTGTCTAAAATTAAAATTGTACATGCATGCATGGTGTATAAAAAAACGCAACCACTTAATAGTTGTGTACATAATGCATGTAAGTTAACATGTTGGGAAGCATTATTTCCCCTATATTCATTATTTTTGCCCCTTAAGGTTGTATACCTTAGACTTAGTGCTTTCGTTTTGCTTTTCGCGTTTATTTCTTTCTCGTAGCGCCTGCAAAAAGACAAAGATTCAAAATAACTTAAAAGCCTTAAAGGCGCTCTTACGTTACACTATATGCAATTTTTCTTCCAACTTGCAATGCAATTGTAATTTTAAGGGATGTTAAAAAGTGCTCAAAATGTTAAGAGAAGTCAGCAGAGCGTAACAAAATGTTGTATTTGACAACTTTAGATGTCTCCGTAGTTGAATTGCGTTGCATTTGGCAAGGAAAGTTGCATTGTGTAACACCGTCTTAACTTTCAAAACCAAAGATAAATATGCAAATATAAATATGAAACGAACCGCTAACCTTTCTAAACTGCTCATTTCCACTGTGCGAGAGTTGCAGGTCGAGATCTGGAATTCCGTTCGGTTTTTGTCGTAACGAAGAAAGCATTCTTTCCTCTGCGTTCTCCGCACAAACCTCGTAATTCGTTTCCTCTTGTTGATTGTTATAATACTGATTGTTGATCGGCGTTCCCCAACTGAAAATAGAGCACATCAACCATGTTTTCTTTAATCCAGGCATTTACATACTGTACGGTAATGATACAGATTGTATAATGAATGACACATGCAGGTTGTTAAAAAAGCATCGCTTTGAAATCTTACTTCTGTTGCAATTTAGATGCCAATTTCGTATTATGCGAAACCGACGGGTGCGTCAAATTGAACGAGAGCTAAACTTATTATATAGTTAGTTATTTGCAGAGAATGGTTTTACTAACCTTACACTGGTTTGAGAATCTGGTGTGGCCAAGTTACAGCTTTGGTCACCACGTGGAATTTGCAACTATCAAAAAATTAAAATGCAGCTTGTAAATTATAAGGGTATTAAATAATAAAAACGATAAAGAAAAAGTAATAAAACTCGTGCTTAGCTATTATCAGAGAATGTTTATAACTGCATGAAAAGGAATACGTGTCCTGTCAACTCCTGTCACGCTTTTGTTGGAATTTGAATGCATGATCAACGCAGTAGCGTCTAAATAGCATAGTTATTAGGTTGAGGCATTTGATCAAATAAAGCATCTTGCTTTCAATTGGGTTTATCATAATATTAAGGCAATCGGATTCTAACAAAGCTTGATTTCAATAGAGGGGACATTTTTTTGGGACACTCTGTATTAGATTACATAAAAATGTCAAACCCTGCATGCAAACAAATTCTTTTAGCATGCACCACTGCCAAAATTAACATAATTTTAAAATAGTTCATTTTAACCACCGTATACAGTACGCTTCTTTGATAAAGGAAAAAAGAAATGCAATGATCGAAGGGCGGTTGTTCACCTAATCAGTATAATACAGTACCTCGTCATCTCTATCCGCAAGTGCACCCAACTGTAATTTCGGCACCCTAAACATAATTATCATTTCTACTTAATTATCCAAAGTTTCGTATATAAAAATGTAAATGTAATGATGACCAGTTATGAGAAAAACCATTAACACAAGACAATTAAGATATCAAGGGAAAAGAACTATGGAGATCGTCAGATCGAGGTGAAAATAAAAAATTCTCGACAGAATCTTGCTAAGATCTTGCAAAGACCCTAGTCTTGATAGGATTTTGAATATTCCTGCAGGAGTTTCTCACAATATTCAATAAGATCAAGCCTATATCTGGCAGTAAGTATTTTGCAAAATTATATAGCAAGATTCCAGTGACAAGAGCAGTCAGTATGGAAGTATGCACGTGTATAGTGGGATGTCACATCTTAGAAAATTATGCCAAGATTCTGTTAGACCTCGTTTGCTTTGCTTCATGTCAATATCCTTCATGATATTCAGGTAATTTGATGCATATTTAATTAATATTCTTTATATAAATTTGTCGAAATTTTGTGATTATCTTTTTATATAGTTATAAAACTGTAGCTCTGACATAAATTTGAAACCGGCTATAAAGTATATTTCAAAAAAGATTAAGTTGTTTAATTCAACCGAGAAATTGTTTTTATATAGTTTTATCTGACAACTACTCCCATTCCATTACCGCCATTTCAGAATTCTGAACACCTGGATTATTTGCCGCTATAGTCAGTGAACCACGATAGTAAAAATTACATGACGTAGAAGATTCTTGTCAATAGAATTTTTGTCGTTGCAAGAAAAAACGCTTCGTTTTGTTTTACTGTTAGAATTCAAAACCTAAATTGTTTTTAATTTTTTTGGAATAAAATTGATCCGGAAAAAAAGACGTACGTTTTAAACCAAGTTCTAACAAAACTAATCGTTCAAAAGCGTTTTAGCGGCAATGCAAGCATCTCGTGGAACCATTTTTTGCCCTTTGGAGCATGCGCGCAACAAATTTCCCGGCTGTTCTCACTTCTCAACTTCAAAAAAGCTCAGAATTTAAACGGTTAAACCGAAACTGGCAACTATTTCTGTAGCCTGATTTTGCTATGTTTAGACTTATATTCAATTGCTACACTGCCTACACATGCTGAAACGTCGGGAAACCATGGCGAGGAAAGTGAGAAACAGGACACGGATCTACAGGTATGATATCCTGCTGAAATATAGGCAATTTTTATTTTTTAAGAATGCCAGATGGTTATACAATTTCACAAATACATACCCATCAGGTGCTTTTCTGGACCTTGGTCTTCTGGGGTTGTCTACATACAGTTTACCATTGACTGTGATCTACAGTATGAAAACATAAGCAACTAAGTAAAATAGACATAATCTTACAAGTTTCCCAGTGCATTGTCAGCTTTCAATTATATGTAAATAAAATACATAAAAATGAAGTTGCAAAACTTATATGAAGTTGCAAAACTTCCAATTCTTAAATATATCTGAAAGGTAATTACCACTTTTGGTTCAACTTTGGTTTTCTCACTTGATCCAACTAGCTTTTTAGTTGTTTCTAATTCAGATTGTGAGATGATCCCAGCCTAAAAATATTTTAAATGTATTATTAGCAAAAGAATTATAAACCAAGTATATATGACTGCATGCTAGTGGTACAGTAAATATGACATAGAATGTCACCCATCCATAACAATTTACGTTCCTATAGTCTAACAAAGACTAATTGTACCAAAATATGACTGATTTGGTTGGTGCAAAAATATAATATCTAGGTTATTCAAGTAGTGGTGGAGATTAACATGTTCTCTATGGCCTTAGGGTACGTTCTTAGACATACACAAAACCTAGTCTAAATTGAAACTCAATCCATACTAATTTCAAATTAAAGTAATTAAGCCAGAACCATGTCTGATAACAACTACAAACACATCATAATATTTTGATATACTGTAATGCATCAAAATGTATTGTTATATAGATTTGCAAACATGCATGCCTTCTATTACCATTCAAATTAATTAATATGATTTTTCGGTTAATGTTGGAATATAAATTTTCACTAAATAGAGGGTGAATTTAATACTTGCATGGAGTCTAATGAAAATAAGTTTTGTGTGCATCTAAACACTGACTTACAGATGGTATTGTAATTGCATCAGAACCTCGAGGTGCAATTGGTGTTTTGTACTTTCCATTTGATTTCACACTTCCACTACTATTTGTTTTCACTAAATCTCTTTTGGAAACTTCTTGTCTACCACTTGGTTCACTTATTCCAAATATATTTGCTTTGGTATCGGCATTCCTGTTTGCATATCCCGATCGTTTCCCGCTGAATGGGCGCTCATGTCTTGGACTCGCTTTTCCCTTGACTGATAGATCCATAAATGCCATAGTTCAGTTCATAGAAGGCTTTATATAAATGTTTAGTGATGTGAGTTATCCCACATTATGATGCTTATATTAAATCATGAACAAGTATGCTCTTCTTAGATTCTTTTTTAAACCAGGTGTTAATTGAATGTATAAGATTCCTAAAAGTTCAGATAGTATTTCTTTGACTTCTTCGCTACAGTTGATATCTCTTGAATAGTGATTAAACTGTCATCCCTGCATGACTGCTTGAGTAAATATCCATTACATACAATACCCAAAATCCGTGCTCTGTATTTTTTAAATTATAGATGTTTACACTGTATTTAAAAAATTAAACTTCACAACTTAAGCGACTACAATAGATGAGCACCTTGACTTCATATAACCTTCAACTGTTTTGTACAAACTGAAGATTGATAATCGAGTTACCAGGCAACTTGTAAACAGCGAGTTCTGCTTCAAATCTCGTAAAAAAAAACTCCCGTATATGTTTTGAACCACTTTCACATTTGAATATAACTAAGTATTCTAAGTACGAAACCCTTCCTGCATTCGAATATGCAGTTGTTTGAGATTAGCCTAAACTATTTTGTGGTTTCACGTTTGTTTACATCGCATCGCAAGGACGCCATGTTTGTTTTTATTTTCAAAATTTGAATTTTGATTTTAAATTTGTACTCAGGCTTCTCCACTGAGCTCTATAATAATTCCTACTGAATTGTTATATTATAGCTCAGCGAATATACTAGAAATATATTAGAAATATACGGACACGTAACTAGTCGTATATTTTATATTTCAAAATCTACGATGACGAAGTGATGAAAAAATATAGATCTGTTGATTATGACCAAATATTGACCATGTTGTCAACTATGTCGTTGACTCGTTGCACACCGAAAAGTAAGTTATGAAATGCATAAGTATACCGGTGTCGGCAAAATTAGAGATTTGTCCACTCGACAGTCTTTTCAGTTGTGTTTCAAGGAAGACCTTGATTTGGAAAGGGTGTAATGTTTTAGACCTACTGTAATTTTTTAAGTTTAAAGATATTTGATTATACTGATCTTGTAATTATGCAGTTCACCACCAAACCTGCTATATTTTAACATGTTCTGATAAGCATAGCATAATCTGTTTAACAAGGGGGAATATCGTTTTTGTCCAATCAGCACGTTTGTTTACATTTTCATTAACCCAATCAGAATGCATAAATTTCGACTACTTACGGTAAAAAGGTACATTATTTTCCATTTTACATGAAGTATTAAAATTTAGGCATTCTGATTGGTTTTGCCAAAAAAATGTAAACAAATATGCCGATTAGTTTAGAACGAAATTCCCCTTTGTTAATCTGTTTGTCTCATACTACGAAAAACGAAGATGTATTTCTACTAAGAGTTTCCTGGTTTTCAGTTCCCATCAGCTTTTAACGTTTCAGTTGCGCCAGAAATTGCTTTAAACACAACAGACGCCTGTCTCTTGATATCCAACCAATCCTTCTCTGTTTTATGCTGCTTAAACATCAGATCAGAGATTCCCGGAAAGCTGGTGCTACCGTAAACATTGTTCACGGAAGGCGCGAATACGACGTGTCTTGTGTTTGGTCGATTAGGCAAGCCTGGGGTCGAGATGAAAGATTTCTCAACGTTGACCATACGGTTATTGAGGTCTCGCAGTTTAATGTCATCCTTTAAATCAAGAGCTTTCTCTTTTTCCGCTTGGAATTTTTTTGCCTCTTCTATGAATCTTAATAAATAAAAGAAAATGGTTATTTGTATAGGTAATAGCATGGTTTCGAGTGCAATTTGGATAAACATGCACGAGTGAGTTTTTCAAAGACCTCAAACTGATAGGACGAGTGCAATTTGAAGTCAAACTCACGAGTGCATTATTGTTCCAAATTACACACAAATTGAGAAATTTTTCTATGTATATTATTAGTTGTGTTATCAATCTCCTTGATGTTTAAATTCATTGCTCCCGCGCGACACGATCTTCGTCTTAGTTTTGATCAAGAATAGTGTGCTACCTCAATGACTTAATTAACACATGAGAAAACTCAGCAAGGCTTAATTATTTTCAAAAGGCCTGAAGTGGTAGCTTATCACGTATTTATATGTGTATTTTCGAATACCGTACTTTCTAATTGCCTTCTTAATATGACGCAAGGTGACGTTATTGTTTTCAAGCTCTTCCCCATGATCGTTCCTGAGCGTTTTCAAAGAGTTGTCCAGAGATTTGCCATACTCTATGACATCGAGCGGTAACACAAAACTGTCGGCGATGTACATGAGAAGTCTCGAGGCAACTCTTGCCGTGGTTAGTTGGAATTTGAAGTAGGGATCGACCAAGCCTTGAAGCCATTTGTACGTGTCGTGGACTGAATGGTATACAGGGTAGAGAACTTCACCAGCATAGGTCATGTCTATGGACGGTACTCCTGTTGGGGAAATGTCGTTTAGGAAAATGCATGTCATTTGACGTGGTTAATTGCTGAAGTTGCGGTACAAATCTGATTACAAGTCTTTCAATGCATCATGGGCCTATTTTAGTGACAAAGTAGCGTAGCCAACATCGATAATGGGGGGGGGGGCATATTCATATATTCATGTTAACAGATTGAAAAGAAATTAATCCTGCATATCACGAATATATGAATATGGGTCCCCCAATTCTCGTTCTGGCTACGCCACTGAACAAACTTTTATTTTTTTCCCGAACTGAACATAATACTTTGTGAACATGAAGCTACTCCAGCCCCGGAAAGCAAACGCAGGCAAAATGGAGATGAATATGAGTACTAGACCGCCAATCAGTCAAAAATTGTATAAATGTTTTGTCTACCAACAGTTGTCCCACAAAAAATAATATACTTGCTTCCGTTATAAATTTCCTTCGGCTACATCAAAGTCCAATAAAAAACGTTCATTGTAACACACTGATCATACGTTCAGGCTAGGCCTTTTTGTGAGTAAGCTGAATGTGTTTATAAATGCTTATTTACCGCAAAATTGATAAAAACTGGCGTAATCTGAACCGGCACCCAAATTTTCATATTTGAATTTCTTTTTTGCTTTCCTCATTTGATCGTACACCTTTTGCCCGTGGGGATCATGAACTTCCTTAACATTCCTGATAGTTGCAGTCTTGAGTAGAGGTGAGCCGGCGACGCTGAAGGTCAAGTTACCACCGACTGCGATATCAATATTTATGTAAGTTATTCCTTTGGTTGACAAGGCTCGTTCATTTTCTTCCACCCATTCGGTTGATCCTATCAAACCTGATTCCTCTGCTCCCCAGCTGCAGAATTTGATGGTGCGTCTTGGACGCCAACCTGTAGAGTGTAGTGGAGGTAAGACTATGAGGACATGGCGATATTGGCAGGGCTTTAATGATGACGAAGATTAAGATGTAGTGGTCATGAGTCGTCAATTCCACTGTCATGATAATAGAAAGTTTTTTATTGGCATTAATGGCAAACTGCAAACCAAATAGGGAGCAAATATCAAAGTTCTAAGAGCCTGTCTACATGGGGCGAGTTATCCCGGCTAGACGAGGTGAAAACTGCATATAATGAAAGACTAATCAAGTTAAGCCTTTGATCTGAGGCGCTTTTTACCTCCCCTAGCCGGAATAACTTGCTCCATGTAAACAGGCTCTAAATGATGATTAACCGTGTCCAAAAGTAGTATCCAATATTGGCATACTCCACTTTCCTGAAGAAAATCAGTGTACGTAATGATAACAAACCTAGAAATCTGCCTCAAACAAAATTTGGATATTCAATAAAATTATGCGGGAAATGAAATTGAGCTGCGTCAAAAGTCACCTGAAGTTTGACCGTGAACCGCAAACGTTGAAGGGCAATTTTTAAACGTCAAGCCTCGGTTACGTAAAAATACTTTTCAAAGTTGTACTTTCTAATGGTAAAGAGGGCGGTGAGTGTTGTACCTTTTTTCAGAAGCTCACTTACACCACGTGATATCTCCATCATGACTGACGTGCCACTGGACGCATCCACTGCGCCAAATCCCCATGCGTCCCTATGATTCCCTATCAATACCCAACGATCTGGCTCCTCTTTGCCATATATGGTGCCTATGACATTGTACACATTTTGCCGCTTGTTTGGAACATTTACTTGTATTTTGACAGTGCTGTCGTTCTGTAAACCGCCGTTTCCGAGTTTGTAAGAAATGTTCAATCCACCTTGCCAGTTGAACAGATCGTGGTCACCTTTTGAGATAGAAAGTAGAAAATTTAGGTTCTACACACTGATTATCTGCTCTTATATTTTCCTCTTTAAAGATTCAGTAAATTGCATGTTTCTCTTGTTTTATTATCCCTATATAAGACTTATTATAGAGGCGTTAAGCCCGTTGGATTCGCAATTTAATGTGTGATTTTCTTCTTTTGATAGATATGAACGAGTGAATTAGTTACTGATGTTCAAGTAAGAGATTTGATACATCCGAATACATCAGACCATTCGTAACTAATTACTTGTTCACATCTGTCAAAAGAAGAAAATCGCACATAACATCGGAGCAAAAATCGCAAGTGTATAAACGAGCCCATTGAAACTTAAGGCCCTGTGACACGGTGCAGTTTTTCCTGTAACAGTGTAACTTGCATTGCAATTCTACTTCTAAGATATGTGAATTAGTGAATGAGTTTTGCAGAAGAAAAGGGCAAGTGTAAGAAACACCAAAGTTTCGTTGTTCCCAAATATACATCATTCAAAAGAAGAATTGCATTGCAAAGTTGCAGGAAAAATTGCACCGTGTGACAGCTAGGGCCTTTACTGAATCAACATTTGCGATTTACTAACTTTGGGATGCTCTTTCCAGTTGTGCATCTCACGGCCGATTAATATTCCAAGTTCAGCATTTAATATTCCTAGTTCAGCACTCCGTCATCCACGGCTTCGCGGTCTCATCGCTACTTTACACTTCATTTTTTAAATTTTGCACCTACCTTCCATGATCTCCAACAGTCTAACAGCGTCGCCGTAAGGCATTGGTGTAGCTGGGATCTTAGGAAGGTTAGCCCTCTCTACCGGTATTCTGAACACTCCTTCGACAGACGGCAATCCAGGAGTCAGCGGATCCCCGCGGATTGTGCCTATGCCACCGCGCTGGACTCCTGTCTTTGGGAGCCAAATGTAGTTTGGGTAGACTTTATCCTGGCCCTCGGGTGCAAAATCTGCCGGGTCGTTGTACAAAATGACGCCAACTGCCCCACAGTCTTCGGCATTTTTGACCTGTAAATTGCACAAAATGGAAAATATGCTACTTTTACCTCTAATTCCATGACGTATTCTTCAAACTTCGAAATATCCTGTCTTGGGATACTAGTAATAGCGACCATAAAGCCCCATTTATTTCATAACGTGTTCAGTGTCATTTAATAATTGAATAACAATGTCACTCGTATAGTTTAGTTCAGTTGTTCATTATAGATAAAATAGTTTAATTCCCACCTTATCACCGCGATATATCTTTCCATATCGCATGATGACAATGTAGCCGCTGCAGTTTGTGATGCTGAAGTTAATCTTCAATGCTTGAAAATCTTCAGTTCTTCCATAATTCACATACAAGAGTTTCCCTTCAGCCGATCCTTGCTTAGAGAAACCCAGTAAAGGCGGGATCATCGTAGTGTCGTTTTCGCTGGGGTCTGCCAACTGTGATGTATAGAAGTTAAAAGTAAATGAGAGATATGTACATTTACGCACTTTATAGACATGTGTATCAAGCTCCACCACTGACGAGGCATGTATTTAATTAAGGAATATTAACCATACTAAATAAATAAATGGTTTCTGCGGGGTACAGCCCGAGATATTTGGGATGCACATGAATGTTCCAAAAATTATGGGAAGCGGAAATGCATAGTTTGCGCTTCCCTGCAACGAAATTCATTCAGCATTTGCTCTACGATAACAAAAGTAAAACTGCGAGTCGGCTGTGTAGGATTGTCCCCCCTGCACTGGCATTCGCACAGTACAGATTTCACACCTCACAATTATTGACCGAGCATGAGGTTTGTACTGTGAAATATCAGACCGAGTCACCTAAGCTTTGAAAACCATCGGTCTGATATTACAGTACAGATAGAACAAGCGAGGTCAATAATCGGTTTATTACATGGCGGAACTGCATGAGACCGGGATACTGGTCCAGGTACGGAATATACGGACCACGGTCCGGATATGGGTTTTAAGGACCGCTCGTCACCCAATCAAAATACAGGATTTTGAAACACTGTATAATAATATATATAGCTTATTATTGCCTGAGCGTGAGGTCTGTACTGTGAATTATGAGACGGAGTCTTTTTAGTATGCAAAAGACCTTGGTCTGATATTTCACAGTACATACCGAACAAGCGAGGTCAATAATCAGTTCCAATAATGAGACATCCGGGATACTGGTCCAGATACGGAATATACGGACCACGCTCGGATATAGGTTTTACGGACCTCTCGTCAACCTATCACAATAGAGCATTTTAAAAAGCCATATGATAAAAATGGATATATACCTTTTCTCTTCCAGAGAACTCGAAAGTCACATCACGAGTGGAATTCAAAATCTGTACAGAATTCGAGACGTTTGGTTGAACGTAAGGTAGGAGAATGTCATATTCCGTTTGTTCCACTTTGTCAAATTTGTATTCCTTCCATCTTTTTTCGATCTCATTTGCCAATTCCTTTGAACGTGGTGTTCCTGCAACATGGGGTCGCTCTGAGAAATACCTGAGATAAGCCAAAGTTTAAAATACTCTCATACATCTTGTAATGACTGAACCTACATCTTTAAATATGCATATATGTACTTCCATTGCTCATGAAAATTGGCATACGAAAACGTGGCGATGGCAAGCCCAGAAACTCATGATCGAAAACATGGCGATTGGAAACCAGTGCCTTTTAGTGTCTACTAATATATTGAAAACGCAAACTATATATGTGCTGTATATTGGGCTGAAGCTTTTGGACTGAATTAATGATGTTGATTTTCATAAAAATGTTTAAAACGTTTCTAACCAAAATGCCGGCAGTTGAATATTTAGCTTCAGTTTGATATATAACCCCTTGGATTCAAGTATATATATTTGAGCTGACAATGCAGAAAACGCCATCGGCTTAACGCAGCTATGAGCATCGGTTATGTTTGTGTAGTTACCAGGAAGCAATAGCGGGGGCAGCATAGGGAGAGCAGCAGAAGAGACATCAGCGCAGGAGCCCAGGCAGAATGTAGAAACAAACAACATAGATGCATCATAGAAGCTTTAGCGACGGCAGGGAAACACTGCTGCACGGTCAGCGGCTCTGAGAATTTGGAAGCTGTGTATTATAGCGCCATAGCGTCTTTGAGATATAGGGCCTTCCTATTGTCGTGCGTCATCGCGGTCCTTATAATATCATCGGTGATTATATCGTCTCGTGCATATATATATCCTTATTATCTAACTTCGTGGGCAAAAAATGGATTTTGCAGGCTTATAGATCACGCGTTTCAACTTTGAAATCACACTAAGTTGAACCTTTTTTTTCGATTTCAAGCAAGCTGATACCGAATTTCGTAAACATAAACCATAAAACGAGATTAACGACTTCAAGTGCCACTCCATCGAGCAGATACTTGACGCTTTCAAGTAAAAGCATGCGGGATTATAGATTTGCCACACTCGATTCAATCCATTGTTTATAAATCCCATTCGAGTATTGCATCGAACCCGCTTCTATACATATGTCTAAGCGATTATCTGCGGATTACCCGTCTTAATTCTTTAAAATATTAGTATCTACGCGCGGCTACGCAGCGATTTTAAGGGTTAGATCAGATGCAGAGTGACAAGAAACTCTAAATGACGGGTATGGCAAAATAGTGTTTTAACAGAAGGTGGCAGCATTCCATAGCCGCGTATGATAACTCAACGCTTTGTCCACGTGCGTTCTGCATCGATATCACACATGAAAGGAAAGGTCGCATTCCTCACCGTGTCATATATTCGCATAGCAAAATACAATTCGTGCCAAAGCTGCCTGTGGTTTTGTTTCTGGCGACCGCCTTCGGTTAATTCCTTATATTATATATATATAAGCTACATTTGCTCGATCTTTTTTCTATAATAAGTAAACCGCAATTGTCATCAAAACCTACCAGACCCCCCTCACCTCAGATTTTCGCCGATATTCTCCGCGTTCAGGATTCCAAACAGCTTTTCGTGGAAATCGTTTTTCCGTTTTATCTGCTCCCTGCGCATCTTCGCGATATATTTCATGTCGAATGTTTCAGCAGATGAGTCATCTGGCACTGAAAACCAGCCTATTACAAACCCCAACACGAATAGCACAATCACTACTATCACGATACCAAAAATTTGTCTTTTTGACAGCCTTGCCATTGTTAGCTTTGTCGAATTAGCACGGCCAGGCTTGACATTCCCGGAAATCTTCTCTGTGGTGAAAGGTTCGGTCGCTTCGGTGTCCATATAAACTCGTCTTTACGTGGTATAGGGATGTTGTAGTTGTGCGGTCCGAATGCTTTTAAAATGCTATGAATTTGAGATTGTCATATACTCGACCCCGGTGACCTGTTAGCCGCCCAATTCGGCAAAATTGCAATGTATAATGAGATTCGATATTTGCCATGCAGTGTTTCGTTTGGAAGTTGATGTTTTTATTTTGAATGAAAAACCCATATAGTTATTTTCCACTCCATTTAAACCACACGCAGATTCTATACTAAATGTAATAAGCAAATGTTTGTGTACAAATCTTTACATACTGACTAGACTGTTATCTTTGAGTTAACAATTCCCTCTCATGAATGCAGTCCTTTTGGGGACACATCACACATAAACACTTTGTGAACACTTTCCGCGTCTCTCCTTAGTATAGCATCAACAAGCAATACTACGCCTCCTTATTGGCGTCTTCCAATTCCGTCGTTGTTGATATTACCTCTAATTTTACTTTTTGGTATGGAAGTTTCTTTCCAGAGCAGGCTAAACAAGGGCACTATCCCTTCAATGGAATGCGGAATTTTTTATTCCACGAGCATGAAAGGCTTCTGAATTATGTATTGATTTTTTATTGTTTTCTATAAGCTCTCCTACAATGAAGTGTTTTGGTGTCAGCGGGGTCAGCCTAGGCCGGTTATTCTGCAGTTTCTTTACTTTCTTATCGGTATATCTCTCACGGAGTGTTTATCTAATCTCCTCGCTGTGTCGCACGACACTTCATATATATTCGTATCTTGTCAATCAGCAGTTAATTTACCCTAATCTATTTGCGCATATTTTGCAATTCCCTGCTATACATGGTCTATAAAAGTTTTTTAAAGTTTATAGATATGTCATTAGTTAATAAAGAGGTACTAACTAATTAACCTAACGCATATTAACGAGAATTGGAATAAAATTTAAATGCAGAAAAATATAAATTATATTCTTGCTATTATCAGAATAGAACCCCATGCATAATGTATTTGTAAGCCGTTTATGCACGTCTGGCGATAACGCGATTCACGCTTTCCAAGAACTTGTTTGTCTCAGTGAACGGTGGACTGCTCTGGTTGGATTGCAATTCATATATAGTATGATCTAAATTTTATAGTACGATCCAAATTTTCTCTTCCTCAAATACTTGATGGGTCCCGCGCAGTCGTCTCCCACAACTTGGTAGTGCTGCATTCTTTCTCCTTATGTCGTGGGTTCGTTATTGCGAACTTGTATGTCGGTATCGATTATTTGCGCGTATTACAGTTCTTCGTCACGATAATTTAAGCGTAACTCCTTATCGTGAGGATTCATTGTGATTCCCTCGTGACAGCAGAGCTTGTGGCCATGCTTCACGACTACGCATATACTTTTTAAGGCTTCCATCTCTTTACCGAACTTTTAGCTTGCTTATCTGTCTTCTCGTTTGTGTAGGGTCCAGTTATCTTGTTTTTGCGCACCTGTTGCGAATCAGCACGTTCCATTGAAGGTTTTGCAAGGTTCCGTTCTTCAGTTACAGTGCTTTCAGATTAGTGTGTGCTGAAACACTATCCGTGCTTTTGTGATTTCGGCCGATTCCCGAACGGCAACCTTGTGGAGGATGTAATTTTTTCCTCGCTTTAGTGTCTTTTACCACATGTTCTGCGATGTCTTTCTCGAGTGTGTCTTCAATAATCTTGTAGTTAATCTTTTAATTGTTCTGGATTATCTTAATTTTTTCGCCAGTTTAGGCTCCAGGCTGCTAGCAGGCCGCTACGTAATTCTGTGATATCACTTCCAAAGGAGGCTAGTCTCTTAACACCACAACCCTGTTTCTTAAGCTATACAGCTGCTCATAGTACGGGATGCAGTTTACTGCGATAACATCGGTGTTCAGTTGATTCTTTTGTTGGATTAAAGATTGTCCAGTCAAATTTTTACAAGCCCAATGCAGACGTTCAATATTCGCGGTCTCGCTCTTAATTTGGGTGTATTCGCCATAGTGTAACAGCGCCTTGACTATAGCCATATAATGTGATCAGTCTAATGCGAAAATATCACATTTTTTTTCTTACGGCGACATTCTTGGTCCGTTATGTTAAAAATAAGTTGATGACCTTTATATCAGGTATATAGTCAGTATACAAAACAATACCACCTTGCTCTTTATTTTCACATTCGTGATGGCTCTTTCTTCGGACTGTAATAATTGTTGGACTATATAATTAAGTAATAGCGTAAATTTAGAAAACCGGTTAACATACCTTCGTGCGAGGATAGCCTGCAGCTACGGTGAAGTCTTCAGCTATTAAGGTGCTTTTTTCTTCTTCTGAGAGAAAGAATATTTATCTGGCTTGGGTCTGAAATGCACGAAATTTGCCACTTTTTCGTGCTAGCCTCTTCTAAGGTTGCACCGGATACGAACTAACAGTGTGTTAAGGCAGTCCTCATAGCATAAGAAAGTCCCCATAATTGCTGTATAATATTGCTCGTACGTGGTTAATTAGTAGTTAAAAAAAAATAACTCGAAATAACTGATATGTCTTGCGAAAAAATTTTTCAAATCGAACTGTAAAGTGTCTACTGTCTCACTAACTTTCACTAAACCATTTTTAAAATTACACACCATGACCCTGATATCCCATCAAGAAATGGGATCCCACAAAATAGTTAGCTAGGTAGTTTCAGAAATTATTATTTACTATAATGTGATCATTTTCGGAATAGACTTTGGCTAGTGAAGGCGCTGTTACACTGTAAAATTTTTCTAGCCAATTGCAATAAGAGCTTTTCGGAAGAATTCAAACGTCTTATACTTGGCATGCAGCCTTGCAGTTGATAGAGTTGCACATTGAATCTTAGGCTATTTTAGCCTAAAAATTGGCTAAATTGGCCCAACTGCACAGGGAATGTTAGGCAATTTTAGCATTAAGAGTGAAATACTTTGTCCAAAGCATGTCGCTTATGAGGAAACTCATTCAGGCGAAATCGTTTTACTTTTTTTACGTACTCAAATTATAATTAATTAAGAAGCTAATTGTTTGCTTCTCTGATTAAATTACAACGTCACGAGTTAATTAAGTCATTGTATTATTGCGTTTTGCGAAATACGGTTCTCTTTAATTATAAACTGCGAGTTGCGAAGTATTGTTGGAAATTTTTCAGAGTTCAAAAAATGGGCGGCTGTTTTGGTTGTTTCCGAAAGGCGGATGACCCTGCTGAAGAGATTGATGAAGATATCGATGACCCTCAGGGAAAAGGTAAAAGCGAAAAATGCTTTGAGACATTTCTGGGAAAAATAGTTTCATTCCATCAAGAATAAACGTGATTCGCGCTCATCTTTTTGTTTTTCCAGAAGCATCAGAAGGCGGCTTTGAAACACAGATGCCGATAGCGGTGGCAAACAATAAGTCGGGCACTAAGCCTAAGGAAAAAGGTAAAACCGAAAAATGCTTTGAGACATTTCTGGGGATAGTTTCATTCCATCAAGAATAAACCTGATTCGCGATCATCTTTTTACTTTTCGCAGAAGCATCGGAAGGCTTTCAAACGCAAAAACTGATAGCGGTGGTAAAGGATAAGTCGGGCACCAGTGAATTGTCTTCCTCAACAGCGAAAACGATTGCTAAATGGGAATGTATCGATGAGCCTCAGGAAAAAGGTAAAAGCGAAAAATGCTTTGAGACACTTCTGGGGAAAATAGTTTCATTCCATCAAGAATAAACATGATTCACGCTTATTTTTTTGTTTTTCGCAGAAGCATTGGAAGGCATGGAAACACAGAGGCCGGTTACTGAAAGTGAAGATGTAGAGCTTCGGTCCAAGCCGGGAGAAACACTCGCGACAGACAAAGCGGAGCCAATTGAAGTCAAGGATAACGGCAAAGAGCCAGTTCTCGACAATGCCACAGAAAAGGCGTTAGTTATCGACTTGGCAAAAGCAACAAATTTGCCAACTGAGCTCGAAATTCAAGATGTCGCAGATAAAGTTAAAGGCGATGCCTTGGAGAAGCAAGACGACAACAATTTGCCGAGCAAAGAATCTGCAATGGCTCAACTTGGACAAGAAATCAAAGAAGACTTGGCACAAGCTGACGCCTCCGAAAACCAAACTTCGAAAATCGACAAGGCCACAGAAAATTCGTTGGTTATCGAGGTCAAAAAAGCAACAAATTTGTCAACTGAGCTCGAAACTCAAGCAGATGTCGCAGATAAAGTTAAAGGCGATGCCTTGGAGAAGCAAGACGACAACAATTTGCTGAGCAAAGAATCTGCAATGGCTCAACTTGGACAAGAAGTCAAAGAAGACTTGGCACAAGCTGACGCCTCCGAAAACCAATCTTCGGGAATCGATAGTGTTGGGAAGTCTTTGAAAACTAGCGAAAACTTGGAAGTATCTGAAAAAGAAGAAAGCGGCGTTGCCATAGAAACAACCATCGAAGGTAATGTAACAGAAATCAAAGCAATTAGCGTGACCGTGGAAGCTAATGTTGCCGTAATCAAAGAAGATGACGCAACAAATGAAATCGAGGACCACGTCACAAATCAAATCCAGTCTGACGTATGCAAAGTCGAAAGCGAGCATTGCCCAGCCGAGCAATGTGTTACCACGGAAACGGCAGCGCCGCCTGCGAAATCATGTGAGGCTGATGCCTCTGTGAAGGACATCCATATCAGCTTGACTGACTCACGCGAGGGCGACGAAACAAAAGGCGAATTGAGAATATCCGGCAATCTAAGTGAGGAACCTCACGACAAAACCACCGATGGACAAGTGTCCAGCGAAGTGCAGAAGAGTGGTACTCCCGAACTAAGCGAGGAGGAAGACGAGGAGGAAGACGAGGAGCCTGAAGTATTATGGACCATGGCTTCACTGGTGGCTCAACTTAGTGAAATTGTGCGAAGATAGCTGGCGTACCACGGAAAGAAGTCGAGTTAATAACTCAAGTCGAACACCATTCCTGCCAGTCTGGCATGGTGTAAAATTTTTTTTACTTATTAGACTGATATACTCGTGTGGAATTATAAATGTGATAAATGTGCATGCATGGAACTAAACAAAATAATAGTAATGGTAACGATATAATATATAATATAATAATAGTAAATATGATCGCCATAGAGATTAATGAAAAATGCATGGATAGATAAACTAGTTTGACTCTCGTATTCTTTCTTACTGTATATATCCTACCTTTTTCTGTATCATAATAATTAAACAATAAAAGAGAAAAAATTTGTCAGTGTCAGCTTTCACCAGCGGATGGGTGGTACTGGAACAGTTAATAACCAGATACACATGAAATAAACTATCGTACCAAGGGTTCCATAATCTAAATTTTAATTAAAACAGAACAATTGCACGAAATGCTATCAATTCCAATCAATAAACTGAAGAGAAACACAAAAAAGTAATACAAAAAGTAATCTCAGCAGTGCATTGATTGTAGATAGAGAATAGAAAATCCTTTCGGAAATATGGAAGAAGTATAAATTATGTGGTATTCCTAAGACACCACAAAGCTCCTCGGTTGATCAGTTGAGGCCAAGTGTTCTAGCAAAAGTTCAGGAGCCGGTTGTATCAAGTGCGTTTAGGTTAAACGGTGGATAAGTCAAAATTAATGAGTCAACTTGAATATTATGCACTGAATAAATTATGTAGTTGTAAACAGTAGCTTTGTATTAAGGTCAAAAACATTTTGTTCGCTTGTTGAATAAACGGCAGACTTGCTTTCTGTTTGGAACTTATCCACCGTTTAAGCTAAACGGGCTTGATACAACCAGCCCCAGGAGTCTTTTGTCGTTAAATTGCTTTTTTACTACTACAAAATTGTCATTCCTAGATCGGGGTTTTCGAATTTCGATAACAATTCACAAATAAGATTAGCTAAACTACTATAAGACTAAGTGACTATATTTACATCATGAATTCATAAAAGAGAGAAACTATTTACATCATCTATTCCTAAAAGACTTTTTACATTTGCACCTGAACACTTTACAGTTCTAAAAACAATTTATTCTATTATATCAGTTCTAGGTTAAAATTGTATGTTGCCTTCCAAAAAACCTGACTTTAATTTAAAATGATTTAGATTGTCAATTGAGGTTAATTCCTCGACCAATGAGTTCCAAATTTTCTTTCCTCTATATTTGAATGTTTTCTGTCCTGTCGCAGTCCGACACTTTGAAGTGTCAAGTTTATTTTGATTTCGGGTAGTGCGTTCATGGATTTGACTTCTTTTAGCGAACTTCTCACATAAATGTGAGGGTGCTTGGTTTTTTATGCATTTGTACGTTAACGCAGCGTCTCTGTATTGCAAATATTCTTTTATTGGGCCTACCTAGATCCTCGAGTAACGGAGAAACATGATCATATTAAGATTTTGTCTGGCCGCACAATTCTGAACTGAATTCTGGATTTTCTTAAAGTTGACTTCGGAGGTGTTAGACCATATCGATGAGCAATAGCTTGTTTTACTCGTAATTAGAGAATTTATGATGGTGATTAGTGCTGATTGGTCAAACAAATGCTTTACTCGGCTAATCTGGCCCAGTTTGGACATACATGATGATGATAGATACTGCACGTGCTCTTTATATTTCAATTTGGAGTCGAGTAGTGTGCCCAGGTCTTTCACTTCCGGAACAGGTTCAAGTCTTTTCCCCATAAATTCAACGCTGGGTAAATCATCTAGTTGTTGAAGTAATTTTTGTGAACCAACCGATAAAAAATATCGGATTTCCAAAGAGGATACCGATGAAAATGATCAGATTTCCAGTATGCAAGATTACCTAAATAGTAAGCTATTATTGGTGTTCTTAATTGTACAATGTTGCAAAGCAATGGATGCACCCCAAAGAGTCATCAGGAAAGTTTTTTAAACATCCGAAAGGCGTTTGACTTCCTCAACCACGATCAGTTACTCGGTATTAAACCTTGCTGAAGAGGTTAACATATTCGACAGGGAAAGTTGGAGTACCTGAAGGAGAAAACTGGGACCGATAGCTTTTGTGATTCAAATTAACCAATTACCACAACAAATAAAACAGAATCATCTGTCGAGCGAAGGTGTTGTATCGGTTGGCGAAGACATGTTTATGGACGATATGACATTATATGAAACTTTAGACGTCCGGGACCACATTTTAGGTGAATAGCAAATACTCTGTGAAGTATATACTGAAGTATAATCATTTAGCGTGGTTTACAGCCAATGAAAATATCGAATTAAAGAAAATGCAAAGAATCGTTGATAGATTTTCGTAGAAATAAAACAGAATTTCCCCCAATAGCAATTTGGCCACGCACTGGCAAGGGTAAAATCCTATAACTTTTTTATGGATATGGTATGATAACCTTGAGTGGAAAACAAATACAGAATATACTGTTACGAAGGCAGCTAAACGCTGGTTTTTATTGAAGACATTAACTCTTAAAGGGCTACAAGGCACCAAAGGAAGACTTAAGTGTTATACTTTAGGTTTTCTAAGCTTCGTGTTATAATATAATACTGTAATGTATGTGCAATCAACTCAATAATACAATATCTATTTGTACTCTGATATTACTCAGTTTTTCATTTCGCATCAGCTTTTAGGGAGTCTGTTGCACTTGAAATCGCTTTGAACAAAATGGACGCCTGTTCTTTAATATCCAACCAATCCTGTTCCGTTTTATTTTTGCTAAACATCAGATCGAAAATGCCCGGGAAACTCGTGCTACCGTAGATATTGTTCTTGGAAGGAGCGAATATAACGTGTCTTGTGATTGGTCGGTTAGGCAAGCCTGGGGCGGTGATGAAGGATTTCTCAACGTTGACCATGCGATCATTGAGGTCTCGTAGTTTCACATCATCTTTTTCTTCAAGCGCTTTCCCTTTTTCCTCTTGGAATTTTTCTGCTTCCTCTTTGAATCTTAAAAAATAAAAAAAATACTATATTTACTACCCCATTAGGTCTTATTTATTATCTCTAGCTAAATTAAATCAAGGAAATCGTGTCGTTAATTTTTGTTGTGTTTCATCTTAGCCACCACTTATTTCCTAAGAGCTTCGTTCTCTGCAATAGTGCAACGACGGTAGAATTATTTCCGCAAAAAGCTCATGTCTCGCATACCAAAAAACATCTTTCAGCTTCCATTATAGGGAGCTAGTGATATTTACTATATTCATTGTGAAAAGTTAAGTCTATTTTATCTTAACTGCTACCTCTTTATTGTCTTCTCGATATGAATCAAGGTAACGTTATTTTTTTCAAGCTCTTTCCCGTAATATGTTCGCAACACTTTCAGAGAGCTGTCCAGAGATTTCCCATACTGTGTTACGTCTATTGGTAACACAAAACTGTCGGTCATATGCATAAGAAGTCTCGAGGCAACTCCTGCCGTGGTTAGGTGGAATTTGAAGTAGGGATCGACCAAACCTTGAAGCCATTTGTACGTATCGTGAACGGAATGATAGACCGGGTAGTTTCTCTCACCAGCATAGGTCATGCTCACAGATGGTACTCCTGTTGAGAAATATCGTTAAGCATGGAGCAGGTTAAAACTGACGAATACTGGATTACTTAACTCGTAATTTTCGTTGCTTCTATTCAAAATTGCTACAAAATGGGCATACGTTCATTATCGAAACGATTGTTGTGCGCACTGACTGAAAGTGACGTGAATCTTCAGGACTCTCTGATCTATCCGAAAAAGACAAATAAACTTGAAGCTCACCACAAAATTGATAAAAGCTAGCGTAATCTGATCCGGAACCCAAATTTCCATAAACAAAACTTTTCATCACTTCTATCATGTGATCGTAAACATTCGGCCCATGTGGGTCGTCGACTTCCTTCACATTCCTGGTAATTACAGACTTCAGCAGAGGGGAGCCAGCCACACTAAAAGTAAAGTTTCCATAAACTGCTACGTCTATGTTTATGTAAGTTATTGCTTTTGTGGATAAGGCTCGTTCATTTTCTTCCACCCATTCTGTTGATCCTATTATGTCCGATTCCTCTGCTCCCCAGCTACAGAATTTGATAGTTCGTCTTGGACGCCAACCTTAGGTGAAGATGCGAAGTGTTAGGTGAAGATGCGAAGTGTTAGGTGAAGATGCGAAGTGTTAGGTGACACACAAGTGATGATTATGATGGCGAAGTTCGTGGTATAATAATAGAGAGATTATGATGTTGACGGATTACCGACAACTGTTAAATAGAGAATAATACTTCGATGCACGTTAAATATGGAGTTAATCTCGAGTGTTGAGAATGATATCGAACGAGTGAGGGCAGCCAACAATATTATATAATAAATAGTTTTATCTACTGTTGGCGTTGAAAATTTGATTTCTGATAATTATTCCGGATTATTCCAGTTTCGTTACAACCATGTTTTATCTGCTCTTCCAAAAACAATATCTGTTATTATGTCGTAGTCCAGCACGTAACGATTGTCAAGTGTATTCTTGCATAGGAATAAGGAAAATTTGTCTATCCTGTTGTTTAGCACAGTTTGGGATGGAAATATTTTATCGTAGTTCGTGCCTGTTCCTTTTTGGGTCATCTTAAACTCTCTAATGATGGCGAGTGTTGTACCTTGTTTCAGAAGCTCGCTTACACCACGTGATATCTCCATCATGACTGACGTTCCACTGGACGCATCTACTGCGCCAAATCCCCATGCGTCCCTATGATTCCCTAACAATACCCAACGATCTGGTTCCTCTTTGCCATATATGGTGCCGATGACGTTATACGCATTCTGTCGTTTGTTTGGTACGTTAACTTGTATTTTCACAGTGTTATCGTCCTGTAAGCCGCCGTTTCCGAGTTTGTAAGAGATCTTCAATCCACCTTTCCAACTTTCTGGAACGTCTGTGCCTTTTAGAATTAATGAAATGAAAAATTTAAGATGTTTGTTCTATGTTGTTTTTTTGTCTATGTTGCTACAGTTGAAATCCCTAGGGAATGGGAGTGGGTCCTTTATTCATTACTTTTAAGTGATAGGGTTGATCGTGCGGCCAGTTCTGGACCCGACAACCAGGCCGACTGTTTTCTTATTGCTTCAAAATGATTTTGAGACATCACTGAATGACTGAATCAAAACAAAGGTTTGACGACTACCTTTCATGATTTCCAATAGTCTAACAGCATCTCCATATGGCATCGGTGTAGCTGGGATCTTTGGCAGTCCAGCCTTCTCTTCGGGTATTCTGAACACTCCTTCGACAGACGGTAGTCCAGGTGTTAGCGGATCCCCACGGCCTCTTCTTATGCTACCTCGTTGGACTCCTGTTTTCGGAAGCCAAATGTAGTTTGGGTAAACCTTATCTTGACCTTCTGGTGCATAATCTTCAGGGTCGTTGTACAAAATGGCGCCAACTGCCCCACAGTCTTGGGCATTCTTCACCTGCAATTTAAACAAAATTGGAAGGTGTAATCTCAAATGCATGAGAGAGGTTTGGAACATTTGGTATGGATCTATTCATTTTTTGAATGATGTTATTCGTTTTGTAAATAATATTAATGATTAAGTCTTTTGATTAGTGCCATCTGCCGTTAAGGCATCACACCAATTACACTGACTTTACATTTCAAGCGTGGGATAAAACAACATAAGTGGCTCGGCAATCTTGATGAAGCCCGAATTCTCAAATTTTTTTTGCAATTTTTTATTTGATGACCAAAACAAGCGAACAAACAAACAAAGTTTTTTTAGATGTATATTCTTTTCCTTCACCTCAGTCTTTTGCTTCGGTTGATGATAACAAACTCCAGCTTCATATAATGTTCGACCATTCATAAATATCACTCATATTTGGTTTATAATTTATAGAGTTTAGAAATGATACAGTTGTTCTGACAGCATGCATGTGAGTTTAACTCCCCACCTTATCACCCCGAAATATCTGTCCATATCGCATGATGACAATGTAGCCGCTGCAGTTTGCGATGCTGAAATTATTTTTCAGTGTATCAAAATCCTCAGTTCTTCCATAATTCACATACAAGAGCTTCCCTTTGGCCGATCCTTGCTTTGCAAAACCCAGTAAAGGCGCAATCATTGTAGGGTCGTCTTCGCTCGGGTCTGCTACCTGAAATATGAAAATTATGAGTAACAAGGTGAAATGAGGGATTCCATTCTATACATGTGTACTAAGCCGCATGCATAAATTGACGTACGGGAAATATAATGTCGAAACTGTTCCTGGGAAAAAAGCGAGGTATCAAAACCCTGCTGTTATCAAAATTGGATAGAAATTAGTCGCTATCTTCTTCTACTCTTTTTTTTTTGTCTGTGAGCAACTTGTTGTAAGGTCACACCGTCGTAGCTCCACATAGGATCGAGAAAATGAATATACCTTTTCTTTTCCGGAAAATTCGGAAGTCACATCCCCGGTGGAATTCAAAATCTGTACGGAATTTGAGACGTTTGGTTGAACGTAAGGTAAAAGAATATCATATTCCGGTTGTTCTACTCTGTCAAATTTGTATTCCCTCCATCTTCTTTCGATCTCATTCGCCAATTCCTTCGAACGTTGTGTTCCTGCAAAATGCGGTCGCTTTGAAAAATACCTGTACAAAAATAAACTTCAAAGTTGTTTTCATCCCATTAAATAAAGCTACGTTTACACTAGGCGCCTAGATCTGGCCTGGACTAGGTCTAGGACAGGTCTAGGTAATATGTGCCACATTCACACTGTCTTTCTTGGTGATGGTTACGGATAGCAAAATAATCGACAAAATACTTAGAAAAGACCCTAAACACGCCGAAAAGTGGTGATATACTAGTATGGATTCTATACAGATTATACTATAAGGTTTAAAAATTAAAATTGGTCAGAACTATGTAAAATCTTTCACATGCACTACTACCAAAATCATGTTCCATGTCGGGTCCAGCCACCTCCCCAGGTGACCTGGATTTTGTGGCCAGTGTATAAACGCGGCTTAACAACATTGGCTTGCAAAGGCCTAAGCAGAGGCAGGAGCAGCAAAAGCGAAGGCTTTGACGGCATATAAGCGAGGCCAACAACACATGCATGCATCAGCAAGCATAGGAACATCGCCTGAACCTCAATCGCCTCAACAACAACTGGAACGATAACTCAAGGGCGCAGGGATGAAGCCAGGTACCCAAGCCTTGTTGTCTTTATGATACTGAAGCGAAGAATTGTATTCGGTAATTTTGAGGAAAACATCCTGAGTTTTGTAGTTTAATGTGTATATGAATCCTTGGCAGCAACATTTGTATTTATGAGCAGAAAATCATTGGTCAATGGTCATTAAACTTCGAATCACACAAATTTCGTTGGTTCAAAATTTAAGCCAGCAGCTAATTAGCAGCAAGCATAATTACATCTAAAAGACAAAGGTGTTGGAAATTCGTCAATTGATTGAATGATTAGAGTTGACTGGATGTTTCTTTCAAATTTTAGGACTCTAAACCATGTTTTGAGTTTGGCTGGCCGTAAGTATTCGTAAATACTCAAATACTTTGTTACATTTTTGGTCAATTTTCAACAAATGATGCTGTGCTTTTCTGAACAATAACAAAGCTATTTAACCAACTGTCGCATGTCAGAAGGCGACACAGTCACTTGCATTTAACAACTTTATTAAAAACACATTTTATATCTACACAGCTCAATTAGCAATTCAATTTAAGCTATTTACATATGTGCATTATTATATTATTTCAGCTATTATATCGCACACACAACTTTTTGATCTTATTGAATTATTGAGGGTTACAAACTCCCCCCCCCCGCTCCCTCTACAAACACACTTCCCCAGTGGCCACGCCTCTGCACTCCACAAAGCAGAGAATGCCTTGGTTAGGGTTGTGCTCTGTCGCAATCTCCCTTGTTGTCAAGTGTAATATTTAGACTTCACAACTGAAATAAAGTATATATAATAATAATATATATAATATATATATAATTATATATATAATAAATATATATATATATATATATATATATATATATAAAGGTAATCGTGACGCTTAGCTTTCAAGTGGATTCGTGTAATACGAAACCTTCCCCATGCACACTCTAAGCATAGTATTCATAAATTCCTATTGAGTATTGCGTATTTACTAAATCCCTCTGCGGAGCTACCTTGCGCTTGGCAACCGAAATAATCATCTCGTCATTTTACCAAAGCAGCATCCCATGGCTAATAAATAGCCCGCCCCCAATGCGTTTTCCACGTGCGTGTTATATTACGCAAAACTTGAATATAAGGCCACATTCTGCGGTGCTAGATTCGTAGGTTCAATTACCTACTGTCCTATACTCAGTACTCAGACACAGGCACAAACATTTAAATGGTCTATTCCTGTATACCTTTTTCAATTATGATTTTCAATCATATTTCGCCCGAGGAATTTCATTAATAATAAGCAAACACCCTGCATGCGGTAAAAATTGTCATGAACTGATTGAACTCCAACCAGGCAACCTCACCTCAAATTTTCGCCGATATTCTCTGCGTTTAAGATCCCAAGTAGATTTTCGTGGAAATGATCTTTTTGTTTTATTTGCTCTTTGCGCTGTTTCGCGATATATTTCATGTCAAATGTTTCAACGGAATGAACGGACGAGTCGTCTGGCGCCGAAAACCAGCCTATTACAAACCCCAATACGAATACCACAACCAAAGCTATTATTAAAATAACGATTTTTCCTTTGAATAGCTTTGCCGAGTTAGCGCTGTCGGAGTTGAATTTGTCGGAGGTCTCCTCCATGTGTAAACGTTCGGCATGCATGGCTCGCCTTAAGCGTGGTATAAAGATGCTGTAGTGCGGTCGAGATGCTTTGAATTTGAGATGGATTTGCAGCTGTGGAAAGGGACCAAGTGACATTGCTGACGGGTGACCTTTTGCCCGCCATATGATTCGAGAGTTTAATCGCATTCAGGAATCTAGTCCAAATATTGCTTTAATTCTGGCATTTAATTGTTTAATGTCAGGAATCTGGACGTACGTCGGTGAAACAGCGACATTCCTTTACAAATATTTGGCGAAAAATCAAATCAAATCCCGAAAAATTTTCGTATGTAGCTATTAGAAAAAATATATGTAGCTAGTTCGTTATTGCTCTTGATTCAAGTTGTGTTAATAGTCCTCGATTACATTTGACTATATAGTCCTAAGTCTTTCAAATTTAGATGTTCAAATTAGTGTTCGAGCTTAAAAAATATAGCTTAGTATAATTTCTGTCGTTAATCTTCATTCATAAATTGACCTTGTTTTAAAAGCTCGCCGAGACCACGTGATATCTCCCCGTCATGGCTGACGTACCTGGACGCATCGACCGCGCCGAATCCCAATACGTCCCTATGATTCCCTATCAATACCCAACGATTTGGTTCTTAAAAGAACTGTTTGTCGAAAACATCTTTCTCTTTCACCTTTTCCTTGCGCTTCCTCGCGATATTTCTCATGTCATCGGTTGAATCGTCTTATCGTCAGGCACTGAAAACCAGGCTATTACAAACCTTAATACGAACAGCGCTACAACGGCTATCACAATACCCACGATTCGTCCTATCGAAAGTCCTGCTACCGTCATCTTGGAGTTCTAAATAGAATTTTCCAAGACTTCACGAAGCTGAAGCGTTTTGTGGTAAGCCTTTAAGCGTTGCTTACGCCTTTTGGCGTTGCAGTGCTCTGACTCCAGATGCTTTCCAACTTGCATTTCGCTCACGTTTCCATTCGCCGTAGATAACATTTGCGTCATTTATTTCAGTAGCTCAAAATCGGCAAATTGGCAATGCTTGAGCGCTCAGCGTGACTTGAGATTAGACTTTGCATAGTATTTGTTTCAAATCAATGTTTCATTCGTAAGTATAGTATTAGCGGTAGTGATAGTGATGATGCTGACAGGACTGTTTTCCTATAAATTCTCGTACTAAATATAGCAGCAAATCTTATCGGATCGACAAGTGGCGACTATTGTCATTTTATGATTTATTTCCCAGCTTTCCGGGTGGGAGAATAATTACAAAGAATAATAATGATCGACTTCGGTTCTTCTGTCAATCAAAACTAGGCTGTCCAAAGCATAGTAAGGTTGCCTTCATATGCAAAAGCAAATTTTGCAACAATTCAATCGCAATTATAGGCGGTCAACTAAGCGAGTAATAGATTTACAGAAAAACATGCCATAAGACCCATTTCATTAGCTAGGCGTTCTTAAATTTTCTTCCACATTGCTGAAGCTTTGAAGCTTCCCGTCATAAAACCCACTGTTCTCGAACCGAATGGACTTGACTACATCCCAGGGGTGGATCCAGCAGTAGTGCACTAATTTCCATGACACAAGAAAACCACCGCTAAAAATTAACCACTTTATTTTGTAATGCAAATTATTTCTTGTCAAAACACAGACATACCAGACTTTGATTCAATATTTTGAACCTTTGCCAGAGTTTCCGTTCCTTAAAGGCGATATGATTTGTGTGCAGATAACTTTCCGCCATTTTAAATGGTTTATTTTTTGCAAAATCAGTGCATGATTGTACTGCAGTACAAATCATGATAGTAAGAAAACAAATGGAAGTGCAATTAATGCTAAAGTCATACGAGGTAGTTATATATGATATATCTCCTGTTCCGATTAAATTCAGTGAGTATACAATCCTGCCTCCGGGCCGCGAAATAATAACCCTTCATCTATATCTATTAATTTCTAATACCATATTTCTAATACCATCATAAGAAAAGTTTTTTTTTAAACATCTTATGCATCAGCTTTGAGTACATCGGTTGCACTCGAAATCGCTTGGAAGAGAACGGACGCCTGTTTTTTGATATCCAACCAATCCTGCTCTGTTTTATTCTCCTTAAACATCAGATCAGAGATTCCCGGAAAACTGGTGCTGCCGTAGGCATTGTTAACAGAAGGTGCGAATACCACGTGCCTTGTGTTTGGTCGATTAGGTAAACCTGGGGCGGTGATGAAGGCTTTCTCAACGTTGATCATACGATCATTAAGGTCTCGTAGTTTAATGTCGTCTTTTTCCTCAAAAGCTTCATTTCCTTCGGCTTCAAATATTTTTGCTTCTTTTTTAAATCTTAAAAAATAAATAGGAGCAATACAAATCCGTGCACTGATGCTGTTTTATCAAGTTGTATAACTGTAAATCTTCCTATAGGCATCATAAAAAATGTCATCATGCTTTATTAACCCTATGTATAAACTCTCGAACTCTCAGCAAAATTCTTATTATTTACACTTGTTCAATGTAGTCCAATTTATATATATACATATCGTTTTCATATCGCGTAATGAGACATATACATATACGCCTCTCAGCTTTATTCATAGGGATTAATATTTGTTATTAACTGTGAAATCACGTAGTGGTTGCCTATTTTAAATATATTGATTTAGCATACATACTCCATAATTGCCTTCTTAATATGACTCAAGGTGACGTTGTTTTCTTCAAGATCATTTCCGTAATTTGTTCTCAAGGTTTCCAGAGAGCTTTCGAGCGATACGCCATACTCTGATACATTGATTGGTAACACAAAACTGTCGGTCATATACATGAGGACTTTCGAGGCAATTTTCGCCGTGGTTAAGTGGAATTTGAAGTAGGGATCGATCAAACCTTGGAGCCATTTGTACGTGTCGTGGACTGAATGATAGACGGGGTAGATTCTCTCACCGGCGTAGGTCATGGTCACAGATGGTACACCTGTGGAGAAGAATATCCTTCAACATGTTTTTTAGGAGCCATAATTACTGAATGCTCAGATGCTGGATTGCTAAACTCCTATCCTATGGAATTGCATAAATACATTTTTCTCTTTTGTTGCATGCATCAGTTCTCTCGCAGAAAGATGCATGTCTGTTACCTTTAATTCAAATTAATAATAGGATATATTTTCTATGTCGCGTAATATATGCTTGCAAAACCTCAGTTTCATCATGAAGCATCAGCACGAAAACTTTTAGGTCTAAAAAACGTTCTCCACGCATGAAAAGCGTCTAAAAAGTGTGTTTACCATGCATAGAATCGAAAAATAATGTTAAAATAAGAGATTTGTCAGGGTACGCTAATGACACTTCAATTGCTTGGTGTTTTTTCAACCACAAATTACTCCTTAAAACGTAGCTAAAATATATACAGATATAACGTTTTTCCGTGAAAGTACGCGGCATATATAAAAAAATCTCCCCTGCAGCAATTATAATTACGAAAGTACGAGACCATACATCTGTCGAAAAGAATAGTAAAACTTGTAGCTTACCGCAAAATTGATAAAAACTGGCGTAATCTGAACCAGAACCCAAATTTCGATAAACAAAACGCTTTTGGGCTCTTAGCATCTGATGGTATACCTTCTCCCCATGGGGGTCGTCAACTTCCTTAACGTTGTTATTAATTGTGGTCTTTAGCAGGGGGGAGCCACTAACGCTGAAGGTAAAGTTTCCGTAAACTGCTGCATCAACGTTTATATATGTTATTGCTTTTGTTGACAAGACTCGTTCATTTTCTTCCACCCATTCCGTTGATCCTACCAAACCTGGTTCCTCTGCTCCCCAGCTGCAGAATTTGATGGTGCGTCTCGGGCGCCAACCTTTGATGAGAGTAAGAAATGGTATGTGGTCGTAGTGATGACAACGGTGAGGGCGGGTTAATTATGACGATAATAACGATTGTCAGTACCTTTTTTCAGAAGCTCCCTTACACCACGTGATATCTCCATCATAGCTGACGTACCACTGGACGGATCAACTGCACCAAATCCCCATGCGTCCCTATGATTCCCTATCAATACCCAACGATCTGGCTCTTCTTTGCCGTATATTGTTCCAATGACGTTGTAAATAGTTTGACGTTTGTTTGGTACATTTACTTGTATTTTGACAGTGTTGTTGTTCATCAGACCACCGTTTCCAAGTTTGTAGGAGATATTTAATCTACCTTGCCAATTTCCTGGAGCGTCTTCACCTTTCGGAAAATTATAATTGGTTGGTATTATTATAATTGAACTGGTCATCACTTGTTTGTTGCCACCTTAATAATTATAGGCTTAGAGAAAATCCTCTATTTATGATGGGAAACCTGTTCTGAGCAGGTCGACACGCACAGGCAATGGACCTTATGCGATATAGAATGATTTTAGATATATATTGGCAACCAAAAGAGGTATATTCCAATAGCTGGAAAGAGTATACCAGTAAACAATTCACAATTGTAAAGTTCTTTAAACATAAATATAAATAACAGCGCATAAGGTCCATTACTAAATTGAGTGCATGTACAACGTTATTCAACAGTTGTATGATTGTGCATGTTGGTGCCGATAACGCGAGCTTGAAACGACTTCGAAACATCACCAAAAAAACTAAAAGCGACGGATCAATATATTTTGTAGGAGATGTAGAGGGTCAGCAACTGGGAATGAAGAACTTTATATAAGAATTTTTAAAATGAAGCAATAAAACGTTGTCCTAGACTACTGGAAAAATAGACAATAAGGTCAAATGTTTTAGGTAAGGAGCAGGTTAACGAAGCCTGTGGGTCAATTCGCAGTCCGTATATGAATGTACATGAATTAAATGTTATACATAATTATACGAACCTCTTTACCATGCCTGCTGTCGCTAGAATTATTCACATGCATGGCACAACTCATTAATGAACTTATTGATTGTTTGCTTCAATACCCAAGTTTAATAGTGTTCACATTGCAAATTTCGCGCTACTATCGAGTATTTTACTTTGCCGGCCTTTTATATCAGTAAATAAAGCAAATGTTAGTTTACAGGTTTCATGCAACAATCGTTTTTACTTTCGTGTGGGTGCGTTCTTTGGTTTGCACATTTGGCTACACTGCCCTAATATATTTCACGTACAAAAATTAGTTTAACTACATGTTATCAATTATATGTTAAAAGGGTCGTGCAATGCAATGAATTTTGTCCGCATGTTACCTATTTTGAATTTTTCCACCTACCTTCCATGATCTCTAATAGTCTAAGAGCATCTCCGTATGGCATCGGTGTAGCCGGGATCTTTGGCAGTCCAGCGTTCGCTTCGGGTATTCTGAACACTCCTTCGACAGATGGTAGACCAGGGGTTAACGGATCTCCCGGAACAATAAATATGCTGCCGCGCTGGACTCCTGTCTTTGGAAGCCAAATGTAGTTTGGATAGACCTTATCCTGGCCGTCAGGTGCAAAATCTGCAGGGTCGTTGTACAAAATAGCGCCAACTGCCCCACAATCTTGAGCGTGTTTGACCTACATAGTAATCGGTATATGTGAGGTATAAATTTTGAAGAGAAGTATATATGATTAAGAACTTTTCATAACGTACGTAAAGTGACAAAAACGCCTGAATTTTAAGAGCTTGCTTGCGCTCAAACTCACTGAGTGGGCAGGAAGATCTCATTTCAGAACACTTCCAAGCGATTCTTTTACGGTATTTCTATAAATAAAAGCTTGATTTTCAAAGTTGGTAAAATTTTTAATAGTTTACACTGGAATTATTTTTAGAGAAATCTTGGAATAAAGGCAATTTTAGATTTAATTCCAACCTTATCACCCCGAAATATCTTTCCATATCGCATGATGACGATGTAGCCGTTGCAATTTGCGATGCTGAAGTTATTTTTCAATACTTGAAAATCTTCAGTTCTTCCATAATTCACATACAGGAGCTCCCCTTCAACTGATCCTTGCTTAGCGTAACCCAAAAATGGTGGGATCATCGTAGTGTCGTTTTCACTCGGGTCTGCCAACTGAAATATTGTAAATTAAAAGTAACAGGATAACATGTTGGATCGGATATATGGCTATATAAATGCATCCAAAGCTTCAGTGATGTGGCATAGAATTAAAAATAAAAAATTGTCCTGAGAGTGTTTATTTGCATATCTATGTACCTTTTCTTTTCCAGAGAACTCGAAAGTCACATTACCAGTGGAATTCAAAATCTGTACGGAATTCGAGACGTTTGGTTGAACGTAAGGTAAGAGCGTATCATATTCCGGTTGTTCTACTTTGTCAAATTTGTATTCCCTCCATCTTCTTTCGATCTCATTCGCTAATTCCTTCGAACGTGGTGTTCCTCCAACGTGGGGTCGCTTTGCAAAATACCTGTTCAAGAGAATCAGAAATGATTTTTTTTAACCTTCTTCCTTGGAAAACTAATTTTCGGATCTAAACTAAGGACCTGTCTATATGGCGAATTCGGTGATCCGATGAATTAGGCACAGCGTTCGGTTTAATGGCACAGTAGCACGGCAATCTTGCGTGTTAACTATGCATGCATGCATGTCTACATGCTTTTTTCGGTTTCCGTTCAACTGCAGGTGTAAAACCTCCGAATAACATTCGTTTATTTTATTGAAATTTAAATTTTTTTCTTAGCATGTTACGCATCTGTAATTAGATATATATATAAACATCCTTTCAGGACCTATTCTTTATATAACAATTTTAGTTCTGTTGCATGGTATTATATGCATTGTTTTATAGTGTATACGGTTTAGCGTTATTTGAGTATGAATAGTGTGTTGACATAAGATTGCAGCATTCCATTGCTAGAAAGTGCTGTAAGGGCTGGTTATACGAGGTGCGTTTAGGTTAAACGGTTGGTACTTAGAGTGCTTTCGTTTGTAGGTTAAAAGCTGCCAGACTTGATACATTACAGATGTATTTTAAAGTGCTGCAAGAACTCTGCACTGAGGAATATCATTATTTAACATCTGCCAAAGGACGAAAATGCAGATTTACCGCTATATTCTTTCTATTCAATTCAGAACCTGACCGCGGTTCGACCATTTAAGCCGCTTAAAGGAGAGCGCCCTTGGGTAAGTTGGGTTAAAAAAGAATATTCACGTAGGAATAATTACAGAAGAATTTTCTCGACATGGAATTAACAACATTCTTTCTCACATTCTTTACAACCGCTCATATTGCATATCAGATTTTAATTTCAATCGTTCACAACATGTGTGAAAGTGTTAGCTATCTATTTTTGGCCTATAACCCGCTAAATTAGTGAATAGGCTTTGTTCCACCGGCCCTAGGTTAGTAGTATTAATACATCGAGTTTCCGTTAGTAGAGAAGCCCCTTTCAATCTTCAGTAGATCAAATTCTACCAGACCCCCTCACCTAAGGTTTTCGCCGATATTCTCCGCGTTCAAGATCGTAAGAAACTGTTCGTGAAAATCATCCTTTTTTTTCATCTGCTCCTTGCGCTTTTTCGCGATATATTTCATATCAAATGTTTCAACGGAACCAACGGGCGAGTCTTCTGGCGATGAAAACCAGCCTATCACAAAACCTAATACGAATAGCACGACCCCGGCTACCACGATAGCGAAAACTTTTCCCATTGAAAATCCTGCCCCTGCTGTCATCTTGGAGGTCGAAATAGAATTTCGCAGATCTCGATGCTGAAACGTCTTGCCGTTGAGCGCGTTGTCAGTAAGCCTTTCGTGATTGAAGTCGGACTAATTTAATAAGTTCGTTGTGTGCGGAAAAATATTGACACAACCGAGTGGCTTTGTAATTTGATACTTGAGTATAGCTAGTTTTTTCACTGCGTTATCTGAGTGCTCGAAGTAATTGTAAAGTGCAATGGTATATTCCAGGTGGCCTAGAAAAAATTAGCCCCTTTGAAACAGTATAAATTAAACTTGGTAGTCTTGGCTTTTACTTTCCGTTTATTGTCTTTATTGGTGCTGCCGTCATTTTGAGTTTCAAATAAAATTTTGATGCGGTGAAGCATACGTTGAGGCATTGCTGAAGCGTGGTTTTCTTTAAGCGTGGTTTAAGCATGTTGTCGATACGAAATCGAATGCATCGGGATACTTTTAATCTTGCATTCATGCAGATCCCATTTTCCTTTACCATTATTGACATTTTAGGCTCCCAAAATCGGCAAGTTGGCCATGTATCAGCGAATAACGTGATTTGAGATCAAATTTTGCTTTATATATGTTCTTTCAATTAAAAATTTCATTCGGATGCATTTAGCACGCGTGTAGTAATTAATATTTTACCTTATGGCAAAATCATTTGATAATTTCAATATGTTCAAAAGATACAATAACTTGTCTTTAAATATTTACAATGACCCTGTACTTTGAAACCTGAGTAAATTTTCCGTACCTTGTCTGTGTGCTCCAATGATGGTAATTTTGGTGGATTGCAATCTTAATTACGTGAAATCAAACGCGCCTGATCCGAGAAACCATTTCATACCCTGATATGAATTGCAACTACCCCTTTTTTATATTCATTTCGACGTTTTACATAGACTTATGAACCTGCACAGAAGCCGTACTTTATCCAAGTTATAAGTACATATGTAACTCATTTAAGTGGACGGAACAAAACTTTTTAAAACCTGTATTTAATCTGTGGACGCGCAATTCTTGATGGATAGCGAAAGAATATTTGGCAAATTTATTATTTTTAATTAAATGGTATTTAAAAGCCCGCAGGTAATTTAGCCAGTTAAATTTCTCGTTCCACTGTAGTTCTCAAAAAACAACTGTATGAGAAAATATGCATGGCATAGGGTTTAAAATACGCTGTGTTTAGAAAATGTTTGTAATGTAACATACATAGCTAATACAATAAGCGGTTCCTGAGTTCAAATAATGGAGAGCTAGACTCTCTTTTGGACTTTTGGACTCGCAGCTCAGTCACAAAGCACAAAATATATAATACATCGTTTGTTGTCATCGTTCATGTTATGAGAATTTATAAATCTTTTCTCTTGTGTGTTTCTACAGTTGTGGAAACACTTGTGAGAGTTTGGGAGAACGAGAAATAATTAACTATTTCAATAATTATTTCAATTTCACGCATGTTTCTATAACTGTATAGGAACGCGGAAATGGTTTCTATTTCTTAATTATAATACAACATTTATAGTACGCGCGTGCTGATTGGTCAAGAAGTGTGCTTCTATAACTGTATAGAAACACGGAAATCATTTTCAGTCCCTCATTCTTCTCACTGATCATTTCGCATGCAGCCAAACTCCCACGCGTGTTTCTAAAACTGTAGAGAAACACGGAAAATGTTTACTTTTTTACCTGCTTTATGTGACAAAAGTGTTTTCAACCCAGCTTTAAGACATGTATATGTTGGTGTTTGTTAACATGCCTCCCCCGGATGTTGGGTTTTAAACATAATTCCGGCGCATACCATGGTTCAATGCGGTTTTCGGGCGTGCATTAGGCAGAAACTATAATTACAGGGATCCTATTCGCAAAGTTCCACACTCACACGCAGGAAGCGTATGCATGCTTACATTTTTTGCTGCTGCTTTTGTTTATTCGTATAAAGTCGCAAGTAAATTAGTTTCTTTTGAATATTCTATCAATTGGCCAAACTCCTCTACACATAGATTCTGCCAGGCAGCACTCACCTCAGATTCTTGCCGATATTCTCTGCGTTTATGATTCTAAGAAGCTCTGTATGGTAATCATGCTTTTGTCTCATCTGCTCTCTGCGCTTTTTCACGATATATTTCATGTTAAATATTTCAACGGATGATTCTTCTGGCGCCGAAAACCAACCTATTACAAACCCCAAAACGAATAGCACAACCACGCCTATTACGACACCAACTATTTGTCCTTTGGAAAGACTTACTACCGCCATTTTGATAACGCTATTAGAATGGAATTTGGATGAAACTCTTCTCGATGCTAAGCGCTTTAAGACATGACACTGACATGTGGTTATTTTTCATTCAGAGATATTGTTATAAATAGGCCAGAGAGAGGCGGTCAGGTGGAACGAGCTTATAGTGCCTAACTGTCATCTGGTTTGGCAGGGACCTTTAAAATATTATCGGTTGATTGCATTTATGCTGTAAGTTTGATTGTATGTCAATTAACAATATTGTAAATATGAAAATATGCACACCATACATTATGTGGGGAAATGCCACTACGTCTTGATGGCTTTCACTTTTGGTGCTTGCACGATGTGTTCTGGAGATATTAAATTATAGAGTAGATTGCATGCTTGGGTTTATTCGTTACTGACGTTTATCATAGCCTGTTTTCTGAATTCTGCTTATAGCTTAAAAAATTTGCATTTTGAACGCTCGGCAGAAATAAATTATAGTGTTTCGTTTTTCTTCGCATTCCTGCTGTTATTTTTGTAGAATCTTGTAGATTGTTGACTTTTGTCATAGACATAGCATATTCATAATCTATTATATTCATTTTCAAATCAATTTCTTGCAATTTGAGCTATTTATTTTATCGAATGCAAATGACCAAGAAATTAACAGACTGAATCGAAATTGTGATCCAGCAAATCTTCGATCAATGTATAAAAGAATTTGAAAACAAAAAAAATTCTTATTTCGCATTGCCAACCTTTATATATTGGACTGGTCTAAATTTGTTTATCTATAATGGATTTGAAAACGCGGAAGTTGAACTACTCGCATATATAATTTGCTAGCTTCTTCCTTCCCTTCGCATTTCCCTTGGAAAAAAGTGGGTATAAAAGTGGATTAATAGCGGATATTTTTCATTATGCGAAGGCTAATAATATACTAATAACTGTTTTTTGGTGTTAAATGTGTCAATTATCAGCGTTCATTATTAAAAATAACAAAATGGGCGGAAGGCACTTTTGACAGCATTTGCTCAGAGATACGTTTCGCATCTACCTGCGAATTTTAAGGCGGGCGAAACAGGTCTGTGTTCAGGCTATAGATCTATAAAAATATCAGTCATTTGCAAAACACAAAATAAATTAATTACGTTCATGCCGTTGGAGTAGAATACGCGAGGGTTCTCCCACAAGAAAAAAACATTCTCCGAAAAATGACAGCTTGTAAACTCAAGATATGAATCATTATTTTTGTAGAAGTTCGATCGTTTTCTGTCTTATATAATGTTCGCTAAAAACAACAAGGTGGAATTTCGTTTTAAAACTAATCGGCATAATTATTTGTTTACATTTTCAGGCAAAGCCTATCAGAATGCCTAAATTTTCAATACTTCATGTAAAATGGAAAATAATGTACATTTTTACCGGAAGTAGTCAAAATTTATGCATTCTGATTGCGTTACTGAAATTGTAAACAAACTTGCTGATTTCTCTAAAACGAAATCCCGCCTTGTTACTCTGTACACCACTACGAAGAAAAAGTATCTTTCCTAAACAGGCCACGTGGATTTTCATTTTGTATCAGCTTTCAATGCATCGGTTGCACTCGAAATCGCTTTGAAGAGAACGGAAGCCTGTTCCTTGATATCCAACCAATCCTGCTCCGTTTTATTCTCCTTAAACATCAGATCAGAGATTCCCGGGAAACTGGTGCTGCCGTAGGCATTGTTAACAGAAGGCGCGAATACCACGTGCCTTGTGTTTGGTCGATTAGGTAAACCTGGGGCGGTGAGGAAGGCTTTCTCAACGTTGACCATACGATCATTAAGGTCTCGGAGTTGTATGTCAAATTTTCCGTCGAGAGCTTTCTTCTTTTCCTCCTGGAATATTTTTGCTTCCTCCTTGAAACTTAAAAAAAAACCGGAAAGGAATCAATGCATTTATTTCTCCCTCTGGTTGTGACAAATATCAAGAAATATCATAATTTTCATTCTTGCTGGTTTGTAAAACGATTTAAAAGATTCTGTTTAGGTTCTCCATGTTGTTATGAAAAATGTAATCTCTGATTGATTCTGCTGTGTTTTAATTCTTAATGTTATCGAGAACAAGTTACTTGTGTTCTCTTTTGCATGATGTGATTATCATAATATCATTTTTGCCGATCGAAGTTTCTTTTTTTGTACTAACAGGGCGCTAACGTCTTCCTTAGTAAGGGGACATTCGGGTTTACGTTAGGTGTACGTATGCAAAGAAATATCTTTGAAATATATAGCACCCCCATTAAGAGTGAAATTTGCTATGAAATTAATACACGCGGTAGTCTACGATTTAAAATCTCAGTTTATTATTTCGCAGCTGTTACTTGTTTCGAAATAACAGAGCCATGATTTTGTTTACTTCTGTTAATGATTTTCGCCGAGTTATTTCGCTCACAAAATAATTACAAATCTTAGGGGCTGTTTACATGAGCCCGGTTACCCGAGATTTAACGAAGCGTGAGGGGACTTTGAGGCATTGAAATAAGTCTTTATGACACCAAACAAGTACATGCTATTGTTGTGGTGATTATATGACTGCCAGGATCATGTCATCTTCTCATTTCAATACCTCAAAATCATCTCATGCTTCGTTGAATTTCGGGTAACCGGGCTCATGTAGTCATGTAAACAGCCTCTTACTCTCCAATTGCCTTTTCAATATGGCTCAAGCTCACATTCCTTTCAAGTTCTTTTCCATGATTTCTTCTTAACATTTTCAAAGAACTGCTGAGAGATTTTCCATACTCTGTCACATCAATTGGCAAGACAAAACTATCGGCCATATACATGAGGAGTCTCGAGGCAACTTTGGCCGTGGTTAGGTGGAATTTGAAGTAGGGATCGATTAAGCCTTCGAGCCATTTGTATGTATCGTGAACTGTATGGTAGACGGGGTAGAACACCTTACCGCCATAGCTCAGGTCTAAGGAAGGTATACCTGTGGGAAAATTATCATTTAGCACTGTTAATGGGACAAAACTACTTTTCTACAAAACTAATTTTCTAAGCTGGTAATTAACTGAGTAAATTGCTCTCTGATACATTATAGTCTCAAGACTGTATTGCTTCATTTTTCTTTAACCTTGATCAAAGGCTCGAAAATACATACATGATACTAATTATTGATACAAGTTACATGCATGCATTGACTATTAACTCGCCTGGATGTACCAAAAAGAACGTGAATGTAGCTTACCGCAATATTGATAAAAACTGGCGTAATCAGAACCTGCGCCCAAGCGTTCGTAAATTGATTTTGTATTATTGGATTGATTTTTCACTTTAACCATCTGATCGTATACCTTTCTCCCGTGCGGGTCGTCTACGTCCTTAATATTCTTAGTAATTGCCGTCTTGAGCAGAGGGGAGCCTTTTAGTTTCAAGGTAAGATTGCCACTAACTGCGATATCGATATTTATGTAAGTTATTGCTTTAGTTGACAAGGCTCGTTCATTTTCTTCCACCCATTCCGTTGATCCCATCAAACCTGCTTCCTCTGCTCCCCAGCTGCAGAATTTGATGGTGCGTCTCGGGCGCCAACCTTTGATAAGAGTAGGAAATGTTATGGGTCGATAATAATGTCGAGGATTTTTTTATGATTATGAGGATAAAGACGATGATTATGTTTCAGTCGGCTGTATTGATTGTATTAGGAATATAAAAATGTACTAATGATAAGATGTTCACCGTAATATTTTATTTATGTCGTTATCGATAATGTTATCCTCGCTAATGGCGATTGTGATACTTCTGGTAATCATATTAACATTAAATGCACACATAATGAGGACAACTTGCATATCATTTTCACGCAATACCTTGTTTTAAAAGCTCGCCTAGACCACGTGATATTTCCATCATGGCTGATGTACCACTAGAGGCATCAACTGCACCAAATCCCCATGCGTCCCTATGATTCCCTATCAATACCCAACGGTCAGGTTCCTCATTGCCATATATGGTGCCGATAACATTGGGCACGTTTTGCCGTCTGTTAGGTACGTTTACTTGTATCTTGACGGTGTTGTTCATAAGGCTGCCATTTCCAACTTTGTAGGTAATTCCTAACAACCCACCTTGCCAACTTTTAGGGGCGTCGTCACCTTTTGGGATGGAACATAGAAGAAAATAATAACATATGAACTATACAGGGTGTATCAAGAAAAAGGTAATCCAACTTTGGCGCGCTATTGTACGTGAACTACTCATTCTATTAATGATTTTTTTCACATTCGGAAAGGTTAGGCTTTTAACTATCGAATGACATGTTTTTAATACTAAGTGGTGAAAAAATGAGTAAATAGGAGGCTGATAAAAAGTGTTAGTCAAAATCGCATATTTTCACCTCTGAGACTTGGGACTAAAACCATTAAAAATTAACCCCCTTTGGGACTTAATCGAAGAATTTTGCTTCTAAATAAACTACCCGCATATGCATATTAAGTTGGAATAAATCACATCAGGAAAACATTCCCAGCAATGCGGTGGCAATAACAACTTTGTATTGATAGAGGTGGTGGTCAAGTTGAAGGCTTCTGCGCTTAATCTCTTTTTAAAAAGTGTAAATGTAAATAATTGCAATAAGCATGTTGTGAAACCAGTGCAAGCTGTGACATGTTCGTGATTAATTGTTTTTTCTTTTGTTATGCAATGCTTTAATTAGGCTCAAAGGTGAAAATATGCGATTGCAACGAACATTTCTTACCAGCATCGTATGTGCTCATTTTTTCACCATGTGGTACTAAAAGCATGTCATCCGATAGTTAAAAGCCTGATCTTTCCGAATGTGAAAAAAAAATGTTCATACACTGAGCAGTTCACGTACAATAGCGTGTTGAAGTTGAATTACCTTTCTTTTTATACACCCTGTGTAGATCACTGGAAATGTTTTTCAAAATCCATATTATGGAAATCGTAGTTATGAAAGTTTGTAATATTTATACTAATTACTATTTCCATACTAAGGATGTGTATGGAAAAAGTATGGGTATATCATATCTCCATAGTATGGATTTTAAAACCAAATTTATATCAGTGTGTAGGAAAAATATAAACAAAATTGTTTTCACCTCTTGGATTGAAGGTTTCCACCTACCTTCCATGATCTCTAATAGTCTAACAGCATCTCCGTATGGTATGGGTGTTGCTGGAATCTTTGGCAGTCCAGCCTTCTCTTCGGGTATTCTGAATACTCCTTCGACAGACGGTAGTCCAGGTGTTAGCGGATCTCCACGACCTTGAAATAGGCTTCCGCGTTGGACGCCTGTTTTTGGAAGCCAAATGTATTTTGGATAGACCTTATCCTGACCTTCAGGTGCGTAATCCGCTGGGTCATTGTACAAAATTGCGCCAATCGCTCCACAGTCTTGGGCATTTTTAACCTGTAGAACAAAATGTTGTTAAACAAAGAGAAACAAAGATGGGACGAGCTCTTCATAATATAGTCTCCCTTCATAATTAACACAATACACATGCATAAGCCGATCGAAGCTGATATCAGGGTATCTTTGTCTTATCAGTTGGAATTATTAAGCGATCAATTTGGAGTAGACGAAACTATTAGGCATGAAATAATGGTTTAATTCGATCTAAACCTTAGCACCACGAAAAATCTTTCCATACCGCATGATGACAATGTAGCCGCTGCAGTTGGTGATGCTGAAGTTACTTTTTAATATTTGAAAATCTTCAGATCTTCCATAATTCACATAAAGGAGCTTCCCTTCGACCGATCCTTGCTTAGAATATCCCAGTAGCGGTGGTATCATTGTAGTGTCGTTTTCACTCGGGTCTGCCAACTGAAACATGAAGTTAATTTTCCTTATCATCCAGGACACGGTTGTTCGAAAGGCGTTTAGTTTAAACGTAACCTTATCAACCGTAGTTAATATTAGCTAATCCTTGGTTGATATATACGGTGTGTTATTTCAATCAGATTGCACATACATAATGTCCGGATATACAAGCAGTAAATGATAATTTTGTGTACCTGAAATACGTGTGCGTTTGTTTTTGATGAATATTGACATACCTTTTCTTTTCCAGAGAACTCGAAAGTCACATTACCAGTGGAATTCAAAATCTGTACAGAATTCGAGACGTTTGGTTGAACGTAAGGTAGGAGAATATCATATTCTGGTTGTTCTACTTTGTCGAATTTGTATTCCCTCCATCTTCTTTCGATCTCATCCGCTAACTCTTTTGAGCGCGGTGTTCCTGCAACATGTGGTCGCTCTGAAAAATACCTGTTTGATAAAATGATAAAATCACAATCATCAGAGCTCTGTAGCAACAACTGTGTTTTCGAAATGGCAAGAAATAGACAAAACATGCTTGAACGTTAGGTGTGTTGGGGATTCGTGCATGTCGGAAGGCCGAAGGCTGTAAGGTTTCTCGCTACCCTCCGTGCAAATAGCATCTTCCCCATTGCGTATATCGCGGACACACCTCCCTGCAAGTATAATTTTCATAGGCTCGCCTGTGGTTTCATTTTCAAATTTATTTCCGCATGTAGTTTCATTTTCAAATTTTCAAATGTTAGACTCTCTTTTCCATTCGCAGTATCCTACCGTTCGTAGGCTTTAGACTGGCAGTCATTAATATCTAAACAGTCAGTCTAACGTTCTCGTTGTTTATAATCCATGTTGCTTATCCACAATTTTATCATACATTAATTTCTGAAATATGAATAGCAGCAACAGCTGAATGCACGCTCAATTGGAGACGGTATGCAATAAACGACTGATCGGTACATGTTTGTCGATTAGTGTGACTAACCCATTTTAAAGTGCATCAAACATCAAACTGAGCAATATACCAATCCATCTGATCTACGGTGTGGTGTGAATGTTTTGCGCTATCAATACAATTTCTAGTGTATCATGCATCATGTGTTTGTGTTTGTGTGTGTGTGTGTTAATTGCCTAAAATCTCCATTTACGAAAAGGGTAAGGGGCTGTAACACACCCACTTGTTCCCGCTCGGCCGGTCGACCGCTACTGAACATTAGGTCAACAGAAAATCATTCAGGTTTTTGCTGAATTCGGGTAAATGAAATCTCTGGCAGTAAACACATCGTCATACACAGTTTGTTAAACAACAGCCGATAGAGAACCATTCAGTGTTTGATTTCCAGAATTTATTTCCAAAATCCTCGTACCCAGTTCCTTCCGCGTGCTGCGTGTGCGGTAATAAACGTGACTCATATAATTGCGAATAACTGAGGCTGTTATCGACTGTCGAGGTTACAAAATCTCTCAAAGTATTTGATCCTGCCTACGTTTGGAAGGATCGTGATATTTCCGACGCAGTTGAGACATCAACGATGAAATTGTTCTATATGCAACGTATGTAGTATAATTATATACTGGCTGTACTACGTATGTATGTGGCTATACTATATATTGTATAATTATATACTGGCATACAATTGACCCGTTCACGCTACTTAAGGACACGTTTCGGTCCAGTTTGGGTACTCTCTTCTATATATGCTGATGCTAACAATACATAGCTGCAATAACTGCAATAATCTACCCGTTTAAACCGTAAAGGACCAAACGTCTATGTCCTTTAAAAAACGTTCAAATAACACTTACCCTCAGACACGTATAATGGGCATTTCATCTACTCACCTCAAATTCTCGCCAATCTTAGTCGCATTTAAGATTGCAAACAGCTTTTCGTGAAAATTATCTTTCCGTTTCTTCTGTTCCTTGCGGAGTTTTACGATATATTTTATGTCGAATATTATTGATATATTATTCGTAACGTTAACTCTTAAGCTTGGTTCACAGGCGGACGAGTCATCTGAATCGGTTGGCGCCGAAACCCAGCCTATCACAAACGCCAACACGAATAGGGCAACAATAGCTACCACGGTACCAAAAACAATTCGTCCCGTGGTGAGCGTTGCCGTCGGCATATTGAATCAGAACAAAGTTTTACTAATCGGATCAAACAACCTCACTTTGCTAAATTGGCAAACGACTTCATTGTGCTAAAAGGTTTTCCGTTTTATCGTCTACGCTGCGTTAAGTACTTTGCTTTGCTGCGATACTTATATCCTTATTTTTCCAAAAGCCTCATTTGCATACGTCATTGATGATGACAGCTGTCACACTTTGAAGCTTCCATTCAGCTTCCACAATGGCCGCGTAACTATAGAGAAATATTTTAATTTGAATGGCGATGTTTTGTTCCGTAATGTAAACTGAACGCTTTGTTTATTCTGAACTGCTATATTACTTATAGAATATGATAGACTGTCTGTCTGCATACATGCACATGCAATGTATTTTTACATATACCTTAAAATAGAAGGAAAATTAATAAATTACTATAGACATGCACGTTTGAATTCAAAGTACCCTAATAGCACTGCTATAAGTTATAAATTGCCGAAGGATATATTTAATCTAAATTTAACAGTTAACGTTCAACCATTTTCAATGTATTTTAAAATTATAATTATCATCTACTCAAAAGGAAGCTGCAAAGTGTTGTTAATTGCTCCGCCATTGTTCAAAAGCTTTGGTTTGGAAGCTCAGAATTCACAGAACGTGGTATTTTAATTCATAAATGCTCCGTTGGACTGGACGAATTTCATTCTTTTTCACGTTAAATCTAATTTACACGGGTCCGAAGAATCAAGGAGCTATTGCATTAGTCCAAATACCACACGTCATGTCATTTTAGCTTTTCTAAGGTGATATAAAGGATCATTCTGTTTTACGATTAGAGGTTGGTGCAGGCGTTTATATATAGCAATGATTATATTACATGACGTTTTCTACTGGAAGTCGGTTTATAAGCGCTCTGCTATATAGAATATAAGCTGTTTAAGCGCCCTGTTTATATTTTGATATTCGCATTTATATTAGATAGTCGTTTATATATAGATTCTCCTGCACGTGATACATATATTGCTTATTTCTCATTTTGTTTCTATTTTTTAGGATCTTATGAATGCGAATTAACAAAAAATGAGTGTGCTTTTTTATACTACTTTTAATACTTCCCACCGAAGTACGGCGCATGTTCAAGACAAATCATATTTTTTGTGTAATCAATGGGGTTCCCCGTAATTCGATTTATTGTTTACTGGTCTGCGATTTTAGCATACAGGAAGATGAAATTATATGCTTTAGCAGGAAGATAGATACTGGTCGTCCAACCGATTAAATCTTTTTTTCGTTGCAAAAAATGAATAAGAATATAGGTTAACTGTATAGAATGCAATAGGCGAAAAAGAATTGAGATTGATCAAAAATATATTTATTAAAGTCAAATATATAGGTGAATGAAACTAAATTTTTCATCCTCACCTCTTTGGTAGATCGCTGTCAGTCAGCCCGCTTCAATAAGCAGTCTGAGATCAGTCTGAGCTTGGTCCGGTTTATAAATAAAGGCAAGAGTAAACGTAATTCTATATCACTTTATTATTAGAGGAATTAAAGCCTATACGATTTTTAAAAAACGTCACAAAGACGGCTAAATGTCTTTTCAAAGAAATTTTTAAAACAAGTATTTGCCATCAATCCTGTATGAATAAGTATATATAATACGAAAAGTTGAGAATATCGCTTAAAGAGAGGAGAAACTTTCATTACTTGACCGGACTTGAATTAAGTTGCACCTGTAGATATGTCAATACTGGCGTTTTAAATAACTGGATGCGAAAATTTGTGAATTCCCGCATCCTATGTAAACAGCGGAGGACGTCGTCACGCCGTCGCCGTCGCCGTCAAACTTCCATGGGGCATTGAATATTCAATTTACTCATTATCAGGAGCTGACGTTGTCGTCGTGTTTGGCGTCGTAGATCAGCTGTCGTAGATCTTAAGGTTTTATTGTTGCTAGTACATGAACTCATTGAGCTCTGTCACCGACAAGATTGATCTCGGATCCATTTTGTTAGAGCGATCTTATAGGAGGCATGCAGGAATATGTTTACGCACACGGAATATTGTTGGATGAGCAGGTTGAAATAAGCTTGGCTCGGGTTTTTAGCTAGAGAATATGTAAAAATCGCAGTTCACGACGTGAGATCATTTGAATGACACTTACACCTGCTCTTATTCTTAACGTTTCTCTGCACGAAAGAGAGTTGCAAAAAGAGTTCAACCTTCCTCCGGCAGGATTTCAAGTTTTGAAACCTTCCTCAAAATGACGTTACGACACCGAGTCAAATTGCAACCAGCATAAAGAAGTATTTGGTTTTTTGGTACATGCATGCATGTGATCAATTGGATTGTTCAACTTTGAATCTTCCTCACAAACCTTATTCAAAGCAAACCTTCCTCCGGGTGGCACCCGTGTACCCGCAGCTTTTTTGCAACTCTGACACGAAAGGAAAAGAAATTAAAATATATCATGCATGTCAACGGCCGAAATTGATATTAACCTCAGCATGGTTGTGAGAAAAATGCCATGCACACTATAAATAATAATATTTCTGCTATTGATGTACATGCCTGCATTAGTCTTAGCTGCATGGGGAAGAAGGTTTTGGATAATTTCTTCATGGCGCCTTAGACGCTTGAAAGAATAAAGTCTGGGCAAACCATTATTCCTTAGTATAACTAAGTGTGAAAACTCCCCCCCCAATTAGTTAAAACATAACATCGCAAGTACAGTCAAAGCAAGGACATTAAAGAGAATAATTGTGATAGTTATTAATTTTATTGTTATCCACATTTTCTCCGATTTTCATAGACGATTTTTACTGTTAGTTTTTGTGTACGCGTATACGGTTGTTTTTGTGTGCAAGTGATTTCGTGAATTTTTCCCACCTTTTTTTCATCATGCATAAGATCACGCATTTACGGAAATGTGGTTTGATATATCTTGGTTTAAAGCAATCATGCAGCGTTTTCGTAGGTTAAATAGGTAAAACCTCCTCTAACTTTCAACATGCAGCAGTGGGAGCAAGAACTTTCATGGATGGGATATGAGTTAGGGTAGTACAGTATACTCAGATTTTAATTTTCACGCCTAATACAATAATTGTGATACTTATTTATTGTGATTTATTCTATATACATGGCATTTTTTCACAGTGATATCTTTATAGAAGCTCTTTCTATACATTATTTTGCTTACACGTAGCTTTCCCCGACTTTCCTATATAATTTGTTAATGCATGCTTGTGCTGTTATTTATTTATACGTATATACAGTGGTTTTTGTGTGTGTGATTCAGTGAGTTTTTAATGTTTTCTTCTTTTTAACGAAAATGTAAATGTGTCAAAACACATTTAAAGCAAGCAACATGCAATAATTATTCTTTTCGTTGTGCGAATAGGTAAAAGAGTGTTCTTTAAATAAGTTGGGTGATGCTTGTGTATCTTACAACAGCAGCTGGGCCATCCGGATGGGATGTGATTTGGGGTAATTCATGATTAATTTTACTGCAGCAGAATGTCGAGGCTTCTAATTCGCCTGCTTTAGAAAAGAAATGAAGGTATAGCACGAATCTTGTACATGGGTCAGGACAATTATTTTAGAAGAGGCATGGTGAAATGCCATCCCATGGATCATATGACCTTTTGGTACTTCGATTGTTAACTTTTCCTCTCCTTCCACAGACTTTATGTACAAAGCACTGAGATCGCCTCGTGATAGCATGATTTCACTCTTCCCAAAAATGCTCAATTTGTTTTTTCCAAGTGAATCTCGTGGAAATTTGTGCTTGAGTCTTCCAGTATTGTCGCACACGTACACGTTGGGATCGCTGTGGCTCAACATGATGATATCATTGTTTTGGTTTATTGCAATCTTCGCTCTGTCCAATCTAGCACTTTCCTCAAAGAAGTCCAATTCACGCTCAAACTTTAGACTACATTCCTCATCCAATATGTGTAAAATACATTTTTCGAAACCTTTTCCTGTGGTTGTCCCAAACCATCTGACAACATATATGTTGTTGTTTTTATCAACAGCAAGGGCAGCAATGCGTTGCTCAATATTCTTAACTTCCCATGGCTCAGGTAATTTATACTGCTTGCTTGTACCCGCTGTGGAAATAACTTTGATGTTGTCACGATACCCCACCACAATTTCGCCTTTACCGTTCACACCAGAAAAGCCGGGATATATTGCTTCGGCGAGTGGAAGTCCGCTTGGATGCCGGACCAACTTGCTCCCCATAGATCTTCTTGTTGAGATCTCTCCCCAATGCAATATTGGGTTGAAAATGCGAACGCCCGCTTTAATTGTTGGCCATGACGCCACGATAAGGCTCGGCTTTGTGTTGAATTTCGAAACGAATTGAAATACAACATAATTAATCATCATAACAGATAAGACGTTCTCCACTCTATCTGGTTTGGAAAAAAGTGACTTAAAACCACCATTTAGGTACACCGAGAATGTGTCACTGATCGCTTTCAAATCATGCAGCTGTTTTAAAATTATTCGGCACGCCGGGATTGCGATTTCAGGACTTTCAAATCTTTGCAATATCTCAGAAACTATTCGTAGTTTTCCCGCGAATATCCGATGTTTAATATTTAGCGCGTCATTGGCGAAAGCCTGGTTCGCTGCCTGTTGAGCTGATTCAAATTTTTTTTTCGCCGCCTCATATTCCCCAATTGCTTCGACAGGTCTTCCCATAGCGCCTGAAAGATCCGAGACTTCCTTTAAGGCGGCATCCGCTTCGTCAACATTCTGCGATTGTGTACTAGTTTTGGCCTGACAATTTTTCACTTCGGGCTCCGAAGAATGTTCTTGATCGAGGTCTGTTTTATCAAGGAAATTATGAAGTGAAGCAACTCCTTCTTCAAGCGAGTTACAGCTGGCTTGCAGATCTTTTCGACACAGTCCATCAAGTTTTGACTTGATTGTACCCAGATCACTCTGTATCATTTCACGAAGCTTTGCACAAGTAGTGTCACAATTTCTAATATTAGCAGCAATTACATCGCCAGTTTTGTTGCACAATAGTGCTGATGCAGAACAGAGAATTTCCACTACAGAAAACGACATAGTTAAGTTGTTTATTCGTGACAACAAAGGGATTCTGAGTTTTGACTGGGAATATCGCTTCATATATTTCCAAGTATTATAAATAATTTATTCGAAATAATTAATTAAATTAAAAGCACCATTTACCAATCATGAGTCGTATTCCCAAAGTAATTATGCAGCAAAAGTACAAGCTGTGTTCACGCGGTATCGGATCCGCTCGTCACGGCATATACATGCTTGATTATTATATGCATTAATTATAAATACAAAGAAAACCTGCATTAAAAGTTAATTTGCATGTAGCTATTTGTTCATACTATCTTGAAATTTTTTAGATTTCATATTTTGCATACAGTTTTAGTACATAATTTGCCATAGGGTCGTGTAGCTATTTCACAAGGCACGTTTACCTTTTTCCAGCCAACAAAACAGCCACATTATTAGTCCTGAAACTTATCCACCTGAATATCCACCAGGTGCATGGACTCAGAGAGGACTTCACTAAACTAAACTATCGACGGCGAATACTATTTATAATAACGGTAATTTCAGCGCATGCATGCAACATTTTTTTATTACATTACTATTATTATTATTGTTAATATTATCAGTATTATTATTATTATCAATATATTTCTACCCAGGACATCCACTTCACCGAAGTGTTCTTTATAGTGCGGTGTTGCGATTATAAATTGTACAATAGCATATTAATTTATACAAAATCATGCCGGCGTTGTCAAACATAACATGAAAACAGAACAATACGAAATAAAGTATAAAAACGTTACAGTTTGACATAAATCTATATAAAAGAGTATTCCAGCCATAGGTTGCATGATAATATATTGCAGTTTTCAACAGCACCAAAATCCCTCGCTGATTTATATTTTTGTGATTCCTTAGTGGTTTTTTCCAATGGATGTTTATATTCCTCCACCATTTTTTTCATATTTTGTATAATTGTGTATTACGACCGAAAATGTGTAACTACTAAGTCTACAACATTTGCCAACTTCGAATAGCTATATTTCCCGCATTTTACAAAATTTCGCAACTAAACTTTGAAATTCTACTTATTTCAGTATCATGCATGCTCGTTTTGCTATGGTAACATATTTCGTCTTGTTCTCCAAGTCTAAAATTAGTCTATAGCGCATACTGAGGTTATATTGGTACCTTTGATAATGTTTGCTAAAACATATACTCTACATATCTTTGGGAAGAAAAAAGTATTTTTGCTTAACACTTCCTGTCTTATTCAGTTCTTATGAGCTTTCAGCGTATCCGTTGCACTCGAAATCGCTTTGAACAAAACGGACGCCTGTTCCTTGATATCCAGCCAATCCTGCTCCGTTTTATTCTTCTTAAACATTAGATCAGAGATTCCCGGAAAACTAGTTGTTGCATAATCGTCGTTGACGGAAGGTGCAAATATAACGTGCCTTGTTGTTGGTCGATTAGGCAAGCCTGGGGCAGTGATGAAGGCTTTCTCAACGTTGACCATACGGTCATTGAGGTCCCGTAGTTTGATGTCGTCTTTTTTTTCGAAAGCTTCGTCTTTTTCCGCCTGGAATATTTTTGTTTCCTCTTTGAATCTTAGGAAAATTCAAAAGAATAAAACATGATTTTTCTATATCAAGGCTTTACTGTTTTATTTTTGGATTTTGCGATGCAAAAGGCTAGCTATCAAAGATGTATGTATACGACTTGTAAAAAATTTCTCCACCATGCATATGGCCACTCCTTTCCTTTGTGAAAAACGCCATCCCTTATGGTATTGATTCTATGCTCGTTTTTGTTTGCTCACTCTAAACTGCTTATGAAGGCTCCATGCATACAGTTCTAGAAAATTTCATGTATTAGCGTATTATTTACTTTCAACCTGATTTTGAGTGAAACAAAAACGGGATTCAGTTCTTGCGATATCGCATCGCATAGGCGACCTACGCGTGTTTTGGAACGACAATTTTCACCTTGCGACAGGCATTCCGCGTCGAGACTCGGCAATTTTCACAGTTTTCGTCAACGATTTTTCCCTAAGAAACTGAATACAAAACGATTTGAAATCTTACTTTGCAATTGCCGCCCCAATATAATCCAAACTAACATTCTTTTCAAGTTCTTCTCCATATTTTTTCCTCAATGTTTGAAGAGACCTGTCTAGAGATATTCCATACTGGGTTACATCGACTGGTAACACAAAACTGTCGGCCATATACATGAGAAGTCTCGAGGCAACTCTTGCCGTCGTTAGGTGGAATTTGAAGTCGGGATCGATCAAGCCTTGGAGCCATTTGTACGTGTCGTGGACTGAATGGTATACAGGGTAAAAAACTTCTCCAGCATAGGTCATGTCTAAGGATGGTACTCCTGTAGAGAAAATTATCGTTCTTTATGGTTGTTGCAAGAAAACGTGCTTTCAAAATTATATTTCGAGACTGCAAGGCCACTAATAAGTTGGATAAACTACTCACACAAAAATGTTGCAGTTTTCATCAACCTCCTAAAAATCCTTTACCTTTAATCATTGTTAAAAGGCATGCATGCATAATATTATGTTAATTAAAAATAGCGTAAAGATGTCCCCCAAAGAAGATGAATGCATGTAGACTTTTAGCTTACCGCAAAATTGATAAAAACTAGCATAATCTGAACCAGCACCCAAGCCTCCGTAAGTGAATTGATCATTCACTTTAACCATCTGATCGTATACTTTTCTCCCGTGAGGATCGTCAACTTCCTTAACATTCTTAGTAATTGCCGTCTTTAGCAGGGGGGAGCCGCTAAGTTCTAAGGTGAGGTTACCATCGACGGCGACATCGATATTAATATAGGTTATTGCTTTTGTTGACAATGCTCGTTCATTTTCTTCCACCCATTCTGTTGATCCTATCAAACCTGCTTCCTCTGCTCCCCAACTACAGAATATGATGGTGCGTCTCGGGCGCCAACCTTCGATGAGAGTAGGAAATGTCATGTGGTGATATAATAAAGGAGAAGACGATGAATAATATGTTTTCATCAGTATAAATTATTGGTCATAATGATAACGATTTTTTAATATATCGAGCGTACTTTTTTTCTTCAAACGGTACCTTGCTTTAAAAGTTTGCCTAGGCCACGTGATATTTCCATCATGGCCGACGTACCACTAGAAGCATCGACTGCGCCAAATCCCCACGCGTCCCTATGATTCCCTATCAATACCCAACGGTCTGGCTCCTCTTTGCCATATATGGTGCCGATAACGTTATACACATTTTGACGTTTGTTGGGAACATTTACTTGAATTTTGACAGTGTTGTTATTTAGGCCGCCGTTCCCGATTTTGTAGGAGATATTTAACATACCTTGCCAACTTTTCGGAACGTCATAACCTTTTGAGATAAAATGCATGAAAATTGTTACTCTATAAATTACTCCTACATAAATAAGCTTGTTTGTGTTTGCCTGGCTATCGGCACTTTATAGTTTTTGTTCCTCGAGGAAAATGCGGGAACACGTATGTTTGTGATCTGAAAATATCCGTTAGTTTATGACATGTTATATATTTAGTGTCTGTTTTGAAATTTTTAAACGTCTCTCTTCTTAGGTGCTTAAAATTTGTCTATAGGAAGATCGAATTTGTTTTAAAGCTACCACCTACCTTCCATGATCTCCAATAGTCTAATAGCTTCTCCGTATGGCATCGGTGTAGCCGGGATCTTGGGCAGTCCAGCCTTCGCTTGGGGTATTCTGAATACTCCTTCAACAGATGGTAGCCCAGGGGTTAACGGATCTCCAAGACTTTTAAGTATGCTACCGCGCTGAACCCCTGTCTTCGGGAGCCAAATGTAATTTGGATAAACCTTATCTTGTCCTTTTGGTGCATAATCTGCAGGGTCATTGTACAAAATGGCGCCAAAAGCTCCACAGTCTTCGGCGTTTTTGACCTTTAAAACAAGATATGACATGGTAATTGTGAAGGCCTCTTGTCGCGACAGCACTTTAACACAAAAGCTGCAATGAAAGGCAGCTTGTGGGATGATAAAAAGTATTTAATCCAGGAGTAAAAATCGCTGGAACTGCTATATGCAGTGAATATCCAGTAAACGTATACAATGGTATCAGTTGCAAAATTTATGCAATTGCTAGTCCCATATACAGAATCTCTCGGTAGATCTCTTTATATAAAAGACTTAAAACAATCATTCAGATATTTATTATCGAAAATGGGTTATAGAATCGTGGTGAAATATATACTTTGCCAGTTTTGAGCGATAATATTCGTATATAGATTAAATTTCAAAGACGCAATAGAGGCGCATGTCTTACAACTTGGGGAAAGATCATTTCATAATGTTATATATACAGCTCTAGGAAAATATGAAAACTGAAATTAGTTTTGCTTATTTAGATACTGGAGATGTTCAAATTATTTGGGTCAAATTTCCGTGTTTTATAATGACTACCTAAAGCAATAAAGTAGTCACTAGTGTTTATAGCCATCGTCCCAGTCTTGAATTTGTTTAGGAGAAGAATTAACACTTATTTACTGTGACCGAAGTAAACGGGTGTTTTTGTGGACCCGGGTCTGTCAATATTTCACAAGGCGAAGGTCGAGGGTTCTCAAAACATAATGTTTTCTGAGTTCTCGGTAAATAAGTTTTTTATCAATACTTCTTGTCACAGAAAAACCAAACTATACAAGGTAAACAACGAAATATCTCTTCATAAAAGACATGCATGATTTCAAATGGATGGTAAACAGTCTAAAGGTCGCACATCCAGGTGCGCCGTACGTGATTAAAGTTGTTATTTCCCACATTATCTCACTCTGCGGGGGTCGCGCGGGCAACATCAAAATCAGTTCGTCATTCTCGCGCGCCTCGCTTTCGACCAATGAAACGTTACGAACACCAAACTTTGACAAGTGATATATAATAAGATCACTTATTTCTCTACGATATTGTATTCTACTCAATGTTTTGTGAGTGTACTCTCAAATGTTCGTCAATATACAGAAATGCCCTTCAGTCACGAATAATCGCATCATTCTGTCGTCCCTGTCGATCAAAACGGATAATTCCTATTAGATTTTTTTAGAGAACAATTTGAAGCAGTTCACGCAAACAATTCAGCAAAAATGAAGCTAATAAGTAGAAAATAATTGTTAGTCTCCACCTTATCACCGCGATATATCTTTCCATATCGCATGATGACAATGTAGCCGTCGCAGTTTGTGATGCTAAAGTTATTTTTCAATACTTGAAAATCTTCAGTTCTTCCATAATTCACATACAGGAGCTTCCCTTCGGCCGAACCTTCTTTAGCGTAACCCAAAAATGGTGGGATCATCGTAGTGTCGTTTTCGCTCGGGTCTGCCAACTGAAATATGAAAATTATTAGTAACAGAGTGAAATAATAGCTTCCATTTTTTTACGTGTAGCTATATTCCATTTTTTGAGGTCGAAAATGTTGTTGGAAAAAGGATTAAAAATACCATATATTGCAGAAGCATAACTTAGAATCACATTAAAAGTTGAAAAACTGAATCATCGTTGACAGTAAGGGTCAATAAGATTTCCTATTAAAGTTTCTTATCAGAAAACTTGGCCGCATGGCTCCATATATGGCGTGCAGCTCATTCAATCTGATTGCAGAATAACTAATATATCTAATATGTAGCCAGTATCTGCGTGTATGCGTACTAGTGCGTTAGTTTGATACCTCCTCTGGTCCAGAGAACTCGAAAGTCACATTCCGAGTGGAATTCAAAATCTGTACGGAATTCGAGACGTTTGGTTGAACGTAAGGTAAGAGCGTATCATATTCCGGTTGTTCTACTTTGTCAAATTTGTACTCCTTCCATCTTCTTTCGATCTCATTCGCTAATTCCTTCGAACGCGGTGTTCCTCCAACGTGGGGTCGCTTTGCAAAATACCTGTTATATTAACAGCTACTGTAGTCTATGCTAATGTGAAATATGTGAAACTGCATTGGAGTCAATATTTGCCGATTTGAACTTTATCAATAATATATGGAAATAGTGGGATTTGACTTTTTTAGCAAAGTGTGTTTATTGTCCATGGACCAGTTTTTTAAAAGCCGTTTAACACTGGCTTAACTCAAATTTTTACGTCAATTTGTTTGCAAATTTGTCGCTGCAACACGTCGCACAAAATCAAGCCGCAGGGATGTCGAAGCCGCGCAAGTCAGGTTAATATAGCTCTTGCGTAAATGTACACACGAAGTGATTCGTTGCAGCGACGTGTTGCGGCGATTAAAGAGTTTACGATTCACGACGCGGCCAGGGAAGACGCGTTAGAAAGGCTTGATGACAAGCGCGGCCAACGCGTCTTGTGTGATTCCGACGCGTATACTCTACGATTCTACGACGGATTTTGTTAATTTTAGGTTGTGATCACTACGCTACGAACTTAAAATGAATATCTAATATTTTTTCTTCCAAAATTTGAATTTAAGTTCTTATCTTTTCTTGTTCAGCGATGTATAAATTCCTTAATTCCTGATGTATTAACTACATTTTCTGTGGTATTCGATCGTTAAATCTCGTACAAATCAATTTGTTTATGTCATTGTGTTTCTAATATACATAAGTAGCGTCCATATTTTTATCCTAGAATAGGAAGCAACGAATTACAACAACAAACTCATCATTTTCTATTTCTTCTTGGCTAAACCTTTTTTTATTTCCAGTACAGGAGGCACGAGGACGACAATATTTGGACCGCCTTAAGTGCCTTTCCTTTCTCGCAAAGTTCATTCACGAAGTTCGTTTTCCATACAAAGTTTCTCTAACAAAAATCTGCATAACAAATATTTTGTAAAACCAAAATTTTCCCGCCAAAAGTGATGTTTTACCCTAGCGCGTTGTGTTTCGTAACGTAAGGAACAGAATATAGGTTTGGGCCGCGTTTGTTACCAAGCCTTTCTAACGCGTCTTCTGTAGCCGCGTCGTGAATCGTTAACTCTCTCTATTGTCGCCTAGTGTATACTGGCCTTTAAGTATCCCTTCAGACTGATCTCAAATTATGTACTATAACGTATAATATTACGACACTCTTAATTAATTCTCACCTCAAATTACTCACCTCAAATTTTCGCCAATTTTAGTCGCATTTAATATTGCAAACAGCTTTTTATGAAAATCGTCTTTCAGCTTCATTTGCTCCTTGCGCTTTCTCACGATATAGTTTATGTCAAATGTTTCGCTGGATGAATCATTGTCCGAGACATTAGATTTGACCTCACAGACACAATCATCTGAAACGGTTGGCGCCGAAAACCAGCCTATCAGAAACCCTAACACAAATAACACGACAATAGCTATGACGACACCAACAATTCGTGCCGTTGTGAGCGTTACTGTCCTCATTTTCAATCCAAAATGTTCGATGCGTTGACAAAACGTTTCCTAGTATGACTTGTCGAATTTTGATCCGGGTAATGAACGTAAACCAAAACCGGAAATGGCCGAAACTAAATCCCCAACTATATAAATGAGTATAATTAAAATTCAACAGACGTTATACTACTTTACTAGCTTTAGACTGCCTAACTCTACAGGGTGTATAAAAAAAGGTAATCCAACTTCAGCACGCTATTGTACGTGAACTACTCAGTCTATGAGCGGAATTTTTCACATTTGAAAAGATCAGGCTTTTAACTTTCGGATGACATGCTTATAATACCAAATGGTGAATATATGAGCACATATGCGAGGCTGATAAAAAATCACATTAGACACAATCGCATATTTTCACCTTTGAGCTCAATTAAAGCAGTGCGTAACAAAAGAAAAAAGCAATGAATGACGAACATGTCACAGCTTGCACTGACACCGCGGAAATTGGTATAGGCTTAGCCGCAATTCTCGATACTTAGACTTCAAACTTGGTGAGGAAAAAGATTTATAAATATTCAAGAAAATATGTCTTGCACAAAAGATTTGAAGCTTGCTCACGGTAAAAACGAATCGTCTGAATTAATAACCTTGTGTATACTTTAAGCCTCAAAATGGCCATTTCACAGCGGTCAGATGTGTATGATGAGCTGTCAAAAGATTGCAGAATGCGTATTCAGAAAAAAAATTGAACTTTTTTAAGATATTCAAAAGGTTTCTCTTTGATAGGGCGATACAGAAATGCACAATTGTGAACCAGCGATTAGATTTTCGGGTTGAAACGTCTTAAACACCAATTTCTGCGGTGTCGCTTGCACTGGTTTTACAACATGTTTATCGCAATTATTTACATTACACTGTTTGAAAAGAGATTATGCGCCGATACCCTCAACGTGACCACCATCTCTATCGATACAAAGTTGACATCGCCACCGCATTCCTTGGAATGTTCTCCTGATGTGATTTATTCCTACTTAATATGCATATGTGGGTAGTTTATTTAGAAGAAAATTCTTCAATTAAGGGAGGTAATTTTCAATGGTTTTAGTCCCTCTGGTTTTAGACTCTCAGAGGTGAAAATATGCGAGTTTGACTTTCTATCACTTTTTATCAGCCTCCTATATGCTCAATTTTTTACCATTTTGGTATTAAAAACATGTAATTCGATAGTTAAAAGCCTGACCTTTCCGAATGTGAAAAAAAATCGTTAATATAGATCGAATGAGTAGTTCACGTACAATAGCGCGACAAAGTTGGATTATCTTTTTTTATACATCCTGTATAGACCCATTGCATTGCTGTCATAATCATTAAAAGTTGTCCTCCAGATGTCTCCTTGCTTAACTAAAAATAATCGTTATGCAAGCGGTAAAGGTTTATATATAGCGGTCAAAAGCATTTAACGAAGCAAAGTTTCTCACACTAGTAAATATTTCTGTATTTTGTCCAAAATTTACGTCTTTGCAAAATTTATGCTACGTTAATTTGTCCTCCAGATGCCAAATGTGATGTCATGTGCAGAGGGTCTGTAGTCTTCGACGGTTCGAGCGATTAAGAGCGCTTCATCATCACATTTGCATGCGGTGATGCGGGTATGATTTTTTTAGCGGCAGTGTTGACAGAATAAATTACGAAGATTAATTTGAAATTCCTTAAAAGAACCTTGTAACAACGCTAACAGCGTTAGTTATACCACGGTTATACAAATCTACCAATGCGATGACAGATTAAATTTGTCGCAATTTATTCTGCCTTATCCTGGATCCGCCTCTGTAGATGCTTGGCAGGCTTCCTTCTCTCCAAAACTCTTTCAAGTCTAATATCTGCCGCGACGCTTTGATTGATAATTTTGCCATAGTTGTCAGTTCAACGCGAGGCTGGTTGGCAACATCTAAGAATTCAGGGTCGCGGTTACAATTTTACTAAACTTGGTTAATTAATGTCTCATCATAAATTATGCTCACTTCAAAAGCCTAAAAGGACATATATATGCTTTCTCTAAATGGTGATCTACTTGCGCCGAACGCATTAACGCAATTTATCCATAAGGAGTATTTTCGAGAAAAACAAACCTCTCTTACTTCAGCAACAATGGAAGGCAAGAAGCTTCATCCATTTATATAATTCTCAGTTAGGCTCGTTTTAAATTTAAAATATAGGCTGCAAAAAACATGATATTACGATATTATATTTTAATGTTATATTGTCTTAGTGGAATCTTAGACATGCATGCATCCGAGAAGTGTCTAGCATTTCCAAAACCTCGTTATCTCTAACTGCTGTCCTAAACAACGATTTCTACCACAACGTGAATACTCTAAACATTACGAAGAAAAAGTATCGTTAGTGGTCATTCCTGGTTTTCATATTGCATCGCTTTTCAGTGTATCTGTTGCACTCGAAATCGCTTTGAATACAACAGACATCTGCTCCTTGATATCCAACCAATCCTGATCAGTTTTATGCTGCTTAAACATCAGATCAGAGATTCCCGGAAAACTACCATAGGGTTTATTGACAGATGGCGCGAATACAATGTGCCTTGTGGTTGGTCGATTTGGCAAGCCCGGAGCGCTGATGAAGGATTTTTCAACGTTGACCATACGGTCATTGAGATCTCGTAGTTTTACGTCAACTTTTTCGTCGAATGCTTTCTCTTTTTCCGCTTGGAATTTCTGCGCTTCTTCTTCGAATCTTAATAAAACAAAGACAAAGTAATTCTGAAACTGCTCAAATCAGTGCCGCGGTTTCAAAATTTCTCAACTTTCAATTTCGAAATCGTACCTTTTTATTGCATTCTCAATGTAATCTAAGGTGGCGTTCTTTTCAAGTTCTTTCCCATGATTTTTCCTCAATGTTTTCAGTGAGCGGTTAAGAGATTTGCCATACTCTGTGACATCGAGCGGTAATACAAAACTGTCAGCCGTATACATCAACAGCTTTGAGGCAACTCTAGCCGTGGTTAGGTGGAATTTGAAGTAGGGATCGATCAAACCTTGGAGCCACTTGTACGTGTCGTAGACTGTGTGATAAACGGGGTAGAATACCTTACCAGCGTAGGTCATGTCGAAGGATGGCACTCCTGTAGGGAAGGATAACATGGATAATGGATTAAAGAACCATTAACGATATCTGTAATAATTGTTCCTATTTATTATAGTCAGTGAAATTTAAAAAAAATACAAATGAAATCTTTACCAAACAATGGTAGCTTCAAAAGTTAATGACATTTTATATATATATGACATTGCTATCGATTTTTGAAGCACCATTGTTTTGTATTTTATAAACACTAAAACCACGCAAATTACGTCATCAAATAGAATATATATAGTATGGTCCAGGCACAAAAATATTGCTCCAATTTCCTCTCTCCAATTGTCTCTAATCATAATTAAAAGGAATGTATATTATGTTAATTCATTTGCATAACGTTAACATTTGTATTAAAAGGCGTGTATATTATGTTAATTCATTTGCATTTCTACCTAAAAGAAGATGAATGTATAAACTTTATAGCTTACCGCAAAATTGATAAAAAGTAAGATAATCTGAATTAGCATAAACCAAGTCTCCGTAAGTGAATTGACCATTCACTTTAACCATCTGATCGTATACCTTTCTCCCGTGCGGGTCGTCAACTTCCTTAACATTCTTAGTAATTGCGGTCTTGAGCAGGGGGGAGCCTTTTAGTTTCAAGGTAAGATTGCCACTAACTGCGATATCGATATTTATGTAGGTTATTGCTTTTGTTGACAATGCTCGTTCATTTTCTTCCACCCATTCCGTTGATCCTATAAAACCTGCTTCATGGGCTCCCCAGCTGCAGAATTTGATGGTGCGTCTTGGGCGCCAACCTTTGGTGAGAGTATAGGAAATGTCATGTGATGATATAATATGAGAGAAGACGATGAATAATATGTTTTCATGAGTATATTGGTCATAATGATAATGATTTTTAATATAGAGCGTGCCTTTTTACAGTACCTTGCTTTAAAAGCTCGCCTAGACCACGTGATATTTCCATCATGGCTGACGTACCACTAGAGGCATCCACCGCACCAAATCCCCACGCGTCCCTATGATTCCCTATCAATATCCAACGATCTGGCTCCTCTTTGCCGTATATGGTGCCGATAACGTTATACACATTTTGACGTTTGTTGGGCACATTTACTTGAATTTTGACAGTGTTGTTGTTCATTAGACCGCCGTTGCCGAGTTTGTAGGAGATATTTAACATACCTTGCCAACTTTTCGGAACGTCGTCACCTTGAGGTACAAGGCATGAACAATTTATTTACTTGCAACGGCTTAATTACACCTACATAAATAAGCTTGTTTGCCCGGCTATCACTTCCTATTTTTTGTTCCTCGAGGAAAATGGTCAACACGTATTTTTTAATACATATCTTACTGCAGCAAGAAAACTTTAACAGGTGCGGATCTAGGATTTTTTATACCTTAGTCAAATTTTATGACGTCATTTATGACGTCACGTATGGCGTCACGCATGACTCATTTACTAGCATGTTAAGATGTTCGATTTTTTAAATTATAGTCTTCAGAATACCAGCTGAACTGCTTCGCCCCATATTAGGCTCATCAGCATGCCTAGGATACACTTTTAAAAATATACGCTAGCTAAAAATTGTTTTTGAGATGACATTGAGGGGAGAATCTACTTATTCCCAAAGTATTCCTTAGTCCCTACTTTGAGTAGTCCCAACTTTGAGTATTATTGTTACTAACTAGTACAAGGGCCGAAGCTGAAGCAGGAGAAGTAGGAAAATATTCAAAACAGGAAATTAAAATCACGCTAGATCAAGTATCCAACAATTATATCGCGGACTGACGGCAGAGTTACAATGTCAACATCATGATGTATATTCACTCATAATTTTCATATGAACGTATTTATACATGTGATATACATCAGGAATACGGAATAATAATAAGTAACTAAAAGTGAACATGCTAACTTTGTGTCTTTCATATCATATTTAAGTTATATATTCATATATAGCAACCTTTGACCCGGCCAGCGCAGACATATGTAAATTTATATTTGAATACATAAAGAACTAGCCATGCTTGTTGTTGTTCGACAATCATTTTGCCGATTTGAGATCTAAAAACACAGTTATATAGAAGCGTAGCATGGAATAAACAAAATATAGTTAACTTATTGCAGTACAAGCCTTTTTCTTGCCATTACGAGCGTGCTTCGGCACATATAACTCCACACAAACATTTGAGCTTAGCCTTGAGCGTGTCGCCTTCATAAATACAAAGATCGAACGTCGCATTAATATCGCGTCATTTTGACACTCTAAATCGTTCGAATGGCTCGTACAAATCACTACAAGGCGATGAAGACATTGTAAAATAACACAATAACAAAACAAACGCGAAAAAGCAGAAGCTAACTTCGAAATTTAATCCTTCGATGCTAAGAGCGATTGAAAAGGCATGTTTCCACTCTTTGCCTAGTCTTTGCCTAACATGACTAACACAGGCATGCTTACGAAGCACAGTGATTGGTTCAACTCGATTAGGCAAAAAATGCAAGCCAATGAAAGAATAGAATTTAAAAAAATTACCCAATCATAAGGCTTCCCGATTACGTCAAGTTAGGCAAATTCGTCTTGGTTAGGCAAAAAAGCTATAAGCCAATCAAAAGGCTGTATCGGCCACCAGGCATAGGCAAAATAGCTGCCTCTCATTGGCTTGCTTCATGGCTTGCCTAAATACCAATGAGCTATATATCTATAAATAACTGGACTGTGATATGAAAATATGAATAATTAACTGTCATGTTTCCACTTATAAATGAATACTTTGTGAATTGGGAACTGGGAATTTGGTAATTATTATCTGGATAATTTACCATAGTCACTTGACTATGTTGCCTACCCCTAGATCCGCGCCTGGAAAACTTATACTTAAATTATCATGTTATACAGTAATTCACTCCGCGAGTACTCTGAACTCCCACGTTTTTGGAAATCTACCGTTTCAGAACTACCAAAAAATTTGCATCTTTTCAAATTTTGGAGCGTCTTTGCCTGAGTTGTTAGTTATTAGGTAGTTTTATATTATTCCATTAGGAGAACAATTTCATTATAGTTTCCGCCCAAAATTTTTGCCATTATTTGCACTCTTTGGGCATTCTCGCTCGTCAAGTCAATAAAGTACGTACCCTTCCACAAGTATACCATTTCCAAAATTCCCTATTGTATATATCGAACTCCAGAGAATATTCTGAAGAGTAAATGGGGAGGGGGAAATTCGTATATATTCTGCTATGGCAGGCTGATTTCTTTTGAAAACAATTTCTCTTTCAATAGAAATCAGCCTGGCATTACAGAATATGTGAATACGGCAATTAATGTTCGATTGATTTCTGCTTACATTATGTACAAAGAACCCCCTACGGCCCTACCTTTCATGATCTCCAAAAGTCTAACGGAATCCACGTATGGCATCTGTGTGGCCGGTATCTTGGGCAGTCCAGCCTTCTCTTCGGGTATTCTAAATACTCCTTTAATAGACGGTAATCCAGGTGTCAACGGATCTCCCGGAAGAATAAATACGCTGCCGCCCTCGACTCCTGTCTTTGGGAGCCAAATGTAGTTTGGATAAACCTTATCCTGGCCTTTTGGTGCATAATCAGCAGGGTCATTGTACAAAATGGCACCAACAGCCCCACATTCTTCGGCGTTTTTGACCTGTAAAAGAAGATATAAGATGCATGATAATTGTGAAAGCCTGTACTGAAACACAGCTTATGGGATTATAAAAAGTATGTGTTTTATGAGAAAGCTCAATCCAGTAGTGAAAGTCGCTGGAGCTGCTTTGTTGTGAATATCCAGTACGACGTACGACGTTGAACGAAATCTTGCAATTAGTCTCTTTTTAGAATTAACGCAATAGTGACACCCATACAGGATCTCTTGGTGGATCTCTTTAGTTCAGTTTGCATTTTATCCTGAGGTAAAGAACTGGATTGGAAAGGGTTTCAATATAATAATAATAATAATAATATAATTTTGGATAAAATACTAATACAGGCGATAATACAGACAATACTCTTGTTTTTTCTTACCGGTATCAATAAATTGATATGTCCATCCAGTATTTAAATTATACTATAAAATAGCCATAGTTTTGGCCAATACGGAAAATGCCTTTTTCTTTAAATAATTGTATTGTGATTTGTTAATAAATTTGATTTCGACAACGGGCAGGAAACCTCGAAATAAGAGGCGAAATAAATACGAAAAAGTTGTTTAGTTCCCACCTTTTCACTGCGATATATCTTTCCATATCGCATGATGACAATGTAGCCGCTGCAGTTTGCGATACTCAAGTTATTTTTCAATACTTGAAAATCTTCCGATGTTCCATAATTCACATACAGGAGCTTTCCTTCGGCAGAACCTTGCTTAGCGTAACCCAAAAATGATGGGTACATCGTAGTGTCGTTTTCGCTCGGATCTGGCGACTGAAATATGAAAATTAAGAAATAGAAAACATTTTCCGTGTTTCTATACAGTTATAGAAACACGCGTGGGAGTTTGGGAGAACGAGAAATAATCAGTGGGAAAACGAGCCCGTAGGGCGAGTTTTTCCACGTTATTTCGAGTTCTCCCAAACTCCCACAAGTGTTTCTATAACTGTATAGAAACACAGGAAAAAATGTTTTCTATTTCTTTTATAATATAACTCAATAAAAAGATTTTGTACAAATATTATGATTCGATTCAATTACAAATTCTCATTACATCGCTTCGCTTGTCAAGTTCGGCGGGAAAATTCCCGTGTTTCTATACAGTTATAGAAACACGCTTCTCGACCAATCAGCACGCGCGTACTATAAATGTTATATTATAATTATAAATAACTGGGTGAAATAATAGCTTCCATTTTTTACGCGTGTTTTCAGCATTTTTTTAAGGTCGAAAATGTTCTTGGAAAAAGAATAAAAAATGCTCTTAGATCTAGTTTTAAACACCATATATTGCAGAAGCGTAAGTTAGAATCACATTAAAAGTTGAAAAACTGAATCATCATGCATTGATAAAAAAGGGTCAATAAGATTTCCTATTAAAGTTTCTTATCAGCTGAAATTAAATGGTTGGCTGCATGGCTCCATACATGGCGTGCAGCTCATTCAATCTGATTTGCGGAATAACTAGTATATCTAGTATGTAGCCAGTATCTGCGTATATATGCGTACTAGTGCGTTAGTTTTTATGAATGTTATTGATTCTATACACCCTTTAACAAAAACGCGTCTACATTCTATACACCCTTTAACAAAAACGCTTTCGCAGGTTAGATAGATAGATTAGAAATGAACCTTTTCTTCCCCAGAGAACTCGAAAGTCACTTCCCGAGTGGAATTCAAAATCTGTACGGAATTTGATATGTTTGGTTGAACGTAAGGTAAAAGAATATCATATTCTGGTTGTTCCACTTTGTCAAAGCCGTATTCCCTCCATCTTCTTTCGATGTCATCCGCTAATTCCTTTGAACGCGGTGTTCCTCCAATGTGGGGTCGCTTTGAAAAATACCTGTTCACGAAATACAGTTCGAGAAATCACTGTTATCTTGAGTTAAATGAAACAATTTCTCTGCTTGAAGTTATATATTATATACCAGTTTCTATAGTCTATGCTAATGTGGAATATGTGAAACTGCATAATTGGGACTGTAATATAATTAGGAAATAGTAGGATTTGACTTTTTTATAAGCAAAGTGTATTGTCAAGTAACCGGTCGCCAAATTATAGCTCTCGCCAAGAGTAAGTATAGGAATGATCTAATTAAAGATTCGTCGAAGGGTATTTAAGAATTAGAAAACATTTTCCGTGTTTCTATACAGTTATAGAAACACGCGTGGGAGTTTGGGAGAACGAGAAATAATCAGTGGGAAAACGAGCCCGTAGGGCGAGTTTTTCCACGTTATTTCGAGTTCTCCCAAACTCCCACAAGTGTTTCTATAACTGTATAGAAACACAGGAAAGAATGTTTTCTATTTCTTTTATAATATAACTCAATAAAAAGATTTTGTACAAATATTATAATTCGATTCAATTACAAATTCTCATTACATCGCTTCGCTTGTCAAGTTCGGCGGGAAAATTCCCGTGTTTCTATACAGTTATAGAAACACGCTTCTCGACCAATCAGCACGCGCGTACTATAAATGTTATATTATAAAGTGATATATTAACGATCAGGTCACTCATAGACAATTTTTTAGCATAGCTAACTCTATGCTCCAAAGAACGTTTAACTCCGTCGTCGCTGCAGCAAATTTCATCGCCTCAACATGCAAGAAATTTTTAACGAAAACTTTCCACTCTGATGCAAATTTGTCGCACAAAATTATTCCAGTTTGATTCTGAACGACATATCGCAGCGACAAGACATTTATTTATAAAAAAAGCTCTTAGCGTGATATGAGGCGCCATGTGTAAAAAAATTACATGTGAAATTTTCGTGATATTTTTTCTATGGTTTGCTACAAATTTCATGGTATAAATGATTAAATAATCACATATAAACTTTTCTGTGGAACTGATGGTTTGTAAATTATTTAAGGCCCTGTCACACTATTGCGTATCGCATAAGCGTATGGCAGCGTATGATAAATATCACGCATACGCCGGAATACGCTGAAATATGCTGGTGGTACGTCGTGCGTAAGTTATACACGTTCCAAGCACGGTCACATACGCTGGTATACGCCGAGGAAGAAAATTTTTTTTAAGCATGCTTAAAAATCTTGTGCGTGTTTGGACGTATGGTTTATACGGTAAAGATAAGTTAGTCATACGCTGAATACGGCAGAAGGACGCTAAATGTACTGTACTAATAGGTTGAGTACGCTAATCATACGCAAATGAGTAAGTGCGCCGTACAACTAACGTGTTGATAGCGCATCAGTAACGAAGGTCTAACTTATGTGTGACGTATGTTTAACGTCTATAGAGGGCTTAGCGTATGACTGACGATTAAGTAACGCATTTACCGTACAATTAGCTTATAGTTAACGCCTGGTCGTCGTATCCTCAGCGTATTGCAAACGTTACGAGAAAGGGTATATAAATATTATAGCATGTCATTTATTGTGTATAATGTATATATTTATGTTGGATGCCTTCATATCATCTTGTACCTTCGAGGATAAAGGATGGAGTTAGCTGTTCTTGAATACCAGTTTGATCTCATAGCTTTGACGATTCGTCACATAGAAAATAACAGAAGGAAAAGGTGAAAAAGAAAAAGACGTGAGGTATGGATGAGATCATGGATCGGAAGGCGAAGGCAGTTTGGCATTTACGACCAACTTCTGGTGGAACTCCGAAGCGAGGATACGCGATGTTTTAAGAACTTTATGCGGATGGTCCCCGAGATGTTTGATGAGCTTCTGGCAAGAGTGAGTCCCAGGATCACCAAGAAACATACCTGGTATAGGCGACCCCTGGAGCCTGGGCTGAAGCTCTCTTTGACTTTGCGACACCTTGCCTCTGGGAGCACGTATTCAAGCCATGAAGTACGGATGGAGGGTCCCCCACAACACCCAGTCACTTATTGTCAGAGAGGTTTGCCAAGCCATCATCGACGAATACATGTCCGAAGTGATGACCTGCCCTACCACGCCAGAGGAATTACGTGCCATATCTGATAAGTTCCTCAAGAGGTGGAACTTCCCCATACATGTGGTGCTATAGATGCGAAGCACATTGCCTGCAAGTTTTCCCCAAAAAGTGGATCCCAATATTTCGACTATAAGGGATTCTACTCTGTTGTACTCATGGGCCCTGTAGACACAAATTATAAATTCATCTGGCCAGACCTCGGTGGTAAAGAGTCATCATCGGACGCACAGATCTACAACAACTCTGAAATAAAAGAAAGACGGAACAGAAACGGAAGACGGAACTATAGGATTCCCCATTCCCGATGCTTTACCAAATGACTATCAGAGTGTCCCCTACTTCTTTGTATGTGACGATGCCTTTGCCCTCCGAGAGACTATTATGAAGCCATACAGCCGCCGGGGTCTACACCGTGAAGAGAGGATATTTAACAACAGGATTTCCCGCGCCAGAAGAGCAGTTGAAAATGCTTTCGGCATCCTGACGAATCGTTTCCATGTTTTGTTAATAACTACAGATTTTAGAATATATACAATGTTGTCCTTTAGACAAGGGTGTAAATGCAGTGTGTATTATGAAATTATGACAATCAAAAATGAGAATTTATTTTTGACATTATCTTGAGTATCACTATATACAGTAACTAAATACTCAATACTTCTTTCACGTTGGTGGTCGCAGGTTGAGAACCTCATGCTGAAATCCAATATCATCAGTAGATTCCATGATCTCTCGAAATCCTGAAAGACTAGTAATGTTCGGGTGACTTTGCTCAAAGGCTGAGCTTGAACTATGCGGCGTTGGGCTAGACGTTTCCGTTATTAACTCTTTTGCAGAAGCCAAAGAGGCACGAACCAGGCCAGAGGTAGGAGTGCATTGTTGCTGAGTTTGCTGAAACGGTTGCTGAGCAAGTTGTTGGGAAGGAGGAATCATCTGCTGTCATCATCCATGGGCTGAGAGCCTCTCACCGATGATGCCAGAGGCATGTTTATAGGCATGTTGCTAGGTTTCTGATAATGCTCTGAGAAGGATGGTGCTGATGAGCTGAATAAACAGAAGAGGATACTTGTAGTGGGCTGCAAATGGTGGAGTGGTTGAGAATGGCTCCCTTGTTGGTTTACTTTGATAGATGGAGCTGCCATGGCACTTGGAAATTCATCATCGCTGTCCTCATCCATGAGTTCAGTCAATAAGTAACCTATTGATCGAGGACCTTGCCTTCTTGTACTTGAACTTGGACATAGTCAAAAGGCTCTCTTTAACAAAGACACTTCGTGCTGTAATGGGCTGCTGTTTCGCTTTGTAGAGGTCTTTGAGGATGGTGCTAGACTCAGCAACTCTGGAGTCTCACGTACGTCACTCTCTGTGTCCTGAGGTCGCTTGCAGGACCTTCCAGCGGTAGATGATGGTATTGGAGTGACTTCATCTAAGACATCCTGCATATCAGTACAGGCGCTCTCGGCAGCATTAAAATCTCCTCTGTGAAGCTGGATGGTTTCCTTCACCTAGAAAGACCAAAAATATCATGTGAAAATTGCCCCAAATTACTTGGTCATCATGTTGCTAAGGTAATATGGCTGTCTACTTACACTCTGCATGGACGCCTGTCGGTGGCGAGTGACAGTCTTCAGGAAGGCAAACTTTGAGAGGCTCCACTGTTCTCTCTTTCAGGTTTGGAGCATTATTCCCGCTTTTCTTCTTGTCAAGGCGCGTATGGGTGTCGCGCAACGATCTGAACCAGCCCTTGAGGATGTCAACAGTCTTGTTGATCTGAAGCGCTTGCTCTTCCCAGATCTTCTCTCTTTCCGCCTATAATCTGTCATCTTCACATTCCACAGCACAGGATTATCCATGATAAACTCCAGCATCAGCTCCTTTTCTGTGGCGCTGAGGTTGTAGGGGTTTTTCGTGGCCCTCTTTCTCTTATTTTTCTTCTTGCCCGCCGGAAGGAGGTGAAGTCATCAATGGTTTCAGATGATAACGCCGATGAATTGTGGGAGTCTTGGGATGGTTGTGTTGGGGAATTTGAGAGTTCAGGAACATATCGTGCATTATTTAAAGATGTCTCAGGAATATCAACAAGTGCAGGTGCATCATCATCAGGTGGTTCAACTACATCTGCAGGTATACAAACACGTTGCTCGACAGCTTTGGCTACGGCTGATGATGGAGTCCTCTCTCCTTTTCTTCGTCCGCGGGTAGATGATTTCTTCTTATTTGCCATGGTGTCTCTTCTTCCTTTTTTCACTGTAGGTTTGACATTTTCTCGAATGGAGCTGTGTGAAAAGACTGCTGCTTATAGTCTGTGAAACGACAGTGGTCTAGTTGACATGCGCATTCCAAACGCGTCTCGTAAGCTATTCATACGCTGGCATACGCCAGCGACAGGCTACCCATACGATACTCATACGTTTAATAAAGTAATTTTATGCAAAATGTCGGACTTTTTCGTGCGTATAAAAATAAATAAAATTATCTTTACACGCGACTCATACGTTCCTATCATACGCAACAGTGTGACAGGGCCTTTACAAACCAGCATTTGAAGTAAAACGCTTATTTCTAAATAATCATATTCGCAAAATTGATTATTTACATCCAAACCTTTTACCGTCATCTGATTTATAAACAATCACATTCCCTGCATATGATTATTTACATGTCTTGTTTACATGTCAAAAAAAACGCAATATTCATGAATATCCTCTTTGTACTACAACACAAAAGACGTTTGCCCCTGGAATGCGAGAAAGCTTGTAATAATATTCTAGCGGCACAATCGTCGTTAAACAAAGTCGGGAGCGTAAACCAACGAGCTGAATTGAAAGTATTTAACGAGTAAAATTTTATTTACAATTTATTTTACAAGTTCGGCAGTTAGCATTCAAGTTATCATGCACGACAACAAAAATTCGTTGTTCGGTTGTTAGCTACACCATTATTAGTTTAGCTGATTTGACTATTAGCAGTTGAACTGTACGATTAGAAGCCATTTTAAAATCCCAGGGGCATAAAATCTATTGAGCTTATGAACAATATGAACTTTAGAATATTAAGTTGCGTTTTTTTTGAGACACCCTGTATATGCATTAATATATAATTAAACCTGGTTGCCATGATTGTCTATTGGTAATTTTCCATTGCAATCGCTTTGCCCGCGCGGGCGAAGCGCCCTTTGTTTTTCAGGCCGGTCAGGGTCGCATGGACAGATTTTCAAAAGCCGCTTCGCGCCTCCGCGGGTGATGCGGACGGTAATAGAGAATCGCCTTACCCGCTCTCTTTAAGTACCCTCCAGACTCGTCTCAAATGCATGATATACATATAATATAACGACACTCTTAATTCTGCTACTCACCTCAAATTTTCGCCAATTTTAGTCGCATTTAATAATGCAAACAGCTTTTTATGATAATCATCTTTCAGTTTCATTTGCTCCTTGCGCTTTTTCACGATATAGTTTATGTCAAATGTTTCGCTGGATGAATCATTATTCGAGACATTAGATTTGACCTCACAGACACAATCATCTGAAACGGTTGGCACCGAAAACCAACCAATCAGAAACCCTAACACAAATAACACGACAATAGCTATGACGACACCAACAATTCGTGCCGCTGTGAGCGTTACTGCCCTCATTTTTATTCCAAAATGTTCGTTGCGTTGACCAAGCGTTTCCTGGTATGATTTGTCGAATTTTTATCGGGGTAATGAACATAAACCAAAACCGGAAATGGCCGAAACTAAATCCCCGATATGTAAATGAAGATAAATGAGTAATTAGAATTGAACAGACGTTATACTACTTAACTAGCTTTCGACTGCCTAACTGTATAGACCCATTGCACTGACGTCATAATAAAAAAAGTTGTCCTCCAGATGTTTCCTTGCTTTACTAAAAATAATCGTTATGCGAGTGGTAAAGGTTTATAAAGCGGTTAAGAAAGTATTTAACGATGCAAAGTTTCGTAGTTTCTCACATACACTAGTAAATATTTCAGTATTTTTCCCACAATTAACGTTTTTGTAAAATTTATGCTACGTTAATTTGTCTTTCACATGCCTAATGTGACGTCATGTGCCAAAGGTCTACATAGTCTTCGACCGGGTCAGGCAAGAGCGCTTCATCCTCACATTTGCATGCGGTGATGCGGGTATGATTTTTTTCCACCTTCAGGCTTGCGGTATGCAGATAAAATTGGCCGTCGACGCATGCCTACCGGCTGCCGTCTGGCAATACATTACAAAACTTAATTTGAAATTCCTTAAAGAACCTTATAGCAACGCTATTGGTTATACAAATCTACCAATGCGATGGCATCTGCAGATTAAATTTGTAGCAATATATCCTCTACCTTATCCTTGCTCCGCTGGAATTTCTTCAAGCCTTCTGCCATCTGCGCCTCGCTTTGATTACGATGGCGGCGCTGAGAGGAAGATGGAGGTGCTACATTCCACTCATTTTTGCAAAGTTATCCGTTGAATGCGAAGCTGGTCGGCAACATTTAAGAATTCAGGGTTCTAAGTTCAGAGTTCTACCAGGGTCGCGGTTAGAATTTAACTAAACTTGGTTAATATTTCATCCTAAAAGGACATGTGCTTCCTGTAAATGCTGATCCACTTTCAATGCGTCGAACGCATTAGCGCAGGGTAACCTGAACAAATATTTTCGAGAAAAATAAAGCCCTCTTGCTTCAGCAACAATCTTCGATTGCAAGAAGCATCGTGTAGGTGCATATAATTCGCATATCAGTTCTACTAGGGTCGCGGTTACAATTTTACTAAACTTGGTTAATGTGTCGTATAAATCATGCTTACTTCAAACGCCTAAAAAGACATCTGCATGCATGCTTTCTCTCAATGCTGATCCGCTTCTCATGTGCCGAACGCAAGGTAGTAACGCAAGGTAGTAACGCAAGGTATCGATACATAAGAAATTTTTTCGAGGACGAACAAAACTCTCTTGCTTCAGCAACAATCGAAGGTAACAAGCTTCATGCACCTATGTAATTCGCACGAAGTTAGCTTCGTTTTAAATTTAAAATACAAAAAAACATCGTTTTGTTAACAAAAAGTGTAATGTATATCACGACATTATATTTAAATGTTATATTTCCCTAGTGTAATCTTAGACATGCAGGCATCCGAGAAGTGTCGTGCATTTCCAAAACTGCTGTCCTAAACAATGATTTCTACTACAACGTGCATGCTCTAAACATTACGAAAGAAAGTATCTTTAGTAGTCATTCCTGGTTTTCAGTTCGCATCGGCTTTCAGTGTATCTGTTGCACTCGAAATCGCTTTGAATACAACAGACATCTGCTCCTTGATATCCAACCAATCCTGATCGGTTTTATGCTGCTTAAACATCAGATCAGAGATTCCCGGAAAACTGGTGCTACCATAGGCATTGTTGACAGATGGCGCGAATACAATGTGCCTTGTGATTGGTCGATTTGGCAAGCCCGGGGCGCTGATGAAGGATTTTTCAACGTTGACCATACGGTCATTGAGATCTCGTAGTTTTACGTCATCTTTTTCGTCGAGTGCTTTCTCTTTTTCCGCTTGGAATTTCTGCGCTTCTTCTTCGAATCTTAATAAAGCAAAGACAAAGTAATTCTGAAACTGCTCAAATCAGTGCCACAGTTTCAAAATTCCTCAACTCTCAATTTCGAAATCGTACCTTTTTATTGCATTCTCAATGTAATCTAAGGTGGCCTTCTTTTCAAGTTCTTTCCCATGATTTTTCCTCAGTGCTTTCAGTGAGCGGTTAAGAGATTTGCCATACTCTGTGACATCGAACGGTAATACAAAACTGTCAGCCGTATACATCAACAGTTTTGACGCAACTCTAGCTGTGGTTAGGTGGAATTTGAAGTAGGGATCGATCAAGCCTTGGAGCCATTTGTACGTGTCGTGGACTGTGTGATAAACGGGGTAGAACACCTTACCAGCGTAGGTCATGTCCAAGGATGGCACTCCTGGAGGGAAGCATAACAGATTAAAAAACTATTTATTGTTCCTATTTATTAAGTCAGTAAAAATTTAAAAAAATATAAATTAAATCAGTATATCAAACAATGGTAACTAAAAAAGTGAGTGACATTTGATATATAGATGAAATAAAATATTATCGATTTGTTAAATCAACCGGCATTGTTTTGTATTTTATAAACACTAAAAATGCCATGCAAAAGGAAATATGAATAACTGAGCCACTGCTGATGGAAAAGCACTGGCAGTATCAGTTTTCAAAGCGTTCGGAAGGAGTATTATAGAAAATATGGACTGATAAAAGAAGGATAATATTAAAAAAACGCGCACACATGCGGCTCAATGCAAAAGTTGTAAATGGCTGGCTACACTACTGAAACTTGTAACTTATAACAGATAATTCTCCAGCATTTCGAGTCACTAGTTTCAGTAGCCAGCCTGACAATTTGCCCCGCTATGCTAGTATTTTGGTGTTCTGATTGATTTGACTGTGAAAAAACTACATCTCTAAAGACATGAATAATTATAATAACTAAATTCGTGCCAAAACGTGCGAAAATTGTCAGGCTGGCTACGTTACTGACTAGTTTGGGTGAATCTACTCTTAGTATGTACGGTATAATAGTGGTAAATATTTTTAGCTTGGCATGCCGTTTTTGCGTCTGCGTTGCTTAGCAACGTAGAGGCAATGCAGTTGAAATTTTGTATCTGTGTCGCCGGAAATGACGTCAGTTGAATTTTAGCCGGCTCAGCATCGGAGCAAAATCGGTAAACACCGGCTAAGCATCAATATATGTTCGGACATAGTTCGGACGAAATACGTTTCTATGTCAGAAATTACACAGCAAGTTAAATTGTATTGGATAACATCACGAGAGATGCGTGTAGTACAAAAGGAGTGATTGCCGGCGCCAAATGAAAATGTGTAGTGATACAATATCCTTAAAATTATGTAGGCACTATTTGTATTTCGGCATATTACCTACCACATTAATTACTGCATGGGCTTAGTAATTCCCTTACTGGAAATTTCTTTAGAGTGGACTGTTTCCATGGGGGGTAGCATTAGTTATAATGAGGATTTTATGCATTCTTTTAAAAAGTTCTTTGTTTCTTTTTTTCTGAACCCTTCCCCCCTTAGTGAAAAGCGTATTGTGGTATTTTTGTGGAAGCCCTGAGTAATGGTTCAAAATAATAGGGACCTTAAGCATGTTGGACGGCAACACGACGACGACGCGGCTGAATTTCTCCTTTGCTATAGCAAGTTGTTGTTGTATATTATCAATTGTACCGATTTAGTGAGTATAAGGCGTTTAAGGACCATTCTATAGAGCCTAATTCGAAGTAGGGCTCGCTAGGTCCTGTAATGGACCCGTTCTAGGCAAGACGTAAAAAACCACGTTTTCCCGTTGTTAACAAAACGAAGACGACTTCTAAAATCCATCATGGGTCTTTAATTATTCATTTCTTTTTAATGACCCATTGTATTGATAACCGTCGTCGTCGCGTTCGCGTCCCACATGCTTAAGATCGCTATTATGATACACAACGTAGTCGCATGTACGCACATTGCGTACCTATTTTTAAACACTTATCTTAGGTAACTACTAGCCCAGACGTTTCTGTGCACCGTTCATAATTCTATTAGCATTTAATCTAACATTATTTCTCTCTACTATACTATTTCAGTGTTCTACAGGCGCCGTCAAATCTACAAACTTACCACAAAATTGATAAAAACTGGCGTAATCTGAACCCGAACCCAAATTGCGATAAGTGACGTTCGATTTCTTCATTTGATCGTATACTTTTTCCCCATGCGGATCGTCGACTTCTTTAACATTTTCATAAATTGCTGTCTTAAGCAGGGGGGAACCGGCCAGCTTTAAGGTTAGGTTACCATCGCATGCGATATCAACATTTATGTAGGTTATTGCTTTTGTTGACAACGCTCGTTCATTTTCTTCCACCCATTCCGTTGATCCTATCAAACCTGATTCCTCTGCTCCCCAGCTGCAGAATTTGATGGTGCGTCTTGGGCGCCAACCTTGATAAGAGTAAAATTATTTTACGTGGTGTTGATTATTTCGATAATTTTGAATATGCTGCAAATGCGAGGATGAACCAGTGTGATGTGTTCATTGGAAAAAATGTCGCGTAATGTTGTTAATTGCTTGTGTTTTTAAAATTGATATTTTCACTCCAGTAATTGTGATAATCATACTCGTGCTGATGTGCAAGCATTTCACCCATCCCATCAAGAATATATATTTCAAAAGATGATTTGTGGTAATAATTAAGGTAGAATCATGAAGTGACACAAATCTTTTATATAGTACAATAAACTTGAAAATCAGTATTTCAAAATCAACCAAACAAATTCTAAGTATAATCTTTGTAAATATATCATGTATAGAGTTTATTGAAATAAGCATACATGTTCCCACCATTTTACTAATGTTATACGTTAACTGACAAGCTGATCTGTGATCATGACGTCATAAGGCCCTGCGAGAAAACCAGTCGCCCTATACATAAGTCTTTCTCCCCATACAGCGTAAAGGGTGCGAGTGAAAATTCTATTTTCCAATCATTAGAAAACGAAGCGTTTATGCATAAAGATAATAGAAATACTCGATAATTTTAAGTTAAATGAAATGAAGGAAATAATAATTCATTTTTCGAGGAACTGGCTTCTGATTGATTGATTTTTTTGTATAACTTGGTTGAGAGTCCCACTGGACGAACTATACATGCAAGCTCCTCCTAAAATCATGTTATTCAAATCCAAGTGTCAAAACATGGACGTTTTGCACGCTTAAAGGCGATGAAAAATTTGTGGCTTCATGAACCTTAACATATACTCACACACAATTGAACCAATTCATTCACACACAATACCTTGGTTTAAGAGTTCGCTTACACCACGTGATATCTCCATCATTGCTGACGTTCCGCTGGACGCATCCACTGCTCCAAATCCCCAAGCGTCCCTATGATTCCCTATCAGTACCCAACGATCAGGTTCTTCTTTACCATATATGGTGCCGATAACGTTATACGCATTTTGACGTTTGTTGGGCACATTTACTTGAATTTTGACAGTGTTGTTGTTCATTAGACCACCGTTACCAAGTTTGTACGAGATGTTCAATGCACCCTTCCATGTTTCAGGAACCTCTTTACCTTTTAGAATTAACGAAATAAAAAATTAGAGACTTTGACAATCTGATAATGACATATTAAAAGTACTGGGGAGGATCATTCGCAATGAGTACCAGGCCCGTCGGTCGCACGTAGGTCGCACCACCCCCCCCCCCCTCTCTCCCGAATAATATGCTAAAATTTTTGCTAAAGTTTTTAGAGATAGAAAGCTTTCTTAAAAAAATTGTGTTGCTTATAAACACGATTTTAGCATCCCTCGAGAAACAAATACGCCTCTTTACTGTATAATAAGTAGCTAAAATTGCATTGCGGACGTATACATTGCATTGCAACGTATAGCAACGCGGTAACTGCTGTCGTTAACAAACTCCCCCCCTCCCCAAGCCTTTCTGAAATTCTGTAATTTCATATTCTGAAATCCCCCTTCTTCCCATTTGATAAAACATGGTGTTGCTGTCAAGAAGTTCCATCACTCGTGCTATTGTTGCCTGGATAAATATAGACGTGAATTTGCAAATTTGCACAAACCCCCAGTTTTGCCAAACAATATACAATGATGCCGTATAGACCGAATATCAACACTCCTCGCTTCAACATGATAATATAATATTAACTCTTGGGAAAGAATGAATTTATCTCTTTATTAAATAAGCTTTCCACCTACCTTCCATGATCTCCAATAGTCTAACAGCATCTCCGTATGGCATCGGTGTAGCCGGGATCTTGGGCAGTCCAGCCTTTACTTCCGGTATTCTGAATACCCCTTCGACCGACGGTAGACCAGGGGTCAGCGGATCTCCACGACCTCCAAATATGCTTCCGCGCTGGACGCCCGTCTTTGGAAGCCAAATGTATTTTGGGTAGACCTTGTCTTGACCATATATTGCGTAATCTTTAGGATCGTTGTATAAAATGGCACCTTCCGCACCACATTCCTGGGCATTTTTTACCTAAAAATTAAAACAAAATGAGATGGACCTTAATAAACATATTAAACGGGCGTATTATCTGCAAATAAAGAATGACTTCGAGGGGAATCATAGAAATATCAGCCGGTTTAGAAAATATAACAATTTCAGACATTAGCTATGTACTAATGTGTCAAACAATACTACCACACCAACCAAAGTACGGTAATCACGGCAAGTGAAAAGAAAAATGGAAGAACTAAGAAATGTTGATGCATGCTTTTTGTATTTCCACAGCCGTACTTTGCTTTACATTTCTCAAACGGACCAGTTGCATTTCACACTAGACTTGATAAGGTTCTCCTTATCTACTGGCTCATTGTGAAAACTTCTCAGCCAAAATTCCTCTGTTTACAGTTGTAAAACAAATCATTTCACCCCCAACCTTATCGCCGCGATATATCTTTCCATATCGCATGATGACAATGTAGCCGCTGCAGTTTGCGATACTGAAGTTATTTTTCAATACTTGAAAATCTTCAGTTCTTCCATAATTTACATACAACAGTGTCCCTTCGGCCGATCCTTGCTTTGCAAAACCCAGTAAAGGTGGGATCATCGTAGTGTCTTTTTCGCTCGGGTCTGCCAACTAAATTATAATGAAAATACTATACACTTAGTGTATGCTCCTGATGGAAATAGTGAGTTTTGTTTTACCAAGAGTTTGAATGTTTCCCGAGACGGAGTCTAGGGAAACATTGAGACTCGAGGGAAAACAAAGCTCACTATTTTCCGAGGTAGTGTACATTGAGTGTTTTGTTATAATTTATAGGAACAAACACATACATGTTACACGACAATTTAATTTAAAAAAAACACACTTTACTTTGTTATGACAAGAAGCGGAACACAATTTTTCACTTATTTCCCTATTGCATTTATTTAAAGTCATGTGACTACGAATGAACCAATCACATATAAAATACACAGCACCTATATAGCACCTATATAGTAACATAGATTAACTAAAAGATTCGCTTATAACATGGGGAATGTTAGTTAATTCGTCAGAGCCTTTAATTTTCTCTAACAGTGCCTATTATGCGTGGAAGTTGGTGTATATATTTAAACCGCCTTTGCTTCTACCGTTCTTTTGCCGTATGCTTACTATCTGGTAGAAATTGATTGTCACTGTCTGACAAGTACCGCACATGTGAGAGGAGTATAGGCCATATAGAACCTGGAGGAGCACAAAGGAGGCAAATTACCCCCAGGCTTGAGTGGGTGAGTCAAAAGGTAATAATGAAGTAAAAGAGAGAAAATCGTGCACTGTTAGGACGGAAGCCCGGAGTAAATGTTGTTCAATAGGAGTCCGAAACTTCAGGGAACTTCCGTAAAAATATCCTAATTTACGTTTTTTGATGACTAAACACACTTTAAACATAAAGATTTTAAGGGATGCTTCAGGGCCTGCAAAACTCATTCACTGTCACAAAATTAGTCCACAAAGTATAGTTCAATTGTATACATAGTTCACTGTGATTTGATACTCAAAATGTTAAATTGGTTTACGTTACCACATGCATGCGTTGTTAATCGTATACCACATACAGAATATTTGTCATCGAAGCTATGAATAGTGCGGCAATCTACATGCAATCGGTGTATTACCACGCCTACGCTTTACGTATATGATACCTTCTCTGGTCCGGAGAACTCGAAAGTCACATCCCGAGTGGAATTCAAAATCTGTACGGAATTCGAGACGTTTGGTTGAACGTAAGGTAGAAGTATATCATATTCCGGTTGTTCCACTTTGTCAAATTTGTATTCCTTCCATCTTTTTTCGATCTCATCTGCCAATTCCTTTGAACGTGGTGTTCCTCCAACGTGGGGTCGCTCTGAAAAATACCTGTTCAAAATTTATAGCAAAAATTGAGATCATATGTTGCTGTTACACTGTATATTACAGGTATCCCCACTGCATGGATAGTAATTTTTTGTTCAGTGACTCATACGAACTGCTGTTAAAATACGTTGAACCCCCAAAAAGTTGATTACTGTGCTCTTTAACACCCCTCCCCCTAAAAATATTATAAATTTATAAATAAACTGGGGTGGATATATTTTCATATATTTTGGGGTGGACATATTTACTCTGTAGGATATATTTTCTTTAATTACTTAGTTTCCAGAGCTATCTAGTGTTGTTTCTGTGTCGCTGAACTTCCTTTAGAACATGTTCTCTAGCAATGTGCTTTAGCAAGTGCGGCTTTGGTTGAGTTACGGGCCGCTCTAAAGTTAAGCCAATCGTAATGGCTACGAGTCTACCTAAAAGCTCTGTGAAGCTTGTCCCTTTTATTCATAAGTGCTTTTACTCCCGGGGTGATGAATGGACATGGTCTCTCTCGTGCTTTAATGGTCTTTATTGGGGCGTGTTTATCCAATGTGCTTAAGAAAATATCATTAAAGATAGTTAGCTTTTCGACAACATTGTCCTTCCGAAAAATGGAGACAAAACTATCGAGGTTGGATGCCAAGTCGGTTGCAAATAAATCCGGATCGTATTTATTGTAGCTGCGGGTTGTGATGTATGTTAGAACAGCTTCGTCAGCTTTGCGTTTAAGTGATACGTAAACAGGAAGGTGATCGCCGATGCAAATTTCTATAACACCACTGTTTACTACCAGTTTTAGCGAAGTTACAAAGATGACGTCCGCAAGAGTTTGACTATGTTCAGTAATTCTTGTTCGTGATTTAATTAACGGTGTAAAGTTAATCTCGAAGATCGTCTTAAGCCGCGTTTACACTACGTGCTTTGACCTGGCCTGCACCATGGAGGCCTTGGCCTAGATGTGAACGTTGTTTATCCGTTAATCAAAATCCAGCAGGCCACAAAATCTAGACCAACAGTAGAAGGTGGCCTGGGCCAGGCCTGCATGCACCTGACCTGGGGCAAAATTTTGGTAATGTGAACAGGCTTTACCTAGTCCTGACAAGTTTCGAACTTAATAGTGTAATTTGCATAGGATCCATATAGTATTACCACTTTTCGGCGTGTTTTCGCTCTGTTTCCAAGTATTTTGTCTATTACTTTGGCTATCCGATATCATCAACAAGGAAGACAGTGTGAATGTGGTCCAGGTCAGGTGTAGGCCTGAAGTGTAAACGCGGCTTTAGACAAAGCAACGGATCTGGGAGTAGACTTAAGCATATCACAATCCAGGTCTCTGAGAAAGATAATCAGTTTTCTCATTATCAGAGCTTGAACATACAAACAACGAGACCCGTCAATACGGCTTTCTAAACGTCATTTAAGAGGTTTATTAAGTACTAGAGGTTGAGTTACGTTTTATGAGTTTTTTCTAACCGAACCGGGGGTGTCTGCACTATCAAATATTGGGCCGAGTTCTTTTTGTATACAGAGCGAGCGCGTTGGAAAAAAACCAGGTCTGTTTTTTTCCACTGTAAAGGTTGAGCAAAGCGAGGTTAAAACGTTTATTATATGGGATTAAGTACGTTACGTAAGGGGTGAGGTATTTTTTACGATTTTTTGTCATTTTCAAAGAGATTTCAGTAAACGTTTAAGCCGAATTTTTACCCGAAAGGGATTTCCAAGCGTTTCCAGGCATTTGTCAGGGGATTTACGGATTTTTGAATCGTCAGAGATTTTTAGAGTGATATATATACCCCATTGTTTTGGACAAGTTAGGCAACTTTTGATTTACATTTTTTTATATCGTCTCGTGTTTGAAAATGTAGCCGGAAAGCAGTTCTATTTATGTTTTATAACACAAGGTCTAGGCCGCCTAGCGCATGCAGCGAACGTGGCAACTCATTTTTTTTCTCATGCACGATCCATGATTCTGAGGTATTATAACATAAGAGCTACTAGAATATTCCCCAGTCTTCAAAATTCTCGTGTTTCATACCACGTCATTGAATTGAACTCTTGCCAGAAAATTGCGAAAATGCCAAATGAAAGTTGAAACCCACCAATTCGGGTGACGACGGTATTTCTCTAGCGTAGTTACGTGAAATTAACAAAGATTGAAATGAAAGCAAAATGCGAAAATTATTATATACACCGCAGTCTAGTTTTCTCTTCTGGATCAAATATTTACTTAGTACATCTGATTAGATGCCGACAGAAGTTGCATGACTTATGACTACAAGGTGAGTAAAAAAAACCTGACACCTTTGAGATTCAAATTAGGCTACTGTAGCTGCGAACTTATGGCTGGAATATGACAATTCCCATGTACAATCAACAAAAACGATTTGATAAAACTGTTCTTTTGTATTTACAGAGCTTAGAATGCATTTTAAGTCCCAATAGGAACAAACTTTATGCTTTAGGTTAATTAATATGATATGCTTCGTATACTTATGAAATATTTCGCAATTTCTTCCACATTACAGCCGCTATGCGACTAATTTGAATTTCAAAGGTGTCAGGTTTTTTTACTCACCCTGTATAGGCTGCCGTTGTTCGGAGGTGCGCATACATATAGAACTATTCTTCAAGTGTACAGCATTTCAATGCCGTAAAATTCACAACGTTATATGTCGCTATCTTTGTGTTTATACTATATATAACTATATATTATACAATATGTCGCTATGAGTATCTTTGTGTTTATACTATAACTATATTATGCTATATATGTCGCTATCTTTGTGTTTATCCGTGTGGATACCTCATGCATAACAATTGCATAATCTGAAAGTGATTATCGACAGCACCATTTCGCGTGTGTGAGATTTTTTACCGTCCATGCACATCAAGTAATGCTTCAGGTATGTTTTCAAGAAACTTTATACCTGTTTGTTAGGAGCTTGCTTGGGCGTGTTGTCTTTACGAGAAATGCTTTTCACGCGGCAATATATCATTGATCTGTGTAACCGGTGATCATAATTACGCCACGCTAAGCCTTTAATCTCGCATGCAGTGTATCAGTTTTTTATTATAATCTAGCCCAAGATCTAGTGTAGCTAAACTAGTTTTTTAAAAAGAACAGTAACCTCATTCAGCTCAAATCCGTTTAAGTCCGTTTATTGCGGTTAATACCTTCTCAAAACGGAATCCGAAGAATCCCGATTCTACAGCAACTGCGTGTGTGTTATACTCACCTCAGATTTTCTCCGATTTTCTCCGCGTCCAGCAATTCGAACAGCTTCTTATGAAAATCATTTTTCCTCTTTATTTCTTCCTTGCGCTTTTTCGCGATATATTTCATGTCAAATTTTTCACCGGATGAATCATCTGAATCCCTTGGCGCCGAAAACCAGCCTATTAAAAATCCCAACACGAACAACACAACAACAGCTACAACGATACCGACAATTCGTCCTGTTGAAAGTCCTGACATTTTACTTGCTAACGTTATCGTATAACCGAACCAGCAAACGAAAAGTCTTCTTGACTCCGAGGTGTTTTGTGTCTTTCGTAATTCGTCACGGAAGCTCTGAGTACGCTACAAGTGCAATGTTTGATACAATTTACTCACGTGCAAATTGTGTTTGAACAGCTATACAGTAATGAATGCGACCCTGTAATTTGATACGATTCTATAACAATAATTTATACCGCAGCCACGTTCAAACTTTGGACCAAAGGATATCTTCGTGTTCATCGAAATGACTAAAACAAAGAAGTAGATTTTTTAAAATATTATGAACGACGAAATGTTTGTTTATGTGTAAGACGATTTACCGATGATGATCTTCTCTGTGATGAAGGTTTTGCCAATACTGGCAATAGGGCGTACAATATTATGTAAGACTATTCGCGTACTATTTGATCAACTGAATATCAGTTACTGCAGTGATTTTTCAGTATTCTTCGAAAAATTGTAGCATGATTTATGATTATGCCTCAAATCGCTGCAATACGGAGGCTGTCTGAACAACTACTAATGAGATTAGACTTCCGCACGTCATCATGCACGCATGATAGCGCGTATAATTGTTGAAATATTGGGTTGACCATACCGTAATACTTCATTGACAATTGATTATGATATCATGTGAAGACGTTGTTTGGACAAGTTGACTTAGTGCAGACATATTCTACATAATTATATAAAGTATGATTTACAATGTGTTAGTTTTAAAACGGAAAGATGGTGATAGCACCATCATTCAACGTAGCTGGAAATTACCTTTACTGTAACTGTCAGTAGGGACATGTTAGCCTACGTTCAGGGTGCATACTTTGTGGCAGTGCTGTTAAGTTGCGTGACCGAAAGAAGGTCAATTCACAATTTATATAATATAGGTAGACTTTTCGTTGGACACTTTAAATATAATGTTGATACAATAGCTGTTCCCCCCTTCCCCCTCACACACAATGTTGATTGAAAAGACCTCGCAATGTAATATCACGCACCTACCAACAACCATGACCAGCCGACAATTTAAGAAAGTAAAGTAAAAAGCTAATTCCGAACAAACAAGACATCTTGAGAATCAAAATATAATTCAAACAAGACACAGACTGAGACTGTAAATTTTCGACTTTATTACAAAGTCATCTTCAGACAGAATGAAATACAATACTTTGCAACGCATATACATATATACAACACAGAGAGAGAGAGCGCACGTGTCAATCCAGCATGTAGGCGGAAGGCCGGTAAACCAAGCAGAGCGAAACATGATAAGGTTGTGAATAAAACTAAATATGTATGCTATATTTACAACAATATGTTAGATAGATTAATTTAAGGAAAGAAAGACCCGACAATTAGAATAGAGAGATTAAGTGAACAGTTGTAGTTCTTTGCTGGCTTTAAGTCCAGTGTTAAGGAAAGGTTTGTTGTGTTTGATTAAGAGTGCTTCAAGAAAGGCGAGAATATGATAGTTATTCGATTTAGTTATATGTAGAATTCTATAGTTATTGAAAACTAAGTTCTCAATAGGTGAAGGGTTATTCAAAGATAATGGTATATCGTTGAGTAGTGAAAACTGGTTTTGTAGTGTGGCTAAGAATTGAGCATGCTCACACTCAGAGAAATGTTGGCCTACTGCACTAGAAGAGAGCCTAGTAGAATGCTCTTTCAAACGTACAGAAAGGCACCTTTGCGTCATGCCAATATAGGTTTTCCCGCAGCCAGGGCAAGCGACTTCGTATACTAAATTGCTACGAGATAAAGAAGGAAGTTTGTCTTTGTTAGAAACAAAATAAGACAACCTTTTAGTGTCGTAAATAGTGACGAATTTCACCGGTTTGGAAGAAATCTTTGTATTTTATTGAGACATGATTTAACCAGAAAATCGCCCCGATTTCCGAGATAAGGTATACGGATCCAGATTTTGGGCAATAGATTATCATCCGCTTCATGAATAACCGTATTGACAACAGGAGTGGAATTTGGAAAATACTTAGTTTTGTGTTTATTTAGCGTAGAGTATATAACATTATTAGGATAACCATTCCAAGACATGAAAGATTTGATGATTTTAATTTGACTATTGAAAAGCTTTTCCGAACTACAAATTTTAACACCTACCAACATTGTTCAAGTGTGAAGGGGGTATTTCATTATGTAATAGAGAAGTCTACGAATTATAATTTCCACGATTGTAATCATATTTAAAAGACAAACCAGGAGGCACCACAATGGTTGGTGTCGAGAAAAGCTTTTTAAAAGTTTCAAGCCTCTTGTTCTTTGGAAACAGCCTACTTCAGTGAATGTGATTTTATACTCAAGCTTGTTGCATATGTGATAAATTTACTGAAATATGATCCTGCATTTTCCTAACCGATAACAAAGCAATTTGACAACTCTTTATCATGGTGAATTATTAGGAAGGAGTGGGGAGTTGTCACAGGCTTGTCGACACTGCATGCATGCTGCTACCAGAGGCGTTGAATAATTGAGACATTAGACACGAAAGTGTAAAGAAAGTCTGAAATACTACAGGTCAAGAATGCCTTGTTTTATTCTAGCTAAAATTTATCATTGATATTGTAAATCATGATCACCCGACCGCCAGATCTGGTGGTGAACGCCTACGGGTTTTTTATTTTACCTACACCTTTTTTCGAAGAATTTTAAATAAATTATTTTCATGCTGTGCTCACACTCGAAGAAATCGACAAATTATGTACAACTTTTTGGGTAGCAATATATATTTGCCAATAAATTTCCGCTAGTGGGCGGGAAGGATAACTATATAAATGCAGAATTTGCTCGAGGATGTATAATGTAATAAGTTATAGATGTTCAAATGTTAACGGTTAACCTTATAGGAATAGGAGCGCAATGCATGATGGTAGTTGGGTATCATTTGTATTCTTTTCGAAGTGGCTGCCATTTTGTAACAATTTTGTTTGAGCATAAGAATTCAGCGATTTTCCCGTCTTTACCTATCGTAAATAAACACGTTCACGGCGCGTTTTTAATGGGGGTACGTTTGACGATGTTTGTGGAGAAAATGAGCGAAATCGCCCAAGTGGCAACAGAGAAAACACATTTTTTATCGATCGAAGGAGTGGATATAATTCTAGAAAAAGTGAAAAACATTCCTTCGCAACCTCTCTTGGCCTGTTTTGGGGTGAGTACCCTTCTACATGATATTATAGCAAATTCTTTTAGCCTATAGCTCTTTCGACGACCTTTTTCTACCCCGATTTCGTACTAGTTGTAAACATAAACATATGATCTTGTGCCTCTGAATGGTTTGTTTTGATACATTATTTGAGCGATTGTTTTGAAATTAACACGGCTGTCTAGCCTGTGAACTAGAGAGGTTTTGGCGCGAAAAAGATCCGCTTTAGTTCTGGTTTTTTTAAAATACACTTGTTCGATATATTGCTGCTGTTTGAAGGCTGTTTTCGATCCTGTTCATCCTTCGTGACTGCTCTGGTTTTTGTTTTCCTCTTGCTTAAATATAAATTTTGAATAATTTCTAGCCTTTCTAACCATATATTTCCTATGTAAAAATTAAATCTTGTACTGTTAAATTTATGAAGAATAAACACTAACGCTAAAATCCGACGTTTCAGAGTCATCTTGACTCCATTATCAAGGTTTAATAAAGTGAAGTGAATTATAAAAATTACAGCATTTAAACAAAATCAGAATACAAAAGGTATTGTTATGATGACACACGCACACAAGATCATATAAAGTGCGTGTGTAATCATAACAATACCTTTTAAATGCTGTAATTTTTATAATTCACTTCACTTTATTAAACCTTGATAATGGAGTCAAGATGACTCTGAAACGTCGGATTTAAGCGTTAGTGTTTATTCTTCATACATTTTCTAAATGTGTTCTACTGTTAAATTGTTTAGGTATTAAAATTGGGCTAGTGGTAATTTGATTTAGGTTAAAAAATTGATTTTAATTAAAGTGATTTAGAAATAAGTTTTAATATTTGTGAATACTGTATATATTATAAAATTGTAAATAGTTTAGTCCTAGGTAAAGTATCTTTTAAAGTATTTTAAATATAATTATTTTAATTAAATTGTATTCAGATAAATATAATTAGTTAACGTTTTAGGCCCCTAGTCAAATTGTCACTTGTTAGTAAAATTCATGGTATTGCAAGACATGCTTGGTAGAAAGACTTGTAGTGGTCTTGCACTTGGAACAGCCACCATGAGAGACCATTATTGCAGCACAATGCCCAGTCATTGACCTAACAAGCTTGTTTGTTACATCTGGATCAACAGCCTCACGTGATGCGAAAATGGTCTCTTTCATTCTTCCAGATGTCGAGATGGGCTTCTATCTGACCTCTTCCTCACTTATTCCCAAAAATGTTCAATGAGGTCTACGTCAGCAATCTCTTATAGCCCTGGGCTGGTCAATATCACTTTCTTTCAGGCTCTTTTCTGAATGACATGGTGCCCCCATCTTACTGGAAGATATAATCTCCACCACAAAGCCATCTCATTTATTAGGAAAGTTCTAGATACAAGCGAGACATACCATTTTCCGTAACAAGTGACAATTTGACTGGGGGCCTAAAACTTTTGCACAGTACTGTATATAAATGGAAGACAATCCTTGCAGTTCAATGGATGTAGAACAAAGCAAAATGCAAACAGAAATGAAAAGGTGGACCAAAGATTTACAGTCATTGCCAAAATTTACTCATGCCTTGCTACTACAGCACTTAGACATTCCAGGTGAAAATGATGCTAGCAGACACAAAAAACTGGGGTACCGCTTGTTTAAGGATGGTTATGTAAACAAACTTGAAGTTAAAGCTGATGTAATGATAGGTAGTGAAGCTCAGTTCTTGATAAAAGCTTGTGCATCAATGAAGAAAAAAGTATATATTGTTTATGTTAATCTAAATCAAAACACTGGTGAACTGCATGGTAACTGTACTTGTAAGGCTGGAAAAGGAGGCTGTTGTAAGCATGTTGTTGCAGTTCTATTTCAAATACTTGATTACATTGAGTTGGAACTAACTGAAGTGCCAGGTAATTTGACATTATTGTGATTGCAGTATTGTGCATGATTTGACATTATTTTGACATTATTGCAGTATTGTGATTTTTGTGAGATGAAAAAGTGGCAGATTGGCTCCGGCATGTTGATGGCATTTCAATCATTATTTCTGTGTAATGACTCTAGTTTGTGGAAAGTTTTGCTTGAAGCACAAAGGCATGTTTTGATTGACACATTCTCTTGTCAGCCAAATAGGCAGTGCACGAAGTCATTGATTAAGAAATGTCAGCCAAGTAATCCAAATTCTGGACACATGCATACATGATATGCCAAACCTGTGGGCTAGTTCTTGTTGTAGGAAACCACAAAGTAATCTAGCTAACACCATGAATAGCTCTTGCTCGGGTGACAATGACCTTTTCTTTCCACACTTTTTCTGTTCAGCTGATATTATTTCACTAGTATTTGACCCATAGTATATCAAACTATTGCATGCTGGTGACAGGTAATCAAAGAAAATTTTGAATGTTGTATAATCTGGAAAACCAGTATAAAATTGAAAGTCGCTATCTGAAATATGCACTGCTGTGATGATGTTATATAGGCCTCACAACTTTCTTCAAGAGAAGCACATTTGGATTCAAGTTGTTTAATTTGCTCTTTTAATTTAGAATTTTCAGTTTGCATGTCATGCACTGATGTTGTATCTGCAGGCTGACTAATATTACAAGTTACCATCTCATTTGTGGAAAAATGACTGCTAATGTTTTCAGTTAGCACAAGATCTTTCGATGCTATATTGCTAGGTTCAAAAGTTGTAGAGGGCTCATTTGATAAAGGACTATCCGGCTTTCGCAACACTCTCTCTCTTGGGTTTATTTCTTACACAATTTGTCAGTATGGTTGGAACATTGTTAATGTAAGACTTTTTTCCATCAAGAAAATGTGCTGAGCATAGCCTGTAGTAATGCTTTATTTTCAATAACCCCTTAGTCTTTAGCACTTTATGCCATTTCCTTTTTAGTTTCTCATCTTTAGGTACTGAGTAAAATGAAAGCTCAGGATTCTGTATGCTGTTATTTGTACATTGTGGAAAACAACAGTTTTTCCCACCACGAGCATGTGGATTACCAGTATTCTTAACATTTTTGCTTTGTTCTGCATCCATTGAACTGCAAGGATGGTCTTCCATTTATATATAATAATTAATAATTTACGGTAACTTCGTCAGGTTACAACAAAATTGATACCCTACAAAGTTCATCATTACAAGCCTATATACATTAATATATAATTATACGTGTAATGCAGTTATACAAAAATGCAGTTATATACAACTCCGTGAATTCCATAGTATCGAAGTTTAGCCACCAAAATCTCATGGTCGACCGTATCAAAAGCCTTCTTCAGATCTAAAAAACTAAGGCATTAATATTGCCGCAGTCGATATTATAAGCCCAACTGTCTGTGGCCTCAAGTAAGGCAGTAACCGCTGAATGTAATCACGTAAAGAGCGGAAACCCGATTGGTTTTTAGATAGAAAATCATGCTCCAACATGTATGTATAGAGTTGATTGTAGATCATTCGTTCGAAGGCCTTGGCCATTTTCAAAAGCCGCTTCGCGCCCGCGCAGGTGAAACGGACGGTGATAGAGAACCGCCTTACCTCTCTTTAAGTACCCTCCAGACTCGTCTCAAATGATATACATATAATATTATATAACGACACTCTTAATTCTGCTACTCACCTTAAATTTTCGCCAATTTTAGTTGCATTTATTATTGCAAACAGCTTTTTATGATAATCATCATCAGCTTCATTTGCTCCTTGCGCTTTCTCGCGATATAGTTTATGTCAAATGTTTCGCTGGATGAATCATTGTCCGAGACATTAGATTTGACCTCACAGACACAATCATCTGAAACGGTTGGCACCGAAAACCAACCAATCAGAAACCCTAACACAAATAACACGACAATAGCTATGACGACACCAACAATTCGTGCCGTTGTGAGCGTTACTGCCCTCATTTTTATTCCAAAATGTTCGTTGCGTTGACCAAGCGTTTCCTGGTATGATTTGTCGAATTTTTATCGGGGTAATGAACATAAACCAAAACCGGAAATGGCCGAAACTAAATCCCCGATATGTGAATGAAGGTAAACGAGTTATTAAAATTGAACAGACGTTATACTACTTAACTAGCTTTCGACTGCCTAACTGTATAGACCCATTGCACTGACGTCATAATAAAAAAGTTGTCCTCCAGATGTTTCCTTGCTTTACTAAAAATAATCGTTATGCGAGCGGTAAAGGTTTATAAAGCGGTCAAGAAAGCATTTAACGAAGCAAAGTTTCGTAGTTTCTCACGTACACTAGTAAATATTTCTGTATTTTGCCCACAATTAACGTTTTTGCAAAATTTATGCTACGTTAATTTGTCTTCCACTTGCCTAATGTGATGTCATGTGCCAGCCGGTCTATAGTCTTCGACCGGGTCAGGCAAGAGAGCTACATCCTCACATTTGCATGCGGTGATGCGGGTATGATATTTTTCCGCCTTCAGACTTGCGGTATGCAGATAAAATTGGCCGTCGACGCATGCCTACCGGCAATATAAATTACAAATCTTAACTTGAAATTCCTTGAAAGAACCTTATAGCAACCTTATTGCATACAAATCTACCATGCAGTGCGATGACATCTGCAGATTAAATCTGTAGCAATTTATTCTGCCTTATCCTGGATCCGCCTCTGTGTCGATGGCTGCTTGGCAGGCTTTTTCTCCGAATTTCTTCAAATCTGCTGCCTCGCTTTGATTACGATGACGACGCTGAGAGGAAGGTGGAAGTGCTACATTCCTCTCATTTTTGCAAACTTGTCGGTTGAACGCGAAGCTGGTCGGCAACATTTAAGAATTCATGGTTCCAAGTTCAGAGTTCTACCAGGGTCGCGGTTAGAATTTAACTAAACTCGGTTAATGTCTCATCATAAAAGGACATGTGCTTCCTGTAAATGCTGATCCACTTTTAATGTGCCGAACGCATTAACGCGGGGTAACCAGAACAAATATTTTCGAGAAAAACAAAGCCCTCTTGCTTCAGCGACGATCGATTAGGTTCGTTTTGAATTTAAAATACAAAAAAATATCGGTTTGTTAACAAAAAGTGTAATGTATATTATGATATTATATTATTTAAATGTTTTACTGCCCTAGTAGAATCTTAGATATGCATACATCAGAGAAGTGTCTTGCATTTGAAAAACTGCTGTCCTGGAAAATGATTTCTACTACAACGTGAATACTCTAAACATTACAAAGCAAAGTATCTTTAGTAGTCAGTCCTGGTTGTCATTCGCATCGGCTTTCAGTGTATCTGTTGCACTCGAAATCGCTTTGAATACAACAGATATCTGCTCCTTGATATCCAACCAATCTTGATCAGTTTTATTCTGCTTAAACATCAGATCAGAGATTCCCGGAAAACTGGTGCTACCATAGGCATTGTTGACAGATGGCGCGAATACAATGTGCCTTGTGGTTGGTCGATTTGGCAAGCCCGGGGCGCTGATGAAGGATTTCTCAACGTTGACCATACGGTCATTGAGATCTCGTAGTTTTACGTCATCTTTTTCGTCGAGTGCTTCTCTTTTTCCGCTTGGAATTTCTGCGCTTCTTCTTCGAATCTTAATAAAGCAAAGACAAAGTAATTCTGAAACTGCTCAAATCAGTGCCACAGTTTCAAAATTCCTCAACTCTCAATTTCGAAATCGTACCTTTTTATTGCACTCTCAATGTAATCTAAGGTGGCATTCTTTTCAAGTTCTTTCCCATGATTTTCCCTCAATGTTTTCAGTGAGCGGTTAAGAGATTTGCCATACTCTGTGACATCGAGTGGTAATACAAAACTATCAGCCGTATACATCAACAGTTTTGAGGCAACTCTAGCTGTGGTTAGGTGGAATTTGAAGTAGGGATCGATCAAACCTTGGAGCCATTTGTACGTGTCGTGGACTGTGTGATAAACGGGGTAGAATACCTTACCAGCGTAGGTCATGTCCAAGGATGGCACTCCTGGAGGGAAGGATAATAGATTAAAAAACTATTTATTGTTCCTATTTTATTAAAGTCAGTAAAAATTTTAAAAAATATAAATTAAATTAGTACCAAACAATGGTAACTGAAAAAGTTAATGACACATTATAAAAGTTATTTCTCCAGCATTTCAAGTCACTAGTTTCAGTAGCCAGCCTGACGATTTGTCCCGCTATGCTAGTATTTTGGTGATCTGATTGATTTGACTGTGAAAAAAAATACATTTCTAAAGACATGAATAATTACATATACTAACTAAATTCACATAGCGTGGCAAAATCGTCAGGCTGGCCACGCCACTGACTATATAGTTTGCGTGAATCTACTCTATGTACTGTATAATCGTGGTAAATATTTTTAGCTTGGCATGCCGTTTTTGCGTCTGCGTAGAGGCAATGCAGTTGAAAATTTGTATCTGTGTCGCCGGAAATGACGTCAGTTGCATTTTTCCGGCTCAGCATCGGAGCAAAATCGGTAAACACCTAAGCATCAATATATGGTTCGGACGATTTTCGGAGGATTGGAATATCGATTGTCCACACTCCACATGTAGAGTGTCAACTGTCGACTAAAAATTAGTCTAAATAAGGATCTTACTACCCAAGCGAACTACTAAAGCAAACTACTAAAGCAAACTACTAAAGCAAACTACGAAAGCAAACTACGAAAGCAAACTACCAAAGCGAACTACTAAAGCAAACTACTAAAGCAAACTACGAAAGCAAACTACGAAAGCAAACTCTAAAGCAAACTACCAAAGCAAAACTACCAAAGCGAACTACTAAAGCAAACTACTAAAGCAAACTACCAAAGCGAACTACTAAAGCAAACTACTAAAGCAAACTACGAAAGCAAACTACGAAAGCAAACTCTAAAGCAAACTACCAAAGCAAACTACCAAAGCGAACTACTAAAGCAAACTACTAAAGCAAACTACCAAAGCGAACTACTAAAGCAAACTACTAAAGCAAACTACGAAAGCAAACTACGAAAGCAAACTACTAAAGCAAACTACGAAAGCAAACTACCAAAGCGAACTACTAAAGCAAACTACCAAAGCTAACTACTAAAGCAACCTACTAAAGCAAACTACTAAAGCAAACTGCTAAAGCAAACTACAGTATTTAACTATGAAAGTAAACATTCAAAGCAAACTACATATTGTAAAAGTAAATCAAACTGAACCAAGCCGTACGACTACGTGTCTTAATATTGCAAACATAAACACGCCTTTTGTGCGTATCGTCTTGAAGGAAACAAAGGTGGTTGTAAAAAAGTTGTAACGTTCATAATACCGTTTATCTCGCTGTCTTCGTATTATTAATGCTACTATACTGTGTAACTTTTGTGTACTTAATTTCCCAGCAATAAAATGGGTGGTGCGAAATATATATTGTATTAATCAATATGTGTCGTTACGTTTTGGTCAAATGATATGTTATTACATTACTGTTAAGAATGGCAAACGATTACTTGACTTTGTATACAATTTATATTATGATAAACAACTAAAGGATCTTGTCAATTTACTGTTCACTTGGACTAAATGCCATGTTACTCAAGACATCTCCTTTTGAGACTTCGAACGTAACTCCTAACTTGTACAGATTACATGGCAACAAACTAAACAAAGGGACATGCTCACCATGATTCTGCAAATCAAATACGTTTCTATCTGTTATGTCAGAAATTACACAGCAAGTTCAATTGTATTAGGTAACATCGCGAGAGATGCGTGTAGTACTAATGGAGTGATTGCCGGCGCCAAACGAAAATGTATATGTATGCACTATTTGTATTTCGGCATATTACCTACCACATTAATTACTTAGATTGGACTGTTTCTATGGGGAGGGGTAGCATTTGTTATAATGAGGATTTTAGGCATTCTTTTCAAAATTTCTTTGTCTCTTTCTTTCTCACCCCCTCCCCCTTAGTGAAAACCGTATGCAAATAAATTGTGGTATCTATGGAGCCCTGAGTAATGGGTCAAAATATGTTACACAACGTAGACGCATGCATGGTACGCACATTGCGTACCTATTCTTAAACACTTATCTTAGGTAACTACTAGCCCAGACGATACTGTGCACCGTTCATAATTCTATTAGCATTTAATCTAACATTACTTCTCTCCACTACTAATTCAGTGTTCTACATGCGCCGTCAACAATTCCATGCAAATCTACAAACTTACCACAAAATTGATAAAAACTGGCGTAATCTGAACCCGCACCCAAATCTCTATAAGTGACGTTCGATTTCTTCATTTGATCGTATACTTTTTTCCCATGCGGATCGTCGACTTCTTTAACATTTTCATAAATTGCTGTCTTAAGCAGGGGGGAGCCGGCCAGCATAAAGGTTAGGTTACCATAGCATGCGACATCAACATTTATGTAGGTTATTGCTTTTGTTGACAAAGCTCGTTCATTTTCTTCCACCCATTCCGTTGATCCTATCAAACCTGATTCCTCTGCTCCCCAGCTGCAGAATTTAATGGTGCGTCTTGGGCGCCAACCTTGATAAGAGTAAAACTATTTTACGTGGCGTTGATTATTTCGACAATTTTGAATCAGCAAATGCGAGGATGAACCATGCAGTGTGATGAACATATTGGAAAAAATGTCGCGTAATGCTGTTAATTGCTTGTGTTTTTGAAATTGATATTTTCAATCCAGTAATTGTGATGATAATACTCGTGCTGATGTTAGATGTGCAAGCATCATTTACCCATCAATTGAATATATATTTTCAAAAGATGATTTGTGGTAATAATTAAGGTAGAATCATGAAGTGACACGAATCTTTTATATAGTACAATAAATTTGAAAATCGGTATTTTAAAATCAACCAAACAAATTTTAATCATAATCTTTGTAAATATATCATGCATAGAGTTTATTGAAATAAGCATACATGTTCCCACCATTTACTAATGTGTTATACGTTTAGCTGGCAAGCTGATCTGTGATCATGACGTCATGAGGCCCTGCGAGAAAACCATTCGCCAGGAGTCATTTCTCCTCATACAGCGTAAAGGGTGCGAGTGAAAATTCTATTTTCCAATTGATTGGAAAACGAAGCGTTTATGCACAGAGATAATAGAATTTTAAGTTATATGAAATGAAGGAAATAATGATTCATTTTTCGAGGAACTGGCTTCTGATTGATTGATTTTTATAACTTGGACACCGTTACCAAGTTTGTACGAGATGTTCAATGCACCCTTCCATATTTCAGGAACCTCTTTACCTTTTAGAATTAACGAAATAAAAAATTAGAGATTTTGACAATCTGATAATGACATATTAAAAGTACTGGGGAGGATCATTCGCAATGAGTACCAGGCCCGTCGGACGTAGGTTGCAGCATCCCCCCCCTCTCTCCTGAATAATATACTAGAATTTTTACTAAAGTGATTTTAGAGATAGAAACCTTTTTTAAAAAAAATTGTGTTGCTTATAAACACGATTTTAGCACCCCTCGAGAAACAAATACGCCTCTTTACTGTACAATAAATAGCTCGTTGATTTTCAAAGTGGAACATATAGCAACGCATAGAACGTATAGTAACTGTTGTCGTAACAACCCCCCCCCGCCCCAAGTCTTTCTGAAATTCTGTAATTTGACATTCTGACACCCTTCTTCTTCCCATTTGATAAAACATGGTGTTGCTGTCAAGAAAATCCATCACTCGTGCTATTATTGCCAGGCTAAATATATAGACGTAAATTTGCAATGTTCTAAACTCCTTCAGTTAAAACAACGCGGGCGGTGGCAGCATCAGGAGTCAAAGAGTTCCACGTTCGCTGTTCAAGCTATGTTTATATGCCACCAGTGAAAACGCGCTAGATATTATCTCTTATTGACTTTTTTCTCGAATATTCCACCACAAAACCCCCAGTTTTGCCAAACAAGATGCCACGATGCAGTATTGACCGAATATCAACTCGAGCTTAGGTACTTCTCGATTCAACATGATAATATAATATTAACTGTTGGAAAGAATGAATTTACCTCTTTGTTAAATAAGATTTCCACCTACCTTCCATGATCCCCAATAGTCTAACGGCATCTCCGTATGGCATCGGTGTAGCCGGGATCTTGGGCAGTCCAGCCTTCTCTTCGGGTATTCTGAATACCCCTTCGACTGACGGTAGACCAGGGGTCAGCGGATCTCCACGACCTACAAATATGCCTCCGCTCTCGACGCCCGTCTTTGGAAGCCAAATGTATTTTGGGTAGACCTTGTCTTGACCATATATTGCGTAATCTTTAGGATCGTTGTATAAAATGGCACCTTCTGCACCACATTCCTGGGCATTTTTTACCTGAAAGTTAAAACAAAATGAGATGGACCTTAATAAACATATTAAACAGGCGTATTACCTGCAAATGAAGAATGACTTCGAGGGGAATCATAGAAATATCAGCCGGTTTAAGAAAGTTTAACAATTTCAAGCATTAGCTAGTACTAATGTGTCAAACAATACTAGCGCACCAACCAAAGTGGGGTAATCACGGCAAGTGAAAAGAAAAATGGAAGAACTAAGAAATGTTGATGCATGCTTTTTATATTTCCACATTCTTCCAGGTCTACAGAAACGTTTGTTCGTAGCCGTACTTTGCTTTACATTTTTCAAACGGACCGGTTGAATTTCACACTGGACCTGATAAGGAGAAACCGGCTCATTGTGAAACACTTCTCAGCCAAAATTCCTCTGTTTACAGTTGTAAAACAAATTATTTCACCCCCAACCTTATCGCCGCGATATATCTTTCCATATCGCATGATGACAATGTAGCCACTGCAGTTTGCGATACTGAAGTTATTTTTCAATACTTGAAAATCTTCAGTTCTTCCATAATTTACATACAAGAGTTTCCCTTCGGCCGATCCTTGCTTTGCAAAACCCAGTAAGGGTGGGATCATCGTAGTGTCGTTTTCGCTCGGGTCTGCCAACTAAAATATAATTAAAATACTATACACTTAGTGTATGCTCCCGAGGGAAATAGTGAGTTTTGTTTTCCCAAGAGTCTGAATTTTCCCCGAGACGGAGTCTAGGGAAACATTGAGACTCGAGGGAAAATAAACTCACTATTTCCTGATTAAACACACTTTTAACATAAAGATTTTAAGGGATGCTTCAGGGCCTGCAAAACTCATTCACTGTCACGAAATTAGTCCACAAAGTGTAGTTCAATTGTATAGTTAGTGTGATTTGATACTCAAAATCTTAAATTGGTTTGCGTTACTACCACATGCGTTGTTAATCGTATACCACATATACATGCAGAATATTGTGATCGAATTAAGCTATAAATATTGCGGCAATCTACATGCAATCGGTGTTTTACCACCCCCACGCTGTAAATATGTGATACCTTCTCTGGTCCGGAGAACTCGAAAGTCACATCCCGAGTGGAATTCAAAATCTGTACGGAATTCGAGACGTTTGGTTGAACGTAAGGTAGAAGTATATCATATTCCGGTTGTTCCACTTTGTGAAATTTGTATTCATTCCGATCTCATCTGCCAATTCCTTTGAACGTGGTGTTCCTCCAACGTGGGGTCGCTCTGAAAAATACCTGTTCAAAATTGATAGCAAAAATTGAGATCATATGTTGCTGTTACACTGTATTACAGGTATCCCCGCTGAATAGTATGTTTTGTTTGATTTAGTATTCTCTTTCTGCCCTTATTTTAATACATATATTCTTTATTGTGCTGCTACCGAATCACTCACTAACTAACTATCATATTGCAATTATTGTCTTATATATATTCAACTACGTGTCAATCATTATACTAGTATTACTTATTAACTAGCTCAATACTACATTTGACTCATACGAACTGCTGTTAAAATACGTTGAACCCCAAAAAAGTTGACTACTGTGCTCTTTAACACCCCTCCTCCCCAAAAATTATAAATTTATAAATAAACTGGGGTGAAGCTAAATCTTTCGTTTTCTTCGGTGTGATTGATTTGAGGAGAGTTTATGTCAGGGAGGTTCTGATCTGGAAGAGGACGAAAACCTTGAATTAATGTTGAGCTACGTTTTAACTACGTTCACACCAGTGGTGGAAGAGAACTGATTAAATTCTTCGGCTACTAATCACGGATATTTACTGTAAACGACTGATTCCCTCTCTCTTTAGGATATATTTTCTTTAATTACTTTCCATAGCGATCTAGTGTTGTTTCTGTGTTGCTGAACATCCTTTAGAACATGTTCTCTATATAGCAATGTGCTTTAGCAAGTGCGGCTTTGGTTGAGTTACGGGCAGCTCTAAAGTTAGGCCAATTTTTGGCTCCGTTCCCAAGTATTTTGTCTATTACTATTTTGGCTATCCTATATTATCAACAAGGAAGACAGTGTGAACGTGGTCCAGGTCAGGTCTAGGCCTGAAGTGTAAATGCGGCTTTAGACAAAGCAACGGACCCGGGAGTAGACTTAAGCATCTCACAATCCAGGTCTCTGAGAAAGATAATCAGTTTTCTCATTATCAGAGCTTGAACATACAAACAACGAGACCCGTCAATACGGCTTTCTAAACGTCATCTAAGAGGAAGTTTACTAAGCACTAGTGGTTGAGTTACGTTTTATGAGTTTTCTAACCGAACCGGGGGGGTCTGCACTATGAAATATTGGGCCGAGTTCTTTTTGTAGAGAGCGAGCGCGTTGAGAAAAAAAATGAGGTCTGTTTTTTTCCACTGTAAAGGTTAAGCAAAGCGAGGTTAAAACGTTTATTATATGGGATTAAGTACGTTACGTAAGGGGTGAGGTATTTTTTAGGATTTTTTGTTTATTTTCAAAGAGATTTCAGTAAACGATGGGATTTCGCAAGCATTTCCAGGCATTTCCAGGCATCCCCGTAAATCCTAGGATTTACGGAATTTTGAATTGTCAGAGATTTTTAGAGTGATATACACCCTTGTTTTGGACAAGTTAGGCAACTTTTAAATTATATTTTATATCGTCTCGTGTTTGAAAATGTCGCCGGAAAGCACTTCTATTTATGTTTTATAACACAAGCCTAGCGCATGCAGCGAACGTGACAACTCATTTTTTTCTCATGCACGACCCATGATTATGAGGTATTGTAATATAAGAGCTACTAGAATATTCCCCAGTCTTCAAAATTCTCGTATTTCATACCACATCATTGAATTGAACTCTTCCCGGAAAATTCACGTTATGTCGCTATCTTTGTGTTTATACTATATATAACTATATATTATACTATATGTCGCTATGAGTATCTTTGTGTTTATACTGTATAACTTTATTATACTATATATGTCGCTATCTTTGTGTTCATACGTGTGGACACCTCATAACAATTGCATAATCTGAAAGTGATTATCGACAGCACCATTTCGCGTGTGTGAGATTTTTTACCGTCCATGCACTGCGTCAGGTATGTTTTCAAGAAACTTTATACGTGTTTGTTAGGAGCTTGCCTGGGCATGTCGTCTTTCTGAGAAATGCTTTTCACGCGGCAATATATCATTTATCTGTGTAACCGGTGATCGTAATTACGCCACGCTAAGCCTTTAATCTCGCATGCAGTGTCTCAATTTTTTATTATAATCTAGCCCAAGATCTAGTCTAGCAAAACTATTTTTTAAAAAAGTACAGTGACCTCATTCAGCTCAAATCCGTTAAGTCCGTTCATTGCGGTTAATACCTCCTCAAAATTGAATCCGAAGAATTCAGATTCTACAGCAACTGCGTGTGTCTTACCTCAGATTTTCTCCGATTTTCTCCGCGTCCAGCAATTCGAACAGCTTCTTATGAAATTCATTTTTCTCCTTTATTTCTCCCTTGCGCTTTTTCGCGATATATTTCATGTCAAATTTTTCACCGGATGAATCATCTGAATCTCTTGGCGCCGAAAACCAGCCTATTAAAAATCCTAACACGAACAACACAACAACAGCTACAACGATACCGACAATTCGTCCTGTTGAAAGTCCTGACATTTTACTTGCTAACGTTATCGTATAACCGAACGCTGCAATACGGAGGCTGTCTGAACAACTACTGATGAGATTAAACCTCCGCACGTCATCATGCACGCGTGATAGCGCGTGTAATTGTTGAAATATTGGGTTGACCATACCATAATACTTCATTGACGATTGATCGCTGTATGTGTTCGACCTTTCCGTATCCCCGCTGCATGCCGTGCGGTGCCGTAGCGTGATTTTCTTAAGTCAACCTTTGCTGCCGCTGCAGTCCTGAAATGCAATCCTTTTGCAAGATATAATCATGGAATACTCCTCGTAAATGTCTTGATATAATTTACTGCTACAATTGAGAAGGAAGTGTATAAGAGGAGATTTTTTATTATGTCACGTATTTTGGCGGGAAAACGCTCAAAACCTAAAATCTTTTCGGCGTACCACTCAAAATCCATTTATTTTACCGTTATTCTTTAGATTATGTTGTGAACTAAGTTTTGAACTGTATTTGGTGAATGCAAAACACCAAACAAAGGAGTTATTACAAAATATAATGCGGCGGCTATCAACAATGTTATATTGTCAACGCCATTATAACTGAAATGAATACAAAAGAAGCTTCGATTCAAGTGTCATTTTCTTCTCGGCGTATCCCGAGAAATCTTTTCATTTTCACAATATTTTGAGATTATACAGTAAACATACTTTGTGGATGCTTTTCAGGTTTGCAAAACATTTTTAATGCTGAAAATTTTAGTGCTGTTGATAGATATAACTGAGGTTTTGAGCATATATTACGCGACATAGAAAAATATCTCCTCATAATTATAATATCATGTGAATACGTTGTTTGGACAAGTTGACCGAGTGCAGACATATTCTACATAATTATGAAGTATGATTTACAATGTGTTAGTTTTAAAACGTAAAGATGATGATAGCACCATCATTCAACGTCGCTCGAAATTACCTTTACTGTAACTGTCAATCAGGACATGTTAATCTAGTTGCGTGTAAGGGTGCATGCTTTGTGGCAGTGTTGTTAAGTTGCGTGACCGAAATAAGGTCAATTCATAAGTCAGTCCACTAATCGAAAGTTGTAAGTTCTCCAATTGTGAACGTTCGTTAGATAGATCAAAGTCGTGTTTATCGTATCTATAATGATCTCACTCCTTGCTTCGATTTGTATAACTGTATATTTTGTTTCTCTCTATATATATATATTACTTTTCATGTGCTCTGACTCTTTCTCGCTCTCATACACTCTCTATATTATTGTCTGTCCCTAACTGTCAATCAGTTCTAATATTCTATTGTCCTAGCTTAATTATCTATAAATAGCAGTTGTGTATATTACAGTATCTACGTAGGTACTCGCGGTGGCTTGGACGTTAGCAACATTAAGGTGCGCGTGTAAACCAAAGTGAGTACACATGCATTGACCTTTCTTTTTGTACACGAACAACAGTGCTTGTATAATTCTTATTTGAGCTAGTTACTTTATCTATTGATGTGTATAACTAGACGATGCGCGCTATGTGATAGAGCATGGTTTATAACAATGATTATTGGATTTATTACGTTTTCAAATCATCGTGTGTTGCATGACATTGTCACGCGAACAGCTTTGTGGTATCGTAGCTAGAGATTTGCCAGGCGGAAAATGGATTCTTATTATAAATATGAGAGCCCAACATATAACATTTAAGAAAGCCATCAAAACAATTTAAAGTTTAAAAGTAAATATATTTGTAACGTTTCGTCTTTAACCTAAGACATCTTCAGACAAGTGATATGAAATTACATGAGATTTGAATATATATAATCTATTTACATATGTAAATTAATGACGGATAGGAAGGTATAAGATAGTACATGACAAAACCGCACAGACGAAGGGACATAAACACAATACAAAAACTATGAAGACACGTTACAGAAGATTAAGTGGGATTGAACTGCCCTGGATGTTAAGTGAGGGTTTGAGTTTGGAGATGAGGAGGTTTTCATGAATCATGAGTTCATGTTTGTCAGAACATGAAGAAAGAATTTTAAAAATCATCAAAGTCGGCAGAGTGCCCTGCAGTGGTTATGTGGGAGAAGATGCATGCTGGACAAAACTGGACTAGATGACGGTTTTCCATGCAGTTATAGGGGAAATTCTCAAGTGTTCCGATACTCTGGTGTGTAGATGGCGTGTGGTTTGACCCACGTACGATGCGGAACAGCATCGACACTTGAAAAGGTATACAACACCAGATCTTGGGAGCTTTATCCTTTTCAATTTATTTCGGCTATCGCTTCTGTTATAAATACTAAACTCTGTGTTCAGTGCCTTAAAATGTAATTTGTCCAAAAGGCTGATGGGTTGGTGGCTCTAGGGTTGGTGGTGGCATATGATTTGACCATGCACTTTCATCAACTACCGCCCGCCTACTTCAGCTACGTTTTTACTTTTTAGTGACCGCCTTATATATCAAATTTATATTTCTTTGGATATAGCCTGATAATAATAAAATAGTCAGGCTCCAGAAACCTACAATCATGGAAATAATATAGGTAGACTTTTCGTTGGACACTTTAAATATAATGTTGATACAATAGCTGTTTCCCCCCTTCCTCCTCACACACAATGCTGCATGACTGAAAAGACCTCTCAATGTAATATCACGCACCTACCAACATTGTTCAAGTGTGAAGGGGGTATTTCATTTTGTAATTGAGAAGTCTACGAATTATAATTTCCACGATTGTAATCATATTCAAAAGACAAAGCAGGAGGCACCACAATGGTTGGTGTCGAGAAAAGCTTTTCAAATTTCAAGCTTCTCGTTCTTTGGAAACAGCCTACTTCAGTGAATATGACTAGCCTTGACTATTCGTTAATACTCAAGCACTTGTTGCATATGTGATAAATTTACTGAAATATGATCCTGCATTTTCTAACCGATAACAATTAAAGCAATTTGACAACTCTTTATCATGATGAATTATTATAGGGAGGAGTGGGGAGTTGTCACAGGCTTGTTGACACTGCGTGCATGCTGCTAGAGACGTTGAATAATTGAGACATTACTGAAAGTGTAAACAAAGTCTGAAATACATTTGCCAATAATAATATATATTATATAATATTTGCCAATAAATTTCCGCTAGTGGGCGAGAAGGATTTCTTCGAGAATGGATAATGTAATAAGTTAGATGTTCAAATGTTTCTCTTAATTTTATACATTAGCATATTCGTGACTCGCATGCGTATACATAAAATATGTGAACCAGCCATAAGGAAGCAAAGATAGTCATGTGCATGCATGCATGCGCGGGAGAACGAAATGTAGGCTAAATATATTTGCCTTTATCACTGAAACCAAAACAAAAAAAGACAGGAATGTGAATTTATTATAAGCTTTAGGCTGTGTCTGATCCGTTAACATGAAGTTTCCTCGTAAACTGGCGTGCAATCGTGTGGTAAAAATCTGTGACAATATTTGAAAAAAGAATGGAATATGCAATAATTATTACAGTAAATAGAGAAAGGGTGCAGCCTGTCTACAGTCTACATGCGTCGTTGGTCAAAATAAGCAGAGGAAATTAAGTCTATATATATAGTGCAAAGTTATAATGTACATCAAGGAAACAGCTAGGCTTTTCAGTTTGCATCAGGTTTGAGGTTATCCGTTGCGCTTGAAATCGCCTTGAACACAACGGACATCTGTTGCTTGATAACCAACCAATCCTGTGCTGTTTTATTCCTGTTCACCATCAGGTCAGAAATTCCCGGAAAACTGGTGCTACCGTAAGCATTGTTGACGGAAGGCGCGAATAAAACGTGTCGTGTAATTGGTCGGTTAGGTAAGCCAGGAGCGGTCATGAAGGATTTCTCAACGTTGACCATACGGTCATTGAGGTCTCGTACTTTTACGTCATCTTTTCCATCAAGAGCTTTGTTTTTTTCCACTTGGAATTTTCTCGTTTCTTCGTTGAATCTTAATCGAAAGCAAACGTTGAAGTCGGAAATCCTGATTATAATAACATTTACTATATACCGCAGTTTAAATGGCCCTTGAAAAGATGAAATTCTCAAAATCTACCTAAAGATATCCCAGTTGTCATAGGGATCGGGCCGGAAGAGGCCAGCAAAAAGAATCAACCTTGAAAATTCACTAACATACAAAAATTGTTCAATATTAGAAATCTTACTTTTTAATTGCCTTTTCAATATAACTCAAGGAGACTTTGTTTTTTTTCAAGCTCTTCCCCATGATCGTTCCTGAGCGTTTCCAAAGATTTGTCCAGAGATTTGCCATATTCTGTGACATCGAGCGGTAACACAAAACTGTCGGCCATATCCATAAGAAGTCTCAAAGCAACTCTAGCTGTGGTTAAGTGGAATTTGAAGTAGGGATCGATCAAACCTTGAAGCCATTTGTACGTGTCGTGGACTGTGTGGTAAACAGGATACAATTCTTTACCAGCATAATACATGTCCACGGATGGAACTCCTGTAAAAAATGTTTGTGGAACCCTTATATAGCTGTGACTGATTGATATCTGACCGATATGTGACGAAAGAACGAAAACATGCATCCACCAAATGTAGGTGCCGATTCGGGCACCATTTGACAACAGAGTCACTAAAAACTTACCGCAAAACTGATAAAAACTGGCATAATCCGAACCGGAACCCAAATTTAGGTATGTGAACTTTCCCTTCGCTTTTGCCATTTGATCGTATACCTTTTGCCCATGTGGATCGTCAACGTTCTTAACATTTTTAGTAATTACGGTCTTTAGCAGGGGGGAGCCAGCCAATCCAAGGGTTAAATTACCAAAAACTGCGATATCGACATTTATGTAAGTTATTGCTTTTGTTGACAAGGCTCGTTCATTTTCTTCCACCCATTCCGTTGATCCTATCAAACCTGATTCCTCTGCTCCCCAGCTGCAGAATTTGATGGTGCGTCTTGGACGCCAACCTATGGCCGAAGTAAAAAATGTTATCGTGGTATTTTCTCACCCATGCGCTAGCTGTATAGAGGTGTGGGTGTGTTAATATGCCAGTAAAAGCAAGCATAGTTTATACAATTCTAGATATATTTCAGCATACAAGAACTACGCTTATGCATCATGGCATGGCTGGCATTAGTTCAAACGTCTTAATGACATAAAAACCATTCATTGCTTATTCAATTGATGACATATTGTTGACCAGTTCGTCAAGTTAATCTTGGTTATATTGTGACAGTGGACAGTCCATGATTATAACGATATTCGGATAATTTTTCTGACGATGTTGATTATGATGTAATGTGTTGAAGTAAATGAAAGTGATGATGTGAATGATGTTGATGTGAATGATGTTGATGATTTCATTGATGATGCGAATAAGGGGGATAATTCTCACAATACCTTGTTTCAGAAGCTCGCTTACACCACGTGATATCTCCATCATAGCTGACGTACCACTGGAGGCATCGACCGCGCCAAACCCCCATGCGTCCCTATGATTCCCCAACAGTACCCAACGATCAGGCTCTTCCTTGCCATATATGGTACCGATAACATTAAAAACGTTTTGCCGTTTGTTGGGTACGTTTACTTGTATTCTGACAGTGTTGTTCCTTAGGCCACCGTTTCCGAGTTTGTAGGTAATCTTTAACCCACCTTGCCAATCTTTTGGAGCGTCGTCACCTTTTGAAAAAAATTGTGGGTCTTAATTTTAGTTCTTTATAGCTAGTAATTTCTAAACACGGGAAGCGTTCTACATTTATTTGTAGCTATGCATCTACATAAATCAAGTATTAATTAATGTATTTCTTTTCTCAAAATGCCGTAGTTAGATGAGAAACGGCTACGGTGAATGTCATGACAATATGCGAATCTTGTAGCTGTAGCGGCCAGGAAGCCGTAGTCAAATCTAAAGCTCTCTGTTGCCGATAGAGTGTACATTTATGTGGCATGAAACGCCAGGAATACCAACTTCATTAAATGTGAATTCGGAGTTTTTTTAAAATCTGCACGTTTTACCTACCTTCCATGATCTCCAACACTTTAATAGCATCCCCGTAAGGCATCGGTGTAGCCGGGATCTTTGGCAGTCCAGCTTTTTCTTCGGGTATTCGGAATACTCCTTCAACAGACGGTAGTCCAGGTGTCAACGGATCTCCACGACCTGTAAATATGCTACCGCGCTGTACACCAGTCTTTGGAAGCCAAATGTAGTTTGGGTAAACCTTATCTTCACCTTCAGGTGCATAATCAGCAGGGTCGTTGTACAAAATGGCGCCGACTGCCCCACAGTCTTGGGCATGTTTTACCTGCAAGTGACACGAAAAGTACAGGAGACATATTATTCTGTAGGCTCAAACTTAAGGCTCTCGCGTAGTAGGAGCACAACATTGTGCACTTTTCACTTGCAAAGATAAAGAATAGGAGATAAGTGTAATCCATCAAGTGCTAAAACAAAGACTAAAAGGTCTATTCTATTCTATTATAATTATATTGTATTTTAGTCAAATTCTGAAATTAGATCCTCGAATTGAATGCTTGTCCGAAAGATCTCTTCAAATCTGTAATTTTATCACCAACCTTGTCCCCGCGATGTATTTTTCCATATCGCATGATCACAATGTAGCCGTTGCAGTCGGTAATACTGAAGTTGCTTTTCAATGCTTGAAAATCCTCAGTTCTTCCATAATTCACATACAGGAGCTTCCCTTCGGCTGAGCCTTGTTTAGAGAAACCCAGTAATGGTGCGATCATCGTTGGATCGTCTTCGCTCGGGTCTGCCAACTGAAATATGAGAAAATAAAAGTGCTGAAGTGGAGCATTGCACGATGTCTTTGTAAAATGGATTGTGCTACATCTGTGAAGTCGTAAAGTTCTTGCTCTCAAAACTGCATGTTGTCTAGCTTCCCTCTCATATCAATGGATCACCGTAATTCTTTGTATATGTATATAAACGAATCCCATGTGAGTCATGTCCACATTATACAGCACTCAAAGTCAAGCGACACAACTTATTTGATTCAAAGTCACTTTCAGCCCGTTTTAATTGGTTCAGGAATCCAAACTCTGCTGTTTCTTCTTTGAATTACACTGAAGCACGAGGAAATATTTATGGATTGGCTAAAAAGTTAGTATTTCGGAAAAGCAAAAAAATTTGGAATTTTCCAGAATCTAAAATATATACATGGAACCACATATGCTCACAATACCTTCTCTTTTCCAGAGAACTCAAAAGTCAACTCGCCGTTGGAATTCAAAATCTGTACGGAATTTGATATGTTTGGTTGAACGTAAGGTAAAAGAATATCATATTCTGGTTGTTCCACTTTGTCAAAGCCGTATTCCCTCCATCTTCTGTCGATCTCGTTTGCTAATTCCTTGGAACGTGATGTTCCTCCAACGTGAGGTCTCTCTGAGAAGTATCTGCAAAAAGAGGGCAGTTTTGCACGATGCTCTTTTTCCTGTCCACTTAACACTATACTCTACCCGCGTGCATTATATTGCAACTAAATATCCTTATTCTTCATGTACTTAATACGTGGTGTCCGAGCATGATACCTGTGAATAATATATTATAAGTAGCTTTCCCCTTGCAGTCGTACTTAAGAGACATTCAAATTGGTGCATGATAAAGTGTTTCAGTTTATCTTATATATACTTATACTATTAATTCTACCACGCCTAGCTCACCTCAAATTCTCGCCTATTTTCTCCGCGTTAAGGAATTCAAACAGTTTTTCATGAAAACCATCTTTTTGTTTCATCTGTTCCTTGCGTTTTTTCGCGACATCTTTCATGTTCATTCTTTTTCTTGGCGAGTCAGCAGAATCTGTTGGCGCCGAAACCCATCCGATTACAAAGCCTAACACGAACAGCACGACCACAGCTATCGCGATACCAACAATTCGTCCCCGAAAACACCTTGTCGTCCCCTTATAGTTAACTTTTTCGGATTCATTCTTGTTAGATACAAGCATTTTTAATTTCGAAGTGTTTGATGACTTTCGCTTGTGAAGCATACGATGTTACTGAATACCGTAAACACTGTAAAATATAAGCAGAAACAAATGACGTGGTATAGCACATGTTTTTGTTTTTGTTCGTCTTCATTTCCCGCTATAAAAGCGGGAAATGCTTTTAAGGAGTCGAGTAAGGCTACGAATAGACGTTATAGAGGTGCTTACGTCACGTGGCTGTCAAACAATAAATGCAATGCAATGTGGGAAACATGTAGGAAAAATTAACCTCGTTTTACATAGATTGAAAACTGTGTGACGTAAGCACCTCTAAGGTCTATTGGCTTGGGAGCATTTCCTTTAAGCAAAGCTCAACAAAGATTTGCGCCTGGAAACCAAAAACGCTTTAGGTACAAAATACCATGCAGCTAGGTAATGGCGTAGACGCGATCGAGACCGTACTGCTAGAAGCTAGGTGGGCATGCATGATATTCTATTTGCGTTTTATGCCTGAATAATTTCTTTGGAAAGCTATTGCTCCCACGGTAAACAATAATATTTGAATATTCACCGCTTAATTAAGCGGTCTAGCTACGGTCTGCACACAATACGAAATGGACAAGAAAGGCAAATGTGCATGGGCAATTTCCAGCAGCAATATGAAATGGACAAGACTGACTGAATATTTTAGCATGGTTGAGGACGACCGAAACATATATAAGGTTGAAACAAATCAAACAGTTGTAGACTATATATTTCATTTCATTCATGCAATTTCAGTTCAGTTATACCTGTACCAATAACAATAAACCGATGGTACCACCTATAATTTTACTCCATGGCCACTCATTTGTTTGCTGCCTGCACTTTGACAAAAAAGAGGATCTTTTAAGCTCAACGGGACTTGCCAGAATTTTTATAATTTTTTATGAGTTTGTCGTCAGTCTAACGACTTCTTCTTCGGAGACAGTCTAATGACTTCTTAATGCATGGGCAAAAAGCAGTCTGTTAATATCTGCATAAATCACATTACACATGCATGCAGTACACATGCAGTACACACAGACGTCTTTGCATGTACATGTACAGCATGTACTCGAAAAGGTTGCCTTCTAAAAACCCTTAAACGCTAGAATCCGGCTCTTAAAGCTGGATAGTGAAACTAAATTGTTTTCATCCATTGAAGGCTAATCGGCGTATAACCGGCTTTCCAATATAACCAGGGAGCAGCGTGGCAGCGTCTACTAACAACTTCGCGTCAAATGTAGTATAACAACTGCCTTAAATCACTGATCTGTGCCTAATATGCCAGAATAGACAAAAACGTACACTTCTCGACGTTTCGACCTGAGTCACCTGAGGGCCTTGGACTACCACTACGAAATAGTTCGACATAATCTGATTAAAAATTTAATTATCCGCCATTAAAAATGCATGTGCTTATCGTACTTGGGGTCCAACTGAAGGTCGATATGATTTACAGTTTAAGGTTTACCAAGGACTTTATTGAATTGCTCTTATATTTTATCTAAAGGCTTTGTTTCTTTGCCATCAGTGAAGCTTTAATTGTTAGACGTAAAACCCAGGGGGAATAAACCCAAACAATTTAACTTGCTTCATTCTTGTAATTCAAACGGCACATTGTGAGTTTGTGTTTTGAACGTTCCTTGACTATCCGCCATATGACAAGGTATTGCACTGGCTTATCTGCACCGTTATTTGGTAAGTAGATTGACATTTAAATCTATAGGGCTTGTTCGTATTCTAATGTACTCATGTTTGTGTACTAAAAATTAATACTATAGCTATATAAGGCGAGTGCAGGCCAACGATTTTGCTCTTCCTGAAACTTACCTTAATGTTGGTACGACGACTGAGAACTGAAGTTATTGTCGTCGTATGGCCATGGGGTGATTGTTCAATGACGATTGTCTGCTTATAAGCCGTGTTCGGAGTTTAGAGCTTCTATCTTTAAGTATAAGGCCTGCCTTGTATACTTAAAAGTTTGTATAGATGCTCATGCATAAAAGCTGTGAAGCTGCATGTATTTATCGCATGATAGCGCCTGCAATTGTTAGACGTTATTATGAAAAAATACAAAATAAGAACTGGATTTATGGACACGGATTCGAGATTAGACTCGTTCGTGGTGTCATGACCAGCCGTAGTCAATCTTAAAACGTTATAACTGCAAGGAATATTAAAAAATCTGGAAACACTGGAATAATTTGTTCGCGCGGGCAACTATTTACGCCTTCGGGGCCGATTGTTCGAAAGGCGTTTAACTTAAACGGCAGATAAGTTCAAAATGGAAAACAAAATGATCGATCTATTTATTGAACAACTGAGCTGAAATATTTCGATGTTAATAGTTTAATTTTCAATGGAGATTTATATTTAATGTATAAGATGTAGGTTCAGTCATACACAAAACTGAGGGTCCTGAAGGGGTAAAATGGGACCTGGGATTGCCCTATTTTTACAGTGGGAAAGTGGCCGGATTTAGTTCCTGCGAATGCCGGGGATTTGACCCTTTTAAAGGCTGGAATTTTTACAACTCAGACTGGGATCTTTTAAAAGAGTCCAACAAGGACTGAGATTTTACGAAAATTCGTGGGACTCCACTTTCACGGGACCCTCAAGACTGTATGAGAGTATTTTTAAACTATAACGCTTATCTTGAGGTATTGGTGAATTCATATTAGGGACGGGAAACTCACCTCAGACGGAAAAGCTGATTGTAAAAACCGGTCTAAATATGAATCGGGATGGATACATTTATACGTACGTGTGACGGGTAATGCTAAAAAAGGAATTGTAATTATCACGATAATCATTTCGTTTATTTTCTCTTAGCATTCTTCCGTCCTTGACCATGTTGATATTTCAGAAACTCGTCTCATTTATCCGTCTTATTTCGAATTTAAGACGATTTTCTTGTCCAGGCGGGATTCCCGTCCAACTTTAAGGCTAGTTTCCACTCATGAAAATTCTCCTTTGGATCGAAATGGACAGGAAAATTTTCTTTGTCGGTGAGTTCTCAGGTGGCGTTCACACAAAGGAAACTTTCCTGTCCTGTCCGATCCAAAGGAGATTTTTCTTGAGTGGAAACTAGCCTTTACCCGTCTGTCTACACGGGGAAATTCGGACGATTCACGGCATCAGACGATATCAATTAAATTTCCTGTTTCTAATATGAATTCTGAGGCTACTTTAACGCAGAACCGCACGAATTTTGAACCGCGCTCAAATTCGTCCAGTTTAGCATTGTAAAATTCGCACATTCGTCCATGTATTCGTCCTTTGAGCATTGATGTAAGGTATGTTCACATTGTAAATTAGATGAAATTTTCACCGGCTTTACGTGCTCACGCGAGGGAACAGGAAACTAATTTGAGGAATCAGTCGATTACGGTCTCAAATTCGACCGGTCCCGTGTGAACGTAGCCCGGGACTGCGAGAGTCGTGTAGTCATCCCAACAATAGAGACTTCAAGCATGTAAGATGGGAACACGACTAGAGCGACTATAAGTACATGCAATGATGACTGCAGTATTTCCTCTTTACGATGAATGTGCAATTACCATGTTAGAGATGATTGTTACGTTGCCCGGCTATATATGTAGAATTCCATAACATTTTTATTTAAAAACAACTCAGTAGGAACTGTTTGGACATGAACCCCAGTTTTAGAAAGACTTAAACGCGAAGAATTATCAAAGTTTGAAAATTTATTCACAGTATACAATTACAGCAAACCTCACAAATTAGGGGAAATTTACTTCAATTGTTAATTTTGCAAAAATTACTGATTTCTTCTATATGTATGTAAGTAATAACTTATACATCATTCCGTAAGGGGAAAATTAGTAAGAGCCGAGCTATAGTTCAAATCTGAATTAATACTTCTTGACAACAGCAATACACAGTCGTAGTCCACTTCCCCGGATATGCATTTATAGTACCAATTTAGGAAGTTCTATGTTCGCTGTGCTGCGCGGAAATTTGCATAATGTGCGTAAGTTGCTTAGTTCGTATCCATCAGTTCGTTTTCTGTTATGTACAGTAGGGTACATCGTGATCAGCCCATCATTGGGTTATTCATTTGTCCGGCACCACCACAGCAGGACTGCCCACAAGATGGCGCACACGAATTCGGGCATTGACCTGGACACTGGCCTGCTCCGCCTGCCATCGGCATACCGGGCATGCCGGGCATTGGTGGCATCGGCATAGGACCCCCAGTCATGGGAAGCCCGGGCATTCCTCCCATTGGTGGCATGGGGGGCATAGCACCGGCGCCAAATTGTTGGTTCATCATCGGCTGCTGCGTGAATGGTGAGCTGCCGCCGCAACAACTTGAGCTGCATGATGGGTAACACTGCTGGGGAGCGCCACAGGGTGAACCGCAACCGAAACCAACAGCCATTGGGGGAGCTGTTTCGTCTTTAGCTAAATTAAATGGAAATACAACTTGTCAACTATATCAATTTGACTACGCTGGAAGTATTCTTTAGAAAGACCAGAAAGGATATGCATGACCCCGATCCCCAAGCAGGAATGCTAAGCAGGAATGCGGGGTCACATAATGTTTCGAGTGTTGTGTGAAAGCCAGGGTAAACACAGATCTTTCGCCACACGTGTGAAAAAGTGCCAAACTTGATAATGCACTATGCTTCTGCTAGTACATAGGCGTAGAGTTTTTTCTCATCTGGGGAAAATTGCATAGACGGGTCTATACACAGCCCATTAAAAGCGATAAAATATAATGCAAAATCAGAAATGTGCTTTCCGAGCGCGCTTGTCCCGATAAATAATTCCTGGTATGAAAGCTACGCGATATGTGCGACCTACATGCTGTCAACGAAGCGGGGTCAACAGGAAGAATTCCAAGAGTTCCAGTCTTCACAAGAGCATCCAGACTAACAAGATTTTTACTATCATTTCCAAAACGTAGGGAAACGTCAGCGATAACGCCACTTTCATTTCTGAAGAAGGAAAATATATCGTGGTGAGAGCCAAGTACTTCGCTTGCTTAAAACTCGAGCATGGCATGAGAATAAACATGAACAACCAACAACAGACAACGTCGATGATCCATACATTGACCTAATGATCTTTACATTGACCTAATGATCTTTACATTGACCTAATATCTATACATGAAGTCACCTTACCTAAATCCAATCATTCTCGTCTCTCTGTAGGCATTATCATCTGCATATAAGTTCATTAGCTAATGAAAGATTTACAACAACAGTCAATTTCATGGTTTTCCTGAATATATGGGCGAAATTTATAAGGCAATGTGTCCCTCACCGCATTCTCGATTTTGCCAGCGTAGTTCTGGTAAAGGGCACTATCGTACGATGCAAGGCCGTCAGCATATTTTACGTTAGCTAACTTGAAAGAAACTTTGTACTTCGACGCTATGCAAAAAAAAAACAGAACAAATATTAAGCAAAGTGTCCGGTGGTCAAGGTTTGAAGAAAAAATGCATTTATCGTTTTTCTTTATCTTAAGAACTTCTCCTTACATAGCGGACTGTGAACAGGATACTGTTTAAAACATGCTCAAAATGATATTAACCGCTCAATTTGGGTGTGAGTGATCAATGATTCAAGGAGGAGATTTATGTATCTTTCAATCAGCAAACCCTGCATTGTCTTCAGCAAAACCGCGCAGGCCGGTGACTGCATGTACCTTATCTTTAAGTGACTTTAACTAGCTAGACAAAAATATTTTTATTGCGAATTTGCAATTTCCATTCAAGCATGTCAACAAATACAAAGTGTTTACGTGCGTGAAGTGAAAAGGTGAGACATTCGTTTTGAGTAAACCAGCTATGAATGAGTGCTCGGTGAAACGACATCCTTATATATTTCCTTACCAACGAGATCAGCCGGAGGTACCGGGGGTGTCGCGGCTGCTGCCGGCGGTGTTGTCCCAGGGGCTGCCGGAGCCGCGGGGGCTGCCGGTACTGCGGGGGCCGGTGCCGCTGGGGCTGCGGGGGCTGCAGCTGTGGTCACCGGTTTTATGGCTGGCGCCGCTGGAGGTGGCGCAGCTTTCAATACAGGACCAGCTTTCGTAGCTGAAAAATACGAAAGAAATTGTTGTGAGCAGGTTATTCTTTGAGGAGGCAAACCAGGACACCAACATTGCTTATTCTGTCATCTTTCACATTAGAGGCCTGGTCAAGGTTCCGTATATTTATATAATTCCTGTTGCATCAAAAACGTTTACACTTGGTGAATGTCTATAGGTGTACGCGCACACGTCGTTAAGGAAATATTTTGGTACTGGTTTAAGAACACCGCGGAAAAACGTCTGCGCACGCGCCAAATTATTAAACAAATGGCGGTAAATCTGAATATCAACTTTTGAAATAAAACATGCCCATCGATTGATAAAATGAAAGTTAAGCCAATGCGAAAATATATAAGACGGATAGACCAAACAATAGCTAGAAGCGTTCTAACATTTAAAGTATCGAACGAAACGGATTTTTTTAATTTTCTTGTTTTTAACGGGGTAGCTTTAAAATATTTTTTGAAAACAAATGTTTAAACCTCGAAACGTAGGATTTTAATCATTTAAATTGTGAAATACATTCTAAATACAAAGTGTTAAAATATAAAATGTTTATAACGATGTTAACAGTCACTTTTAGCTCAAGTTTTGGGAGGATGCAACTTCTTGAACTTTCTGGCCGTTTTAATTTCATTCTCAGTTTGAGGGCGGATTGCGTACAAAACTCGGTTTGACCTGGCAAGCAAAAAAACTGTTTGCCACAAATTTTCTGTACAGAATATGTCTAAAATCCTGAAACTACCTAGACATGCCAAATAATTTCATTACCGATGCGTGCGTATAGAATACAATTACCAAGTATTATATAACCTTAAAGTTTATGCATGCACTTCAGTCAGGAACTACATACTTACAGTAAGTCTTCATAGCCGACACACTATACGAGTCCTAAATCAGTCATAAATTTGTGCGATCTTTCTAAGCTAATCTCCTAGGTTATTATTCCTAGATGCATAACTAGCTAATTTGGTATACATCCACAAACCTGCTATCGCCCAGAGGCTAATAAGCAAGACTGCTATCTTCATTTCTTTCGTCAACCTTTAGGAAAGTCATTCAGATGTATGATTATTAAGTGAAAGAATGACAACCGGAATCGAAGTGGCCTAAGAAGTGAAGAATGGCAGGTCCCACCAGCTGTCTAGAACTGGATCTTATTCTGTAGTAAGTTTAAAAATAACATTCATGCAGATGTTTATTATAATAGGAGAGCGAAGGATCCACCAATTAACTGACGGAAAGGAGTTGCATTTTACAACATTGGATGATTGGTCTTAACTGATCTTGAAATAACTCCAATATTTCGTTCTTCTAACATGTCTTTAAGAAGTTATTTAGTTGACAAACAAAGAAATTGCAAATCCGATAATCTAAAAATTGCTGCAAAATATTTGGGTTTCTTAGACTGGCACTTTTCTTCGAGTTCGATCTTGATGCGAATCATAGGTGTTCGAGGCAGAAGGCGGATCTTTCGCCTAAGTTCCGAATAACGTTAACCTAGTTTTTTTTTCAAGTTGTTGGAGTTTCACATTTGAGTACTACGGCAAATTAACGGCTTAGCCTCGTTGATATCATGATAATCATGACACATTAAACTTAAAAGTTTGTAAAATCACAAGAGGGTTTTCACTTCATTGCCTTGATCGTGGCTCTCTATTACGGCACCTTACGACCCACTCGCCAGAACATGCATATCTAAATAATATGATACCGACGAGATCTAATTTTCTCTCTTAACGAGACAAGACCAACATCGATGAGGTTTTGAATCTGGCAACATACAAGAGTTAATTATTTAAAATGATTGTATCTCTTATAGTGAAGAAGGTCACTGAACTATATGAGCGTTAAAACTGTACAATAAATATCATTGTACAATCTCTCGATGTTAATTGGTGTTGACGACCTTCGACAGATTAGAAGAACTTTCAGTCAAACGAAGTTTTTTCGCACCGAAGCTTGTAACCAAACATTTTTCACTTTGAAAAACTGTCAGAGTCTTTTTAGTTTCACGTTGGCGAATATGGCAGTAATTCTATAAGTAGCCGAATGATCTGGTGGTCTATGATAGGTTTCCCATGAATCTTGGGCGAATATCGATATGTTGGTATAGTATTTAAGCTTTTTTTGGCAAGAACGTGAAACTAAAAGCTAGTATCTCGACTCTATAATTGTTATCATAAATTAACAGGTTCGAAATCTCAGCTTTGATCACATGTCAACTAAGCTGACTAAGTCTGAACTTTCGCTGAAGATTTAAATTTTAAGACTTTGTTATTATCAGTGGAACATAGACCAAAGCGGAGTTGCTATCGAGAAGAAAAATCAAAAGTGTAAAACTTATTTCTCGTAGTTATTGCTCAACTGGTGCCAGAGTTCGCACGAATAATTCCGTCGTAAATTTTTATCTGCCCGACTCAGCACCACATAAATCTATTCTATTCTCGCTTAGGAAAGGAACAAAACTCCCGACACTTACCTACGTTATTCCCAGATTCAAACAAATTTTCCGTTCGTATTCGTTCTTTACAAAAGAAATTTCCCTAGCCTTGTTTATTTTGAGAACCTAAATCTTTTGAGATGTCGTCACAAGTAAAAAGCTAAAACATTTTGACAGGTTGAAAGATCACGTAATGTTATTATGGCTCGCCTATCGCTCGCCGTTCGGTGGGCAGCACGCGGGAATACTTTGTCTCGTAGTAGTTTTTTAAGTTCCTACTAGTGCTTAAATGTCGAGGATGTGCGAATAGAAATTTAGAATACGCGTTGATGGTCCCGACGATCTCTAAATCACTGCGAAGTTTGTTTAGTTAGACTTATAGCTATTAGTTAGTCTGTTATTAGTAATTATTAGTCTGTGGTAACACCGGGGCGAACTATAGTGAAGAATTTTGAATTTTCTTTACGGTTTACGGTTTTAAAAAGTATGCAGGTGTAAGGGTCCACATAATTCGCTTTAGTTTTGATAATATTCTTGCTCGTGATATTTAGTCGGAAATATATTTTATAATTATATTGTGTTTCGGCTGCCACCTGCTGAAAATCATTCAAGCATGTCTCATTTTCGACGAAACGCAGGTCTGCATACTGTCCACGTTTTTTAAATCGAGGTATATGGTGTCACGTGGGAGATTGGTTACAGGATTACATTGACTTCTGCACATCCGTTCTGCGCATAACAAATTGCAAAAATTGCAAATCAGTATGAGCAAGAAATTGCAAATTATGAGAAAGAGGCTGCTGAAGAGGTTCTGGAAGAGGTGGAAATAAAGTGTGCGAATGAAGAAGAGAAAGTATAACAATACGAGCAATGGTCTCTACTAATGGAAACCGCCAAATTCCGAAACAAACCTCTTTGGAAACCTCTGCAGGGGAGAGGGACAATCGAATGGTGATTTTTTACATCGACTAATTTGCACGGCTTTTCGGGGGTCTATTACGATAAACATAAGTTTCAGCACAGTTAACTGTCGTTTGTACTGGTTTCAGTTTAATTAAAGATGTAATATTAACATTAATCGCGCTCAATTGCGTGATAAAATGTACGAGTTTTTCACGACAACGAGTCGACGTTTTCCGAATGCGTTATCACGTGGTTTCAACCTTGTTCAGTTGTGTAAATAATAAACACTTTTAAAATGGCGCGCGTCAGGGAGTGAGTGTTATGTCGTTATAGAACATGTGTTTCGCCTTAGAGCTTTGATTCGTGATCAGACGATACCGTTTTTCTGCTCGAGTTAATATTTTGGACAAGAGTTTTTAAAATGTACTTTTGATGTGAATTGTTTTTGAACAATAATATACAATTTGGCAAGAGTCTATTATTGACTGACAACTTGATCTCCAAAGCTTTTAGCCAACATTATTAAGGCTAGTTTCAGGTTGTTTTTAAAGATGTCTGGTGATATTCAAGACCACGCGGGTCTATGGGATGAAACCTCTGCTTTGGACATTTCAGCCTGTATTGCAGAAAAAGCTGAAGAGACCTTGGCTCCTCTTAAAGAAGATTTAGTTGATTGGTTAAAAAAATTGTTTGAGGTTGACATTACTGTTAACAATTTTATGGAATTTCTTGATAATGGTGTCCTTGTATCAAAGGTTGCCGAAATGGTCCATTGTGCTGCTGAACAGTATTACCAGGCTGGCAAAACTAAGTTCTCTGTGCCGAGGTATGAGTTTCGATACCACAAAAAAGCAAAGTCTGGCACATTTTTCGCAAGGGATAATGTGGCATTTTTTTTGGACTGGTGCAGATGTTTTGGGGTAAGCGAGTCAGTGTTGTTTGAGTCAGATGGACTGGTTATGCATAAACAACCTCGCGAGGTGGTCCTGTGCCTCCTTGAGGTTGCAAGGCTTGCTGCCAATTATGGGATTGAGCCACCAGGTATTGTTAACCTGGAGAAGGAAATTGATGAAGAAATTGCAAATTATGAGAAAGAGGCTGCTGAAGAGGTTTTGGAAGAGGTGGAAATGAAATGTGCCAAGGAAGAAGAGAAAGTATCAGTGAAGCAAACTAATAACAATGTGAGCAGTGGACTTTCACTTGATAAGGAGGTAAGCTGTGTTGAAAATTTTTTGTTTTGTAGGGGTCACTGTAACCAGGATTGCCTTGCTAAAATGGGCATTGCCTTGTTTACTGTATGTGTGGGTATAAATGCTTAAACTGTACAAGTATACCTATACTAAGTACTACCTAAGTAGATAGGTACCTGCATGTACATAAGTGGGTATATATCTACAAACATTCTATAGTGGTGCACTTTGAAAAGGACCAACACATGTACATCAAACAATTTACATCAATCTAAATTTTGTATTTACTTTCTGATAAGTTACAGCTTTGGTTGTTAGAAAGTTGTAGAATTTTAAATTTACTACAAAGTGCATATATGTTGAGATATTTACAATGTCTCATAATGGAACAATTTTGTATATAATTTATGATTATGCAGACACCCTAGCACTGCCTAGTGCCTAGATACATATTTTTATGAATTTCACCACTGAGACAGGTCTACTTCATTTAATAGATTGTGACTTTATTATGTAGGTATCTCAACTTGCCAAAGCACATGGTGTAAAAATAAAAAAGGTAAAGGAAGGTCGATATGTTGTCGAAGGAAGGATAACAATATTTGTCAGGGTAAGATATATATATCCATTAAAGTTATGTTAATTATTTTGTGATAATTTTTTTGGTGTATTTGTTTTAATGCAATACAATATAACTATCCCTCAGATCAATTTACAAACGAAAGTTAATCTCTAGTGTCAATTTTAAGTAATCCAAAATTAATTAAATCTCTACCCTTCAGTGACTTGATTGAAATCCTTAGCCCTATACACTATAATTATTTGAGAGGATAATAAAATCTTTGGTCTGTTTTCCACTTCAACCGTAACGTAGCGTATTTCTTTGTTTCCAAAGTATTCGACCAAAACTAATGACAATGAGGTACGCTACGTTTCGCTACAATATGGTTGAAGTGGAAAACAGCCTTTTATGAGGCTTTTTCCATTGGTCTAAATTAATTGTTTTAAAGGTTGGTTGCAGCATAGTTTTCACAAAGTTTTGGGCACTGAGAATTTCCACCTTATCAACTGCTGCTACTGCATTTATTTATGAATTTTAATGTGGGTGAAGCTTTACTGCTTACATCCAATAACAGTTTGTGTCAAACCTCTCTTAGTTGGGGATTAAGGAGGGCACAAAAAGATATCTTCTTTGTTGACAGTGAAGCTATAAACTCTATATTTGTGCCTCGAGATGTCTTCATATGTGTCTTATTCTCACCACAAATAACTTAGATATTCATTTGTATGCATAAAATTTTAAATACTCCTGTGCAGACTCTGTAAGCTAAATTTGAAGAAATCCTGTTAAATATTGTCAAAATCCTTCCTATTTTTTAGATTCTTCGCAACCATGTAATGGTTCGAGTTGGAGGTGGCTGGGATACTTTGGACAATTTTTTAAGTCGCCATGATGCCAGTAAAATTGGCAGGATTTTAACGTGTAAGTTTATCACACTTTGTGTTAAACCATATGGGTATTATCAGTGTAAACTTCAACTTGGCTCTCGAAACCGATATTATTCTGCTCTTGGGGCCAAAAAGCTAAGAAAGAAAAAAAAGAAAATTATACAATAAAATACAAAAATTAAAGAAAATATACCACATTTTAAATGCATTTTTAATTTCTACATTTGTTCTGCATTTCCTAATTAATTTTGTAAAATCCTCCTAAATGTTTCACTCCAAATGCTCGAAATTTCCCTGTGTAATATAGTTTTTAATTTCATTGCCATTTGTAGGTAATGTATATTTGGGAGTATAGATAAACAATATAATAAAAGGCCTCTGTTTAATAAATTTTTACCTTTACTATGACAGTGATATTATTGTTTTGTTTTAGCCAAGGCAATAAAATAAAGGTACAGATCTGTGATCATGGTTACCACCAAGTTTAATTTATTGTGTGCGAGTAAATTGTAGATTTTTATATTATTTATATAATTTATAGCCATAGGTTTTAAATAAACATTAATTTGTGGCATGCATGCAAGTGGCTGTCAAAAATATGGAGACTTTTCACCATGTTTATAATTTTTACTGTTTTTATTTATATTTAATTATTCTAACCGTATGTTTTATTAATATTAAGGTATATGATCTAATTGTAATTTACATTGTTGTAACATATAATAGTATGATAATGGATATGCACTGTTTAACAGTAGTTTCATTTTTTTAAATTAATTTAAAAGTTTCATGACCACGTATTATTTATATTTTTTATTGATTTACCGTAGCTGTGTACTTTGTATCTACGAAGATTAAAGTTGGTATTTGTGTTTGATTTTAAAGTCTCGCACAAAAGGATGAACGCTTAATGTTACACTTTTATACAATACAGTGATGAGATGTGTTCTATTTCTATTAAGAAATAATGAGCTACAATGCAACATTTTATATCCGGTGATGCAATTACGCGAAAATGAAGTATCGCCTCCCACTTTATATCAAGTCGCGGGACGAAATTCGCTGACTGTTGAATGTTCACAACGGAGTTATAATCATATGAGTATGTAATTTTCTTTTTATTCCATGTGTATATTTTTGTTATGTAAAACACTCCGTAAAAACCTCGTTGAAAGTTCGACAACAGCTGAATATTCTACACTGAAGTAACGATGTATTATGTAACTATAAAATTTATCGAATGCTCTATCTTAATTTTCCGCCTTAAGCCGATTCTCCATTACGTCGGGCGAAGCTTGCTTTGTTTTCCAGGCCTATCATGGTCGCTCGAGCAGATTTTCAAAGGCCGCTTCGCCGTAATGGAAAACAGCTTTAAGTGAATGTTTCTAATTACAAAACTGGCCAGGAAACAGACATAATAGATCCGTCCTACATAATTATGTACCTAGCTATGCCAATCCAATTAAGTGCATCCAATTGGTTATGATGAGAGGTGATGTTTTTTGGAATCGTGCCTTAAAGGCTCTCGTAAAAGTTCATAATTCACAGTAGATCTGCTCTTCAAGATCCGGCGTGTGACAAACACGATAGCCGCAGTCCCCAAGATTGTGGCCGCGAGAGCGCATGCTAGGGCCACACCTATAGATGAGATGGATTCACGAGGGCCTTCATCGTGGTGCTAGAAAGAAGGAAACGTTTCAAACTTGCGGCAATTTGGAACTTGGGCACCTGTTATTATTCCTGCCCATTGAGATGAATAAACCAATGAAACAAACCAATGGTCTATTCATCTCAATGTTCCTGCCCGCTAGAGGCACGGGTGACATGCGCAAACGAGTAAATAGTTGCGTAACGGTTGTGAAATGAGAAAAATTGTATTACGCGCAAATTGTTACCATTTTCGGACCGAATATATTAGCATATGCTTACCACACTGTACTACATTTTGTAGCTATAAATTATGCGATATATGTTCGTCACTTAGAGTTAAATTCTCACCCCAAAATCGTTATCCTTCTCCTTTAATTTAGTAAATAGAACTTCGTCTCCATCCTCAGAAGCCACTACAATATCTAAACAGAATATTCAGGATATTCAGTCTCAAAATATCTTCCTCGATCTAGCTCAAATTTTCCAGTTACACGCGTCCTAATTATTCTTGGAAAGCATGCCTTAGCGTATATTCCCGGAATAAAACATCTTCAACTCAATTTGTCGATGTATTGCAGAAATCGCTCCGGTTAGAGGGAATTAAATGTAAAACGCCTATTTTGAAAGGAGTCACAATTTTTTCGTCATCGCTGGGAAGTATTAGAGTATTATTCAACGCATATTTTAGGTAAAGAATTAAGGTGGTCAAGAAACGTGTTTCCATAACTGTAAAGAAACACGGGCCGAACTTGACAAGCGAAGCGATGTAATGAGAATTTGTGATTGAATCGAATTATAATATTTGTACAAAAAATAAATATAGTTATAAAAACACTTGTGGGAGTTTGGGACAACTCAAAATAACGTGGAAAAACTCGCCCTACTATTATTTCTCGTTCTCCCAAACTCCCACGTTTCTCGTTCTCCCAAACGTTATGAAAAGTGCTTCAAATACACTTCATTCTCTTAAGCTGGACTTTATAATCACAATTTTTATCACGGCTGGCTCCTAAGACTAAAGAAAATGCGCAAATACATAATTTATTTGCGCTACCCTCATTTCTAGTGAAATGATACAGGTGTGCCACATTTCGTGGTGGGCCACTTTTTTGACCATCTCCTGTATGTAGTTGCACTTTGTCATATACTCGAATTTTCTCGCGTATAATAATAGATTATTGGATCAATTGCAATTTCAATGGTCCTTGAGGAGCGTAACTAGGCCAAAACGTTCGGAGAAAAATATTTCGAAAGTATGCATCAATGCATGCTAGCTCTGGCTTTCTGTAGTGCATGGTATACTGGATCAATAAGATAATGGCAATCTATTAGTATATAAAATATAACAATCTATTAGTATTAAACATCCACCTCCATTTGCTTTGTCGCAATGCTTTCCTTCCCAGCCAATGTCACATCTGCATTTGTAGTGCTTGGTTGAGTTGTTTAGACACACACCATGTTGGCATTTAGGATGACATTGTACTAAAAATGAAAATACATTATCCTGTCGAAATTTTTTGCTTTAATGTTGGTAAATTCAACTACTCATGCATGGACGTTGTTATACCCGCACAGCTAACAATTTTGAAGTGGACTATATTATAGAAAGCAACGCAGAGTAAGGTACTGGAACCTATATTGACAGTAAGATCGATATTCCAGGTAGTTTAAGCAGCCTTACCTCACTCAAACTCACCAATCCTTAAAATGTTCAATATTTTTTTGTTATACCAGACATAGCAAATCCCACATCTGCTTTTTCGTGGCATTCAGTATATTATAGGAATAGAGCAAAAAATCTTCAACTTACATGTCTTCTCACACAAATAACCAAAATATCCTTTTCGACAGACACAGGTATCGTTGGTATGGCAACGACCGTTATCTCCACACCCTTTCTGCCCACAAAAGCCTAAAAATAAAAAATGTGTGAACTAGAGGCAGCACAAATGCCAAATGCACAATCCACTAATATTCTACCTAACCAAGTTCTTCATTGAACGAATCGAAAAGAAATTAATAACATTATACGCCAACATCGAGGAATTTCGTTGAAAAATTTGTTTACAATTTAGTAGCGCAATTAGAATGCATTAATATTGTCTACGTCCGGTATTTACTATTTTCATAAAGTATAAAAAATGAAACATTCTGATTGACTTAGCCTTTATTTGAAACTAAAACTGGTGTATTAAATGAAAATTGATACTATACCTTTCTTAACTGGTAGATTGCATCGCTTTCCACGAAATCCCACGTCACATGCGCACGTATCATCTTTAATACAGATACCGTTTGAGCATTGATTCGTACACACGCCTAAAAAAGAAAGGTACAATCCCCGTTTTTAAGATACAGAGCTAGAATGATATTTAAAAGACAAATCTCTCTGTGGTTTGCTGTCACTTATTGTGTATTTAAATCCATAATATTAGCCACGACGAAAAAGGAAAACCTGTGAACGTGAATGAAATTATCCCTGCGTGAAATGTATAGCATGCATTCATGGCTTTTTGCAAATTGCCAAAAAATCACATGTACCGTAGCAGGTAGCAGGGTGTGTGGGAAAATTGATCATTGATATTAATTATTAGAAAATTGATCTCAAAGTTTAGTTCCACCAAGAATAATATGACAATGTCTGTCGATGTCCTTGGTTTTTTGTCCAGTCACAAGCATATCTTATCATTTCCCCCTTTTCTCTCCAACCATTTTTTTCTTTAGTTGTGCATTTGTACACATCACCAAATCTAATGGAAATTTCACTAATGTATTGTATAGTAAATATCGTAACGTTGGAACAATGACAAATATGAAATATGCTATGAAGTACAAACCTTTGTCTTTCACTCTTCTGTGCGCTCTTTTATTGATGTAAACTAGAATATTTTCTTCCCCATTATCAGCCTTGCTGCTTTTGCACAATTCATCCGTATAGCACGAGACGGCGTGGCATCTACCGTTTCTCCAGTATACCAGATCACATTGTGGTCTATTGCAGCATCTTTCGATGCATTCGTAAATGTTTGAAACGTTTAAAGGTGCCATATTGCCAGCATATTTACCTCCCCGTAGTGAAGCGTTGTACACTCTCTTACTTGGCGTACATATTCTTTTGGTTTTGTCTTTTGGAACTGAGGAAGAGATACCAGTACTTAGTTTAACGTGTGTGAAATATACTGTGGGTGAGGGTTTAGTGTGAGATATGAAGATTATGATTCGGTAGTGATTAATACTGTTGCCTAAAAGATAATTTTTAAGGCAATAATTGGACTGCTGTGTTCAATTTACGACACCTGCAAGTCTGTTGGTGGTAATAGGGTGGTGGTAATCGCGTAATGATGATAACAGTTTTGATATTGTTCAGTAACAGTGAAATTATGTTTGGTGATATTTAAATGATCATGGTAATAATAATGCTCTGACGTAATTTGCTGCAATGTGTCATTGTGGATGTTGATGTTAATTATTATAATGCATGATGGTGCTGAAAACGATGGAGATTAATTGCAGAAAGTGATGATAGACGAACTGTAATACAAAACGCATCATGGTTTTACATATATTTTTGTAGGCCTTTTTGTTAATAGTCTCTATTGATACATGGTGTTCGAAGAAAGAACATAAATGATACACTATCGTGTTTTCTGATGTTGATCTCATAACGATGGTGATATTGAAAACAAAGGTTAGATAATTGAATGACAAGCGAATGCATCATGGACTTACCATATTTTTCTATGCCTTGTTGCTGGCTAAAGGTTTCTAAATCATCACCCCGTCCTCCACCTCGTACTATATGTGAAATCTGAACGCTTTTATTAGTCCGCCTTGGCTTAGAAGGCACAGTCTCGCACACTCTCTCAGTAAAACATTTCAGACTATAGCAAGTCGTCTCTGCCATAAACGCTACGTCGCATTTCAAGTCCTGACAACAAGCATCGATGCACGTCTGCATGTCCGCGACTTCGCCCAATTTGGTAAAATTTCCCGATTTGATTCCGCCGCGAAGAGTGACGTTTTGTCTCAGATCTATATGCGTGCATGTTGGCAGTTTTATCGTGTCCAGAACGGAGGCTGTTTGTTTGTTGTTGTCCACAAGAAAATATTGGAAAACTATAAGAAAATATAGTTTGTCATATGATACCTATATGGAAATATTTACTACTTTCCTGATTTTGTATCTTATATCGCACATGAGTGACTTGCTTTCCCAAACACAAAGAAAAGATACGAATGTAATCATCTACCACAAACTCAATATGCTTGCGTTATAAGGCCCACACAGACAGGACACGATTTGGCAACGCGGCGCGAAGCTTTTCAATTTTAAAGCAAATAAATTTATCTATTAATGGTAACAAATCTAAATTTAAGGGAAGTGTTTTGACTATTTTTCCAGGTCATTGTCAAACGTAGCTATTTAAACACGCATTATGGTCTTTCCGCCGCCTAACTCAGTTTACTATACTCTTTAGATGCATTCCTAATTCAAAAAGTGTTCTCTTATCAATCATTTTTACTTTTAAGTTGTAGCTACTCTGCTTGCCCGGTTGGTTATACTTGTATAGAAGAACATATAAAACACACACCTTACATATATATAATATAATATATAATATACAATATATATTAGGCAAACATTTTAGGAACGTACTGCATAGGTGCATGTTTCTAAGTGAAAAGTATATATTGAAATGTATGTAAATATTTGTTTTTAAACCTTTTTCAACTGTTGCATACGTCCTGCAATATTTGACACCACATATACTACTAGCATTGCGAACATTAGAACGTAGTAAAACGTAGTATAAACTAGGCCGTACTTAACCGCTTAATAGGGGGGGGGTGTATATTCATATATGTATTCATTTTTATCTACCGTAGGAACAATAGCGTGCAAAAGAAATCAGTGGGGCATAAGACGAATATATCAATATACATCCGCCCCCAATTGAGCTTCTAGCTACGGCCCTGAGTATAAAGGTACCTAAATCATACTGTAAATACCTTGAGCCATGGCGACATCAGGCCAGAGGTTTATCCATATTGTCATAGCCAGAAGAAGGGATGGAGTTAACATATTAAGAGGAATTCTGTGGTAAAGTTAACAATGGCATGAGCAAATACGGTTATACGCGTCTCATTCATATTACACTAAAACTGTCCAAAGTTCGACGAATCTTGAAACAATGCTGTTATGCTCACAAGTTTTGCAAATTAATGTTATCTACCAAATTTCTGTTTCAAATGAAATTTAAGTTAACCCAATATGTTTAACAAATGTCGACCGTATAAAGTCATCGTCTTTCGGCCAAATATGCACCGTAGCTTTTGAACACGCGTTCATTTATCTTTTTTGAAATTATTGTTCAATTGTAAACCGAGGTAAACCTGCATCCCAATGCCCTGAATAAACTACGTCTGAACAGAAAGTTCAGAATTCACAATTCTTCAATAGAAATGGCATAGTATATCCTTTGTCCTAGTATTTTATTGTTTTTGTTTTACATATTCATAATAAATATTATTCAATTGGTTTGAGATTATAGTATAATTTTTGCAGTTAATTTCTTCATATATACTAAAACCCGATCTTCAATAACCCTTTTTATGTAACGGTTTCGACGAACGTATTTACATAACCTTGTAATCGATTGAACGCTTCATGTAGGTGTCAAATTTTTCATGGCATCCCTAATTGTACTTAGTTTCTAAAGTAACGTCTAGCTTTAGGTATAGATATAGCAATAGACCAGATGTAAATAAATTTCTTAAAAATGAAAATTCCAACTTCGTTCTCGTTTTAACATAGTCGCGATGTTATTTATATTTCTAAAGCGTTATTCATTTTGAGCTAAACATTGATATTCACGCTTATAAACAAATTCACGTGCATGACTCACCATAACAATTAACAATCTCCTGTTCATAGATATTTTCCGGGATTAATTCAATTCACTGTGTATCTAATTGAGGTGTATACCCAACGGCGTATTCCATTTATTTTGTTAGCGATGTAATATAGCCGTGTTTTCTTTTGAAAGGTTTTTCTTTCTTCAATCTCATATCAAAGTGACAGGTACTGGCCTTTCATCAGATTTTGACTCGTTCAAATTTTGCAGGTACGTCGGCTGAATGAAATACGAGAAAAAAACATACGCCACCGGTAGGGGTAGAGTGCAAGAATCGTTAGGATTCTATATAGCAACTGTAAATAGTCAACTGAAATCACCACAGAAATTACAAAGAACTTAAGAATACGCTCCAAGCTGCTTTGCCTTATATGACATCCACAATCCATCGAATCCAAATCCATTTTATATACAAGTGATGTGAATGAATTCTATACTTATACACTGGCGGTCAAAAATAACTGCTCAAAACAAGTTGAAATGCTCGCAAATGAACGTAACTGTCCCTCTAACAATATATATATACGAGTAAATATAGACTAGATTACATGCTAAGCTATATGAAATTTTAATATTTTGTTGACCGTCTTTTGGCCTCATAATTGATGACGGCCTTACACCGGCGTGGCATACTTTTTGTTAAGGTGGTAATCTTAAGCGGTCAAAAGAAATTCATCCTATGGACAGTCTTTACAGCAACGCATAAATAATGGACGCTTTATGAATGAATTCCTTTCTTGCACTATCCCCTTAATTGACAGTGTCCCACAGATTTTCAATAGGGTTAAGTCTTTTGACTGTGCAGGCCAATCCATTTCTGTCACCTCCTCTTCCTGAAACCATTGTTTGACTATTTCTTGAAAGTGTGGCAGGTTGCATTACTTTATTCAAATATTGTTTGCAAGAAGAGAATTATACAAAATGCCTACAAAGCTCTCTCCTATATTCCTTTCTTTTTTATGAATTTGTATCTAAACAGTTCTTTTTGACCGCTAGTGTCAATAAAAAATAAATTGTCACGATTTCTGTTACCTACGATAATAGCAACATTTGAGCAGTTCTTTTTGACCGCCAGTGTATTAAAAGCCTGACAGGCAAATTGGTCGAGATACCCGCCACATCAGTTACTCTGCGCGATGGGTACGAAAACAGAAAAAGGGACAGTTTCTCTATCTAAAAAGAGGAGGACACATTTTTTAAGATATAGGACGTATACCTTTATAAAATAGAAATACCCTCGAAGACAGCTACCGTTGTACAGGGTGTCCCAAAAAAATGCCCCCTCTCTTGAAATAAAGCCTTTGTTAGAATTTGATTGCCTTAATTATGATAAACCCAATTGAAAGCAAGACGCTTTATTTGAATGCCTCAACCTAATAACTATGCTATTTACACACCACTGCGTTGATCATGTATTCAAATTCCAACAAAAGCTTCATTTCAGTAGGGGGGGGACTTTTTTGAGGACACCCTCTATATCGACACCTTCTATATCTATATAAGCTCGACATCGTGTATGTTTTCGATTTTGGTTTAAATCCAAGTGTTAAATTTAAATTAGAGATTTCAAGTATTAGTTTAAATCCAATTTTTCTATAATTATGAATTTCGAATGAACTTGCCAGTTGTTTGAGAAGAATTCGACATTCAGTGTCATTTCCAGCATTTGTCCCAGACCTTTGCCCTAGACATTTGTCCCAGACTTTTTGGACTGATTGAAGAATCTCCAGTTATTCTTTATTATGACGCGCAATGAGCAAAGCCACCCGTTAAACGATATACTATCAACGTATCGCCGCGTATAGGAACACAAGCGACATTAACGATATTTTTTAGTACTATTAACTGCTAGAGTTATGTCATGTGGTTTTGACGATACGTACTTGATTCATGCATGTTGCTAATTCGGTTGACTTTGCACTGTAACAAGCCCATTATCACCTTATGTCTGAGGTGTTTAATTGCCATATAATCGGAATAATTGACAACGGGTATAAATACACAAATGTAATAATATACTCTGGCGCGTTTAAATCGTTGCATGTTTTTCTCGCAAGCTCCGAAAGTTACAGCTGCATGCATACTCCCCACGTTTATCGGCTAAAATCGTATTCTAATACGGTAACCGTACGGTAATTGTGCACTCTGATTGGCTGGTGCCAAGATATTGCTTCATAAGCAGCATCATTAAAAACAGCATTAACGTCATTTAGTCTCGGTTGTATATAAACGACCGTCTACTAATACTGTCCCAAGTATACATGCAATTGGAAACCGCAGAAATATAAGGTAGAAATCCTCCAGAAAAATAAAACATATGTACTACATATGAAAATAAGTTCGGATTTTAATGAATGGAAGGTATAAATCCCGTTGCCGAAAAAAGGACAATAAACTGTGTTAAACTGTCATTTGAAACAAACTGATCGAGACTACAAGGTAAGTGCGTCATTTGTCATAGTTAACCTTTCCTCGTTGATGAGCTCTCTCCGTGATTATTTTTGTTCATGGGTAGATAGCCTATACGAAACTATACATGGTGACATTATTTATACTCTCCTCTAAATTATTTTCATCCTACCACCATGGCCCCGTAGCTATAGAAGCTTATGCATATATATGCATACTTAAACCCGTCTTAAACGCGTTTAAATTCTTTTAACGCGATTATTCTTACGTGTATAAACATCAATACATCAATTATGAAAAACACATCCACCACATCTAGCTACGACTCTGTTTACAAGAGATGATGTAGTTTTGTGTTTGCTATATTTTTAAGAAATAGATAACATTGAACCGTTGTCTGTTCAGTTATCTACACGGTATGACGTCACCTGTGATAAGTTCCAATATGACCAGGGAGCCGCGTGGCAGCGTCTTTAAACAACTTAGAATCAAATGCAGTATCACAACTGCCTAAAATAGTCAAAACACTTCTCGACATTTCGACCTGAGGGCCTTCGTCAGGAGAGTAAGTATGAAAATAAATTGGGAGAATACATGTTTTGTATGGGGGCAAAACACATGATAAAAATGGGCCAGTAGAAAAATCAAAACAAATTGGAATACATTACATTGCCTATAAGAGACGCCTGATTAGAGCCCTCTGTCCTATTTCCGGTACTAACGATAGCCGTAAACGATCAGAAATGCGACTCATCCACAGCCTTGGCACTCTCCATCCCTCTGGCATAAATGAAAGACTCTACAATCAGGCGCCTCTTTGGCAATGTAATGTATTCCAATTTGTTTTGATTTTTTGTTTTCTATTGGCCTATTTTTATCACGTGTTTTGCCTCCATACAAAACATGTATTCTCCCCAATTTATTTTCATACTATGACGAAGGCCCTCAGGTCGAAACGTCGAGAAGTGTTTTGTCTATTTTAGGCAGTTGTTATACCACATTTGCTAAGTCATTTGTGATAATTTTATATAATAAAAGAAGAGATAAAATAAAAGAAGAGATAACTGATCTAATTCATCAAAAATATCTTTGATGTCATTCCGTACATCTGTCTTCTTAGAAATCATGTCTCTCAACCAATGAAATTACTTGAATTCTTAAAGTTATTATATAAATTAAATATGCATTTACTAAATATACACGGCTATATATAGGCATACACTTGAGTAAAATTTTGTTAGAAACTTGCCAATTTTATTTTAGCCTAATGAAAAAATAATTTTTTTTTCGCTGTGGTCTTTATGCGAATTGCCAAGAAAATGGGGCATTTTCATTCTTATTTAATTTGATTGATAAATTTTAGATTTTGTGTATTTGACTGTGCATTTTCTAAATCATTTATGGATAAATATTTGCCCAGAGTTTAAGGTTCTTTAAAAGCCCCCGGGCTTCTTCAAGCTCCTTCAAGGATCTTCTGCCTTCAAGTAGGGCAGCTATATACAAATTTCCTTAAACAAAGACTGCTGACAGCCCTCAAACAAAGATTTTTTAAAACGTTCATTGATCGTAAAATTTATTTAAAAAACGAGCTTGATGAGAATAACGGTTATGCTGGGGAAGAAGCCCATGCATGTCATTAATATAATATATACATTGCATATATTATTCCTACATAAATAAGACACATATTCTTTAAATACTCTTCATCTTAAATTGTTCATGTTATTATGTAAATATTCTTTAGTCTTAAACTGTATGTTAAATTTTTAATTAGATATATGCTTTATGATGCAAGCCTTCAAAGTAACACAAATTTTATCGAAATTTCATTTGATAACTACTTCTTGACACACTATTTTAACTTTGACACACTATTTTGACTTTGACACACTATTTTAAGTTCTCGAAGTCTCTCGTTTCTTCTCTCGGCGTGTGTCATGCAACTTTCCGAATATTTTCCAATGTCCGAAATTACAAAATATTTAAAAAGTATTCATTTTAATAGCAGTGATATATCCATGCTACTGCAAGTATTAGAGCGAAAAACGTATAGCCTTAATCTAGCAGTATATAGCTATGGCCATGCAAAACGCTATTATATAATTTATAAGCTTGCCATTATAACAGGTATAAATTCGACTTTAATCAAAACTATACCCAACGTGACGTAATGTTTATGCAATATAGTCGAAGTTTTCGTATTTTTTGTTCCGAATCATATGTGCCGAATCAAATGGAAATGAACTTCAACAAACTTTAGCTCAATAACATCGGGTTCGGCACATGAAAATTTCGACGTCTGAAACAGGCCTGATGCATGTGAATATACCTATCACTGAATTATACACTGCACGCATCTTTTTTCACACACGCTTTTTGCATGACTGTTATATGAGAGTGTGCATGATTTGCATGCTTACAACTATACCTTAAATTGAGAAGTTCCCTACAGCTTTTAATATTGCTGTGTAAATTAAGGTAAATTGAAAGCTCTTTATATGAAATTATTATCTATGAAAAACAGTTTTGACAAACAATCTTTGTGTTAATAAAAGCAAAAGTAGTCAGATTAAATGAGTGCATGGGCCGCTGGGCGATCCGATCAAAAGATTATTTCCAATGCCGCAAATTCAATACGGATAAAAATAATGCGTAGAATATTAAAGTATAAAAACAAGGGACCACACAAAAAGCAGCAATATTATCGGTTTAGCGTCATATAATCTATAATACATGATTCATGCACGAACATGCACTGATTTTTTAGGAGTGTTATATTTTTAAACGATATGCATGCATGCTCAAAACATATAGAGAAGAGCGCAAAAAGGTTGTCCATGTCAATATATATACAAATTAAATATATATAAATATCAATCATGTGACTATTAAACCTTTTTTGTTCAATTTTTTCATGTTTCAGTACCCTCGATCACGTGATCGATATTTACGGGTATTTATATTATTTCCAGGTGACAACCTTTATTATATGATAATATATATCCCTATATGAAATGACGTGCGTATAATGATATATATATAAGCATGACAGCAATGTCGAAATTCACGAGTATATTATAATTATTGGCCGAATATGCCAATTGAAGTTTTGAGCATTTTCTCTATTTCGCTATGTTTTTACTATAGATTAGCCTTATTCTAGTTTTGGATTTTTTACTTTGAAATTAGTGCCACTGGCGTCCCAAAACTTTACAGCGTTTGATTAAACTAAAATCATATTACTTATTTTCAGTGTTTAGTGCCTACAACATTTTTTAAAATTGAATTGGAATGCTTAATTTAAAGATTTTAGTGTAGAATAGCTTGGTTTGATATTATTGTAATAGTTGCATGACTATTTTCAGCCGTGTACAACCGCTATAAATTATAAACGTGCAGTTTTTTGAGGTTTTGATGATGTCTTAATTTGCAACAAAATCCATGGTTTCAACCGATTCAACGCCATCGCTGAAAACATCGTATATAGTTTTCTAGTTTCTTATATATCTAAAAATCGAAACTCAAAATTCAGTATATGTATTAATTGCCAATTGCGAAATGCCCTAATAGCCACATGTCAAGCTCCCTTGGGAAAAATATGCCAATTCACCGGGCTTTAATTATAACCCTGTAATAAGTGTAAATTAATTAAAGAAAATTATGAGGCATTACAACGATCGCAAGATTTCACGCCGGCAATTTTGGCAGAATGAAATGCTTTATAAGACGTATTTGCATGAGCTTTAATACCCAGCTACAAGTGAAAAACAATTTCATTTCATGCATGTACATATAATGTAAATATTTATCGCCGTACGACTGTTAAAGGGTTATGCATGTTTCCATGCCCGTGCACTAAATTTTCTTCATCGATGTAAACTCGAAATAGGTAGAAAACCTTTAATTTACATCTTGATGGGAAATTACCGTCCACGCAAGTGTTATTGTTTCTACATTTGAAAACAGCTGTTCGCATGATTGGATATCGGTGCCTAGATCGGAGCAGGCCGATATATATTTTATATTCTTAAATGTAGCTATTAATCATAGTGTGTATAGTTTTTGTGAATTTTACCACGAAATGTGTTGTGAAACTTTCATTTTTGTTTGCTTATAAAAATGGTATAAAAATCCGAACAGAGTCTGTGGAATAGAAATTTGAAAAAATATCTGTGATTAATCTGACCGCGACCGTTAAGTTGTCTCATTAACGTACATAGATGTCACTAAATTCGATGCATAAATTTGACCGTCATTTCTGACATTTTCTGTTGCCAGCTGATAAAATAACCTCTGCCACTCGTAAAAATGACGAGCAAATATTTTTGACGCAGTTGGACTAAGATCGCACAAATTATTTCAACTGAAAGGTAAGCGAAGATTTATTGCATTTTTTACGGATTGAGTAAATATATACGATGAAGATTATATATATATATATATATATATTATAATATATATATATATATATATATATATATATATATATATATATATAAATATATATATATAGACTTTTATTAAGCTATACATCTATAATACATTCTTGCATTTTAAAACACAGGATCGATCTAATGATTTCACATTTATTCATGAAATGAAAAAGCAGTTTTTTAGCTTCCATGCAACGTTACCTTTTTTCAGTTTTTTGACAGGAAGAAAGATTCTTTAAGAAAGAACTCTATGTGGGGAAAGCATTAGTTTTGTATAGATTTATAAAATATACTTTGGCGCGTGAGATTTATTTATTAGAAAATACATTTCTTGGAATTTTAGGAAAATTTTGGGAGCATAAGTATACCATATATCCCAAATATTAATCTCACTCATTTCATTAGAGTAAAATTTCACTCTTTCCATGCAAAATATACTATTATTGCATCTTCAAATAATTTGATAAAATCGAGAAAATATTCGATGTTTTCTGGCATAGAATTATTATAGCTGGCTGATTTTCCGGCACATATATAAAAATATATTTATAATAAGGGAAACAATGTCTAAAAATTAACGCTTTTTATAATTAATATCTGCCGATCTTTATCTTGCCTCCATCCGAAACTTGAATTGTGTGCTTCATATGTTAATGGTCGCTAAATTTTTATATAACTATTATTTCTCCCCTGCAGTTTGTTAAATTTTAGCTGATATATACCAAAGTACACTTTTGATTACACAAGAAAGATTTTAATTAAAATCTTTTAATCAAATGTAACAGTGCCAGTAGCGATCGATGTGCGTTGATGAATTTTATGCAAATATTGGTGAATCATGCAGCAATTTTATGCTGGACGCGAAAAGTCTTTTAACACCGATGCCTGTTGTGAACAATTAATTTGAAGCTTTTCCCGTGACGCCAGAAGTGAAATTAAACTATTAAGAAGTGCCCTCGTTCCCCTTCGGCTTAAATACCTCGCGATATCATCTTTAAACGCTCTGCCTAAAAGTAAACATCGATTATCGCAGAAGATAATGCCGTTAGAAAGTATATTAATATGTAGATGTTTGTTATAGTACATGCAGAATGTGCCAACATCAGCTTGTTGCACGTTGTTGCAGGAGCCATCCGAATCAATGGATGAGATGGAGATAAATAATTAAACTCGCAGCTATGTCAACCTGCCATTGTGCTATGTAACTTAATGTGAGAATATGTTAATCAACCTGCATGATCAATTTCGGCGTAAAAAATGAATAATTTTTGGTGACTTGATGTGATCTTTGGTTCGATGCAAATATTGCTGCTCTGCTGTTTAACCCGTACTTTTTGTCATGGTTTTTGTTATACTATACATCGCCGTTAATAAGTAAGTTAGTTAAAATATATCACCGCCGAAGGATTATTTATTTCGCCACGTATACGATCCTTGTGATGCCTTGTCAAATTTGGTATGTGGTTTATGTATTCGATACCAATTAGGGGACGTCTTGAGCCGTATGTGTAAGTAATTTGAAAAATTGTTCTCAGCACTTTGTTATCTTTTGCAGTATATATACGACACTATAGTCTTTGTTAGATGTTAAACATTCTCGACAGTGGCGTGCACTGAGCACATGAAATCTAGCATTTTTTACAGGCTCTGTTTACTCACATAATTTACGTACATATAGTCACAACTTTAAGCGATGTTATGTCAAAATGTACGATTCGTATCCTTTTATTCTTCTGTTTATAGCTACATGTTTTAATTGCCTAAGACTAAAAAGCTTGATTCCTTTCTTGATTTCTATACTTAGCAGGACCACTATAGCTCTTACTTATCATCATGCACACATCAGTATCATCTCATCATCTGTCGACTGGCATGCATGCGATGCATTTTTCGTAACTCTGCGAAGTTAGCTATTAATTTTAATTTTTTACCACTTGAAAGGCGAAACACTTTCTTTACTATAGCACAATTCACAGCCAAAAAATAAATTAATTTTGTAGGTTCGCTGGACAGTCTTTGATAACTGGTCTTGGGGTCAATAGTTTAGAGTATGAGATGCAATGTTAATATACACTGCACTCTGGATTCTATATGTATGTATATATAGGTGGGATGCATTTACTAAGGTGACTAAACATCAGGCTCATATATACTTCGAAATTTAAAAAGACTTCAAACGAAGCGCATTGTCATTCTGCGTGCAGTTGCTATGAAGCATCACATGTCAATGCATAATTTAGATAGGCATGACACTTCGACATCATTTTACAGTCACAAAGGCAATCGGTATATCGACTAAACTAATGTCCTTTTGTTAACAGATTGGGTTTAGCATTGAGTATAATCGAAGAATCTGCCCAATGAATAATCAAACGAACGGAACAGACACCACCACAACTTCGCATTTCCAATGGATATCGGAGGATATGAGGATACTCTTCGACATCATCTATATTATGATCATATGTGTCGGGCTGGTCGGAAACGTCCTTGTTATTCTAGCAGTGACCAAGGTACCCTCGATGAAAACCGTCACAAATATGTTCATTGGGAACTTGGCGTGTGCTGATTTGATTGTCACAGTCATATGCTGCCCTTTGGTGTTGACCCACATGTTAACGTATCCTGATTGGGGGTTGGGCGAGGGCATGTGCTACTTCTCGAATTTTTGCATTCATCTTTCGTTAAGTGGATCCGTGCTCGGACTGCTGGCAATCAGCATGGACCGATACCTCGCAATCGCGCACCCGCAAAAACAGTGGATGACGTTACGCAAGGTAAACGTGTTCATAGTCGTCACGTGGTTAGTGTCCATAATGCTCTCTGTCCCCTCGGTGTTGATTCGGCCTGACACAAGTTCCCTCAGTCGGCTTTCGGATGTGTGTCTGCAGGTTTGGCGGGGATCCGAAGAGACAAAACGCTTCGAGATGATAAAAGCTCTACTTTTCCTCATCGTCTTCAGTCTCATCGCGTTTTTCTATTACGGAATCGGACGCATTTTATGGAAGCGTAAAATTCCCGGAAACCAAACTTCCGAGAATCAGGAAGCCGCGCAAAAGGCACGAAAAAAGGTAGTAAAACTACTCTTAATCGTCCTATTCTGTTTTTTGGGTTGCTGGGCTCCATTTATGATTTACAGGCTTCTCAAAATGGTTCTACCCGATGGCAAATTCGACCCCCCGGAAGCCGTGTACACCGGAACAACGGTTCTTGCAATGACGAACAGCTCGATGAATCCGGTTTTGTACGCCCTGTTCAACCGGAATTTTCGTATGGCATTCCGCAATATTTACAGGAGATTCTGGAATAATCAAGTGCTGCCTCTGCCAGAGGAATTTTCTGTCGCTCGGACTTTTGATGGAACCAGAGAACGACGAACCCGTTTAACCGTATTGGGTAATCTGGTACCGAGAAAGATAAGTCGTATAGCACCATCAAAATAGCACTATATTCATATATTTCTGTTGAATTACTAGTGAGTGCGTCAGACCGAAAAGGGTGAAGAGTACCTACTATGATGACAATTCAACCAACCGGCTTATTGGATAAACCTGTAAACCGCGATCCGTCGCAAGTTCGACTCTCACCTTTTCAACACAAATGCAGATAGTGCAATTACTCGAGCGATTGAAGCCAGTGCTAAATTTGGTGTCTCTAAGTTTTAAGAAGAAATATTTCACTGAATGTTGTGCTGTACATCAAAATGAAGCAATTGAACAACGCTGCCTGGGGTAGAAATTTCAAAACTTAAAGTGAGATATTCAAAAGATACAAATTGAAATGTGAATTGTCTATGATTTGCCTTTTTTTGCCGAATAATATTCTAGCTCTTGTTCTTTTTTGGTTAAAGTCACAACATTTTGAGCTATCAATATGGCTGATTTTAGTTACAAAAAATATGAACTTTCTAAGGGGTTCCACAAGGAAATATCTTAGGTCCACTTATTGTTCCTTTTATATCAATGATCACAGAGTGTTTAAAAATTAAAAATAAATTGTACACTATATAATTGCATAAGCCGATCGATGTTGCAAATATCAATGCAATGAGGGTAGTTTAAACCTAACAATAAATGCTTAATGGTATACACAATAATAGCTTTTAAACGTATCCCATTAGATACGCGTCTATTCATGCAGTTCAAGATGGCGGACGAAGCATGAATAGGTTTCAAATTCATCGTAACATTTCTCAACAACTAAATGCGATGGGCAAGTAAAAATACAAAATTAAGTACTCCGTTGGCATGTTTAAAAGAGATAAACGATAAAATTATTTTGCCAATGTCTTTTAACCAGCTATTGCGGTCCTGTGCCGGATTTTTTAACTGATACATTTAAGCAGCACTTTGGCGTCGCAGTTTGGTGAACGCAATTGTAATAAAAATTAGACTTGAAGTGACTTGTGAACTGCCCAATATGACGTTTTACTTTACCTTGAAAGCTTAAACAGGCTCGTTCACTTTATTCCCGGTTGGATGTTCATCAATCACGAATTGGCAGATTTAATCGCTCATTTGATTTTCACGATTTGCTGACATGAAAGACTCGTTACTATTTTTGGCAATGCTGCAGAATTATATAATCTAATCGCAATTATGGGTAAATGACCAGCTAGTTTAGTTTATAGCAAGCTAAGCAATATTCATTATCTAATTTGCATTTCCCCTTACGATGGATGTACTTTTTCAGGTGTAAAATGTGAGGCAAATGTACGAGAATTAGTTTGCCAGTAACATGTTCAGCAAAATGAAAAGTTTTAATTGTCCTGCTAACATTCATTTGATGGTTTCATATTGTGAACGTTCACTTCGGTCCGTAAGTTTCCTCGTCATTGTGATTACTCCAATAATCGCCGCCGATATAGCGACGATGGATGCTCCGATCGCTAATATAATGTCGATAATCTCTGAACGGCTTGTTGACATACTTTCTGAATACTTTTGCTAAAATATAACAAAATTAAGATAAGTTTTGTACAAAATATCTACGAAATGAAAATTTAAAATATGTTTTCTCCGATGAATCTATTTTGTGTTGGTTATCTTTGGTCATTACTTTTTCGAAATATTGGTTAAAATAACCAATTTTATATACGCGCTAAACGTCGACGCTATCTTAAATCTCACATTTACGAAGTGATGCAAGAAAAGGTGCAACATGAAGCGCACTAAATAAAACAAATTAGAATTTTTCAAGGTATTCAAAAGCTTTTTATGACCTTCATGAAAAGGTATTTATCTGGTGAATTCATGCATCGTATCAATACGATATCGACGGATTGTATATAGATAATCTTGCCTGGCATAACCCCAGGGGCGCAGGAAGCATCCAGAGATTGGGGGGGCGGCAATAGCTTCCAGGGGCAATTTTGTTTAATAAAAAAAGCAGCTAAATATATATATATATATATATATATATATATTTATATATATATATATATATATATATATACACCCGTTTGCAAAAACGTTGGCCACAGATAGATATATAGATAGATACCCGAAATCTGATTAGAATTGCATATGTTGTGTAATATGATTGAAATCCCATGCAAATGTATTCATATGCAATTCTAATTAGACTTCGAGTATCTATCTATCTATCTATCTATCTGTGGCCAACGTTTTTGCAAATGGGTGTATATATATATATATATATATATATATATATATATATATATATATATATATATATATATATATATATTCCTAGGGTCCCAAGGCCTAGGCACTCGTAATGAGTGAGCTGGTGAGGGAAAGGGACCAATTTACATTCTTAGGTTTGAATATGTCCGTCAAGGGTAAGTATGGTAAACACGGAGAACATTTTTTGCCTATATATATATATATATATATATATATATATATATATATATATATATATATATATATATATATATAGGAACGGGTTGATTGCCAAAGTTGCAAGAACACCACTAGTGTGTTGTATATTTATGCTCTACAAAAATGGGCACGCATAAGTGGGCATACGTAGGAAACAAAAAGGGCACTTTTGGTCCCTTGAATTTCAATTAATAATGCTAAAGATATTCCCTCGTTGGGTGCAAACTCACCTGATAATCAGCTAGCCTATCATGTTGTTTTGACGAATTTAATATCAATGGATGGTCCATTTGAGGAGAATTATTTTTGGCGGCTTCGACAAATATTCTCCCACCATTTTCTTCTGCAAACTCTGAAAATAAGTCATGATTATCGACTGTTTAACCTGATGGCTTTTTTCTTTGGAATTTTAAAATGAATACATAAATACTTGGTGCTTGGAAACAAAAATGCTTAGAAGCAAAAAAACGCTTCAAATGCATGCAGAAAAGTTGAATCCTCATCATAAGTAAAAATTCGGTGTTCTTCATATAATTCTTACTTAGTCGATTCCTTCTCGAGTGTGCTACAAACGAGAGCATTGTTTCAAATTTCGGCCTTTTCAAATGTTTCGTTCCACAACTATCAATGTTATAACAGTCAACTAGGTAACAATTTTCCTGCGACATAAAAGCGACATCGCAGTCCTGGGTTTGACAGCATTTGTCGATGCACGATACCATATCAGTAATGTCCGTCTCTTTTTGAAACGTTCCTGCATGATGGCCTTCTTTAAATACGATGTTGTAGTTGATGGAGCTTTCGTTGCAACGACTTGGTTTTGAGTCGAAGTGTTGAAGGTCAGCATCTATAAGAACGAATTAAGAATAGGGTTAGCGTTTGACTTTCAGTGATAATAGATGAACTGCATGATGATACCGAGGTGAAACTGGTAGAACTAACGGATAGAGGCTAAAAAAGCAGACAAGGTTGACATTCTTGAATTGAAGGAAAAGTATGAATTATGTAAAAAAGCTATAAAGATTTTAAATACACAACATTTTATTCCATATAGCTACTCCATTTATTCCATATTCCTACTTACGTGTTGTTTTGTGTATAACGAAAAGGACAATCACCACAGAAACTCTGAAAACATCCATTTTTGGAAATCTCTTTCACCTGATTTGGTTACATCTTCACGTAGAACATTTTATTTTTTCCTGCAAGTATTGAAACAACAAATATTTTTCCTTCAATTTTCAACCATGAACTATAGCTATATACAACACAGGTTACAATCCTGAAGTAACAAAATCGTGTTCTAAACATAAGAACTAGCCTTTGATCTCTGCTAGATTTCATGAAATTAACAATTAACTTCAAATCATCTTCATCACCACATGATTTTATCAAAGCGCTGAAAATCTATTAATTGTGTAGCTTCTGTTACAATGATCTACAGTTTTTCGTGGTAATGACACGTATGGCGTATCCTACCCAGTTCGTTCATTACCTAAACTGCATGAGATGGGTGTAATATACGATTGTGCACGCAATACAATCGCGTATAATTGCTGGACAAATTGTATTTATATGTTTATAAGTTTTTGTAGATATTTATTATACTCCATGTACTACTCTCCTAATTATGTGTGCATGTATAAATTACATATTTAGCTATATAAACTTTTCCCAAACCAAAGGATATGAATTTATATAAATTCGTTCACATAATTACATTGCTTGAACACCATATATCAAAACCATACCTCGGAGTTCTTTTACGATATTTCAAAGATTAGGGATCGTATGGCCTTTCATACAGCTTTTAACTTTTGTTGTTATATTACTGTGTTCGATATTATATGTGCTCTATAATTTCAAATTATTTTGAAGTTTAGGCCTGTGCGATCTCGACAGGTACAACCATTGTCCAAACTAAACAAAATATCGTCACCTGCCAGATTTATTTGAACACGTGCTTTTGAAATACGCTTAAAATCTTGATTCTTATCCTTGCCGGAACTGGCATGTTAATATTTAATCAAAAGTAGATATATTGTATGCGCATTTTCGAGAAATCAGTTATTTTCTTCGACTTATATTGGAAATATATTGGTCGAGTGTAGTCGGACCTGTATTTCTCGATGAATTCTCAGAGTATATTCTCAGTAGTAGTTGTAAGATGAATGTAAAATTTTCGACCTTTTTTTATCCAAATCACAACATTCGCGAACGAAGCTCTAGATCTATAGCAAGAATCAACCACATGCATTGTCGTCATATGACTCATGTCTACATAGTTTGGTTTTCTTGCGCTGTATAAGTGAGTTGCATGGCATACAACTAATAGATTTTCACATGCATACATGTAAATGTTATATCAGCATGCTGGTAAAGAAAATCAGGAGGTCTATACTATCTAAAATCCGACCAAAAATAAAAATAAAAAAAGCGCATCGCAAGCAAAAATAGGAAAAGAAAATTCGCTTGATAATGCTCCTCCCTAACCTATATGAATATCATTATACATGATCATTATTTTCTTACCCCCCGTCTCAATTGCATTAAGCACGACAAAAATGCAACGACCTCTGAATCAGACCTGTTTGATCCGATCCTTAATAAAAATGGCAGAAGAAGAAACGGTTTTGCGATAAAATATTTTATATTCTTTAATTTAATTAATAAATCACACAGTCACGTCTTATACACGTATATCTTTGGGAAATGCACTCTTTACGCAAAAGTTTTCTCTATCATGATCAGTCTTATAGTTCAAATTTCACTTGTTTAATTTTCCCAATGCGAAGAAGCTCGCCTTTTCTTTGACGGACACGCCGTTTAATGAAAATGTATTAATATTATATTCGTTCTATTTACAAATTCAATTATTTATCATTACTTTATATTATTTTCGATTGTTTTTGGGAAGCCATTTTCGCTTTTGTTGTTTCAAAAACAAAAATTCCAATCCCGATTTGAGCTGTGAGTCGGATGGTAAAAATCCATCTTCCACAAGTTCTTCGTGTTCGGTGTCGGTCTCTCCGAAGTCGGTCTCGGGATTTTTCGGATCGTTGTCCGGATTTAACGAATCGTTGTCGTCAGAAATCGGTTTAGGAACATTGGAATTCGTGTTCTCTTTGCACGGTTTCCCAGCTCTCCGGGGACTCGGCGCCCGGTCCCGCTTTATGTCGGCCGACCAGCGTTTTGTGAAGTATGAAATTACAAGTAAAGCTCCTACCAAAATAGCGACGGTTGAAATGACAAAACCAGTTGCAATTATTATTGCGTGGTAAGTTGAGGTTTTAAGCTCAGGTAGCTTCTGAAAATGGAAGGTTTACGAAAATGTTAGAAAAACGTTGTCAAAGAAATTGGCTAATCAAGTGAATCATGCGATGAGCGTCTAATAAACACTGAAGTTTCAGTTGAAAATAGGCAATGTTTATTTTTTATGTTACCGTTAAAGTCAAACAATGTTGAATTCGCAGACGTAATATTACCAAAAACCAAAATCCAGATGGCTCAGTTTTGACCAAACGAAAACATGCAAATAAACTAAGCAGCCTTATGCATGCTTTGCTCCGGAGTGAATCTTTGTAAACGGTCATCTTTGAAGTAACTATCGAGTGCTTCATTGGCGTAACAGAGATTTATTAGTTTACTGGATGACATCGTCAATTCTATATGTTGTTTGTAAAATTCTAGTATATAAAGTTTAATTTTATGCGACCTCACTTCACTGCAAGTGTAAACTGCCTAGTAACTCACCTTGCCATTTCGCAATCTTGCAACCTCTTCCTTAGCAATCTCCGACTCGTTGGCTTCACTAGACTTCATGAACTCGTGAAATAGTTTCTCAGAATGTGCTCTTTTCTCTGAATTTTCCTCTTCGGATTCTAGCGGGGCGTCTTCAGAACCTTTTAAAATGAAAAAAATGGAAGCAAAGGTTAATTTTCCCATGCCCGAAGCAATACCTTTTAGTCTTGAAGAATAAAACTCCTTGTGTCATTTACTTCCTTGTTCTTAGTATGTTTGGGCTGCGTGATCTTTGCAACAGGTTCTTGGAATTTGAAGGCAGTTTAGTGTGAAATCCCTTACAGCAATTCCAAGTTCATTTAAGCAGCTAATATGTTTTAGTGTTATATTTTACTACCCAAATGGTCTGCATATGGGTGGAAACAGCATTGAAGCGCGTTTCAGTCTTTTATCCTTCAGGATTAATTTCACCCTTACCTTGCAGTTCGTAGTAACATAAATAAAAAGTGTGATCTTTCTCTTGGGCTTGGACTCCGTAGGGATAAAACCCCCGTGCTGAAGTTGCTATCCCTCCCTTGTCCTCTTCGTCAAACTTGACAAATTCAAGGCTACTTCGCATTTTTCCCACCTAAAAACGAATGCAAAAGATATTAATTTAATATATGCTTCTTTGTTCCTTTGTTTTCTAAGCCATCTTAAATGCTGTAAACATAGTCAATTCTTTTTCTGTGTACGAAACATGCATGGGCAATATACGTTCTGCCGTGAATGGCATCCTTTTCACCCCGCGGGTATTTTCGGGCACAAAACTGAATTCCCATGTTAACAAGTTTAGATATAAGTAATAACCTATCATCTTTCTGAATTAAAACTTTGATGCCTCAGAAGGACAACTATTAGCTGAATTGGCTGTATTCACAACAAAAAATATTCATGAAATCAAAGCGGTTTTTGGCTAGAAGATTTGGAATTGCCTGGGTTTCTTTAAGGTGTTCATTTATTACCGTCTCCCAAAAGGAGCATGGTTTACAAAAGCAATAATTTGACAAAATGAATGGTCACCGTTCGAGAACAACGAAAAACTCGGCTCTAAGTTATCACCCAGTGATCTAAACTAAAAGAAGCGCCCACCTTTTGACACGTAGTGGATCCATAAGGAAACAAATAGAAAGGTTTTTCAGTTGGCAGAACAATTTCCGACTCCGCCTTGCCAGTCACACTGCAGCAAAATGATATTTTGGTTTTATCCGTGTAAACACCTTCAGGTAGGTCGCCATCATGGTAATTCTTGTTATCTATCGTCTCGTCATCCCAGTGGACGAAGCCTTCTTGTAAACCGTTCGGACAGGTGCTTCCCTTCTTGAACATGCAGTATTTCCCTCGAGGCCAACTAGAAATGTTCGAAATAAATTTTGTTGAACTACATTTCAGATATTTTTACTGCATGCCATAGCTGATATTTAATATTCTTTTACCAATCCTAATCCTACCAATTTTCCTTACTTGCTAAATGTAAGTCATAGCAATTGACACTATCTAATTTAATATCTCCCAAGATTATAGCAAAAAATCCTTTTCCATTTGGGAAATCCATCAACCTGGTCGTGCCTATGGTCCACCTATATCGATGTTCCATGGTCGTAAAGTTGACCCCTCAGGGGTCGTAAAGTTGACCCCTACCTTTTTAATCCAACGTCCTTTGTTTTCATGCAGAATTCCCATGTGATCCCGTCTTCCGTGACGCCTCCTGCAAGATGATATTCATCTGAGTTATGATTCTCGTTCCCATCATCCTCGGTGTCGTAGAATCTTGTCCCCGTCTTCCAGAGAAATCCCGATGATTCTGGACAACCTGACTTTGGCTTCGGCAATCCATATGTTCCCGAAGGCCACAAAACTGTAAGTAAAAACATACCATAATCATGGTGTCCACAGTGAATATGTGGCATTCTACAATATCCTTAGTCGCAGACTGTTTCCATTTCCAGGTGTCTGGATCCATTTTATGTTGTTGTTATATTAAAAGTAAGTTAAAATCTGTAAATCGTCGTTAGTTTTTACTAAATGTTTCTTTTTAAGTCATACAGCGATATTTTAAACATGCATGGTTTTCAATATGAGGTGATTCGATCTGTAATAAACCTTACTTTACGTTCCAGTGTAACCAAGCAGTGGCATGGCCGAAACGTACAGGCCGAAACATACAGGCCGAAACGTCGAGAAGTAATTTTGGCAGTTCTTATACCACATTTTATACTAAAACATTTTTTAACTTAAAGCTTGTTTCCATATTTCGGCGAGTTTCATTGTCGGTGAATACTATTCCATGTTAGTATACATGCACCCGACTGTTGTCTATTACAAATCCTACATTCTGATTGGCTACTCAACCATTGTCTATTCGTGATGGTGAACGTTTGCGAAAATTTCGCTCGCGCGACCGTATAAAATTGAATTAATAAATTATTTTTCGGTGTAATTGCGGTGTATCGATTATTTTCTCGAAATTAATGTATCTAGGTACAGGGTGTATACTAAAACAATTAGACAACTCGCCTTCGTTGTCTAATTGTTAAATGGAAATCGATCGTTTGTCCAAAATCTTTCCTCCCTTCCATGGTTGTAAGCATGAGTCGGCGACTGGTCTGACTTATGTTTCCTTAGAAACTAAACTTGACCACCTTAAATTAAAATATCTATTTATTACAAGAAGACGTACAACCGACCTTCTCTGCTAATATCCGCTCTGCTTGTCAACGTAATCTCTCCGACGTTGGATTGGGAGGTAGTCTGAAGTTCATCAGGTTCCTCGTCTTTCAATTTCTCTTCCGATTCAACTTCGATTCCAGTCCCAATTCCCGCGTCGCTCGTCTTGGAATCTTCGGCGGTTGTCGTAACCACGTCGTCGTTGTCGGAGGGACTTGAATCGACCGAAGATAAATCTGTTACGGTGACCTCGTCATTAGTCGATGAACTGGGATCATCGTAGGATATCTTCGGAGTTGTAGGGTTGTCATAAAAAGATTTATGATCATTAATAGGGGTCTCAGAAATGCTGTACTCTGAATCCCCCGATGACCTCACGAAACGATCTCTAACCGTGTTATCCACGTGTCCGAGAATTTTAATTTCGCTTTCGTAAACTTTGTTTCGATCGTTTTGCTGAATTGAACGTTTGTCTCGATGGACATTTTTGGAATTTTCCTCTGAATTTTCATTGTTTTTCAAGGAACTATAGAATTCATCTTCTTCAGAATCTGTAACGAAAAATAATGAATTTGTATATCAGACTGCAATACGCTTGAGTTTACATGATCCACACATCCAAAATTATGCGAGGCGTGAGATGATTTTGAGGTAATGAAATAGGTCAAGAACGTGATCCTGACAGTGGTTTAATGATCTCGACAATAGCATGTGCTTGTTTTATTTTGTAAAGATTCATTTCAACATCTCCAAATGCTTTTCACTCTTCGTATAATCTCGGAAAACATACAGAAATCATATAAACATTTAATGAGTAAAAAGAAATTATCTTTTTCCAGTTTGCTGTCTTTTATTGTCTGTTTTCCATAAAGTCAGTGGCCTACCTCTCGATGCAAAACTATAACAAAATATCATCCAAAGTAAGAAACCATTGAATAGGATTTTCATCGTTTACACATCTTTGTTAAATGGCACATCTTTGGCGCCTGTAAAATATTTACAATTCAGTCATTTCGATAGATAATTGTCTCTGCTTACCTGATTTTGAATCAGATTTCCAACCGCAAACTTTGCGGCCGCAACTCATGCATCGGTTAAATGCTCTTTCTAGCTGAGTTGTTGCTCTGCATTGGTCACAATTTAGTCTGCGTGGCTCGGAAATCCGTGGGGTCATTTATTTGCTTGCAGGAGTTTACATATAAATTTACTTATTCAGCTCATATTATATCCAAGAATGCCGTTGAAATATGAACAATCATAACATAAGATAATGGCAAAATTTAGCTATATATACTCGTGCAAAAATTCCGCGTATCTTTACGTATATATATGCATGCGATCCTCCAACAACTGACAATTTCACCAGCTTGTTCGTGAACGATTTCATGGACATATTAACTATAATATCTCTCGCGCCACACGGGCTAGTTCAGTTTGGCATGAGTTATTTAGCCTAAACGCGCTTGTGATCTTTAGTCGATACTTTCCAAACAGTTAAATATCATGTACCCATTTAAACGACGTCCCGAGGCGTAGAATTCTTGATATAAATACGGTGAACTTACACCGTAGGAAACAAGTTGTCGCGAGTGAGGTAAATAACGCAATATCTAAATAATTTTACCTTCAACTTTTGCTTTAAACAAATATTTTCTAAATTAGTTATAATTGTTTTCTTTCGACGCCTGAGCGGAGAAAATCTCCTGGCGTTAGACAGACGAAAATGCTAAAGTCACAAGGCATGAAAATGTAAAAAATTAATTAATGGCGTCGATAAACAGTCGACGAAATGAATATATGAATTAATCAGAATTAAGATAGAATGTTAGTAATGATAGTTAAACTTAGTTTCTGCCAAAGCAGAAGCTACAAAGCTAACATGTATAAACATGGACCCATGCAAATAATTTATTGCATCATCGAAAGTTAACGTCTTCCAGAAACAACGAATATAATTACTTTTATATTTCTAAGCATAATCCTTCGTTGTAATAATCACAACAAAATGAAACATAAATGATAGGGCTTGGCGAAAATTCTTTCGTGTATGATTTGAATTAAATATATAGGTAGTAATGTTTGATGTTTCGAACTGACCGATTCAATCTTAATCACATGCAGTCGTTACATGAATCCGTAGGCAATTTTTCATACGACGATATTATATATATACGTTCGAAATAAAATATCGTTATGAAGTATTGCATGCTTGCACCTATATTTATTGCCGCCAGGTCCAGCCCAAATTGGGGCTCGTTGAAGCAGAAAGTCTCTACAGAAAAAGCTGTCGCGGTTAATTTGTTTCGAAATTCTATCTCTGGAAAGAGCTAGATTATTTTTTGTATACTCTGTTTAGGGTATTAACTTTTCGGCTTGCTTTTTCCTCGGTGGAATCTAAATCACTTTAGCTTTTTTTGAAGAAAGATATCGATTCATCTACAATTCAACTATATTTAAGCAATATCATATTGATATATACGTATGTCAATTCGACCTACTGGAGCTTGTTATGTAAATCTATAGTACCTCAGCTTACTGTGCTTTAGTAAATAATAACATAATTTTATATAGAATAATAATATCCTGCACAATTCATTTTCTAATACAAAACGTAAACACAAGCCTGTAAAAACCCATCCATTTAATTATATAATTTCAATCCATAACAACACGTCGATATTATGATCTAAGAAATGTACGATTCCAAATCCACCTTTGCATCGTGTTAGATGTTAAAATTCTACCTATTCTATAATTCCATATCACCGGTTATATAAAACGATTTCGCTACACAAAAATTGCACTTTACTTTAAAAACTCTTCCTGTACTCCTATACCGGTTAAATTCACACAAGATATTTGCTCTTGTTCAAAAATTATATCGTTTTATTTCGTTTACCTAATCTTACTGTATTGTGGGCTAGACAGTTATTTCTATAATATTCAACTAAAGAGCTGTAGCGAAGACGTTGAACTGGTAAATTCAACATGCCAGTTTTCCCTCGATCCCTATACCCAACCATAATTTGAATTTTATCGAATGAACAGAGATATTTAATAAGACTTTAAGTTACCTTGGTCAACACCAGACCGCCATTTTCCTCACCAAATTGTATACATACATAATTGGTTTTCAATAAGACAATGATCCCTACCTGTTGCTCTTAGCAGGTTGTAGTCGGATTACTCAAAATAGCCAGCCAGGGCTTGTGCAGGAAAACGGGTTCGTCGCACAAGACAAAATGTACACTAAACGTTAAAAAGAATTTTTAAGTTTCACTCGTACTCTTTTAAAATTTAACAGGCAACTACACAACAAGCAGGTGTACACTTTGGTAAACTTTATTTGACTGAATGTCACTGAACTTTAATTGAATGTTATTGCTCATATTATATATAAATTGCTTCATTCCTATAACCTGTACTGAATGACCTCAGTATAAGCATAAGGATAGGCCAATTGCACCAGGAACCGTGTAGCAATTTGAATTCTTCCGGAAGAATTCGATGCTTGACTTGATGATAGCCATGCAATTGATAGAGTTATCCAACTGCACAGGGAAAGCTTTAAGGTGAATCACGTATACCGGTATACTGTGTTCAGTGCTATATATACTGTTCTATAAATAGACTATAATCATACAAGGCAAGAGAAAGAAATAGGTATAATAATAAGCAGCATGGCCTCAAAGTCAAAGAGAGTGTGTCCACGAGGAATGGACCTTCCGAAATTTTTTTTGCCCGGCGCCCAAGGTTCATAATTATACCCATACATGCAGTTAAAATCTAGTAAATCTTCTGGTATTTTTCATCGTTTTTTAACGTTATGTCATAAAATATTATAAATGCACAGCACCTACACCGTGGCTTACGCCTGCGCTCCAAAAGCTCATATAAATTACACGTAAATTTATTATCACTGATCAAATGAGAAAGTTCCTTGGAACAATTTAAGGTAAAAAAATTGAAAATCGAGCTCTTATTCCAGAGGAAATACCGCAATGGAAACGCTACGAGAAGAATGAGATCTTCCACTCAATAAGTTTGAGTTTGAGTTTGAATTAAGCTTTAAGAATACAGGCCTTTGAATGAAATATTTGTCGGTTTTTTCCTTCTTCGTTCTAAAAGAATAATGAAGAAAATGGTTTTCCAGTTTCCGGCAGTGCGAATTCGGCCGTCTAGGTAGTATATTATAATTATCAGCCACTTGCATTCTCTAATGACGCCAAACCTTCAACTCGAAGTTGCTTTACTTTTTTACGCATTACAGTTATAATTAATAAAGAAGCTAATTAATTGCTTTCTCTGGTTAAATTACGTCACGAATTAATTAAGTCATTGTATTGTTGCGTTTTGCGAAATACGTTTCTCTTTAATTAAACTGCGAGGAAAAATGGCTTGCTAGTTTGGTTGTTTTCGAAAGGCATATGGTGCTGAGGGAATTGATGAAGATATTGACGATTGAGCAACCGCCTCAGGGAAAAAGTTAAACGGAGAAAATGCTTTTTAATGCTTTTTGAGAGTCTTCAGGGCAAAATAGTTTCATTTTATCAGGAATAGACATGATTCACGTTCATTTTTTTCCTTTTCGTAGAAACATCGGAAAGCTTTCAGACACAGAAGCTGATAGCTAAAGACAATCAGGCACAAGTGAAATGTCCCACCCCAAACCGATGACAATCACTAAATGTGAAAATATTCATGAGCTTCAGGGAAAAGGTAAAAGCGTAAAATGCTTTTAGACGCTTCTGCGGAAAATAGTTTCATTCCATTAAGAATAAACGTAATTCACGCTCATCTTTTTGCTTTTCGCAGAAATATCGGAACGCTTTGAAACTCAGAAGCTGATAGCGGTGGCAAACGACAAGTCCGGCACAAGTGAAATATCCTCCTCAAAACTATAGACGATCACTAATTTAGTTATCACCTCGGTTTTGGGGAGGACCTTCACTAAATGTGAAAACATTGATGAGTCTCAGGAAAAGGGAAAAGCGGAAAATATTAGAAGACATTTCTGTGGAAAAGAGTTGTATTCCAACAGGAATAAACCTAAATCAGGATTATCTTTTTGCTTTTCGTATGGAAACATCGAAAGGCATTGAAACTCAGAAGCTGATAGCGGTGGCAAACGACAAGCCGGCCAAAAGTGAAATGTCCTCCCCAAAACTAAAGACGATCACTAATTTAGTAATCACCTCGGTTTTGGGGAGGACCTTCACTAAATGCGAAAATATTGATGAGTCTCAGGGAAAATTAGGGAAAAGCGGAAAATGCTTTAAGACATTTCTGCGGAAAATAGTTTCATTCCATAAAAAATAAACGTGATTCACTATCATCTTTTTGCTTTTTGCAGAAACATCAGAAGGCTTTGGAACTCAGAAGCTGATAGCGGTGGCAAACGACAAGTCGGGCACAAGTGAAATATCCTCCACAAAACCGAAGACGATTACTAATTTGGTAATAGCCTTCGCTTTTGGGGAGGACCTTCCCTAATGGTGAAAATATTGATGGGTCTCTGGGAAAAGGTAAAAGCGAAAAATTTTTTAAGACATTTCTGGAGAAAATAGTTTCATTCCAATCGGAATAAACATAAATCACGATCATCTTTTTGCTTTTCGTAGTGCAAACATCGGAAGGCATTGAAACTCAGAAGCTGATAGCGGTGGCAAACGACAAGTCGGGCACAAGTGAAATGTCCTCCACAAAACTATAGACGATCACTAATTTAGTTATCACCTCGGTTTTGTGGAAGACCTTTATTAAATGTCAAAATATTGATGAGTCTCAGGGAAAAGGGAAAAGCGGAAAATGCTTCAAGACATTTCTGCAAAAAATAATTTCATTCCGTTACGAATAAACGTAATTCACGCTCATCTTTTTGCTTTTTGCAGAAACATCGGAAGGTATTGAAACTCAGAACTGAAAGCGGTGGCAAACGACAAGTCCGGCACAAGTGAAATGTCCTCCTCAAAACTATAGACGATCACTAATTTAGTTATCACCTCGGTTTTGTGGAGGACCTTCACTAAATGTGAAAACAATGATGAGTCTCAGGGAAAAGGGAAAAGCGGAAAATGCTTTAAGACATTTCTGCGGAAAATAGTTTCATTCCGTTAAGAATAAACGTAATTCACGTTCATCTTTTTGCTTTTTGCAGAAACATCGGAAGGTATTGAAACTCAGAACTGAAAGCGGTGGCAAACGACAAGTCCGGCACAAATGAAATGTCCTCCTCAAAACTATAGACGATCACTAATTTAGTTATCACCTCGGTTTTGTGGAGGACCTTTACTAAATGTGAAAACATCGATGAGTCTCAGAAAAACGAAAAAACGGAAAATGTTAGAAGACATTTCTGTGGAAAAGAGTTGTATTCCAACAGGAATAAACATAAATCAGGATTATCTTCTTGCTTTTCGTATGGAAACATCGAAAGGCATTGAAACTCAGAAGCTGATAGCGGTGGCAAACGACAAGTCGGGCACAAGTGAAATGTCCTCCCCAAAACTATAGACGATCACTAATTTAGTAATCACCTCGGTTTTGGGGAGGACCTTCACTAAATGTGAAAATATTGATGAGTCTCAGGGAAAATTAGGGAAAAGCGGAAAAAGCTTTAAGACATTTCTGCGGAAAATAGTTTCATTCCATAAAAAATAAACGTGATTCACTATCATCTTTTTGCTTTTTGCAGAAACATCAGAAGGCTTTGGAACTCAGAAGCTGATAGCGGTGGCAAACGACAAGTCGGGCACAAGTGAAATATCCTCCACAAAACCGAAGACGATTACTAATTTGGTAATAGCCTTCGCTTTTGGGGAGAACCTTCACTAATGGTGAAAATATTGATGGGTCTCTGGGAAAAGGTAAAAGCGAAAAATTTTTTAAGACATTTCTGGAGAAAATAGTTTCATTCCAATCGGAATAAACATAAATCACGATCATCTTTTTGCTTTTCGTAGTGCAAACATCGGAAGGCATTGAAACTCAGAAGCTGATAGCGGTGGCAAACGACAAGTCGGGCACAAGTGAAATGTCCTCCACAAAACTATAGACGATCACTAATTTAGTTATCACCTCGGTTTTGTGGAAGACCTTTATTAAATGTCAAAATATTGATGAGTCTCAGGGAAAAGGGAAAAGCGGAAAATGCTTCAAGACATTTCTGCAAAAAATAATTTCATTCCGTTACGAATAAACGTAATTCACGCTCATCTTTTTGCTTTTTGCAGAAACATCGGAAGGTATTGAAACTCAGAACTGAAAGCGGTGGCAAACGACAAGTCCGGCACAAGTGAAATGTCCTCCTCAAAACTATAGACGATCACTAATTTAGTTATCACCTCGGTTTTGTGGAGGACCTTCACTAAATGTGAAAACAATGATGAGTCTCAGGGAAAAGGGAAAAGCGGAAAATGCTTTAAGACATTTCTGCGGAAAATAGTTTCATTCCGTTACGAATAAACGTAATTCACGCTCATCTTTTTGCTTTTTGCAGAAACATCGGAAGGTATTAAAACTCAGAGCTGAAAAAGGTGGCAAACGACACGTCCGGCACAAGTGAAATTTCCTCCTCAAAACTATAGACGATCACTAATTTAGTTATCACCTCGGTTTTGGGGAGGACCTTCACTAAATGTGAAAACATTGATGAGTCTCAGAAAAAGGGAAAAGCGGAAAATATTAGAAGACATTTCTGTGGAAAAGAGTTGTATTCCAACAGGAATAAACCTAAATCAGGATTATCTTTTTGCTTTTCGTATGGAAACATCGAAAGGCATTGAAACTCAGAAGCTGATAGCGGTGGCAAACGACAAGCCGGCCAAAAGTGAAATGTCCTCCCCAAAACTATAGACGATCACTAATTTAGTAATCACCTCGGTTTTGGGGAGGACCTTCACTAAATGTGAAAATATTGATGAGTCTCAGGGAAAATTAGGGAAAAGCGGAAAAAGCTTTAAGACATTTCTGCGGAAAATAGTTTCATTCCATAAAAAATAAACGTGATTCACTATCATCTTTTTGCTTTTTGCAGAAACATCAGAAGGCTTTGGAACTCAGAAGCTGATAGCGGTGGCAAACGACAAGTCGGGCACAAGTGAAATATCCTCCACAAAACCGAAGACGATTACTAATTTGGTAATAG